GGTAGACTCTGTGCTGCCCTCCAGTTACTGTTCACTAAAATTCTGATCACCCCAACCATTGGCTGTTATGCTGCCTGAGGCTGATGTAAGTTACAGACCAACATCTGGAGGCTACTAATGGACTAACACTACTATAGTCATAATTAAAGATGACCACTAGAGGGTCTGGAGAACCAGCATAAATGTTCATTCAAGTTGGACAAGTAGTCTCTCTTGTGCGTTTAATATTCAATGGCCTTTGCAGCTGAAGAGTGTGATGATCTGTGCCCTTTGTAGACTATGCAGGCACACACATGGGAAAATCCTGCACAAGGCATCTTCCAAGGGGTGGGCTCACATCTTCCCTGATTTTATTTGAGCACCACAATGATTTATGGTCAAGATTATTTATGATTTAAGGTTCAAGAGGAACCAGGGGTGTTTCCAGACTGTTGCTGTTTTTTGTTTTTGTTTTGCATACTGGCAAATTCAGGTTGCACAAGTACAATGAATTTGGAGCTCCTGTACAACGAACCCGCATCCCCCAAAGAATGGGCATTTTGCAATAAGGAAAGTGGCGGAGTAATGCACTGGAAAGTGTCGAAGGATGCTTGATTTGATGCAATATCATCTAACCTCCCTGCAAACAAACCATAATAAACTGGCCATTTGGAAACACTCGGCACCTGTGTTTTCTTCCTTTTGTGTGTGTTTTCATTTTCACTGTGTTTTCCCATGCTTGTGCCACCATGCTTTATGGCACAGCAGCCTCCTCCTTAAGGAGTGTATAGGATGTGAGGTCAAGCTGCTGCTGCTGCGCCAGCCATGGAGACAGACTTTTCTCCTTGTGGGGAACCTCTGACAGCGAACGAAAGAATCTACAAAGAGGTCCACCAAAACCCTTCTACTTTTCTTTGTGGACCTGGAAGGTGTGATCTCTTTCCTGGCGTTATAGTCAAAATGGAAATGGATGGAAGGGATGCGAGGGTGGTGGGTTAAATAGCAGGGGGAATAGAAGTGTAGTCTAGTGATTATAGAACAGCCCACAAAGTCTGACTGGCTTTTGGGTCTGCTGGAAGAGACATTAAATGTTGCTAAACCTGTTCCCTTATGCCTTGGATGTCCCCCTCCTTGGGCTGTGTGTGGAGTAATTCTGGAACATTAACCTGGCTTAGACGTCAGATAGATCCTGAATGGGGGCGGGCGGGTAAGAAATGGTAAGAAACAAGTTGCTTCCTTTTCCCATGTCTTTAAATATGGCAGTCTGGATTTAAAAAAGGGCTGGGATGATGAAGCTGTACTCTCCAGCTAACATCATCCCTGACCAGCCCACACTAACAGGGTCTGATGGGAGTTCTCCAACAACAGAAGGACCCAGGCTCTCTATGCTTGGGTTGGGGGATCCTTAGGATGCCTTTGGTGCTGAATTCTGCAAGACTCAACTAATGAAAGTGGGGGAGAAGGTTAGCAATTTGGGGGTCTGTGTACTTTATTGGATATTGAAGGTGGGATATGTTGGAATCACAGGGCAGCCTCCACATAATAAACGGAGAGTTGATTGCCCTACCCAAACAGGGCCAATCCAAGACATTTTGCCACCTGAGGCAAAGTCTCTCTTTTTTAAGGGAGGGGAAGGGGGAAAAGATCTGGGACTTGGTGCAAATAGCTGGGGCTCCGCCTTTGGGGACCACCCCCAATAGCACTCTGCTTCCATTGGCACTGATAGAAAACTCTTTTCAAGCATAACTGCAGTGTAGGGTTTGGGTTTTGGTCACAATACATGGGATGGGCGGGTTAATTCTTTTCTCCCCAGTTGTGAGTTAATATTTACTTATTGTTACAGTATATGTATTAGTCTTTTTTCTTACAAAATAATTTGAAGTGAATGAGCTAGGCAGAATTTACTCTCAGATGGCAGTTACTTTTAAAAGTGTGGCTGGGAGCAGGGAAGAGACTGCTGAAAGATCCAGGTCTTAATTCCTTTGGTTCCTCCCCTCCAGTCTGAGAATACTTGGGCCTGCGGATGTGTCAAGATGACCATGCATGTAGCATATGCCTTCCCATGGAACTAGGGCTTTGATGAGTTACACCTATACGTGTAGTGTTCTGTCTTCAGTTTAGTAAGAGATTTACACAGCTAAGCATCTCTGAGATGCTTAAGCGTTTTGCCACTATCCCTGAAGGTGTACCACAGGGCAGTCCAACATTTCATACCAAGTGGGGCCACAAGAGTAAAAGTAAAGGGACCCCTGACCGTTAGGTCCAGTCGCAGACGACTCTGGGGTTACGCTGCTCATCTTGCTTTATTGGCCGGGGGAGCTGACGTACAGCTTCCAGGTCATGTGGCCAGCATGACTAAGCTGCTTCTGGAGAACCAGAGCAGCGCACGGAAACGCTGTTTACCTACCCGCTGGAGCGGTACCTATTTACCTACTTGCACTGGCGTGCTTTCGAACTGCTAGGTTGGCAGGAGCAGGGCCGAGCAATGGGAGCCCACCCCGTCGCGGGGATTCGAACCGCCGACCTTCTGATCGGCAAGCCCTAGGCTCTGTCGTTTAGACCACAGCGCCACCCACATCCCACTTTGACACAAAACCCACAGGCCACGCACTGCAATCATCGTCGTCATCATCATTTGTTTAAGAAGGTATGAAATTGATGGTGTGTTAGCCAAGGTATTTAGGTGTCCCCTAGTTTGTCCTGTATTTCCTGTGTTGGCATGGATTTGTTGTTTTTGTAGAAGTGTTTTAGACAGTGTAGACCTTTGGCTTGCCAGGTTTTTATCTGGAGGTTTTGTGCTGTGTGTTGGAATAGTGGGTGATAGGCCAGGGGGGGTTAGTGGGGGTGGGCATGGGGATAGTTTGCCTACTTTTCCCTCCTGACACACACTGCCTTGTTGTGTGGCGGGGGTTGGGGGGAAGGAGCCAGGCCAAAATTTGACCCTCCCATCTTGCAGCCCTTGCACTGCCTTCCCAAAGCCAGCTGAGGTACTGGTTGTGTGAGGTTCTGGCAGGATCCTGGAGCCCTCCCACCTCTTTCCTGACAAAGTGTTAACTAGACTTTAGGAGGGAGTCATAGAATCACAGAATTGGAAGGGACCACAAGGGTCATTTAGTCCAGCCCCCTGCAATGCAGGAATATTTGGCCCAATGTGGGGTTAAAACTCATGAGCCTGGTACTAAGAGTCCCGGGCTCTATCAACGGAGCTATCCCAAGAGGTCCTTGTCAGTTGTCACAGCCCTCATGCCTCTTCCCAAAGCCTTGCTTACCCAGCTTTGGGAAGGCACAACGAGAGCTAGGGAGGGGGGCATGTTGGACAACCCCTGTCTACCAGGACAGGACAGGTACTACACTGTAGAGTGTTGAGGTGGCTAAAATGCCAGAGCCCTGCTCTCACCCAGGAAGGAGCAGTAGGGCACTACCACCTAGACTTGGCAGATCTATCCATACGAGTATAAGTTGTTTCAAATGATTTTCAGCACTATATTTTTTAATTGCTGCAACGTGTAACCTGTCCTGCAGGTTGAACTATTTTTTTTGGGGGGGGGGGAGAAGCTAAGTCCCACAAGACATGATACAGGCCCACTTTTTGAATGGCAATTCCCATCAACTTTGGTGGGGCCCGACCCCCTTAAATATTTTACTGGGGAGGCCGAAGGGACCTCAGCCTCTAGGAGTTCACTCCTGTCCTGGGACCTTTTGATAAACTGGGTAGGTAAGTAATCACCATCATACCCTGACTGAATCCACAGTCTCCAACCCACCTGTAACCAAATGGAGAAAGTGGCAGCACTTTAAAGAAAAAAACCCTGCCCTAGTCTTGGCTAGGCCAGGCCACTACACCCGTGTGTGTGTGTGTGTGTGTGTGCGGAGAGAGAGAGAGAGAGAGATTAAAACCAAAGTTTCTTTGCGGGAGTGCGGCAGGGCTGTAGGTTCAAGCCCCGGCATCCTCAGATGCAGCTGAGGAAACCGCTCCCACTCCGGGAAACTCTGGACCAGTGTCTCCCAAACTTTGGGATTTGGATGACTGGCAGAATCCGAGACCAGGGAGAAGAGTCGGTGGAAGAAGATTGGAAGAAATTTAAAGACTATTTACAGAAATATTGCAAAATTAATGAATGTTAGAATGATGTTGGATTGAAGTTAAGTGGTTTCTAGCTGTACTGGTATAAAAGAATATGGAAAAATTGGTTTTTAATACGTAAAAATTTAATGTTATAATATATCAAGATTAAAGATCAGGATTAAAAAGGAGGGAAAGGAATTGCTGGATTAACAAATTGAATTGGAATACAAAAGAGGGAGGTATGAGGAGGTCCGGAAACAAGTAAACGTAAGAGAAGTGATGAAAAGATGGAATTGTTTTTAACTGTTTTTTCTTTCTTGTACTTTGTATTTTTCTTTCTTTATTGTTATTTTTCTTATTAATATAATCTTTTTCTTTTGAAATTTTAATAAATATCATTTTTAAAAAAAAACAAACAAACTTTGGGCTTTGGAACTACAATTCCCATCACCCCTGACCACTGGTCTTGCTAGCTAGGGATGATGGGAGTTGTAGTCCCAAAAAATCAGACGGCGACCCAAGTTTGGGGTAACCTTGCGCCTGGACCAATGGTCTGTCTCGGTCTCCCGACAACTTTCTTACGCTCTCCTCTCACACGCGTATTTGCCAGAAGCAGCGCCAACTCAACTTCGCCCTCTCTGGTAACTTTCCAAGCCTCGCCGGGCCGCAAGCGCGAAAAGCGCAAACCAGGCCTTGAGGGGGAGAGACGGAGAGCCTCTTCTGCCGAAGAAGGGCGCTTTCTGGCGCGCCTCTCGCTCTCCTCAGGAAAGGCACAGCCTCTCCCTTGCGCTGAGGCGAAGACGAGCGCGCCCCGAGCTCTCCCTTCCCCGACCTCTCCAAGCCGGGGCGGGCAGCGCGCGGAGACCGGCCCCCGAGGCGGGGTCGCCCCGTCCCATGCCGGCCTCGCTCCTCCTCCTCGGGGGGCGGGAAGTTACGCTTTGGCCGCCGCCGCCGCCGCTGGGCTGGAGCCCCGCCGACTTTGGCGCCGTCGTCGTCGTCCCGCGCTCCAGTCAGTCCGCTGCGCAAGGGGCCGAGGGCCTTGGTAGGGGCCGGCGCCAGGCGCGCTGCAGCCGACTCCCTCCTGGCGCCCACCGGACGCTGGCTGGGCGGGCGGGCGAGCTCCCCCTGTCGGGCGCGCCTCCGCCCCAAAATGCCCGCCTGGGCGATCCTGCCTATCGCCTTGCCCGCCTTCAGCATCACCGGCATGTGGATCGTGTGAGTAACCCAGGACGGGGCGGGAAGGGACCCTCACCAGCGGACCCGCGCGCCACGCTTCCAGCCAGCGGCGTTTCTGCCCCGAGCGGCTCTGGGGGCTCCGGCGCCGCCGGGGGGAGGCGAAGGTGGCGGGCTGCGCTGCGCTCCGGAGCCGTGGCTGCCGCTGCTTCTTCGCGGCTTCCCCTGGCCTGGCCTCTCCGCTCGGCCCTGCGCCCGCGAGCCTGCCCTCGGGACGGAGCCGGGGATGGCCCTCGCATCTCCTCGCACGGCCCCAGCCTCGGAGCTGCTCGAAAAAGCGCCTCCGCTTCTCCTCCACCCGTGCAAGGCGGGGTGGAAGTGAGCCAGTGCCAGTGGAAAGTTTCAGGGCTGAGACCTGTTAGGGTGGAGGGCAGCATCGGCGTGGAAGGATGCTTTGCGTGTCGTGTGTTTGTGCCTCGTCCGCCCGGAAATGCGCCCAGCCTGCCACATGTTTCCAGAGTGCTGCTTATACAGTAGTGCGATGCGCGCTCCTGGTGCGTGCCCGAGGTGTCTTCCCGACGACATGCTTATCAGGCATTCCTCCGGATTTGTTTTCGCGCAGTTTTTTTAAAAAAATAATATTTATTAATTTTCCAACAGTTTAAACACAACACTACAAAAAAACACACACATAAAAAACCACAATACAATACAATACAAAATCACTACAAAACACTAACACATGAAACTAACAAAACAAAAACAAGACCCATTTAAAACACATCAAACAATTTCATTATCTTATCTTTCATTCACTTGTTTCCACGACCTCCTCACACCTCCCTTTTTGTATTCCACTTCTGTTAATTGTTTCAGCAATTCCTTTCCATCTTCCTCTGTTTTCTATCCTATAATTATCTTAACACATTCTAACCTTATTTTTGTTTTCGCGCAGTTTTGCGCACGCGTTGGATGACGCCCCGGGTGTACTGAGCACTGATTCTGATTCGTTTGGCCAGAGATGTTAAGACATTGCATCAAAGCAATGAAAGGAGAAAGGAGATTCCGACAAAACATCAGGAAGAACTCTCTGGTAGTAAGAGCTGTTGGACAGTGGAACGGTCTCCCTCTGGAGGTTGTGGTCTCTCCTTCCTTAGAGTTTTTTAAGCAGAGGTTTTTAAGTGCATTTCTCCTCTGTCTCTTTCATTTACAAAGTTTTCAGTGTTTGACCGGGAGTCAATCAGCCACTGGTAAATTCAGTTTACTTCATCCTGCAATTGGGTTAGAATTGTGGAGTTGGAAGGGACCACGAGGGTCATCTAGGCAAGGAATCTCAGCATGACAGATGGTCATCCAAAGGCAAGGTAACTGCTTTTTACAGAAGTGAAAGCCTTGCCAAATGAAGGACTGGCAGAACAAGTGCAAACCAATTATATGGCAAATCAGAAGGAATGACAAAAGAGCACCTCTAAAGGTGCTTAGGCTAAATAATTGAGACTTCTTTAAAAATGCAGCTGTTAAGATGAAAAAAGGTGCAAAGGGAGGGAGGGGCATGGGGGAAATCACAGAACAGCTGAATAAATCCTTTGCCCCTGCCTACAGGGGTTTAGAGACCCACAAGTGAACTCTCTCTCTCTCTCTCTCTCTCTCTCTCTCTATAATTAGTACTGCACTTAAGACATGCAAAGGATGGGGCTATAGACATTTTAGAAACTGGCAGCTTAAAACCCAGCTTCCCATTGTCAGCTGGCATTTACCCAAGGAGCTACAGGGGTAGTTGGTTTCTTACAAGAGTGGAAGGTGCTCAGCGTTCCACTGCCCAACTTCAGAATTTTACAGGAACTCCTGAAGTCTATACTCTGCAGCTGAGCTATTTCAGTAGCTATTGCGATAAAAAAGCATTGATCTCAAAAGCCTAAGAAGGAGGAGGCTAGCTAAGAACAAGATATATCCTAAGCCTCCATTAAAGTTGGTTTGGCACCCTTACTCAACAAGCCTGATTCTCCTCCCCCCCCAAACTGGACTTCTTGCCATAAGAAAAGTGACATGAAAAGGCACTGGAACGTGTGGCAGAACAAACTGCTTGACCCAGTGTCATATACCCTCCTGGAAAACAAATGGGAGCATATGTTCGGTACGCAGCCGGTCACTGTTTAACCTCCCCACAAACTTTGTGCAGGCAAAATTGTGAAGCAATTGAAAGATTTTCCATAAGTACACTCAGTGTCTCTGTTTTCAAATAACAAAATCCTTCACACAGGTCCATTACAGTCAGTTTGAGACGTTTTTGTAGCAATGTGGGGTTGATGAAGGAAGAGAGGTGGGGAGGGAGAAAGGAGAAAACAGAGAAAGAGGGGTGAAAGCAGAGAGGGTGAGGGACTTCCATTATTTACATAGTGTATGAGTGGAGATTTTTTTGTCCGCATCGCATGGGTAGGTGTCTTATTTTTGCTGGCAGAGCGAGTGATCAGAGGGCCCAAGTTATGGTTAGTTGCAGTTGACTGGTTGCAGGGTGTTTTGTTTGTGTGTGAGGTTAAGTTAGCCCTATTGATTCATAGTTGTTAGGGCAGGGGAGGGGGTCATTGTCTTGTTGGCCTTTGTATGTGATAAAGAGGAGCCACACAAGGGGGAAGGCCTCCTTCTTTGTTTGATCCCATGATAGATTCAGTCTGCTGATTAGTGTTTCTAGTAGCGCTGTTTCCCATGCAGTTTGGTACCAGTGGTCCATGTTCACTGCCGAAAGGTCCCTCCAGTGTCTGGTAAATATTGACCCATGCATTTTCCCTTGCTCGGGGGTGCCAACTTGAATAAAATATTGGGAAGGGCAGACAGGTAAGCTCCACCCCACAGAATCTATCACAAAACATTGTACACATACAATATTTGAATGGCAGTGCCCATCAACCGGGGGGCGGAGGCTCAAATATTTTATTGGGGGCGGCTGAAAGTACCTTGGCCCCTAGGAATTGGCTCCTGTGCCCCCCACCCTTTTACCCTTTCTGGGGGAAATGCCCACATAGTTTAAAACAACAACAACAACAGCAGCAGCAAGAACACCTTGTTGTCAAGAACCCTGATATTTCCTTGACCTGTTCAAAACATTAAGCCCTTCCCTGAAAACATGCACAGTCGCCATTGTTTGCCTGGCTTGAGAGTAAATCCTATGGATTAGTGGGATTTACTTCTGAGTAAGCATGCATAGTGTTGGGCTACTGGTTTCGCCTGGGACTAAAAGATCAAGCAACCTGTCTGGCCGCCCGGTGATGGCTGCCTACCCTTGATTGGTGTGTTTAGTTAGCAGATTCTTCCAAGCTGAATCACTTTCCAGGCTTCTTGTCAATTCTGGACAATGCAGGAGAGGCAGACGGTTGCCTCAAAACATTTGCGGTGCCTCAGGCAGGAAATCTGCATTGTCAAAATATGCGGCTAAACTAAATTACAACTGGCTGCCCTTTACAGATATTCCGTAATGTGCTGCCTGAGGAAGGCTGCCTCAACCTGACTGATTGGTATCTTGTTGAATCTGTCTTGTCTGGTTGTAAGGAGACTGTTGCCTGCCGTTCGTTAGCTGCAAGACAACGCGTTTGGGTTGTCTGGCTAGGGAGGGAGCAAGATGCAAATATTCAAATAACTCCAAGTATATAGGGACATAGGAAGCTGCATTTTGAGTCAGGCCATGGACCGTCTACCTCTGTATCACCTACACTGGCCGGCAGCAGTTCTCCAGAGTTTCAGATGAGGAACAAATAATAAGCCCCCTCTCGCATGAAAACCCAAGATGGTTCCTGAAATTCATTCTGACTGGGCAGATAAAATATAACAGATAGAATTTTGCAGGGTGTGTTGTTAGCGTGTGAAAATGGTCAAGCTCCAAGGAAGCCCAGGCAGCCACCTCTAGATGGTGGAGGCGCCAGGCGTCATCCTGGCGCCCGGGCATCTTCACTTGGTTGCAAGTGGCTGTTAAAGGTAAAGGGACGCCTGACCATTAGGTCCAGTTGTGGCCGACTCTGGGGTTGCGGCACTCATCTTGCTTTATTGGCCGAGGGAGCCGGCGTACAGCTTCCGGGTCATGTGGCAAGCATGACTAAGCCGCTTCTGGCGAACCAGAGCAGCACACGGAAATGCTGTTTACCTTCCTGCTGGAGCAGTACCTATTTATCTACTTACACTTTTATGTGCTTTCGAACTGCTAGGTTGGCAGGAGCAGGGACCGAGCACTCACCCCGTCACGGGGATTCGAACTGCCGACCTTCTGATAGGCAAGTCCTAGGCTCTGTGGTTTAACCCACAGCGCCACCCATGTCCCAAGTGGCTGTTAGCCAGGTGCAAAATACGCCTGGCAAATTTCGAACACCGTTCCTGGAGTGTTGGCTGCTGCCATTCCCAGATGCTGAGTAGAGTTTGCAAGAAAGTGGGCAAAGACTTCAGAAGGATTCACAAAAGTGAGGAGGGAGCGGGTAGGTTGGAGCTTCGTAGGGCAAGGGATTCGCTTTTGGCTTGTTAATAAGCCAAACTACTCCCTGGTTTTTGGCAAGAAGCAACTTGGTTTATTTCTGAGTCGGTGTTGATACAAGCCATAGGTGACTTGCCTATCACTCCCGCCAATATACTGTGCTGCACGGCATTTCTGGGGAGGCTGGCCAGAGGTCCCCTATTTTATGTGGCCAACTTGCAAGCACAAGCAGTGGAGGTTTATGGCCTAGGTCCTAGGAGCATGAGCGCCTGTGGGGCCAGTTTTGGATGAACAGGTGCAGATCTGTATATATACTTTAGCGCACATTGAAGAGGCACTGTGTTTCACAGGCTGGTTTTGTAAAAACCAAAACCAAAAAACCATACCCTTTTGGACTGGCTCTTTTCGGACTGCTTTAGCTGGCATGCCTCATCTGTTCCATACCTGCTTCTTACTGCAGAGCATCACAGTTCCCTTAAATACAACGGAGCACCTTATTCCAGTGGGTTCCCTCCTTTGAAGCGACCCTGTTAATAAAAGATAACAAAAAATCCTTGCGGCAGCTACTTTGTTGATGCAACCTTATTTTCAGAGTTGGTGGTGAGGTGAGACCTCTTCTCCCACTCCGGGTGTTTCCTTAAGAAAGGGCTTCTGCTCCCCCACCCACACTTCCCTTCTGTTGATCATTAGCTGTTGTTTATTGTCTGTCAGCCCATGTGACAGCACTTGTATCTCAGCCAGTTTGCATTAATTTCGAGAACAGCGTTGCATGAGCTACTGCCTCGAAAGCTCCTAAGGCAACCAGCAGGAGTTACAACGCTGGGAGTACATGTCTGCCATTTAATTCTTCAGAATTCACACGTAGTCATGTCTTCCTGTTGTTTGGCTTGGGTTTGGCATCTACCTGTGGATAGCTCAGCCTGTAGAGCATGAATCTCCTAATCTCAGGGTCATGTATTTGAGCCCCACATTGGAGAAAAGTTTCCATGCCTTTCTGGGGCTTGAAGTTGATGACCCTCGAGGTCCCTTCCAACCTTGTTTCAATGATTATCTACCTCCGCTTGCCAGTCTGCAAAGCAGAAATACAATGACAGCTTCCTTAAGCTGGTGGTTGAGGATACATAAGATAATGCAAGTTCCCATTGGTTTGTGAAGATCAGCAGGTGGTCACTGGCAACCTGAGCTTCTTCTCAGGAATGCTACGCAACTGAAATACAGTTTTGGGCTCCTTAGGGGAAAAGAGATCAGGCAAGCTGTAGCAAGAGTGGCTTTGATATAGAACTGTTGCGTCCAGAAGAAGCAGATGATGAGCTAGGTTTGCAGACTGCACTTCCTTGCTTATAGTGATCCCAGGGTGGTTCCCAAAATATCACAAAATAAATAGCAGTTACAAAAATATACAAGCCCTGGGTTTGGTTTTGGTTATGAGGTCCATGCTTTTGTTGCATTGGTGTGCTGTTCAGGGGCAAGTCAGGACAGTCCCTTCTGCTGCTTCAAGAGAGCTTCTGTTTTCTGAATTGGCCTCTTTCAGGATTATGTTGAGTTCTACCTAAACAGAAGAGGCGCTCTGTTTCTCCCTGATCTTGACTTCTGTTGTGATACTCATCCAGCTCTGTCCATAGGTATTGCAAGTTCAGAAATGCTTGCAAATCCTTTTGATTTGTGTTTCTCTGTCTGAAAGTTCATTGGGCTTTGCTGCAGACAGTACCAGCAAGGTCGCTTCCAGACAACCTTCTTATCAAGCATCCTGATTTATTTAATTACCGGGGTGGTGGTGGTGGTGGTCCAACTATTTATTGAGCATTCATTCAGATTTTTTGTTCACAGGGAGTTTAGACCATGCTGAATCAAGCAAATGTTACCCGCTTCACTTTTCGCTGCGTTTTACTCTCACTTGGCTTTTCCACAAAAAGTCCAGTGTTTTGAGGAAGTGAGTTCATTGCGCAAGGCTTCCCAACGAACAATAATTGCACAGCCTGAGTTCGCTAGTATGCGTTTGAATGCCACCCAAAAATATCAACAGTTGGGAAGCGCCCAGAAGAAACTATGGGTGAAAGCTGAAGGTATCAAATAAAACAAACCCCCTCTGAGATCAGTGTTTCCAATTGGTTGGGCAGCTCTCATATCCTGTTGTGGGTCCTAGCCACTGAGGGTTAAGTCTTTTGGCGGGTCTTTTATACTTCTCTTAGGGGCAAAATCCAAAACTTTTGATCAGGTAGCCTACAATCCTTTTTTTCAAAACATGATTTAGATCTTCTTGCGGGGGGGGGCAGTTGTGTAAATAATGGGTTTTTGTTTGGTAATTTCCACATACTACAAGATCATACAGGGCAAGATCATTTACAGTACAGTGGTAGCTCAGGTTACAGATGCCTCAGGTTACAGACTCTGCTAACCCCAAAATAGTACCTCGGGTTAAGAACTTTACTTCAGGATGAGAACAGAAATTGCACAGTGGTGGTGCGACGCCAGCGGGAGGCCCCATTAGCTAAAGTGGTACCTCAGGTTAAGAACAGTTTCAGGTTAAGAACGGGCCTCTGGAACGAATTAAGTTCTTAACCTGAGGTACCACTGTACTGGAAGACAAAGGCCAGGTCCAAAAAATATATATCATGGAACTAGTTACATGAGCCCAAGGGTGGGGTCTCAAACAGTAACCTCTTTTTCTCATGTTACATGTTAAATTGGTTTTGAAACTTGAGTGCATGATGTACAGTATGTATTTTACAGAAAAACATGGGTTTGACAAGAGGGTCATGGACTCAGTTTTAAGAGATTGTGAGAGACCCTCATTGAAATTCAAATTTTGCTTTAAACCACATTACTATACCATACCTTCCAACATTTCTCTGATGAAAACAGGGACATCCCATTCCATAATGACAATTTTACTATTTATACCACCACACATCTGACTGGGTTGCCCCAGCCACTCTGGGCAGCTTCCAACATATATAATAACATAATAAAACATTAATTTTTTAAAAAAACTTCCCTATACAGGATTGCCTTCAGATGGCTCGGGGGTAGGATAATGTCATACCCTCCTGGGCAGATTTGAGGGTAAACCATACACAGCACGGGTCTGCCCCTGTGGCTCGTTGGAAGTTGAAACTGCTTCACATGTACTATTACGTTGTCGTCTTTATGAGGATATACGTTTGACTTTTATTACACCTGTTTTGCAAAAGTCCAGGAAAGAATCGGAACACCATAGTCTAAAACTACTGCTAGAGGACAAGAATTAAATGTAGCCAAATTCTGTGCGGCTGCAATTAATCGCAGGAAGCAAGTGGTATCCCATAATGACCAAACCCCCAAATGTTAATTACAGGGGGCATGCTAATAATTAATTTTAATTTTTTATATTTAAATGCTTGTTATACTCATATTGTCCTCTGTATTTTTGATTTTTTTTTTTTAATGATCTGTGATATTGTGTGTGTTGACGCTGGTCTGTGACCATATTAATAAATTCATTCATTCATTCATTCATTCATACCCTCCAATATTTCTCCGATGAAAATAGGGGCATCCTAAGGAAAAGTGGGACACTCTGGGATCAAATCAGAAACCGGGACAGCTTCTCTAAATCAGGACGTCCCGGGAAAATAGGGACACTTGGAGGCTTTGCTGTACAAAACAGTAAAGGATAAAACCATAAATAGAAGCAATGGATGCAATGACGAGAAGGCAAGCAAAGCAGACTGGATGCTATGCTATGCTTACACAAAGCAGGTTGGATGAGGACCGTAGATGAAGCCATGGCCTTGTGAAAAAGGAAGGAGCCCTATGCTTAGAATTTTGAATGTGGGCACCCAGCAACAGGAAGCCCCTACCCCCAGTACACCTGAGAAACCGCAGCTCCAGGCCCAGTCGTAGGGACCAATTACAGCATTTAGCCAATTGCTAGTTTCTCTCGCATGATTCAGGACGTCTGTGGTTTCGTCTAGGCTCCTTCATCCCATCCAGCCACTCCATGTTAATTTGCTTGGCTGGCTGTGCCGGCTGCTTATTATACCTCAGCCGTAAATAATGGAAGTGTGGTTGGTAGCCTAGGGTGAATGATGCTTGTACGTGGCTGGGCATGGTTTGGGCACTTCTTGGGGTCTTGCCCGCTGATCCTACCCCCTGGAGAAAGCTGCTATTTGAAAAATAAAATCTGTGAACTTGGCGTTGGCCAAAGCCATTCTGACTTTGAGTCGTAGAATTGTAGCGTCGGAAGGGACCGTGAGGGTCTTCTAGTCCCAACTTCTTGCAACGCAGGACTCTCTTGCACAACGCAGGGCTCAAACCCACAGCCCTGAGATTAAGAGTCTCATGCTCTACTGACTTGCACCATGGTAGTGCCAGTAGTGTTGTCTTCCTGCCTTTGCCAGAGAGTGAAGGGAGCTATGAGTTTTGTTTAGCGGTAGGAGCAACCAACCTTTAGAACTGGCCGAGCAGTCTTGGATTTCTTGGACATATAAGTAATAAGTAAGCAAATGAATGCTGGGACGCGGGTGGTTCTGTGGGTTAAACCACAGAGCCTAGGACTTGCTGATCAGAAGGTCGGCGGTTCAAATCCCCGTGACAGGGTGAGCTCCCGTTGTTCGGTCCCTGCTCCTGCCAGCCTAGCAGTTCGAAAGCACGTCAAAGTGCAAGTAGATAAATAGGTACTGCTCCGGCGGGAAGGTAAACGGCGTTTCCGTGCGCTGCTCTGGTTCGCCAGAAGCGGCTTAGTCATGCTGGCCACATGACCTGGAAGCTGTACGCCGGCTCCCTCGGCCAATAAAGCGAGATGAGCGCCGCAGCCCCAGAGTCGGTCACGACTGGACCTAATGGTCAGGGGTCCCTTTACCCCTTTACCTTTAAGCAAATGAAAGCTTTCCATAAAGCTATAACATCATAGACTGGGAGCTGCCTGTTAGTTCTTTATTTATAAATGATGTGAATTTAAGCAAGCAGGTCCTTGCAAACAGAATGTTGCAGAGTGTATAATTGGGGTGAGTGCTTGTGGTCACTTCAGACAACCTGTTTACTGAACATCCAGATTTATTTGGACAAAGTTTGCAGGTAGGTTACATGTTTATTGAATATTCATGCAGTTAAGTCAAGCAATGGTTACCCCACGTTTTCCAGTACATTTCATAACCCCCTTTCTTATTGCAAAAAGTCTCATTTTTTGCAGATAGGGGAGAAGCAGGTTTATTACATAAGAGCCCAAATCCACCCTAATTGTGCAATGCCCACTTTCTGGTATGAATTGAAACCCACCCACGATACAGTGACAGCCTGGAAGTGCCTGGTGTTTCCTGTTTTAGCCTGTGGTGAAGAGAGTTGAAAAAACACACACAACCCCATGAAAAATGGGTTGCGTGCTCTAATTTGGCTCTTAATTCACAAACAGTTTTGTTTAGATTTTAAAATCTTAAAAGTGCAACCAGTCTGCATGCAAGTCAGCAAGCGATTGAGTTAATTGGGTTTGGCCTGGGAGGACTTCTGACGGTGGCGCTATCTCAGGGATGGAATTTCACAGCGGGTTACTTTACAGGGCTTCTGAAAGCTGCCCTCCTTCTCCCAACAGGGTGCAACAGTAAACTATATTGGAGGGTTATTCTAGGCTACTCTCAGCCCAACCTGCAATGTGGTGGTTGGAGTGAAGGCCCAGAATCCCTTGTGCTCCATTTTGCCTTGGCAAGAAAGGTCACATCCAGCAGCACGGCATCAGTTGCTGACACGCCAGCGGGGTGGGTTCGCCAGCCTTCGCCACCGGAACGACCCCATCCCCTAGTGGGGCTGTGCTGAGCCAACTGTCTGCCTGCACAGAGGGGAGCCCGGCTGGCCAACACGACCCTTGATGGGCAGAGAGGAGCATCAGGCCACTCTGCGGTGAGGGCACCTGGTTTGTGCCCGCTCAAAAATTGTGTGTGCCCCCCGCCCCCCCATGCCTTGCCCCTGGTCACGTCTCCCCTTGAATACACAAAAGTACAGGGTAGGTTCAGGGACGCAGGTGGCGCTGTGGGTTAAACCACAGAGCCTAGGACTTGCCGATCAGAAGGTCGGTGGTTCGAATCTCCGCGATGGGGTGAGCTCCCGTTGCTCAGTCCCTGCTCCTGCCAACCTAGCAGTTAGAAAGCACATCAAAGTGCAAGTAGATAAATAGGTACCGCTCCGGCGGGAAGGTAAACGGCATTTCCGTGCGCTGCTCTGGTTTGCCAGAAGTGGCTTAGTCATGCTGGCCACATGACCCGGAAGCTGTACACCGGTTCCCTCGGCCAGTAAAGCGAGATGAGCACCGCAACCCCAGAGTCGGTCACGACTGGACCTAATGATCAGGGGTCCCTTTACCTTTTACAGGGTAGGTTCTGGCGCTACTCTATCTCCCAACTTCCGAAAGGTGCCAAACTGACTGATGTGACTGACTTGTGAAGAGCTGCTGCCTTGCCACTCTGGCAGCTCCTGCAAGGTGCTTCCCCTCCCTCATCCACTTTTCCCATTGTGTTTACTCTGGTGGGATATAAATGACCTGCTACACATGCTATTAGATTGTAATTTTTATCTCGCTTGGACTACTGCAATGTGCTCTATGTGGGGCTACCTTTGAAGGTGACCCGGAAACTACAACTAATCCAGAATGCGGCAGCTAGACTGGTGACTGGGAGCAGCCGCCAAGACCATATAACACCAGTCTTGAAAGACGTACACTGGCTCCCAGTACGTTTCTGAGCACAATTCCAAGTGTTGGTGCTGACCTTTAAAGCCCTAAACGGCCTCGGTCCAGTACACCTGAAGGAGCGTCTCCACCCCCATCGTTCTGCCCGGACACTGAGGTCCAGTGCCGAGGGCCTTCTGGTGGTTCCCTCACTGCAAGAAGCCAAGTTACAGGGAACCAGGCAGAGTCCCTTCTTGGTAGTGGCACCCGCCCTGTGGAACGCCCTCCCTCCAGATGTCAAAGAGAAAAACAACTACCAGACTTTTAGAAGACATCTGAAGGCAGCCCTGTTTAGGGAAGCTTTTAATGTTTAATAGGTTATTGTATTTTAGCGTTGTGTTGGAAGCCGCCCAGAGTGGCTGGGGAAGCCCAGCCAGATGAGCGGGGTATTAATTATTAAATTATTATTATTATTACCAAAAAGTTTAAGCCCATGCCTTTGCATCCAAATCGAAAGGTTCTGCTCACCTCTTATTTTAGCAGGGGGCTGAAATTTAGACCCTTCTTTTCTTTGTTAGGTTTTGACAGAGGCAGAAAAGGATTGCCGTGCTTAAAAAAAAATCAAGTGCATACAAATATATATGCAAATTGGGACTTGCATTCTTTCTCCCACAGCCCAAACCTGGCTTCATCCCTGTTTTTGGACACAGATTTGCTGGCCAGCCTTTCTCTCTATTATTCAGGCAGACTGTTTGCATTTAAAAAGAATTATTTTAAGCACCACCTGTTAGGGATGGGCAAGGATCTGTCAGTTTGGGCTTCTCTCGGGTTTTTCTCCCCTTCTCCGCCCCCCCCCCCAGTCTTCATTCAGTTCACCATATTTCTGCATCAGTCTGCGTTTTGATTTTGAAAAGTGAACGCAAAAATGTTTGAATTGATTAATACTGCTGTTATATGCTAAGAATGTGGAATCTTAGAAATTTGTGATTTGGTGGACTCTCCCTAAACGTGCTGATGGTTATCATGCCAATTAACAATGTTCAATTACCGTATTTCTCGCTCTATAAGACGCATCAGACCACAAGACGCACCTAGTTTTTGGAGGAGAAAAACAAGAAAAAAAATATTCTGAATCTCAGAAGCCAGAACAGCAAGAGCGATCGCTGTGCAGTGAAAGCAGCAATCCCTCTTCCTGTTCTGGCTTCTGTGATAGCTGCGCAGCCTGCATTCGTTCCATAAGGCGCACACACTTTTCCCCTTACTTTTTAGGAGGGAAAAAGTGAGTCTTATAGAGCAAAAAATATGGTAAATGGAAAGGACAGTCCTGTGGCTGCTTTAGCAGCAGTGGTGAGCAGTAGTATGTGGATTGCCTTTCTGCACGTTGTCCTGCTAACGCAGTGTGTTGGGGGGTCAGGGAAACCTTGGACCCAGGTGTCAAACACTGACCCCAGGCCTCACTTATTTGGCCCTTGGGACTATTACCAGGCCACACCCTCTTTCCCTGAGCGACACCCCCTTACTGGCCTTGGGCTGCAACCTCCTGGAGTGCTTTTGCCTGGTTGGAATGTTTACTTGACCTCTGAACCTGGCTTCTTGCTTGTCTGGATGGAGAATACAGAGGGATGTGCGACTGCGTCTAGAAACTAGCCTGCTGCACCAGGGTAGAAAATTGTATTCATTGCTCCACCCACTTTTGGCCCTGACCCCACCCACTGCTGGCATGTGGGCATGGCTGCCCAGAAGCAAATGCAGCCCTGAGGCTGAAAAATCTTCCCTAAAAGGTTGCTATCTAAGGGGTGGGGAGGCATTTGGAGCCGTTTTGCCTGGGATGCATGTCAGACTCTTATCACTAGACAAACACTGCCAAGCAGATAGTCTGGCAGGGGAAGGAGCTGATTCCAAGTGCAGGGGTGGCCCCCACCTTAGCTAGAGTGAGGCAACTGCCTCAGACAGACAATGCTATAATAAGGCACCCCCCTCCCACTGCCTGCTATTTCTCCAGAGTTCATCAGCTCTTCCCTTCTGATGGAGGACAGCAACACATGCCAGCCCAGCTCCATTAACATGTGGACCCCAGAATTTCGGATCCCCCAAAACCGATGCCAAAGCTTACTGCTGGTTTTCTGCCACAAACCCCGCGTTCCTTGCCGCGCCCCTCCCCCAAACCGAGTAATTGACACAGCAAATCGGGGTCACAAGTAAATAGCCAAAAACCCAACGTTGTCCGTTTGACTCCATACTGGTGCCAAAGCTGTGTGCTGGCTTTGTGCCACAAACCCCACTTTCTGTGCCATCCCCAAAACTCTGTAATTGACACTCAAATCAGGGGCCACAGGTACATCCCAAACAGTGTTCGAAACTCCCATTGTTCTAGGTGTGTTTTGCGACAGGGAATTTCATTAGCACAAGCCGTTTCTGAGCTCTGGGCGCAGTACTGCACCTAAGATTTCAGATTAAAACTGCGGAGTGGAAGGAAAGGAGGACCTTTTTCTGCCTCCCCACTTCCAGCTACTCTCTGAAGACTGGAGAAGAGACCCTCTTAAGAATATTAGGGGGGTGGGCAGGGGAAGGACTAGACCATGTGAAAAATGAACCTGATATTTTAGCTGCTGTTTATTCATTTTCAGCTTTGTATTAAAAAGCGCGCCTAGATGTTCCGCTGTTGCGTCCATAACCTCGGTTTCAGGTGCCATTTAGCTCCTAGCTTTCATATCTCCATATCTAACACTGACCCCAAAGCCCAGGCTTGTCCGATTGACTGCACACTGGTGTCAAAGTTGTGTGCTGGTTTGGTGCTCTATCCGTAACACACCTGTTGCCTCCAGGTGTGATGGAGGATGCTACTCGGTTGCTTAGGCTGAACTGCAGCTTGACCCAGATTGCCTCAGAATCTCTACCACTTTATAGATGGGCAGCAAAGGTTAAGAGAAATGACTTGCTGAAGGCTACGCACCGAATCAGTGGTTGAGGAGGCAGGAGTTTGAAGACTGCCTCCCACCTTTGGCCCGAACACCTTGTTTACTGTGCATTCTTAATGGAGGCTTGAGCACTGGGGCTGCTCCTAGGCTGCAGAGAACTGAGAAGCAGTCGTTGGGTGTTTGAGGAGAGCAGACACGATCACTTCTTTCACTTCTTTCTTTTATTCCCTACAGGTATGCCATGGCACTGTCCAACAATCACATCTGCCCAGTCCATAATTGGTAAGAGTTCTTCCTCCCTTTGCACCATGGCTTTTGTGGGTGGCTCTGCCTGTCTGTGTGGGTTTTCCTGGGCTGGTTCTAATATCCTTGCTCATTTGCTTGCATTCTGCTTCTAGCCAGAAGGGGAAAGACCTTGATCTGGTATTTCAAGCGCAAGATGGTACGGTTTACTTAGACTCTGTGCTTGCATAGTCTTTTCATTTTTTCCCCTCAACCCAAAGTCGGCCGCCTAGATGATGTAAGTAGCTAAAGAACTCTAACTATGAAAGCCTGAAGATGTGAAAGTTTGCAGTTTTGCCAACGATTGCATGGTGCACGTAGTCCACTATTTAAAGCACAAAGTCTACCCACCCACTGCATTACAGGGTTTAAAAGTAAAAAACCACCACTTGGTGGTCTTCATGCTTGTGGAGAAAAAAGGAGGCATGCTAGACAGTTTCACCTTAAGTGGTGGCGAACCTCCAACCTGCAGGTATCGTAATTCAGATTGTTTTGCCCAAGCCCTGCCCACTTTCCCTACACTTGATGCCATATACAATGATGCCTGGTGTGGTTTGCAGGGATCAGCCATCCAGCCGGAGTGGCTTGATTTCAAACTGTGCCAGCGAAGGGAGTGCAATGTGCAGGTGGTGCTGATTAGCAGAATGCTGGCGCTTGCGAATACGTGTGACTTTGCCCATGTGGTTTGAGTTGAAACTGCAAGGGCGAAGGAAAATGACATTGTCCTGATGTCAAGAGGATTGACAGGTAGGTGGGCCCAGTCCTCCTGCCAAAATGGATTGAGAGACATAAGCACTCACCCTCCTGGCTGGAAAAGGGACCTCATTAATCCTTAAAGGCTCCAAATCCTAAAGGAAGGAGGGGCTGGAGTCTTAGTCTTTATGAACCTGGATAGCTCAGCTGGTTGGAGTGTGGTGCTGATCAATGCCAAGGTTGCAGGTTCTATCCCTGTATGGGACAACTGCTTATTCCTGCGATCACAGGGGGTTGGACTTAGATTATACTCAGGGTCCCGTCCAACTCTGTGATTCTCTTTGTGGGAACTTTTAACTTCTCAGCAGGATACGTCAGCATCATGAGGAACCAATAGGCTTTCATGGTGAATAGATCAAGTAGTTAGTAAATAGAGACGCAACATAGACTGGCTACAAAGCATAGCATGAAAACAATATTTTGACTCCCTCCTCTTCACTGCTTACAAACCTCCCTCCACATTGAAGTATTTATTGTACATAAGGATACGTACAATTTTAATGCCCACAGTGTAGCTCCATTTATTATACGAAAGGAATGCCCTTTTTGACTAAAAATGAATATAAAAAATATTGTTACACTTTCTAAGCTCTCCCCCCATTTTAATGTAGCACTTAAAATTTTATAGCAGGGTCCCAATCAATGGACAATTTTGGGGCAGGGACTAAGGTTATTTTTTAACCCAAAGCTGCGGTCGGGATCAGAGGTTCATTTAGAGGAGACGTGGATATGCATATCTCTCTCTCTGTCTCTCTGTGGGCCTTATCTAAAAGATTTCAGCCAGGAGTGTTTCCTAGCCCTGTCTGGAGCCACCAGAAATTGAACCTAGGAACCTCTGCATGCTAGGGACAATTGCATGCATCCAACAGCTCTGGCATCCTGCAACTTTAAAGGTCCTGCCTTGCACTTGGAACAGGAGGTGCACAGAGGATCACCTTTCTTCTTACTCACTAGGACACCCCACCTTCCAAAGACCTACCAACCAGTTGTTGTTGTTGTTTAGTGGTTTAGTTGTGTCCGACTCTTTGTGACCCCATGGACCAGAGCACGCCAGGCACTCCTGTCTTCCACCGCCTCCTGCAGCTTGGTCAAACTCATGTTAGTAGCTTCGAGAACACTGTCCAATCATCTCGTCCTCTGTTGTCCCCTTCTCCTTGTGCCCTCCATCTTTCCCAACATCAGGGTCTTTTCCAGGGAGTCTTCTCTTCTCATGTGGTGGCCAAAGTATTGGAGCCTCCTTCCAGTGAGCACTCAGGGCTGATTTCCTTAAGAATGGAGATGTTTGATCTTCTTGCAGTCCATGGGAGCCAGCTGCAAAATGCTTGTGTTTAGAATTAAACAATAGGGTGTCTCCGAGAGCATTCAGACCCCAGGAATTTATTTTCAGCACCAGAACTGAACTGGGCTCACAGTCCTTTGGCACAAAAGTCTACCCCTTGTTTACCTTCCTTCATTTCAGCTAAGTTTGGTAGGAAATGTTAAGTCTGTTTGTTGTTGCTGCTATTGTTAAGAAAAAATCAGGCTCAGAAATCCTTGCTGATCTGCAAAGTCCATTCTACCAGCTGGTAGAATCTACTGTCTGCCCCCCCCCAACTTAGAGAATCCAGCTGCAGGGGGCCACCTGTGTGGACTTGTGTGTGTTGCATTCCTTCTTGCTCTGTGGCTGTGGAGAGTCTGTTCCTATCAGGGGAAGCAAAGAGTCACAGAAAGCTGCCCAGACAGAGGATTTTAGAGAGTGGAAATGGAGCAGGGCAAGTAAATATTAAGCGAGTGAGCAGAGATCACATGGAAAGTGGAGGATAGTGAGGAAACAGAAGGAAGTGTACCAGTTGCCATCAAGTCTTGATGAACCAAAGTGTTGTGGCGTCACATTTCAGCCATTACTCTCTCCAACACCCTTTTCACAAATTGTTGAAACTTTATTCCTCATCCATATCCCACGTGTTGCTCTCTGAACACAGGGGGCTCTTAGGAGCCCAGGTAGCTGCCTTCTGCTGACTGAGTCCATTGGGCCATCTAGCCTGATGGGCGGCAGCAGCCCTCCAGGGTTCAGACAGGAGTGTTTCCTAACCCTACCTGGGATTGAAACTGGGACCTTTCGCATGCATATGCTTTAAGACAGGCATCCCCAAACTTGGCCCTCCAGATGTTTTGGGACTACAACTCCCATCATCACTAGCTAACAAGACCAGTGGTCAGGGATGATGGGAGTTGTAGTCCCAAAACATCTGGAGGGCTGAGTTTGGGGGTGCCTGCTCCAAGATGAGGCAGGTGGCAGCTTTGGGGTGCCGTCAAGGGCGGGAGAGTGAGAGACTTGTGCTCTTGGAGTCTCACACACGCTCATGATGGAAATGGTGGTGGTGGTGGTGTTTTCACTTAGATGTTCTACTTTGGGCACCAGAATTCCTTGAGCTAGCCTTGTTTATGAATTGACCCCGTATCCCTTGCAGGTGGGTGTTGGTAGAACCAGTTTCTAGAATTGTTGGCATCCGTGTGTCTTGAAAGACAATGGAGTGCTCCACCGGGGGTGAAGTCAAACCGCTACATTAGGAGCACCGAAGGGACCTTCCTGGGGCACAATCCTGGGCAGTGTGCATAGAGGTCCTGGGCTGCCCAAACAAGACCCCACTCTCTGGTCCAAAGGAAAGTAGAGCAATATGTTTGGCAGCAGCTTGGCTGCAGGAGTTGCCGGAAGGAGGCGTACAAGGCTCCATGCAACCTTCCTAGGGTCCTCACTCCAGATTTGTATAGGGTTTACTCCTTAGCCCTGTCTTCTCCTGAAGACATCCTGCAAAACAGAGAAGGTTTAGGGTCAGGGTTCTTCCTCTTCTAGAAGGGCTACTTTCCTAGGTAAATAGGACCTAGTGAACAGCTTTTTCAGCATTCTGTCATTACGAAGCACATAAATTCTATTCAGCATAATATGATGACAATTTGTCCCCTCGGCTGAAAATTTGGCATGGGAAATCTTCGTTTCCGCTGGAGAACAGTCAGTTTCTCTGGAGACTTCTCATTTTTTTTGCTGCCGTGTTATTTTAAGTCGTCAAATAGCTCCAGTGGGAAATGCCAGGAAAGTGATCTCTGCTCCGTTTTTGTCATGCTAGTTATTTCATAGAATCGTAGAATTGGAAGGAATCCTGGGGGTCATCTAGTCCAACCCTCTACTTTGCAGGCTGTGTCCCTGCTCCAACTATTGGAGCATTCGTCTAGCCTTATTAATTATTATCATTTGAACAAATGTGCCCCTGGACACCAAAAGGGTGGCTCAGCTCAGTTGGTTAGAGCATGGTGCTGATAATGCCCAGGTTGCAGGTTCGATACCTGTAGGGCGCAACTGCATATTCCTGCATTGCAGGGGGTTGGACTAAATGATCCTCAGGGTCCCTTCCAACTCTACAATTCTATGATTTCTAAAAGTTTATGTTCAATGCTCTTCCCACTTTTCCCTCTTTCCCCACCCACCATTGGCATGTGGATACCAGAAAATTGCCCAGAAGGAAGTGTGGCTCTCAGGCTAAAAACGGGCCCCCAATTCCACCTTAACTAGTTATAGGCATGGTGGGGGAGGCTATTTCTCACCGCAAGGCAGCTTGTGGAGCGACAGACCTTATCCCTTCACCTATCAGTATGATTCCCTCCCATGCAACTAGAAGACACCAATGAATTGTCCACACCCCAGTCTATTATGTTTGACAGTTAGGCTTGTGCAGGGATTCAGATCTGGCACTGACTTGTTGGTTGTTGTTTTTTATTTGTACATAAAAGCCTTTAGAATTAGTTTTGATACAGCCAATATATTTATTATAAAGGCTTCTGTTAGCTTCCTTTGAGTTGAATTCAGAGCACAATTCTGCCCCATTTTTCGGCACAACTGCCCTTGCATTTTTTTCAGAAGTAGTCAAGGATGAAAATTATTCTGGAGAAGTTAACAGGGTGTGCTGGGAGATGAGTCGGAAAGATAGCAGAATGTGTTTCTTGGAAGCTCTTCGTGGCCAGGCACTTCAGCCAAGAAAAAGACTTATATTTAGTTTGATTCCGCATTTCCAGCTGGGAAATAGCTGATATAAAATATGGGTGCACATACTTGCCCTGGAAAAGAATCCACCAAGTTTTCTCAATTGCTTCTGTCGCATAAACAGGGGGGAAAATTATAATATTGAGCTGGGCCAAGAATGCTGTGGTTTGGGGGAGGTCAAGGAGGGAGAGAGGAGGAAGGAGGTTGCCACTGTTTGTGTTCCTGCCTTTAAATAAGTTCAGGGTGTAAACAAAAGAGCTTAGGAAGGAGATGGAGAGACACCAAATGTCATCTGTCTGGTTTTGTGGGGATGGGGTGAGGCTTAGGAGAGAATTTGCCATTTTAAACTGCACATTTCTGAGCCGGTTCAAATAAAAATATTTCCGGCAGTGCCTGTCTCTTGCTAGACTAGAACCTGAGAGAAAGGTAAAGGTAAAGGGACCCCTGACCATTAGGTCCAGTCGTGGCCGACTTTGGGGTTGCGGTGCTCATCTTGCTTTATTGGCCGATGGAGCCGGTGTACAGCTTCCGGGTCATGTGGCCAGCATGATTAAGCTGCTTCTGGCAAACCAGAGCAGCGTACGGAAATGCCATTTACCTACCCGCTGGAGTGGTACCTATTTATCTACTTGCACTTTGACGTGCTTTTGAACTGCTAGGTTGGCAGGAGCTGGGACCGAACAACAGGAGCTCACCCCGTCGCGGGGATTCGAACCGCCAACCTTCTGATTGGCAAGTCCTAGGCTCTGTGGTTTAACCCACAGTGCCACCCGCATCCCTGAGCTGAGAGAAAGCAGGGCTCAAATTTTCACGCGGCCATGAAGCTCACTTCATTTATGGAGGGGAAAAAGTGCGTCCTATAGGGCAAAAAATACGGTAGTTCCAACTCCTGATAAGTTAGGGAATCGGTCGTCTTAAAAACCATTCAGCTGTATCATCTTATTTATTTACTGCATTTATATCACACCTTTTTTACCGAGACCCAAATTGCTTTATTATGTTTTATTATTCTTTGTGTGCTGTGTTTAAAACCCTATATAAGCTTTGTTACAAGTTTGCTCTGGGCAGTCTTTTCTAACTGGTTCTGCTGAACGATTGGTTGGCAAGGCCGTCCTCTTGCAATAGTTCCTAAACCAGATCCCTAACTGGATTCGCTGATGCTTGCTGCAATTCTCTTGGTTCCGTGTTTTATTTAAAAGGTGTTCCCTCACCTGGGTAATGAGCAGGTGGTGTAGAAGCCAAATTCTTACCCCATATGGAACAAGTTGTTTTGGCTTTAACATCTTGCAGGGTGAAAGCAAGTGTAGCTGGAGGCTTGGCTGTGCCAGCCTCGTCTTGGGAAGCTCTGTGTGTACATATAATAAATCCCTTCATATTTTACGAAAACTATACCATTCAGTATTCCATTATTGCAACCATCAAAACTTATTTACACTGTTGAATTTATCTTAATGCTGCCAGCGTTTTCAGCTGTGCACAGTTATTTCCCATATAGTCAATAAACGTTTTGCAATCTTCTTTAAACATTTCTTCTTCTTCTCTTATTCTATATGTTAAGTCTGCAAGTTGTGCATATTCTGTCAAGTTGCCATTCTTCTTTGGTTGGGACCTCGCTAGTTTTCCATTTTTGGGCTAACAAGACACAGGCCGCAGTAGTAGCATACATAAATAATCTTTTTTGACAGCTGAAAATTTCAGTCTGAATTATCTCCAACAGGAAGGACTGGGGTGTTGTTGTTTTTTAAAGTACTTTTGAACAATTTTTTCCATTCATTATGGATCATTTCCCAATACTCATTTACCCTTTTACAAGTCCACCACATATGAAAGAATGTTCCTTCCACCTCTTTTCATCTTTAGATATGATGCAAAGAGAATCTGCTTCTGTTTCTTAATGCATTTAAAATTTATTTCCCTCGATCATTCTTCACCCATTCATAAGAAAAGAAATAGCATTCTTATATTTCCAAAGGGGACTTTGGTGAAATTCTCATGCATGGAGTGCAGGGTTTATGTATCTTTTGATGTGGCCAAGGGATTTTGCAGATGTGTTTTTCTTCCATTTACAAATCATCTCTCCACTGCATTCTGCAGTGAATGCCTGTCCCGAAAACCCCATGATGTCCTTGGCTGGGCTTTCTGGAAGCTGGAGAGGCTGTGCTCCTGACAGATGTGCATTGTTAATTCTTCTTAAGGGAAGTCCTTTTCTCTTTTAAAATACATCAGTGTGGAAAGATGGATTAGAAAACAGGAAAGACTTAGGTTAAAAGCAAAACCAACAAATGCGCCAGTCTCGGGGGCTTGGTAGCCAGCCTCCCTACCAGTTAAAGCCCAGGGAAAGATGTCATGGAGTAATCTGGAATTGGAGAGCACTGGAAAAATGTTCAATGGGAACTAAACACAAACACGAGACACGGGTGGCGCTGTGGGGTAAACCACTGAGCTTTGGGCTTATCGATCGAAAGGTTGGCAGTTCAAATCCCCGCGACGGGGTGAGCTCCCCTTGGTCAGTCCCTGCTCCTGCCAACCTAGCAGTTCGAAAGCACGTCAAAGTGCAAGTAGATAAATAGGTACCATTCTGGTGGGAAGGTAAACGGCGTTTCCGTACGCTGCTCTGGTTTCACCAGAAGCGGCTTAGTCATGCTAAGGAAAAACTGTCTGTGGACAAATGTTGGCTCCCTCGGCCAGTAAAGCGAGATGAGCACCGCAACTCCAGAGTCGTTCGCGACTGGACTTAAGTGTCAGGGGTCCTTTACCTTTACCTTTAAACACAAACACACACCACCCTCGGCCACTTCTCAACTGGTAAGATAAGGTCATTCCTGCAGCCATCAAAACGATAAAGGAAAGCACACGTTAGTGATTTGGACAAAGAAACAGAGGCCTCTTTCATGGGGGAAAAAGACTTTCAAGAAACTGGAAGACCAGTTTCAGCAAGTCCGGCTTTGTTTCCTCTCCCCCCTTGAGGTTTCCCCCTTAGGGCAAAGCCACCTTGCAATTTCTGGGAATGGTTGCATCCTCTGGCCAAACCCGTGCATGAGTCATGTCTATTCCAGGGAAAGCGCTCCCCTCCTCTGGGCCATTTGGAGTCTGTTGAACTGGTGGCTCACTTCCGCTTTCCAGAACCAGCCTCAGGAAGGCCTGGCTCTGTTGCCTTTGAAAGGGAGGTTCCCCACCTGTTAAGTTGTGGGCGAACATATCAGACGACACAGCGATTCCTCCAAAGCAGCTCTTTATTTGTAAGCTGGAACAGAACTGAACTGAGAAGCTCAGTCAGCCTGCTTATATAGAGCTCCACTAGAATGCAACAGTAACCATTTTCTGTAACTAGCCAATCACTGAACGTCACTTTCGATCCTTCATTTGCATAACTATCTACAGTATCCCCCTGCTGGCCCAGGGTGAGAACTTCAGTACATAACACCACCCTCATCTGCATCTGATCTGTACAGTGGTACCTCGGGTTACATAAGCTTCAGGTTACAGACTCCGCTAACCCAGAAATAGTGCTTCAGGTTAAGAACTTTGCTTCAGGATGAGAACAGAAATCGTGCTCCGGTGGCGCGGCAGCAGCAGGAGGCCCCATTAGCTAAAGTGGTGCTTCAGGTTAAGAACAGTTTCAGGTTAAGTACGGCCCTCCGGAACGAATTAAGTACTTAACCCGAGGTACCACTGTATTTCCAAGAAGGCATCCGAGGAAAGAGGAGCATTTGTTTTGTTTTTTAAGAGCTTCCAGGAGTGCTAAACCAGTCCACTATGCTGGGGTTATTTGCCCGACACAGGGCAGTATCTAGGCAAGTTTTAAAACGCCAAGCTTCCATCAAAATGGTCATGTGAAGAGGAAAGCCCTTGTGGTACAGGGGAAAATGTCAGTGTCAGCACCGGGCAAGCTTCACTTGGGATATCAACCAATGGTGAACTGAAAAGACTTCCCTAGTTGCCACCCTCCGAACCTCTCTGGGAGGGACACACAGATAAGGGTCTCAGACTAGGTTTATATGTTTGAGAAGTCTTTGGGTCTTCAGAATCCAGCCTTGTCCCTAATATTGTTGCTCTCCTGTTGCATTCAGTGGTTGCAAATTTGAAAAGAGCTGCTCTTCACAGCCATTCTTCATGGGGATAGATATAATGTTTTTAAACAAAAAACTGGGATTCTATGAATTCCATACTTGCCCAGCTTTTGTGTGGCATTGCAGAATATCTGTCCTTCGGAATATATATCTAGTTGGTGAGTATGCTGCTTCCTGGTTCTTCTTTGTATTCTCTGTATTTGGGAAATCTACCGCACCTGTCCTTCTTTGTTGCTGGCCCATAGAATTTGATGCTAAGTGATATTTGGGGGAGTTTGGGCCGTTTCTAGACAGGATGGCATCTTTCTGAATTGACCCAAACTTATTCTTCTGTTATTCCTCTTTGGGGGAAAAAAAGATTTAAAAAATTGTTTGGCTTGTTTAGAGGTGCAAAGCCTTCATGTAATACGCTCTGCTTTCCTTTGCAGGATTTATAATCAATCCTGTGAGCTGGATAGCCCTATTTCCTGCTGTACGTTGGATCATATCCCTCTTGTCAGGTAAGGAATGCTATTCCTTGCTCCCTGGGGCAGGTTGGTGGGATGTGAGATTTCAGCCTTGCAGGCCAGGGATGTGAGATTTCAGGCGAAATATAGCCCTCCATTCCTATCCAGCTGGGCTTCAGGACTCTCCCCCGGCCACAACTTCTCACCAGCCCAACTCTGCATCCTCCTCACATGCTTTTGCCTGGCTGGAGTGTGTCCTTAAATTGTACTATTGCTTGCTTGACCAGATGATTGCTGGGGCTTGTAATAATAATTTATTTTTTGTTCCCTGTCCATTCGACGAGGTTGCCCCAGTCACTCGGGGCTTCTTCCAGCAGAATATACAAAAGCACAGTAGAACACCACACATTAAAAGCTCCCTGATACAGGGCTGCCTTCAGATGTCTTTGAAAAATTGTGTAATTGTTTATCTCTTTGACATCTGGTGGGAGGGCGTTCCGCAGAGGTGCCACTACCGAGAAGGCCCTCCGCCTGGTTCCCTGTAACCTCCCTTCTCGCAGTGAGGGAACCGCCAGAAGACCCTCAGAGGTGGACCTCAGGGTCCAGGCTGAACAATGAGGGTGGAGACACTCCTTTGGGTATACAGGTCCAAAGTCATTTAGGGCTTTAAAGGTCAACACCAACACTTTGAATTGTGGTTGGAAACGTACTGGGAGCCAATGTAGGTATTTTTGAACTGGTGCTATATGGTCCTGGCTGCTCAGTTTATAAAAGCCGTAAACATATTTATAAAAGACGTAAGCACAAACAGTTGGGCCTGGTGAGCACTCAGTGTTCCCATCTCCTATAGTTATAATCCGTGGGTTGCATCTGATTTTATTCTGCTCCAAATTTGATTTTAAGCTGTATTTTAATCAATTGTTTGGTTTATGCTTTTAATGTATCATATGAGCCCAGTCCTGGCTGGGGAGGGCGGGGTATAAATAATTTTTTTATTATTATTATCAAAGTGCAATTAACAACACATTATAATAAATGAATCTTTGAGAAAGGAAAATATAATGTGGCTGTTGCATGCAAAGATTATAATATGAAAGAGTAAAATTAATTACAATTGAAACACTGCTGAATTGTACATTGCCCATCCTTCCTTATTTAAATCTTCCAACATAATCTTAGCTGTCCTAACTACATGACCTTTTAGTTCTCTTAAGAGTTTATTTACCAGGCCCGAGTGAAATTCCAGGCTAGAATATAAGATCCAGGAAAATCTGAACAGAAAACTTTGTTTTCATGCCACAGTGGGGACTAAGGCCTCATGTGTTGCAGTATTTGGGGTGGCAAAATTCCCCGGGACTGTTCTCCTTATCTGGTCTTATGAGATAACATGCTTTGATACCTTCTCAATGTTCTCCCCTACAGCAAGTGTGGTACATTCCCTCCAGAGAGTTGCTTCTTCAGCCTGATCTGCAGCTTGGGCTCGTTCATGGGTGAGTCGGTTTGTCCCCAAGCAAAGGTTTGGATTTCTTTGTAAGAAAAGAAGTGTTAGAGAACAAAATATAGTGGGGAAAAATGGGAAATTGTGAAGGAGTGGAATGGTCTCCTTCTGGAGGTTGTGGACTCCTTTCTTGGAGGTTTTTAAGCAGAGGTTGGATGGTCATCTGTCATGGATGCTTTAGTTGAGATTTTGGGCCCTGAGTACTGTAGCTGTTTTGCTGGTGGTGCTGGCATGCTTTGAAATAGATAGATAGATGATTGATAGATAGATAGATAGATAGATAAGCCAAAGGCTAGGAATATCTTTTTCTCTTAAATGAAAAAAGAGATTTTTAGGCATTAGCTGCCTCATATATTTCGTATGACGACTGGACCTAATGGTCAGGGGTCCCTTTACCTTTACCTTTATATTTAGGGACGTGAGTGGCGCTGTGGGTTAAACCACAGAGCCTAGGACTTGCCGATCAGAAGGTCGGCGGATTGAATCCCCTCAATGGGGTGAGTTCCTGTTGCTCGGTCCCAGCTCCTGCCAACCTAGCAGTTCGAAAGCACGTCAAAGTGCAAGTAGATAAATAGATCCCGCTCTGGCGGGAAGGTAAACGGCGTTTCCGTGCACTGCTCTGGTTCGCCAGAAGCGGCTTAGTCATGCTGGCCACAGCCAATAAAGCGAGATGAGCGCCGCAACCCCAGAGTCGGTCACGATGGACCTAATGGTCAGGGGTCCCTTTACCTTTATATTTCATATGAGTTGCAAGAACTCATTTGGTGGGGCATCAACGCTCTTGCTCTTTTTCTGGCTTACGATGGGGGCAAAAATGCCGGTCTTGTGTGCAAGTTAGGTGGAGGCTTTTCAGTCAATGGTTGAGGCTGATTCTTGCTTCCTTTTCCTAGTGATGCTGGTTGGCCTGCTGCGATATGCGCACGTTATAGAGCATTACGGCTCTTCCCTTCTCAACACTTTGGGGCTGGCTTTAGGCTGGATCTGTGCAGCTGGCCTCATTATGGTGGGCAACTTCCAGGTAAGACGACTGACTCCACTGTTTGTGTAAAGTGTGGTAGGGAATCTGTGGCCTTCCAGGTTTTGTTTGATCGTAACTTTTATCACCCCTGCCCATTGGCCATGCTGGCTGGGAATGTTGAGGGTTGTAGTCCCAGAACGTCTGAAGATACACAAACTTTCAGTCCCTGATATAAAGCCTTAAGATAGGAGAGGGCAGTTTAATAATAATAATAATAATAATAATAATAATTTTATTTATACCCCGCCCTCCCTAGCCAAGGCCGGGCTCAGGGCGGCTAACAAGCAATAATAAAAACAAGTTGAATGAATACAACTTAAAAACAAGATTAAAATACAACATTAAAATATTGAAACAGTAAAATATTAAAATGTTAATATTTGAGTTTGAGTTTAAAGAGGAGAATGCATGTCTCTTATCTAGGATGCTCTGCTTTTGAGTATCACACAGCAGTGGCCTTAATTACCTGGTCATCTTATGCTTATATGAGCACTGTAGAGATATTTTATGTTATTTTTAGATAATTTCTCTGTTGTGTTATCACAGAATGAGTGGGGTGAGATGTTAAAGTCAAGTGGCATGTCTGTATTGCAGGAGATAGATTGGGGATTAAATCTGTAGATTTAAATTAAAACGTTATCCATGTGTGTGGGAGAAATACAAAAGTAAGCATGCTGTGAAACCTTTTTACTGGGGTAAAACACTTACATGTTTTGTGGCTTACTAAGGTTTAGAAATTACACAATTACACCTTTTAATCCCTTTTATCTGTGGCCTGCCGACCCCCCGTTGCAGAGAATGAACCACACGTTTTTAGTAAGATAAACAAAAAAGGCTTACTTACATTTCAATTCAGGCAGCAAATGGAACATAAGTAAGAAAACTTCTCAGGTACAAATTATAAAAAGTTGGCTTGAAAATTGACTGTGTGTCTGGAGTGCCTAGACACGTCTGATCATTTTGGAAGCATGGTGGATAGAGAGTTTCCTCAGAGGCAGGAGATAGTATCAAAGGTTATCTTCTTCGTTACTGAATTCCCTCCCAAAGGAGGCAGGGGAAGTGACCTCACAGAAGGCCCTCTCTAGGAAGTTCAATAACTCTCTGTGTAGTAGCCCCGTGCTTGTCTAGCAAAACATGCATTTGTGGTTTGGCTGCAAACCCCACATATATGTGGCAAAACTTCACTAGTGTTGAGCCTAGGGATAGGAGTGTCATCATTGGCACTAGGATCCGTGGAGAAGGAAGCCATCGTAGCATGGTTAACTCTAGTGTCAGACACTGGCAGACTTCCTGTGCTTTTAATAGACATTTAGATAAATTTATTGTCATTGTCCGTATATACACAGTATACACAACAACGAAAATCAAACACCCACTCGAAGACCGGGTTCACATACACATTTGCACGTATCTCCAACACTCTCATCCTATTCAGACATAATCTATAAAAACATATCATACTCCAGAATGTAACATAACCTATTAAAAGCATAACATAACCTAAAAACCTGTCACATTCCTTCCTACTCCCTGCTTGCTATTCCTTGCAACTGGCCCTGAGATCATTATTTAGTGCAATCAGAGCTCTTGGATAGAAACTATTCAGAAGGCGTGTGGTTCGTGTTTTCATTGTCCTATATCTTCTGCCCGAAGGCAACAGTTCAAAGAAGTTGTGAGCAGGATGGGTGGGATCTCTCAGGATATTGTGTGACTTCTTCAAAGTGCGAGACGTGAAGATCTCATCCAGGGTTGGTAGTTGGAGCCCAATAACATTCTGGGCAATTTTAATTATTCTCTGTAAAGCTTTTTATCCGTTTCAGAGCTGCTCCCATACCACGATAATATACTATATGTTAAGACACTCTCGATGGTACTGTGATAATAGGACAGAAGTAGGTGCTGAGATAGATTCAGTCCCCTGAGCATTCTCAGGAAATACAACCTCCCCTGCACCTTCCTCACAACCATATCCATAATAGTCATGGAAAAGGAGAATTCTTCCACCTGTGGCATTTTCTCTCACTGCCGCATTGTGACCTGGCAATTTTAAGGGTGCAACAAAGGTCAAGGAGCAGTGTAGGAAGCTGAATGCCACATATATTTAAACCCGCCAACCAATTATTTGGCTGCAGGTGTCTTGTAAATTTATTTAGCGGCCTGGCTTTATTTGCTACTATATTTTTAGTTCCTTTTCTCATAATTCCTAATATTGCATTTGCCTTTTTCACCGCTGCAAGACGCTGAATGGAACTTTTCATTGGGCTGCCCTGCCAAAACTCCCTCTTTTGTAGGTAGCCACAGCCCCATTGGCTCTGAACCACATGGCCTGAATCAAACCATTGTGGGTCAGACTAGACATAAAGTGGAAGCTTTGTATTTGGATCTCCTAACACCCCCCCCCCGAAAAATATGTGAGGGCATTTGGGATTAAAGTCAGGGGAGGGGGGTTAACCCTTCGCCCCTGCACCGTGGCCCCAGTTTCAACACACTCCCCAATCTGATAAGCTGCGGAGGGGGAAAACCCAAAAGTTTTCCCTCTCTGTAGCTAGTAGCATATTTGGACGTGGGGGGAGATGGATTTGGAGTTGCTTTGTTAGAAAGCAAAGGGTCTTTGGATCTCCAGAGATAGAGCCCCCGCTTCTGGTTTAGTTTGACACTGTGGCTTACACCAGGGATGTCCAGCAGGTTGATCGCAATCTACTGGTACATCCCCACAAGGTTTTGGTAGATCGCGGGTCAATCTCTGGCTCCCTTTCCTGAGTGTCATTGAAATCGACTCCTGTCCCGCCACCTCGCCCAGCCCTCCATTGTTGTCTGATCAGTGGAAGGGAGGACTGAGCTTTCTCTCTGTCGCTGTTTTCATTCAAAGCAATATAATTGTTATTATTGTGAGTGACTTTTCCCCTTCGAGCCTTGCCTTTAACCCCCCCAAAAATGGAACTTTCCCCCTAAGAAAGTATATGTATAAAAAACAGGGTTTTCCTCCTCCGTAAAAAAAGCTCAACAACTTTGACCTGAACCCCCCAAAAACAGGGGTAGATCATTTCCAGATTTTAATTCTGTTTTTTTTTTAATGATATTTATTCAAAATTTCATCAATACATAGACACAAAAAGAAAAACAAGAAACACAGAGGGGAAAAAAAAGAAAAAGAAAAAAGAGGAAAAATATACAGCAAAAACATAAAACAAAAGGAAAACACCCAAAAAAGAAAGAAGAAAGATACAAATCTCAGATTGCAACTTTTCATTTGCTTAATTCTTGAACCTCCTCACACCTCCCTTTTTGTATTCTAGTTTAGTTCGTTATTTCAGCAAATTCTTCCCATGTTTCTCAATTTTAATTTAAATGATTAATCTTCACAATCTCTCTTATTTATTAATCAAGATAACCTTTCCATCTTTTAATACAGTCTGTTATTCAATTTACCTTAATCTCTTTAACCTTATCTTATCTTAAAAATCTTAAAATTTCAAAATTTACATCCTATTCATACATATCTCCTTAAAATCATTTCTACTAAAGCCAGTTTAATTCCTTTCCAGCATATTCCCTCAAATTTCATTAATGTTGCACTAATTCCAAAATTAACAAAAGAATTTCCAGATTTTAATTCTGAAAGTAGATCGCAGTCTCTCGGGAGTTGGCCACCCTGGCTTACACCATTGCAGTTCCTCTTCTGGCACAAAATCAGCTGTTCTTGATAGACCCCAGTATCTGCCGCTGCTCACTCCCCCTAGAGTTTAATGATGCCCATGACTGCTTTAGCGGTTTGTACTAAATAAGCTAGGATGGCAGAGCAGCCGCAGTGGTTGTTTTCATGGTGCCCAGGATGCAGAGGGCAAACAGAGCCTGCCGTGTGCCAGCCCAGCCCTTGCCGCCGGTGCCACCAGAGCAACACCAGCCCAGTAGGCTGGGACCTGGGGAGGGCAGTGTGAGGATGCACCAGTCATGTGTCCTTCAACCCCAGCCCCTCGATGGCAAGGCTGGGATCGAAGGGCGCGTGGTGTCCTTCTCATGCTTCCCTTCCAGAGCTTTGCAAAGTGTCACAGGGCTCGGAGAGGGCCACGTGAGCCACACGCCCCCCAGAAAAATGTGCCTGGGGCAATCGTCCTGGCAGAGCCCCTCCCCCACGCTACGCCCCTGGGATAGAGAATCCCTAGCAGGAATTGACTGGGAGACGAAATGTTAAAAGAGTGTCCCTAGACGTCCCTGGATGTCTGCAGATGATGTCTCTAGAACATGATGTAGGTGTTTTTAGGCATTTTCTACATTTGCACTCAGAAGGACGCGGGTGGCGCTGTGAGTTAAACCACAGAACCTAGGACTTGCCGATCAGAAGGTCGGCGGTTCGAATCCCCGCGGCAGGGTGAGCTCCCGTTGCTCGGTCCCTGCTCCTGCCAACCTAGCAGTTCGAAAGCACGTCAAAGTGCAAGTAGATAAATAGGTACCACTCCAGCGGGAAGATAAACGGCGTTTCTGTGCACTGCTCTGGTTCACCAGAAGCGGCTTAGTCATGCTGGCCACATGACCCGGAAGCTGTACGCCAACTCCCTCGGCCAATAAAGCGAGATGAGCGCCGCAACCCCAGAGGTGGCCACGACTGGACCTAATGGTCAGGGGTCCCTTTTCCTTTACCTTACACTTGCACTCAAAGTTTCCCAGCATTTTGTGACACTTGGCTTCCTCCAGCAGCCTGGCAAGCGCTTTCTTTTCCTTTTGTCAGTTGCTGAGAGGCCTGGTAGCTGACCTGGGGGCAATGGGAACCTGCTGCACCCAGAGGGGCCAGGCATATTAACTGTGTCCTTGTGTTTGCTTTCCCTTCGTTTGGCAGTCGTGCTTTGGATGTTTGCTGTGTCTCTGTGAAGAGAGGAGAGGGAGGACGGGGCTGCCTGAGCAGCTGATGCTTTATTGCAGTGTCTGGCTTTCTCTTCCTGCCTCTGACTATTCTTAACGGGCGTGGAGGGATGTCTGTTCAAAGCCGAAGGAGCTGGATCTGCCAAGGCCCGACCCCTGCAAATCATCCTGGCAACAAGCTCTCTGTAGCAACTGGCTGCGAAAAATGGAACCAGAGAAACATTCTCATTCTCCTGCACGTGTAGACTGGGCAACCTAATTGGTTGTGTACTGCTGGGATAGCTCCGTCAGTAGAGCATGAGACTCTTAATCTTAGGTCGTGGGTTCGAGCCCCACATTGGGCCAACAGATTCCTGCATTACAGAGGGTTGGGTTAGAATCAAGGGTCAGCACACTTTTTCAGCAGGGGGCTGGTCCACTGTCCCTCAGACCTTGTGGGGGGGGGCGGACTATATTTTGGAAAAAAATAATGAACGAATTCCTATGCCCCACAAATAACCCAGAGATGCATTTTAAATAAAAAGGCACGTTCTACACATGTAAAAACACGCTGATTCCCGGACCGTCCATGGGCCGGATCTAGAAGGTGATTGGGCCGGATCTGGCCCCCGGGCCTTAGTTTGCCTACCCATGGGTTAGATGACCATCGGGGTCCCTACTGTTCTGTGACTGCGTGTTTTGGATTCCTCATCAGGCGCTGCTTCTTTCTCCTAGGTGGATCATGCTAAAGTTCTGCACTACATCGGGGCAGGTGTGGCGTTCCCTACCAGCATGCTTTTCATATTCCTTCAGTCCATCCTGACGTACCGCATGGCAAAATCCAGAGGACATTACTGGACTGGGCATCTGCGCAGCATCCTGGCAGCCCTGGCTTTCATCACCCTCATCTTCAGTATCCTTTCTGCATCAATGTGGTTGGGTTTTCTTGGGGAGGGGTGTGTGGAATAGATGTATCCAGAGGCAAATAGGAGTGATGGATCAGATTGAATTAGAGTTTGGCCAGGCGAGCCGAGGCAGAGACTGGAGAGAGGTCTGCCTGGCTATAAATAGGGCCCTTAATGCATTTGGGTTGTGGAAACAGAAGGGCCAGACTGCGTATTAAATCATGTAAACGTTGACTCACAGCTACATCTCTTTGGGAAGAGCCATGCGCTTCCCCTAAATTGCAGGGGTCAGAGTCACATCGAGAAAATGGAGCAGAATGAACGGGTGATATCCTGCCCCAGCCCACCCCACCCCTACTGCTGAGGTCCTAGTGCAATTGAGGAGGTGCTGTGGTTGAATTTTTAAGAAATGTAAATGGGACGCGGGTGGCCCTGTGGGTTAAACCACAGAACCTAGAACTTGCCGATCAGAAGGTTGGCGGTTCGAATCCCCGTGATGGGGTGAGCTCCCGTTGCTCAGTCCCTGCTCCTGCCAACCTAGCAGTTCGAAAGCACATCAAAGTACAAGTAGATAAATAGGTACCGCTCCAGCGGGAAGGTAAATGGCGTTTCCGTGAGCTGCTCTGTTTCGCCAGAAGCAGCTTAGTCATGCTGGCCACATGACCCAGAAGCTGTACGCCGGCTTCCTTAGCCAATAAAGTGAGATGAGCGCCGCAACCCCAGAGTCAGTCACGACTGGACCTAATGGTCAGGGGTCCCTTTACCTTTACCTTTAAATGGGTGAAAGAAACTGCCGTGAACCTCCAGCGACTCTTCCATTTGGGCCCTGGAAGACTCATGCTGGAAAGGGTGTGCAGTTCTGTGATGGACTTAATAATAGGTTCCTTATGGAGTCCACACTCCAGCTCCTTGCAGCGTGAAAGCTTCATAGTGCCTGCTATAGGGGGTCGGGGTGGGGGGAGGAATTGGTTGGCTGGGAGAGGAAAGAGGGGCCAGGAAGTACTGGACTTGTGGCATTTCTGAGGAAAGGACAAGGAGCAGTAGATGGAATGTGCAGAGAGCAATAGGTTTGGGCTAAATATTACCCTAAACCTCCCTGGAAAGTTACAAGGTGCCTGCCTTGGGAGAGTTAAATAAACAAAGGCGAAATGAGGTTTTATCAGGGTTGCTCAAGACTGAAGGCATCCTACCCCGGGGGTGGGGTGGGGGGGTTGTATGGGAAGATGCATTAGAAGTCCTTCTTTCCTCAGAAGGTGAAATCACATGTTAGCAGAGTTCATTGCTGCTTTTTAGGGGTTGTTATTGTTTTCGCAGAACACCAGCTGACGAGAGAGCAATTTGAAAGAGGCCGGTGCGGAGGGGCTTCTTAATATTTTCCTCTTGGGCTGTTTTGCAGCTGAAAACTGCATCCTAGCCGCTTTTAGCCCCACTGGAGAAAACCAATGTGCATCTCATTGTTTCCCCTGGCCAAGGGATAAATGGCTGGGGGGGGGGGGATTTGTCACTGGAAAAGAGGCTACAGTGTGGAAGTTAAGAAGCCTTCCTCCTCCTCTGACTTCCAACTTGCAGCCACATTTTGCCAAAAGAAAAAATCTCCCTAAAAAGGGATCTTTTTGCTCCCAAGATAATAACCCTATCAATAGCGGTTGTTTTGGGCGACTGTTGGTGAGTGGGTGGGGAGGGGTAATACTCAGAAGGGTGGTGGAAATGGGTGTGGTAAACCTGTTGACGACCGTTAAGGACTGCAATTGGTTTTACAGGAAAAAGCAAGGGGTGAGATGGCTAAAAATAGCTTTATCATGTATAATAAGAGGAGAATCCAATGCCTCTATTCAGACCAGGTCTCTCCATGGTTTTAAGTTTGGTAATAAGTTGCAATTCAGCAACTTCTCTTTCCAGTCTATTTCTGGTCTTGTTAGCTAGGGATGATGGGAGTTGTAGTCCCAAAACATCTGGAGGGCCGAGTTTGGGGGGGGTGCCTGCTGTAGATATTTAAAAAGTGGGGAATAAGTAGCTAAATACACTTGACGTGGCACATCTTTTCCTGTAAATGTGTAGTAGCAGGTTCTAGGTTGTTCCAGTTCAGCACCTCACTAAACTATCCAGGAATAATTAACTTGTAGGTTGCCGGGGCGAGAGGAGGGAATGAATGTGATGTGAGGGCACTGGATTTTCCCAGGGCTTGAGATGGGTAAAAAAAATAAGAAGCAAGAGTGTTAACATGCATACAAAGCCTTTTGAGGTGTGATGGGTCACCATTCCAACAAATAACAAGGGTGGTGTTTAAGGCCTTGCAATTTTTTTTAAGTTGTTGTTTTTTCATGTTTATTTGAGTTAGTGTGTGATCTCCACCCCCCCCATGCCATGGAGACTGTGTTTTTGTATTCCCCAGCCTTTAGCCCAGAAATGGCTCAAGACATTTTGTTGCCTGAGGCTCAGGATAAGATGGCACCCCTCCCAATCCCATGTAAAGAGGTCGATTGGATTGGCAGTTGAATCTTACTTCAGTGTGAGAGATAGGACAATGCCCTCAGCCGCTGCAGAGCAGAGCTCATGGCACAGAGAACAACTAGGTGTGCTTCTTCCACCTCTTCCCTAGCATCCACAGCCTGAGGCAGCCACAACACTGCCTAGTGGTTGTGCCGGCCCCTGACTTTACCTGGGATGCGATGCTTGGGAGACAGGCTAAATGAGGTGAGGTAGGCCGTTTTTCAGCTTGCCCTCTTCCTAATGGGCTGATATTGCCAGAGATACTGCAAAAGGAGAATTCATTAGCTGGGGAAACAGCTAATTCTGAACAGCAAAGAGAGTATAGTTCATTCAAAAGGGAAACAAAACGTTTCACGTCAGATAGCGGCATTTAAAGTTGCTGCTGCAGTTTTTGCCTGCTTTTTACAGTATGATGAAACTTGGTGACAAGAATCCAGCTCAGCTCAAATAAGGTTTTATGAGACTGAGATCATAAGGAACGGCTACAATAAACGGCTGGGGATTTTCACAGGCGGTGCTTGCAGGCACCCGTTTGAACTCTTCACTTTCTGTAAAATTAGTGAGTCTGCTGAAGTTCAGGGAAAAAAACACACCCCAAACAGGTAAAGCTGCTTAGAGTAGCATTCTGAATAGATCTTTCTTGTCTTAAGATGCTTAAGTGTTTGACGAGGCTGTTACAGGTGTATATATGCCGGTTTTGCACTTGCGTGGACTACTCAAAGCCAGCTGTTACCAAGCTGACGATTCTGGATCCAGCTGATAGGAGCCTTCCACCACTAATTTTACTAAGCCAGTTAGGCCCCGCCTTGTCCTGTTTCTGGTGAGATCCTTCCCACAGCTTGTTTGCCTTGACTTCAGCACCCCCATGTGGCGTATTTTTCATCCAGCAGAGTTTCGTCCTGCAACACCTAGCCGCCCTCTGCGAATGGATGTTCATCATAAACGTCCTCGTCTTCTACGGCACCTTCACGGCTGAATTTGGAGCCATCTCCACCGACACCTTTCTGGTTCTCCTGAAAGCCAGGCGGACTCCCAAAAGCTTCAAAGTGGATAGCAGCACCCCCAGCATGTCACATGTTCACACCCATTTGGAGAACATGGCCATGATGGGAAGGGACGGCTAGGAAACCGGTTCCTCGCAAGAGCTGGGACGAGCTGTGCTTACCGGGACTTCCAACGATACCAAAAAAGGGAGAAAAGACAGAATATTGCCTTAAGAATCACCTCTTGTATTTATTTTGCCTATGTGCCACACTAACAGTGCCCTGGGTATTTTGCTCTGAAGGCATAGCCACATTCCAGTATCACCAGTGGCCTTTATGGAGCAAGATTTCTGTATCCTTGGATCAAAGACTCTCCTTCCAATGCGCACAAGAGGAGGGAGAGGATGAAAAACGGCAATACTGAGAGGTGTAGGTGGGGTACCTGTTGCCATTTGAAGAGAGTAAGACAGATTTCATTTTGGGTGGCCCAGTGCACCTTTTTGGCACCTGCAGTTGAAGAAAGATTCCAGAGACCTGGATTTCAGACCCACAGTGGACATGGACTTTTTTTTTTAACCTGGGACTTGGAATCAGATGTGAGCTGTTCCTATAAAACGTGCTCCTTTCATCCAAGAAGTCCTCTTTTAAAGTGGCCTTAATTTCTTCAGGACCAAAAGTATTTGTTGCGTGAGTTGTTGCTTTTTGCCAACTTAGTGCAGTTCTGTTTACTCGAGCAAGAGGATTAGCGGTGAGCAATAATTACAAGAGGCTTTATTTTATGTTCCTTGAAAAAGTCCCAGCTGAGTTGGTGCCCGATTGCTTATCAAAGAAGTCTTGGGCAAGTCCAGAGTGTCCCCGATTAGAGATGCAGCGCTTTAGCTCTGGGCCTCATTACTAAATCTCACCGGAAGGATCCTTTGCAGCGCAAGTTGACAGCCCTGGTGGTGCTGTCCCACATCGGAGAAGTCTTGGGAAACCCAATTCTTCTGCGTAGCTTCCTTAGAGATGTCATCCTCTCCCTCTTCTAGGTGCTAGCAACGGTTGTTGCCCCCAAAGAGCTCAACGGGGACTACCCTCCTGGTTTTCTTCGCTATGCTCCCCATCCCTGAAAATGCAGTTCTAAAACTGTAAGGACTTTGGGATACTTGCTTTGTTCCCAGCAGAGAGCTGGAAAGTCTGCAGACCTAGGGAGACAAACTGGTGCATTCCAAGCCGTCACAAAAGTTTGTCAGATTCTGCGCCCTTATCTTGTGGAACAAGACAAGACTGTGGTTCACCTAGTGCTTTACTCCATACCGAAATGCCTTTAACATGCTCAGCAGTGTTTTGTTCAGGAATTTCAGTGTTTCTGAAATCTGTGTTCTCTCACAGGCTCCTTTTGTACTACTCTTGATTATTCAGGCAGGGTTTCTCAGGTCTGTGTCTCATGTTACTTTGCCCTGTGTACATTCTAAAGATTTATGTGTGGAATGTGGGACACAAGTCCCAAAGATGTGTGCCTTAGAATCTTTGGAGCGCTCAGCTAGACGGCGTTCAAAACTTCCCAGAAGCTGGTTCACAGAACGTGTGCCTGAAACGCACGGCTGAGTTCTTACATTGTAAGAGCTGTGTGTTTCTGGTCAATCTGTGCCACACATTTAAAGCATATTCAACAAACGTTGAAAGCACATAGCTTTCCACAAAGTGCAGTTGTCAAGGCTGCTGGGAACTGCAGCACTGTAAGGGTGAAACTATAGTTCCCAGCATTCTTTCGTGGAGACTCATGTGCTTTAAATGTGTGTCGAATGTGCTTTTAAATATCTGGCATGTGTCTGCAGTTATGTTATTGCTCCTTCTTCCAAGATCCTCTTTGTAACATCATTGGAATGCCATGAAAAGGAGCCACATGAGAGTTTTAACACCACTGTTCTTGTAACAGACGAATTGGCCTTGATTCCTAGGTAATGATAAAAGCAAGATTTTTGGAGCATTTTTTTGCTTCTGCCTCGCACTCCTCTTTTGAACGAGTAGATGAAAGTACCAGGCAGAACAGCTTCACTTTCTTACGACATACTATCTCGAAACAAGACCAAAGTGCATAAATCTCACCAAATTATTCCAGTTGCATCCCTCCCCCCCCTGCCTCCCTGCTCCTGTTAACCTGATACCCCATGCTAGCTTTCCTCCAGGAGTGTGATATCCTGTCCTACGCAATGGATGAGGCCGGGATCGCTGCTTTGGCGTTGGGAAACGCGTGTGCTATAGGGAGCGGAGATGGAGACACTGTGGAAATTGAAAAAGGAACAAGAAAACGAAAAACGCAGCAAGCTGTTGCTGTGGAATGAGGAGTTAGACTTGAGGTTTGCCATGTGAAAACAATATTTAAAGGACTGCATGGATGAGTCTGTGCTTATGTGTCATAGTGGGGAAGTACCTACTGCCCAAAGCAAAGATGCAGAGCTTGCAGATGCTGTTGGATTGCACCCCAGCTCCAGCACCCCACTCCAGCCTGACTGACCCATGGCCCAGGGTAACTGGAGTCCAACGGCACCCAGAGGGCAACAGGTTCCCCCACCCACTGATTCTTAAAATCAAGGATCAAACATTTTTGTATGTTTACAGAATGGTGCACCTGGGGAGAAATGTGTCGTTTCTTACCAATGATATCTCGGGCACAGCTGGATATCCGCTTGCGCAGCGGCACGCCACACACAGCACTCGTGATTTCGAGTGACACTGTCACTTTGGGAGGAATTGCACCTCAACCGCGGCAAAGTAAGGGCTGGGGATATTTAGTATAACGACAGTTAACAGCATCACGGTGGTGGTGGTGGGGAAATAGGTCTGAATCCCATGTGATGCCCGAACTGCAGCTTGCGTGATTGTTTCACACCCTCGAAACAAAAATGAAAAATGACATCATCTAGAAAGCCCCTATGGTATCTCTTAAAAAATAAAAATAATAATACAAAGGGGAACTTGGTGAATTGGAAGTTCCTCTCTTCCCATTTGCTGCTTTATGTTTAGTGGAGCTGGAGCGGCTCCTCAGTTGAATTGAGTTGACCTGTATATACTTTCGAAAGGACTATTCTGAATATTTTATACATGTAATATATACAATGAATGTGCAATAATTTAAAACGTATACGTGGTGTGGTGTGTGTGTTCCCTCCGCCCGCCCCCCCCCCCATGTTCTGTGACTTATCTTTGAGATCTGTTTTACTCCAAGATCCTTGCTCTGGAAAATGATCGTTTGTTCTGAGGAGCTTCATGGTGGGATTTAGATCAGGGAAACTGGGCGAAGGAAGGTTTGTTCCCTCCTTCCCCTGGCAGCTTCCCTGGCCTTCAAAGGAGGGACTATTTACCTTTAAGGGAGGCGGGTGGCCCTGTGGTCTAAACCACAGAGCCTTGGGCTTGCTGATCGGAAGGTCGGCAGTTCGAATCCCCGCGACGGGGTCAAAGTGCAAGTAGATAAATAGGTACCACTCTGGCGGGAAGGTAAATGGCGTTTCCGTGCACTGCTCTGGTTCTCCAGAAGCGTCTTAGTCATGCTGGCCACATGACCCGGAAGCTGTCTGCGGACAAACACCGGCTCCCTCGGCCTATAGAGCAAGATGAGCGTGCAACCCCAGAGTCGTCCGCTACTGGACCTAACGGCCAGGGGTACCTTTACCTTTACCTTTACTGATTAAAAGGCAGGCGGAGCTCCTGAACGTGCATCTTCCACACCATATACCACTTGATCTACAGACTTGGGAGGACACCTTTCCATTTGGAGGCAGGTCTGGGGATCACCATCTAAATGCAAGCATTGTCCCAGTCTATTAACTTTTTGGGACCCTAACCAGAGTAAGTAAAAGGGACAGGACCGAGCAGGCAAGTAGAAGCAGCTCCAATCTATCCATCATCTCTCTTGCCAGCCCTGGTTGGAGGCAGCGCCCTGCTCACAACTTCCTGCCTGCCTCTCTCCATACCAATTTTCCCTGCAATTAGACTACAGTAGTACCTTGGGTTACATACGCTTCAGGTTACAGACTCCGCTAACCCAGAAATAGTACCTCGGGTTAAGAACTTTGCTTCAGGATGAGAACAGAAATTGCGCCGTGGTGGCGCGGCAGCAGCGGGAGGCCCCATTAGCTAAAGTGATGCTTCAGGTTAAGAACAGTTTCAGGTTAAGAACGAACCTCCGGAACAAATTAAGTACGTAACCAGAGGTACCACTGTAGTAAGGTTTATGTGCAACATTTGTACACCATCCAAAGATGCACATCAGTACTTCCATTGCCTCTCTCTCAATTCGAGGCAGCCCACTCCCCTTTTATGCATGTGCAGGACAGGAGGGGGGGTTGCATCCCCCCCCATCTTCCCGTTTCCTGCTCGACTGCAGGCTGCCACTATCCTTAAGAGTCTGCTGTACGAAGGGCAAAACACTGCAGCCTTTCAACATGACAAGCAGAAGAGATAGCAAGGCTCCAACTCCCTGCCTGTGGCTGGAAAAACACGCCCCCCCCCCATGAATTTCTATTCCCGGGGACCTGCGAGAGAGGAGGAGCCATCCCATACCCAGACTGTCCTCGGAACCTCCGGGGAATAACATAATTATCATGTTGGCCAACAGGGAAACGGTTTCCAGGTTCTCGTTTCTCCGGCGATGGACTAATTTGCGACCAACACTAACGTGGGGAGGAAAATGATTTCGAAACGAGAATTTAATTTGATTAGGGGTTCTGCTAAAACTTCAGGGCTGCCAATTCCAGCCTTTTGAGAACTGTGTAAATGTGTTTTTTCCCCAGAGGTTTGGGGGTATGGGGGGAATTAGAGTGGTAGAAGAAGTAACATTTGACATCATTGCCCCTTCCTCATATTCTGGTGAGGAATTTGCTTCCTCCTTACTTTGAATTATGCATACATAATTCCTGGATTACTGGAATGTACCGTATTTTTTGCTCTATAAGACTCACTTTTTCCCTCCTAAAAAGTAAGGGGAAATGTGTGTGCATCTTATGGAGCGAATGCAGGCTGCACAGCTATCCCAGAAGCCAGAACAGCAAGAGGGATTGCTGCTTTCACTGCGCAGTGATCCCTCTTGCTGTTCTGGCTTCTGAGATTCAGAATATTTTTTTTCTTGTTTTCCTCCTCCAAAAACTAGGTGCGTGCGTCTTGTGGTCTGGTGCGTTTTATCGAGCGAAAAATACGGTAACTTCCTCCTTTTTCTCCCTATGTAGTCTCCTCCTCCTGGGGTGTGGCTGTCCTCTCTTGCCAGCTACACTCTGAATTTCCTCTGGCACGCTGCTCCTGCTCTCCCTGTTCTTTCCCTCAGTGTCTCTCCTGCAACAACACCCTTCCCTGTGACTGGCTGAATAAAACCACTTAACAAGGGATAACTGCCAAAATGGGCTTGTGACCACTTGGTAAGGTGTCCCTCTGTGCTGCCTCACCTTTTCTGGGGAATATTTCCTGTAAAATCTCTCCAGGCTGGTTAGCCCAGCTTACCCCACCCGCCTGCTAGGACCTACTAATAAACCAGCCGTTTTTAAAGAGAGAAGGAATGTGATAATCTTATCAGCCTATGGAGTTGTGTATTCCTGACCTGCAAAAGTGTGGGTGGGGGAGATAGTAAAAAGTGGGGGGGGGGGGAGGGGAGACATAGGCAGAAGTCCGCCCCCCCCCCACAAATGATATATAAATCTTAGGAAATAAAATGGCATGATGGCTTTAAAAGGTCCATTAGGTCCAGTCGTGGCTGACTCTGGGGTTGCGGCATTCATCTCACTATTGGTCAAGGGAGCCGGCGTACAGCTTCCGGGTCATGTGGCCAGCATAAGCCACTTCTGGCGAACCAGAGCAGCGCACGGAAACACCGTTTACCTTCCCACCGGAGTGGTACCTATTTATCTACTTGCACTCTGATGTGCTTTCGAACTGCTATGTTGGCAGGAGCAGGGACTGAGCAATGGGAGCTCACCCCGTCGCTGGGATTCGAACTGCCAACCTCCAATCGGCAAGCCCTAGGCTCTGTGGTTTAACCCACAGCGCCACCCGCGTCCCTGCCTTTAAAAGAGGATTAGACAAATTCACAGAGGCTAAGGCTATCCATGATTACTGGCAGTGTGCTTTTAATACCAGTTGCTAGAGATCATGAGAGGGAAGCGGCTTTTATGCATTTATGAGTAAAGCTGCATAGGACTGCCCTCTTCAAAAGGTTAGCTGAATGTTTAGAATTTAGCCAGAGCAGAGGAAGTCTGATGTCACGACAAGCTATTTCCCTGGTTTTGCTTTTGGGCAAACAAGTTCAAGTTCGATCTTTCGACATTTCGGACTTATGCTTTTTTTTTTTTTTTTTGGCCAAAATAAACAATTTGGAATTAGAAAGCATGTTGTTGTTGTTTAGTTGTTTAGTCGTGTCCGACTTTTTGTGACCCCATGGACCAGAGCACGCCAGGCACTTCTGTCCTCCACTGCCTCCCGCAGTTTGGTCAAACTCATGCTGGTAGCTTTGAGAACACTGTCCAACCATCTTGTCCTCTGTCATCCCCTTCTCCTTGTGCCCTCCATCTTTCCCAACATCAGAGTCTTTTCCAGGGAGTCTTCTCTTCTCATGAGGTGGCCAAAATATTGGAGCCTCAGCTTCAGGATCTGTCCTTCCAGTGAGCACTTGGGGCTGATTTCCTTAAGAATGGTTAGGTTTGATCTTCTTGCAGTCCATGGGACTCTCAAGAGTCTCCTCCAGCACCAGAATTCAAAAGCATCAATTCTTTGGCAATCAGCCTTCTTTATGGTCCAGCTCTCACTTCCATACATCACTACTGGGAAAACCATGGCTTTAACTATACGGACCTTTGTTGGCAAGGTGATGTCTCTACTTTTTAAGATGCTGTCTAGGTTTGTCTTTGCTTTTCTCCCAAGAAGCAGGCGTCTTTTAATTTCGTGGCTGCTGTCACCATCTGCAGTGATCATGGAGCCCAAGAAAGTAAAATCTCTCACTGCCTCCATTTCTTCCCCTTCTATTTGCCAGGAGGTGATGGGGGCATAGTTGTTATTAAAGACGAACATAGTCCTCCTGACCCTTCCTCAATCAACTCTTCCCTGAACCTGAGTTTTGTTTAGTTTCACAAGCCATGCGCCTCCACCTCCTCGTCACAGGCAGGCTCTCTCGCTGTCTTGCCTTCCCAGAACTTCAGTTGCGAAAAGTGCTCTCCAGGACTCCACATAGGAGTCCCATTTTCAGTAACAGCACCACTGAGTCCTCGAAAAAGAAGTACCTCTGAGCACGTGCAGAGTGTGACTTCCCATTCCCACTGAATAAGGGCCGCCTCCTGCCTCTTCAGTACACTTTAGAATTCAGGAGCAGGATTGTTAACATTACAGTACAGCCCACGATCCTTTCCCTCCAGAACATACATACATTTAATTTCTACACTGCTCTTCACTCGGGGATCACAGTATAAAAACACAAAAATACACAACATAGTAACAAACAAAATACCCCCCAAGTTTAATAATGATAATAATAATAATAGCTCATACCCCGCCCATCTGGCTGAGTTTCCCCAGCCACTCTGGGCGGCTTCCAATCAAGTGTTAAAAACAATACAGCATTAAATATTAAAAACTTCCCTGAACAGGGCTGCCTTCAGATGTCTTTTAAAGATAGGATAGCTGCTTATTTCCTTCACATCTGAAGGGAGGACGTTCCACAGGGCGGGCGCCACTACCGAGAAGGCCCTCTGTCTGGTTCCTTGTAACCTCACTTCTCGCAATGAGGGAACCGCCAGAAGGCTCTCGGTGCTGGATCTCAGTGTCTGGGCTGAACGATGGGGGTGGAGACACGCCTTCAGGTATACAGGACCGAGGCAGTTTAGGGCTTTAAAGGTCAGCACCAACACTTTGAATTGTGCTCGGAAACGTACTGGGAGCCAATGCAGATCTCTCAGGACCGGTGCTATGTGGTCTCGGAGGCCACTCCCAGTCACCAGTCTAGCATTCTGGTTTAATTGCAGTTTCCGGGTCACCTTCAAAGGTAGCCCCACGTAGAGCGCATTGCAGTAGTCCAAGTGGGAGATAACTAGAGCATGCACCACTCTGGCAAGACAGTCTGCGGGCAGGTAGGGTCTCAGCCTGCGTACCAGATGGAGCTGATAAACAGCTGCCCTGGACACAGAATTAACCTGTGCCTCCATGGACAACTGTGAGTCTAAAATGACTCCCAGGCTGCGCACCTGGTCCTTCAGGGGCACAGTTACCCCATTCAGGCCCAGGGAGTCCCCCACACCCGCCCGCCCCCTGTCCCCCAAAAACAGTACTTCTGTCTTGTAAGGATTCAACCTCAATCTGTTAGCCGCCATCCATCCTCCAACCGCCTCCAGGCACTCAAATAGTGAGGCCCCCAGATAGTTAAATGCCAAAGGCCTGATTACAGAGGAAAGTTATTGCCCGGCACCTAAAGATATGTAGTGAAGGTGCTAGGGAGCCACCACAGAAAAGGCCATTTCTTATGTTGCCACCCTCCAGGCTTCTTGTGGAGGACACACACACACACGGGTTGGGAGCCTGAATGGCGCCTCTCTGGAGGCCTCACCCTGGGCAAAAAACCCACTCGTTCTTCCCACCCCACCCCGTATCTATTGCACTGGTTTAAGTCTTTATGGGTCAAAAATCAGGACTTTGAATTGGGCGCAGAAACTGATCAGCAGCTCAGCTTTGCGCCTCTTCCGCGTTTCGTTTGCAAGCGGCCTTTGCGCCTCCCGCCTGGAGAGGGCGCGCGCGGGAGCGCGGAGCGTGCATTCCGTTGCCCGGGCAACTAGTCCCCGCCCCTTCAGAGCGGCGGTCAGCTGATTGCTAAGAACCCTCGAGGGGGGAAGGGAGGGAGGAAGGGCGTGGCTTATCCCCGGGAGGGGGACACCCAGAGGACTCCAGACTGGACGCGACGCCGAGCCTCGGAGGGTCTCTGCCCCGAAGGTAAGCGGCTCTAAGGGTCTCCAGGCCAGTTCCCCTATCTCCAAGCCCACCGTCCTTCCTCTGCCGGTGGAAAGTGAGCGCGCGTGTGGATCTCCCTGCTTCATTAGTGCTTTAATTGCATTGCAGGTGGGGTTGGACTAGATGATCCCTTGGGCACCCCCTATTCCGACGGGTCTTTTTTAAATGCCCACAAACTGGAAGGCTAGGGGGAGGGGGAGGGGTGGGGTGGGGGCCCTGGGCTTGGATCCACTCCTAGGGGAGCACTTTTGTTCTCTTGCTGCGGAGTTTCTGCTGTCCCGAAATGCCCCATCGGGGGTGGCATTTTCTCCTGTGTGGGAGAAAATCGCAGGGGTTCCCCCCCCCCTTACTCGGGAGCAAGGGAAGGTGAAGGCCCCGAGTGGCCTGCCAGGGAGGCGATCGCTCGCTTTGTCTTTCCCTCGGCAGACGCGCAAAGCGCCGTCGGGGCGCCTGGCTGCTGGCTGTGCGCCCAGGGCGCAGAGCGCACGTGTGGATATTCCGGGGTTTCTGGAGCGCGGGCGGAGCGGGTAGAGTCGGGTCGGCGGGGCCGGGCCAAGTCCGTCGGGAAGAGTAAGCAAAGCCAGCCCCTCCCTCTCTCCTTCCGACTCGGCTGGGCTTCTAGGGACTTTCCATCGGCGTTTCCTCGCCCGCCCAGTTTCCGCCGGAGGCTCTTTCGGCAGCAGAGGCGGTGCTCGCTCGTCTCCTCTTGCCTTCCTCGGGCTCTCCGTTTTCTTTCGCAGGAAGCCCTAAACTCCGGGACTGCTGCTGCCGCCGCCGCCTCGACCGGCCATGGATTGCGACGGCTACCCCGCGGTGAGTCGCCCACAAAGGGGTCCCTCTGGGCTCATCTTGTTCGGTGGGGTGGGAGGGCGTGGAAATTCCCCCACTTCCCCGCCCTATTTCCCAGGTTGAGCCATATGCAAAAAAACCGGGGCCGCTTGGCTTCCCTGCAGCTCCCCTTCCGGCTTCTAGTCTCCAGAGGTTAACATTGCCGATTAGTAAAGGGCAGCATACTCATTTTTTTTTTTAAAATAATTTTTATTAAAGTTTCAATCAGAAATTAAACAACAAAGAAAGAAAAAAAAACATCAAAAAAGATACACAAATACACAATACAAATCTCAAAAAGGAAATAAAAAAAAACAGAAAAAACAAGAATCAACAAAAAAAAACAACAATTAAAAACAATATCTCTTTTTCATTTCCGTTTTTAAATTTACTTATTTTCTGGACTTTCTCATACCTCCCTCTTTTGTATTCCAATCCAAATTGTTTGTCCAGCAATTTCTTTTCCACTTTTTTAATCCCAATCTTTAATTTTAATATAGTATTGAAATATATAACTTCAACTTCTTTAAACCTAATCTTTAGTCTTAATGTAATATAATGTAACATTAAAATTTTACCTCTTAATTGTCAAATTTCCATTTCATTAAACGTCTTTAATCCTAATCTTTAGTCTTAGTCTGTTGTAAACCTTAACCTGTACAGCTGGAAACCGCTTATTTTCAGTCCAACATCACTCTAACATTCTTTAATTTTGCAATGTTTCTGAAGATAGTCTTTGTATTTTTTCTCATTTTGGGAGACAGAAAAACCCCAGATCTCACTTTGTTTTTTATTTGTTTTGTGTGCCCAAGACAAACGCAGCTCCTTGTCCTGGATAGATAGTGGCCATGAGTCCCTTTCTAGTGAAAAACCCCCAGAATATAAGTATTATAATAATATGCAAGAAGATGAAAATGGCCGAGTGATAGAACTAGTCAGTACTTTTTTTGCTGGGGGTACTTGGTACACAGTACCAATAACCCCCCCCTTTCCCCAAATGTTAAAAGTGTGGCACTTACTATAACAGCTTCATGGTGAGTGCCAATACCAATTTTTTCTTTTTTAACACCCCCCCTGGAACTACTTAAGCCACAAGGAATAAAACAATCCAGTACCAGTTTCAATTGTAAGCCACTTTGAGGTATTGTTACAATCAAGCAGTATTATTACAATCAAGCCTTTTCTGTGGTGGCTCCCTGATTGTGGAATGCTTTCCCCAGAGAGGCTCGCCTGGCGCCATCACTACGTACAGTAAGGCACCAGCCAGAAACATTCCTCTTTACCCAGGCTTACGGCTATTAAATAATCTATGGCCTGTGAAAGTGTGTGTAGAGACAAACTGTTATTATGTTGACTATTTTACGATTAGGCTGTCTTACGTCAGTAGGCTATTTATTACGTTTTTATCATTGATGCTCTGTAATGTGTTTTTAATGGGATCTTTTGATAAATGGTGGTATTATAAATTGAAGAAAGAGTAATAAATAATATTGTGAAAGCAGTTGTAAGACTGTGCTCCTATTTGCCTAAAGAGCCTGTCCACAGAAGAGACTACCTGCTGTGTCTTTGGAGGGAGGTAAAACCAAAGTCTGTGCTAGAGGCTGCTCTGTCTTTTCCCTAAGCAGCGAGGGAGAGTGCCCTTTGCACCTAGCCATAAGGCACTGTTTCGCCTCTTTCCAGTTGGGAGGCATGATCACACCTGCTTTTCCTGAAACTCGGTAGGGTAGGTGATTTTTTAAAAACGTCCTGAAGCTCTCCTGAGGCATTCCAAATTGGTATTTGTGGGGGTGGTGCCACCTCTCCCCTCCACCTCTTGTCTTCCCATGGCAGGAAGCCCTGAAGAGTGTTAACATGCTTTATTCAAAAATTTCTGTTTCTGGAGCAGGTGGGAACCCTAATTGTGCAGGATTCCGTCTCTTGGGTCTGGTAATAGAGGCTTCATTTAGCTATCGCATACCCTTAGCAAATGGTTTAAAGCTTGCCTGTGCACCGGGCTGTCTTGAGTTTATGTATTTCATACAGTGAGGGGGGGAAAGTATTTGATCCCCTGCTAAATTTGCCCGTTTGCCCCTCTGACGAAGAAATGACCAGTCCATAATTTTAATGGTAGGTTTATTGTAGCTGTGAGAGACAGAACAACAACAGGAAGACCCCCCCAGAAAGCCAGAAGACAAAAGTCAGAGATTGATGTGCATTATAATGAGTGAAATAAGTATTTGATCCCTTTGCAAAAGATGACTTAGGACTTGGTGGCAAAACCCTTGTTGGCAATTTCAGAGGCCAGACGTTTCTTGTAGGTGGCCACCAGGTTTGCACACATCTCAGGAGGTATTTTGTCCCACTCCTCTTTGCAGATCCTCTCCAAGTCAGTAAGATTTTGAGGCCGATGTGTAGCTACTCCAACCTTCAGCTCCCTCCACAGATTTTCAATGGGATTAAGGTCAGGAGACTGGCTGGCCACTCCAGGACCTTAATGTGCTTCTGCTTGAGCCGCTCCTTTGTTGCCTTGGCCATCTGTTTTGGGTCATTGTCATGCTGGAATACGCATCCTTGACCCATTTTCAATGCCCAGCTGAGGGAAGGAGGTGCTCACCCAAGATTTGACAATACATGGTCCCGCCCATCGTCCCTTCGATGCGGTGAAGGTGCCCTGTCCCCTTAGCAGAAAAAGACCCCCAAAGAATAATATGTCCCCCTCCATGTTTGACGGTGGGGATGGTGTTCTTGGGGTCGTAGGCAGCATTCCTCCTCCTCCAAACACGGCGAGTTGAGTTGATGCCAAAGAGCTCGATTTTGGTCTCATCCGACCACAACACTTTCACCCAGTTCTCTGGGTCATTCAGATGTGCATTGGCAAACTGCAGACAGGCCTGTACATGTGCTGTCTTGAGCAAGGGGATCTTGCGGGCTCTGCAAGATCTCAGTCCTCCACGGCGTAGTGTGTTACCAACTGTTTTCATGGTGACTATGGTCCCAGCTGCCCTGAGATCATTGACAAGTTCTGCCTGTGTAGTTCTGGGCTGCTTCATCCCTGTTCTCATTGATCACTGCAACTCCATGAGATGAGATCTTGCATGGAGCCCCAGACCAAGGGAGGTTGACAGTTATTTTGTGTTTCTTCCATTTGCGAATTATTGCACCAGCTGTTGTCACCTTCTCACCAAGCTGCTTGGCAATAGTCTTGTAGCCCTGTCCAGCCGTGTGCAGGTCTACAATCTTATCCCTGACATCCTTGGACAGCTCTTTGGTCTTGGTCATGGTGGCTACTTTGGAATCTGCTGGACTGATTGCTTCTGTTGACAGGTGTCTTTTGTACAGGTACTGTAACGAGCTGGGATTGCAGGTAAGACCTCTCCCTTACAGCAGGTGCTTCCAATCTTAGCTCGTTACATACAGTGAAGATACCAGGTAGCCTGACATCTGGCTGGTTGATAGGGGATCAAATACTTATTTCACGCATTATAATGCACATCAATCTCTGACTTTTGTCTTCTGGGTTTCTGGGGGAGTTTTCCTGTTGTTATTCTGTCTCTCACATCTACAATAAACCTACCATTAAAATTATGGACTGGTCATTTCTTTGTCAGAGGGGCAAACGGGCAAATTTAGCAGGGGATCAAATACTTTCCCGCCCCCTCACTGTAATTCTGTGGCCTTTCTGTCACACTTGTGCCAAATGTGTCGTAAGATTTCTGTCTTGTCCCCTATTCTGTTTGCAGTGCTTGGACGGGATAGAATACGACGATTTCCAGTTTGGCCCTCATTTGATTGAGCATAAGGATCTCATGGAAACTGGTAATGGATGCTTTTGGGAGTTTATATGTGCTTCGGGGAATGATAAATGACAAGGGAGGGGAAGTTTCAGTTGAGCTTGTGCATATTGTGTTATGGATATAAACTGTTGCTCAACAGTTGGTGCTTCTCAAACTTGGGTCCCCAGCTGTTGAGACTACAACTCCTATCACCCCTGACCTCTGGTCCTGCTAGCTAGGGACGATGGGAGTTGTAGTCCAACAACACTTGGGGACCGAATTTTGAGAAACACTGGCTTAACGGAATTGCATGTGGTTGTGTATACATTGGTCCAATCAGGATATTTTCTTTTTTATATCCACAGTTGAAGGCCCGTTCCTCACTATAATTGAGCAGCCAAAGCAGGTACGGATGTAATCATTTGTCACTGAACTGAGCTTTTTTTAATAATATTTTTTATTAATTTTAACATATAAATTATAAAATGTGCCACAAAACTTATCACTTATACAATCTTTTTAGACTTCTATCAGCACCTCTGATGATCCGCCATTTTAACCACTTCTTATGCATTTCTTAACTTTATATTGCCTTTACATCTCTTAACAAATCATCCTCCCCCTTGTCCATTTTTACAATACTTCTAATAATACTCCTCACAAAACTTCTTGCAACCCTACAAACGTCGTCTGTTCTTCACAATTACTTTTCAAATAGTCCGTAAATTTACTCCAGTCTTCCATGAATTTCTGGTCTCACCGGTTTCGAATCCTTCCTGTTAGTTTATCTAATTCTGCATAGTCCATTAACTTCATCCTCCATTCTTCAATCGTCGGTAACTCTTCTTGCTTCCATTTTTGGGCCAATAATATTCTTGCTGCTGTTATTGCATATAAAAAGAGCTTACATTCCTTTCTATTTATGTCACTCTCCACAATGCCCAATAGAAATGCTTCTGGTTTCTTTATAAATGTATATTTCAACGTTTTTTTCAACTCTATATATATCATCTCCCAGAAGCATTTCACCTTTTTACTTTCCCACCACATGTGATAAAATGTTCCCTCTTTTTCTTTACATTTCCAACATTTATTACTGACTTTATACATTTTCGCTAACTTGACAGGTGTAATATACCATCTATACATCATTTTCATCACATTTTCTTTTAGGGCACTGCATTCAGTAAATTTTAAACCTACCTTCCATAATTTCACCCAATCACTCAGCTGTATATTATACCCAAAATCTTTGGCCCAGTGAATCATAACCGACTTAACCTCTTCATCCTTCAAATGCCATTCAAGCAGCAATTTATACATTTTAGACAAAATTTGTACATCATTACTTAATATGTCACTGAACTGAGTTGCCCCAGCTATGTATATGCTGTTGCAAGCACACTTTCCCCAACGGCTTGGTTTGGTGTAACTGGTCATGTAATGGGATGTCTTTGTTTTCCTTTGTCTTCCGCAGCGAGGTTTCCGGTTCCGATATGGCTGTGAAGGTCCCTCACATGGTGGGCTTCCTGGAGCATCTAGTGAGAAGGGACATAAGACTTACCCCACAGTTAAGGTGAGCATCAGATAGTTTTTAAAAAAATGTATATTCTTCATTGCAAGATAAAAAGTACATAAGAGTAAGATAAGACACATAAAGAAGAAATGGTACCCATGTAGAAAGCAGAACAACAACAAAATGGTATACATTACCCCCAAAAAACATTGTGGTTAACCAGACCTTAACCTAATACTGTACAGTATTTATAAAATGAATTTGAAATATTGTTGAATTTGTCCATGGCAAGTCTCCGTTTGTAGGCAACTTGTTCATGTGTAGCGAGTTTGGACATATATTCAGTCCAGTCGTTGAAGGGAGCTGCTTTATTTTCCCCAGTTTGTCAATATCTGTCTTTTTGCCATAGGGCAGGGAGAGTCTATTCATATTGTGCCCTTTTGTTAGATTCAGTGTATTGAAATATAGCCCAGCCAAATATTGATTAAACTACCTGAAGGTGAGAGCATCAGATGGTTTAATCAGTATTTGGTTGGGCTATATTTGAAGATCTTTAAATTATTTTTTTTTTTAAGAACAGCCATACTCTCATGGGCCACTGGTATTCCGACTTAGGATAGCCTTTTTGACTAGCAGATGGACATCTGTTGCTTTGGGAGGAGTACAAAGTGCCAATGAAATACTTGGTTTGCAGTCTTCATCCACCTGCACTTTAGGACACACTTTGCAACATTATACCTGGCAGGTGTTGTGAAAATATCACCTTGCTCTTGTTGTCTGAGGTGCTTAGTTGCTTAGGGATCAAATGTGTTTTGCCATCCAGCTCCTCTGAAGGAATGGAGCATTTCCATTGAGCTTGAATCAGGGTGGATTTGATTTAAATCACTAGTCAGTAAGACTTGATTGAAATCATTTTATTACAGAAAGACTCATTCTTGCTGGTATAATCTTAATATTTACAACCAGATGGAGGTTTCATTTTTGGGATTTTTCAGAGTGGTTTTTTACAGTTACATAAAAAATTGCTGATTTGGTTATACTGTTAGGAATACACAGACAGATAATTATGAAATTATTGTGAGGTTTAATAAGTTAACTGTTTATATTTGGACAACTTTTCTGCTGTACTTTATTGGAAGGAGAAAAACCAATCATTTACTTTAAAACAATTAAAACAATTTATTTAACTGAAACAATAACATTATAGCATATGTATCCGTGTTTGTTAACTGATGCGGTTAAACAATAAAATAAAAAAACTTAGACGGAGTTTTAGCACACATGAAAAACTTAAATCCTTATTTCCTGATGAATAGCCTTTGGACTGTAGTGTAACTTAAATAGAAAACTATCTTTAGAACGATTTTTCCTCCAAAAGCATTTTATTTTAAAAATCCAATTAAAATTAAAAAAATCTGGTGTTGTTTTTTTTAAATTTAAAAAATCATTGATTTTAATCAATGGAATTAAACATTGGGGGCAGGTTGAGTCACTGGGAATAAGTTGTGAAGAGACCCCAGAGGCAAAGAGTGTAGAGCGGATGGGTTGAGTCATCTGACGGGAAGGCTTTTAGTGGAGGGTGAGGCTTGAGGAAGAAGGAAGAGGAGGTGGAGAATTGGGGGAAGAAGGGACTTAATTAGAAGGCATTCAAACTTCATAGTACTTAATATCAGGAATGTCTGTGTGCCGTGAAGGAAGCGAGCGCTGGAGAGGCTGACGATTGCTCAGTTTCCCTTCAGCTGTGCAAAGCAGGCAAGGACATGAAAAGCAAGGATGTGAGGCAGTGCTGGATTTACATATTGCAGCCCAGGGCCTCATAACCTAGTGGGGCCTTGGTCTCTTGCCATTTTTTGTGGGGGAAGGAAGGCAGAGTTTACTCTCTAGGCTAGGCATAGGCAAACTCGGCCCTCCAGATGTTTTGGGACTACAGCTCCCACCATCCCTAGTTAACAGGGCCAGTGGTCAAGGTTGATGGGAATTGTAGTCTCAAAACATCTGGAGGGCCGAGTTTGCCTATGTCTGACTAGGCCCAGTTGCTTTTGTTGTTGCTTAGTCGTTTAGTCGTGTCCGACTCTTCGTAACCCCATGGACCAGAGCACGCCAGGCACTCCTGTCTTCCACTGCCTCCCGCAGTTTGGTCAAACTCATGTTCGTAGCTTCGAGAACACTGTCCAACCATCTCGTCCTCTGTCGTCCCCTTCTCCTTGTGCCCTCCATCTTTCCCAGCATCAGGGTCTTTTCCAGGGAGTCTTCTCTTCTCATGAGGTGGCCAAAATATCGGAGCCTCAGCTTCAGGATCTGTCCTTCCAATGAGCACTCAGGGCTGATTTCCTTCAGAATGGATCGGTTTGATCTTCTTGCAGTCCATGGAACAGTAAAAAAGAGAACAAGATTTCGTTTCTTATGATCAGGTGCTGTTGAGTTTGGGCCTCCCTAAGTCTCCTAGCCAAAGGCATCCAGTTGCCTTAATCTGGGCCTGATGTGAGGGAACAAAAAGGTGGCAGAGGCCAGGAAGATGGTGAAAGTAGCACAAAGCCAAACAGCACAGGGGCTGCGAGTAAGAGGAGCTGCACCTTATTATTGGGAAGGAAATTGGCAGGTCATGGCGTCCTGAAGGACTAGTGACTGGGCCGATGTACTGAGTCGAGACCTGCTGTCCTCCTGGCGCTGATGGAAGTTGTATTTGAGCAACCCCAACCAGCGCAGCTGGAGGGCCAGGATCGGCCCAAGACCATTGGGCGCCTGAGGTGGACCACAAAATGGCGGCTGCTCTCCCCCGCGAGGGAAGAAGGTGTGGGTGAAGTTCTACCTCAGGAACAAGGGGAGGGGGAAATAAAGATCTGCATTGGGAACAAAGGTGGAAGGAGAACAGTGTTTCTTAATGGCATGAGGTGGCACAGTGGGTGCTGCCAGTTGCAGGATTGCAGCGTTGCAAAGGGGCAGCAGATACCTAGAAGCGGCAAACAGCTGTGGGATTGAATTTCAGGTAAATAGCCAATTTTGTTTTATTTTTTAGCTTCAGGCTTGTCAATTGGAGTTTCCTTGGGCTGGTGTACCTGAGTGGTCTGTTTTAGGATGCATTGCTAAACGAAGGTGTTAATGATTTTCCACAGCTCCGCCTGGTTTTTCTCAGAACTTTGTTGCTGCAGCAGCCTTTATTTTGCGGGGCAATTTTTCCCAAGTATTACTGGATGGGGAAAAAATAAACACTTGCGATAGATAGGAGTTAAAGCTCTTGTTCAACATTAGTGTGGTGAAATCGATTTCAGATGTTAAAAAGAAGTAAACAACCATTCCCTATCTAGTTAGTCTAATCCACTCTTCTGCCTTTCTTTTAACATTTGTTTAACCCCTTCTTTATAAGTAAACTATTTTGTCTTTTTTCTAGTTTTTCAGTTCTGTGCAGTTACTAGAGCTGCAGGGAGTACTCATCTTGTTGAGACACCATTGATTGGTGACATTATTATTTATTCTATAACTCCTGAGTGCATTGGCTTTTTGATGGCTACTTAAAGTATAAAGATTCATTTTGTGTAAGGTTGCGTATGTCGGGATCTGTGGCAGCGGAAAGAAAAGCTGACTGTAGTCTTTGGAGATAATTTGTACTACGTTTGTGTGAGGCCCATCCCTTTTAGACCAAAAAAAAAGGGAGTCCCGTTTCAGGTGTACACAAAGTACAGTCAGGCTTTGTTGTGAAGAAACCCAAATCGTGCACCAGCGGTTTTTTCTTTGTAATAACAGAAAATGAATTACTTTGGCTGCAATTGTAATTGTATTGCGATGAGGCTACATTTTAATGTTTCAATATTTTAATGTATTTTAATTTTGTTTTTAAGTTGTAATCATTCAACTTGTTTTTATTATTGCTTGTTAGCTGCCCTGAGCCCGGCCTTGGCTGGGGAGGGCGGGGTATAAATAAAAATTATTATTATTATTATTATTACAATTGTATTGCATACCTTATTTTATCTGTATCTGGCTGCAATCTGCATTTTAAAATTCAAACTTTTAACATTTAATAATTTAAAATTGTGATTGTGAAATCTGGCACCCTTTAGAGGTGACTCTTAAAGTTTACACCAGACTAGTAAACTTACTGATTCAGGGCCCTGTCCTGAAATTTTTACTGAGTGCTTTGTTGGGTAGTTGATGGTTGCTTTCGAGAAGCTATGCCTTGAAAATGGCTTTGTGCTAGGTAAATTGTGGCTGTGTTCTGGCATAATGCTAAACTGTGGCTTAGATTACAAGAATGAGCCTACCATCTTCCCTGACTTGGGTGCTGTCCCTCTCTGTGAGGAGATTGGAACCTTCCACTTCCACTTTGGATTAATCATAGCATAGCATGTTGTCTGAGCCCTAAACCAATTAATCTTAACTGTGGCTAGCAAAAACGACCCAGCTTCATAAACCTTGGCTTGAAGTTGCCCTTCCTCTGCTATCTGTGGTGAAGATTTAACTACCGTATTTTTTGCTGTATAAGACTCACTTTTTCCCTCCTAAAAAGTAAGGGGAAATGTGTGTGCGTCTTATGGAGCGAATGCAGGCTGCGCAGCTATCCCAGAATCCAGAACAGCAAGAGGGATTGCTGCTTTCACTGTGCAGCGATCCCTCTTGCTGTTCTGGCTTCTGAGATTCAGAATATTTTTTTTATTGTTTTCCTCCTCCAAAAACTAGGTGCATCTTGTGGTCTGGTGCGCCTTATAGAGCGAAAAATACGGTAGTTATTTCTACAGTCCTACCTTGTGTTGCGTCCGCTTCATGTTGCGTCTTTTCGCGTTATGTCCTGCGGCAACCTGGAAATACCAGAAAAGGTTACTTCTGGGTTTTGCCGCTTGCGCCTGCGCAGAGGTGCTAAATTGCGCTGTGTGCCTGCGCAGATGCAGCGTTTCGAGTTGTGGGCATTTCACGTTACGGACGGGGCTCCGGAACGGATCCCGTCCATAACACGAGGTACCACTGTATTTGGATGAAGCAGCAAGTCGCAGTTAAAAAATAAAATAAAATGGAAGCTTCCACATTCCTTGCAGCTGTGTTGAAGGAGGCTGGCAGGGGTTTGGGGTGGGAATGTACGAGCCCAGGTTGAGGCGAAGTCCATTTTCACAATGCGAAACTGTGGGCTTACTCTGGTTTCAAATTAACCCAGTAATAATTGCTGATGGGAATTCTGGGGAGAAAAACTGATCCATAGGCCTAAAAGTATGTGTTACAAAGAATTGTCCTCTCTCTGGCTGGACTCTAATCACTTGGACTTCCGTGTTCTTCTTTTTCATTGCCAGATCTCCAATTATTTCGGGATGGCTAGGATAGAAGTGGACCTGGTGACTCACACTGACCCTCCGCAGGTGCACGCCCACAGCCTCGTGGGAAAGCAGTGCAACGAAGCCGGCAATTGCATTGTAACTGTGGGCCCCAAGGACATGACAGCACAGTACGTATGAGCTGGCGGGTGGGGAGTTGTAGATAGTAATGCTTTTTTGTAAAATTCTGATTTTGTAAAAAGCAGAATTCTGACTATATTTTTGGCTCTGTCGAGCTAGAGCTAAGCGTTTCTTGAAAGAAATGGCACTTACAATCCAGAGGTACCTTGGGTCTTGAACGTAATCCGTTCTGGAAGACCGTTTGTGTTCCGAAACGTTAGAAAACCAAGGTGCAAAACAAATCAGCAAATTCAGTTGAGAAAATTGAAAAATACACAGCAGAAGCTGTTCAACTTCCGAGGTGTGTTTGAAAATGGAAGCATTTACCGTATTTTTCGCTCTATAGGATGCACCCGACCATAGGACGCACCTTGTTTTAGAGGGGGAGAACAAGAGAAAAAAATTCTCCCCCTCTTTGCCCAGCACCCCTTCAATGAAGCGGCAGGAGGTGCTGCACAGAGAGGGGGAGAATTATTTTTTTCTTGTTCTCCCCCTCTAAAACAAGGTGCATTCAGTCGCCTTCAGGCAGCTACCTTGGAAACCTGGAGAGCGCACCCACCACTCTCGCTCTCTAGGCTTCAGTGAAGGCAACCCGAAGCCTCCGAAGCACGGCGGGAGTTCCTGCTGCTCTCTGGAGGCTTCGGGTTCCTTTCAACCTGCTCTTTGGGGCTGGCCGGGGGAAGTCCACCGCCTGCCCCAAAGAGCAGGTCCGGAAGCAGCAGAAAGGCGCGCAGCCTTCCCGCTGCTCCGCAAGCTTCTTGGGGCTGCCGGGGAAGCCCAGGTCCCCCCCCCCCCCAGCCCCAAAGAGCCCCAGGAGAGACTGCGCGTGGCTATAGCTTCTTGAGCCCCGCGCAGCCTCTCCCGGCTGGAGAGGTTTCGCGCGGCTAAAGAGGAAGCCAAGACAGTGAGCGGGATCCATCCCGCTCGCTGTCTTGGCTTCTGCCATAGCAGGGAGAGGCTGCGCGTGGCTATGGCAATACCCCCACCTCCCGCAAAAGCCCACAGGAGCCGCGCGCACTTTAAGGAGCGCATGGCTCCTGTGGGCTTTTCTACGAGGGGGAGAAGGGACTGACTGGCCGCGTCAGTCCCTTCTCCCTCCTGAGGAAAAGCCCGCAAGAGCCGCGTGGAGCTTGTGTGCGGCTTTTGGGGGCTTTTCCTGCCTGCCTCCCCCCTGCCTCCGCTCCATAAGACAGACACACATTTCCCCTTACTTTTTAGGAGGGGAAAAGTGCGTCTTATGGAGCGAAAAATACGGTACTTCTGGGTTTTCGGTGTTTGGGTTCCAAAATGTTTGTCAACAGAGATGTTCGAGAACTGAGGTACCACTGTACAGCTGGATATTGTAGACTGGCCAAATATTGCACACTTAACCAATTAGTTAGGAATTTTGGAACAGTCATTTATTGCAGTATAAAATATTGAGAGCATTTCCTCTTCCTGGACTTAGCTGGCGGTTGAACTGGCAACTTCTAGACCACAGCATGCTCTCAGAACCAGATGGCTGAGCCTTATGTCGCCATTAGGCTCTGATGTCTTAATTAGTTTTCTTATTTTTTGTTGCACTTTTCTTTATTGTAAGATAAATTTGATGAGTTTAATGCAAGCATAAAACAGAATTGTTCTTTCTCAGAGGAGGCAGATATGCTGTGAAGAGTAAGTTTGCCCATCTGTTTCTGGAGGCAAGTCTAGCTGACCATCACATCTCCACAATTCCACTGATTAAGAATCCTTTCCTAATTCTTAACTGACTTTTGTCAGGAGGGTAGAGTGTTTTTTTGGCTCTAGAGCTACAGTGGTGCCTCGCAAGACGAAAATAATCCGTTCCGCGAGTCTCTTCATCTAGCAGTTTTTTCGTCTTGCGAAGCAACCCTATTAGCGGATTAGCGGTTTAGCGGCTATTAAAGGCTTAGCGGCTTAGCGGCTAAAAGGCTATTAGCGGCTTAGCGGCTTAGAAAAAGGGGGGGGAAAGCGAAAAAAATCGCAAGACTCGCAAGACATTTTCGTCTTGCAAAGCAAGCCCATAGGGAAATTCGTCTTGCGAAGCGCATTGAAAAACGGAAAACCCTTTCATCTAGCGGGTTTTTCGTCTTGCGAGGCATTCGTCTTGCGGGGCACCACTGTATTGGCCTTATTTTTGTTCTTCAGATTCCCCCTCCTTGCTCCCCCAGACTCGGACGGGTGCCTTTCTTTTCCTTTCCTGTGGGAAAATATATTGTTGAAATGCAAAGTAAGAGTAGGAGTTAGGAAGTTAGGAAGCTAACTCTTCTAGGTGATAACGTCATTGTAATGACTATACATTGTCCAAACTCTTCATATTCAAAGAGAACTTTACTTACATTAACTGAAAAGAATGTCTTCACAACCTCATGCTTATTCACTTTGTTCCTTATAGAGAGCTTCTGCATAGGTTTCTCCTTAGTAACATTTAGGGATCTTCCTCTGTCTGTTTCACTTCGGACAAATCAGACTGACACAACATTGTCCTCAGCGGTATCCTGAGAAGTCTCTCAGCAGCCATTCTCCACACGCAGAGAGCAGAAAGCAGTTAAAAATGACAGTTGCTGGAATAACAGTCACAACACAATAGAATGCCTCTCTCGTGTGACTCACAGCCAGCCAATCACATGAGAGCTACTGCAAAAGGAAAAACCCCATGTTAAAACTACACAGTAATTTAACATAAGTAAACATTCCCATTTCAGGAATTAAATCATCATCCTTAACAGAGGTGTGGGGGAAGGAGACGAGGAAGAGGACTTTGCACTTGGTGGCACTACCCCATTGAGAATGTATTTGGTGTTGAGCCCATGTAAATAATGCCTTCAAAGCATCCATAAATCAAATTCTTTCCTTCAGTCAAGTCTGGATTGAGGCCTTTGTCTAGGCAGATCAATCATCCATGGCATTTTTCAGTGTCCTGGGTTTAATCTTCAGCATGTCCACATCTTGCCTTTGAATCGTGCCCAGCACTTGCTCAACAGTGCACAGATTTCAAACGTTACTCTGTTTGAACTCTTGTCTCTCTTGAACCTGTTTGCATGAGTCCCATTAAGCACCTGACCTTTGGCTGTGTTTGGCTGGCTCATGGAGGGCTTTGTCTGCGAGTAAGCTAAGTTTGTGTGTGTGTGTTATTGAGGAGCTACACTGTGAGCCTTGTCAATGGGTGGAAGACTCCCATCCCATATTGTTTTGTGTTTATTTCCCTTTCTTCCACTGCTAATTTTCTAAAATTCCCTCAGGTGCCGGAATTCACCACGAACATCTTGCTTGTTCTCTTATAATGGCACCCGAGAGGTGCCAGAACTGAGTTTTGTAAATGAACTGGTCGGCTGCTACTGGGAAAGTCTCCTTGTTCTTCCACCCATTAATGACTTCAGCTTTTCTTTTCTTTTTTTAAAAAAATAATATTTATTAAAATTTCACAAGAAAAAAAACCACATTAATGAAGAAAAAATTAACAATAAAAAGAAAAAATACAAAGTAAAAAAGGAAAAAACAATTAAAAACAATTTCATCTTTTCCTCACTTCTTTTACATTTACTTGTTTCCCGGACCTCCTCTTACCTCCCTCTTTTGTATTCTAATTAAATATGTTAATCCAACAATTCCTTTCCCTCCTTTTTAATCCTAATCTTTAATCTTGATATAATATAACTTTAAATTTTAGATTTTACATATTAAAACCAATTTTTCCATATTCTTTTAGCCTGTACAGCTAGAAACCCCTTAACTTCAATCCAACATCATTCTAACATTCATTAATTTTGCAATATTTCTGTAAATAGTCTTTGAATTTCTTCCAATCTTCTTCCACCGACTCTTCTCCCTGGTCACGGATTCTGCCAGTCATTTCCGCCAATTCCATGTATTCCATCATTTTCATCTGCCATTCCTCCAGTGTGGGTAGATCTTGTGTCTTCCATACTTTGCTGACTTCAGCTTTTCTAGACTGGTGCAGGATACGGCCTCGCAGCAGAATCAACACTGCAGCCCCCTTGCTGTTGTTTTCAATCCTTATTGGCTGCCAATGCAGCAGGGCATCTCCCTTCCTAGTTCGGAGGAAGAGAAGAAGGCCCTTCCTCAGTTCTTTATATTTTCTTAAAGAATGCCTAACCGCTTCCTTCCCTCAGAATAAGGCAGAGAGGAGGGGAAGAGGCACTGCTTCTCTGCTGCCATGTTGGCAGTAGTGAACATTAAAAATAGAAGAAGGCTGAGTCGAGTGGCAGATGAGGAAGGGCCTCATTTTGCTCATTTTCCAAGCACAATTCAAAGTGTTGGTGTTGACCTTTAAAGCCCTAAATGGCCTCGGCCCAGTATACCTGAAGGAGCGTCTCCACCCCCATCGTTCTGCCCGGATGCTGAGGTCCAGCTCCGAGGGCCTTCTGGCGGTTCCCTCACTGCGAGAAGCAAAGCTACAGGGAACCAGGCAGAGGGCCTTCTCGGTGGTGGTGCCCGCCCTGTGGAACGCCCTCCCACCAGATGTCAAAGAGATAAACAACTACCAGACTTTTAGAAAACATCTGAAGGCAGCCCTGTTCAGGGAAGTTTTTAATGTGTGACATTTTGATGTGTTTTTAATCTTTTTATGATTATGATGATTATTATTATTGAACTGGACTTGACTGGGAGGTGGCTTTGTCCCCTTAGTGATGAAGACAGGACCGTCAAAAACCCTTGCTCCAGAGATTGATAGGTGGGGTCACCTTTCCCAGGACCTTGTCCTAATGTTGAGGAGAATGAATGTTCAATACTCTAGTCATGGCAGCCCAGTGGGTAAATTTTGCTGTTTCTTCCGATCATTTAGTTAGCTGCTGATGCTCTAAAATAGATAGGTTCATGGGTTCTAGTCGGATCTTGATGTCAATATCGTTTATTCAGATCCAGCAAAAACACACACACAAAACCCCCACAAAATCCGAACTTGAAATGGAGATTTGACCAGGTAGATGTTTACTTGCACTGTTTGTTTTCACTGCACAGTAGGCCTACAGAATTTAGAGCAAGCAAAGTACAGTACTCTGTAGCTTCTTCCATTTCTTTTAGAAGAGCAAAAGAGAAAAGCTGATGCATTTTAGATTTCATTGCGGTTAATTGATGCTACATGCACAACAACATGGCCGCCTCTTGTTTATTTGTCATGCCTCTTTATTAACACAGGAGAGCTCCCATTGCTTTCTTCCAGTTCCTGCCAACCTAGCAGTTTGAAAGCATACCAGTGTGAGTAGATAAATAGGTACCACTGCGACGGGAAGGTAAACGGCGTTTCCATGGGCTGTGGCACTCGTCACGGTGTTCCATGCACCAGAAGCGGTTTAGTCCTGCTCGCTACATGACCCGGAAAAGCTTTCTGCGGACAAATGCTGGCTCCTTTACCTTTTACCTTTTATTAACATGGGAAGTTAAATAAGTTGTTTTTATTCTGACCTCTTGTTATCTGTGCTTTTTGTCTTCCATTAAATATTTTCAAGACATGTTCAGCCCCAGTAGTGGTGACTGGGATCTCCTGCTCTTGTTCTTGGGTGCATCTGTGCCCAACTAGGCACTTTCGCTGATATGAGGTGTTGATTTGTCCTTTCTCAGATTTAACAACCTGGGTGTGCTCCATGTGACCAAGAAAAACATGATGGAGGTCATCCGGGACAAGCTGAAGAAGCAGAAGTTGCGAACCAGAGTGCAGTCTCTGACAGGTGACCTTGAACTGGGAAGGAAACATCTGGGGAGTGGTTTGCTAGGAACTGTCTGCCCCTCTACCTGTTAAACTATTTGTGTGTGTGTGTGTGTGTGTGTGTGTGTGTGTGTGTTGAGGTTCTATAACTGATTTGGAGTACAGTGGTACCTCAGGTTACATACGCTTCAGGTTACTTACGCTTCAGGTTACAGACTCCGCTAACCCAGAAATAGTGCTTCAGGTTAAGAACTTTGCTTCGGCATGAGAACAGAAATTGTGCTTCGGCGGCATGGCAGCAGCAGGAGGCCCCATTAGCTAAAGTGGTGCTTCAGGTTAAGAACAGTTTCAGGTTAAGAACGGACCACCGGAACGAATTAAGTACAGTGGTGCCCCGCAAGACGAATGCCTCGCAAGACGAAAAACTCGCTAGACAAAAGAGTTTTCCGTTTTTTGAGTCGTTCCGCAAGACGAATTTCCCTATGGGCTTGCTTCGCAAGACGAAACGTCTTGCGAGTTCTTGCAAGTTTGTTTCCTTTTTCTTAAAGCTGCTAAGCCGTTAATAGCCGCTAAGCCACTAATAGCCGTGCTTCGCAAGACGAAAAAACCGCAAGACGAAGAGACTCGCGGAACGGATTAATTTCGTCTTGCGAGGCACCACTGTACTTAACCCGAGGTAGCACTATACTGGATCAGTCTCAGTTCACTCTGGGACTAGAGGTGCAAGATTCATACCATGGTTCTCACTTGAAATGTGCAACAAGTCAATTGGTGTAACGTGTTAGCATGGCAGGCAGTGGTTAAGTATGAATGAAAAAGAGTTACTTGCCAGTGACAAGAAGCTTCACACAATTTTCCTCTTAATAGCATTCTTAGTTTACAGAACATGACTGAGGTTTTGGATGTGCCTGGCTTCTCCAAGACAGCAGTCATAGAATTAGAATTGTAGAGTTGGAAGGGACCCTGTGGGTCATCTAGTCCAACCCCTTGCAAAGCAGGAATATGCTGCTATCCCTTACGGGGATAGAACCTGCAACCTTGGTGTTACCAGCGCCACACTCTAACCAACCGAGCTATCCAGGTGACAATGAGTCTACGCACCTGACTTTAAAGGATTTTGGGTTTCCATGCAGAACTGTGCCTCTGAGCGTGTGTAGAAGGCATTGCCCTCTATAGAGTGGCCGCAATCTGATCCTTCCCACTATGTCTGGAATGGGAAGGAAGGCCCTTTAACTCAAAATCACCCCTTTCTGGGGTATGGGGGGGCTCGAAATCTGGTGTACCTAATAGGGGCAAGGTACAGGAAAGGGGAGGGATGCGGGTGGCACTGTGGGTTAAACCACAGAGCCTAGGGCTTGCTGATCAGAAGGTTGGCGGTTCAAATCCCCGCGATGGGGTGAGCTCCTGTTGTTCGGTCCCAGCTTCTGCCCACCTAGCAGTTCGAAAGCACACCAGTTCAAGTAGATAGCTAGGTACCACTCCGGCGGGAAGGTAAACGGCATTTCCGTGCGCTGCTCTGGTTCACCAGAAGTGGCTTAGTCATGCTGGCCACATGACCCGGAAGCTGTACGCTAGCTCTCTCGGCCAGTAAAGCGAGATGAGCGCCGCAACCCCAGAGTCGGTCACAACTGGACCTAATGGTCAGAGGTCCCTTTACCTTTACCTGTACAGGAAAGGGGAAGACTGAAATTAGGGAGAGGAGTGTAGTGAAAGGGAAGGGCAGAACAGAACAGGGTTGAGAACAGAACACAGCATGCGAGAGGAATGGCTTGCTGGAGCTTAGCATGAGCTTCCCTTTCTATTGCCAGGCCCTTGGGCTTGAAACCTGGGAACAAACATCGCATTCGAGCTTGTGTAATGTTCCTTTCTTCTTCGCTTTCTGTCAGATTGCCCCTTAAAATAGGGGCCAGCATTGAAGTATGACTTTCTAGAAGCTGGGCTCTTCAGTGGCCCTAGTGGGAGCTTTGTGCTTCCAGTGGAAGACTCACTCACATGGGTTTGATTAAAATGGGACAACTTGTTCAAGTGTTTTTCCAGGGTGTAATGGTCCAAAAGCAAGTCAGGGTCGCCCTTGCTGTAGCCCCCAAGGTTTTGTTTGAGACATCAGAAGCTATTATGAGGGGTTGACTGACATAACTTTCTAACCAACTCAATTCCGCTTTTCTCAGTATGCCCGGTATAATGTGGACCTTTGTGTCTTTTCGATATAATTTGTAAACTAGTTTCCTGCACAGTTATCAACCCAGTAAAGGTGCAGGAGCCCAGAAATTCTGGGTTCGGATCTTTGCCTCTGCTGTAAACTTTGTAGGTGCTTTTGGGCCAGTTGCAATTTCTTGACCTTGGATCTCCAACCTGTAATTTGGAGATCGTGATTCTGACCTCTCTTACGCGCAGTTACTGCAAGGATTATATGGAGCACTTCAAAAACTCAAGGCACTATGCAGATGTTAGGTAATTGGCTTTCCGTTTGCCGACGACAAGCCCCATCCTGCCACATGGGAGCCACTTCCAAGAAGCCATGTGTTTTAGTAGAGTGTGGAGAAAGCCCACTGGGGTTCCCTAGGGGTAGGAGAGAACATACAGCAATTACTGCAGGAGTCTTAGCGCCATATAGATCCAAAATAATTTCTCTCCCAGCTGTTGGTTCATATGGTAGGCGGAGATTGTATACATGACATGCGTTTGCAAATCATTGAGAGCATCCTGCCTCATTAATAGTTACTCTGATAGCAAGAGTAGGGCTGGGTGATATAGTGACATATCGCCCAAAACCTGTTTGAAGTCCATATTGTGATATCTGTTTTGTAATTTTTGACCTGGCAATATATCACAAGTCATGATGTGCTATTCAAAAATATGGGAAAAACTGAAGCCAGCCCAATGCCTCTACATAGCTCCATCCTTATTTCTGACATTGTGATATATCAGTATATCGCAATGTTTAGTTGGTGATGTATTGTGATGTTTAATACCAGATATCGCCTGATGGCAGATAGCAGATGGCATCAAAGGCAGCCCATACAGGAGGGATGGGGTACTTGTTGTCCTTCAGAGACATTATGAGATGACCTCTTGCCTTTGGTTGGGAAGGGTACACTCTGACGTGGGGTACAGGATCCCCGGGTTTGTGGATGTAGTAGCCCTTGTTTGCCAGGTGTATAATTCAGCATCTACTTTGGCAGAATCTGAAGAAGAGGAGATTGAGCAAGAGGCTAAGGAGCTGAAGAAAACAATGGACCTCAGCATTGTCCGGCTGCGATTCAGTGCCTACCTTCGTGACAGCAGTGGGAACTTCAGCCTGGCGCTGAAGCCGGTTATCTCGGACCCTATCCATGACAGCAGTAAGTCTTCTCTCTTGGTCCGTAGACTGACCTCAGTTGGGGTTTCACCCTTGTTTGGAGGAGAGCCATGGAGCAAGCATTTGCCACTGTGTCTACTGCTCGGCCAGGTTTTGAACATCGGCATCTGGTTAGCCACAGTATGGTCCAAACCGCAGAGCCTCTTGGGCTTGCCGATCGGGAGGTCGGCGGTTCAAATCCCCGTGACGAAGTGAGCTCCCATCGTTCTGTCCCAGCTCCTGCCAACCTAGCATTTGAAAGCACGCCAGAGCAAGTAGATAAATAGGTACTGCTGTGGTGGGAAGGTAAACGGCGTTTCTGTGCACTCTGGTTTCCATCACGGTGTCCCGTTGCACCAGAAGTGGTTTAGTCATGCTGGCCACATGACTCAGAAAGCTGTCTGTGGACAAACGCCGGGTCCCTTGGCCTGAAGCAAGATGAGTGCTGCATCCGCATAGTTGCCCTTGACTGGACTTACCGTATTTTTCGTCCTATAGGGCGCACCGGCCCATAGGATGCACCTTGTTTTTTTTGGGGGGGGGGAATGAATAAAAAAAAATTATCCCCCCCCGCCGCGGCTGCCGCCCCAAGCCTTGCGCACACCTGCCCGAAGCACGGGAGCCCTCCGGAGGGCTCCCCGTGCTCGGCGCAGGCTGCCGCCCCAAGCCTCGCGCACTCGGCGGGACCTCCTGCCGGGCGCGCAAGGCTTGCAGACACTCACCCGAAGCTGCCGCCCCAAGCCTCACACACCCGGCGGGACCTTCTGCCGGGCGCGCAAGGCTTGCGGACACTCGCCGGGGCTGCAGGCTGCTGCCCGCAAGCCTTGTGAGCCCGCGGGAACTCCCACCGGGCTTGCAAGGCTTGCGGATAGCTTCCTGAAGCCTGGAGAGCGAGAGGGGTCGGTGCGCACCGATGCCTCTCGCTCTCCAGGCTTCAGCGAAGCTCTGCATTCGCCCCATAGGACGCACACACATTTCCCCTTCATTTTTGGAGGGGAAAAAGTGCGTCCTATGGGGCGAAAAATACGGTAACTGTCCAGGGGTCCTTTACCTTTACCTTTTTACCTTGCTGGGCTGGGTGGGGCTTTGACCTCATCCAGCTGCTTATGTTCTTAAGAAGAGTTCTGCTGGCTCGCAGCAACTGGCTTTCGTTTCACTTTTTATTTGTATACCTCCTTTCTATATTACTATACTGAAGGCGGTTTGCAAGCTGAAGAGATGACAGAAATCATGCACACACCTTGTAACAAGCTGATCAAGTACAAAAAAAAGTCATAATGCATACATAACATTAAAATAAACAACTTCAAATAAAGCAACACTCAGTAATCCATTAGAATGTAATGGTGCACAATGAAATTAAATATCAGCAAACCGTAATTAAACATAAATTCTTAGCAACCTGTTTTAGCCGTGGGCCGGTCCACCGTCCCTCAGACCATGTGGTGGGCCATACTATATTTTGAAAAAAAAATTGAACAAATTCCTATGCCCAACAAATAACCCAGAGATGCATTTTAAATCAAAGCACACATTCTGCTAATGTAAAAACACCAGGCAGGTCCCACAAATAACCCAGAGATGCATTTTAAATAACAGGACACATTCTACTCATGTAAAAAAACACTGATTCCCGGACCGTCCGTGGGCTGGAATGAGAAGGCAATTGGGCCGCATCTGGCCCACGGGCCTTAGGTTGCCTACCCCTGCTTAACGCTCTTAAAAATTACAATAAATAATTACTAAACCGTTAGCAATAAAAAAAGAACAGCAAGTCACAATGCGTAAAATGCCACAATACATACAAAACCATGTAAAAGGGTCAAACAAAGGCACACAACTTATCACGTTGTTGTTGTTTTTAATCCCGGAACTCCTGTCTTCAGTGTGTGCCCCATCTCTGATATTGGGAAGACCACCACAGCTGCATTTAGGCCTCAAGGTTGACACATCTGTTGAGAGGAGTATGCCATCCTTCTCCCCAGGGCCTGATTGTTGATATTTTGGGTCTTACAGACTTTGTAGAACACTAATTTCAAGTTCACATTTGTGCTGGAGAGCTTACAAGCTCAGGTAGGGCGTGGGGAACTAGGCTGTATGGGAGACACCACAAACTATGGCCACCAGGTGGCAAGTAGTAGCCATAAATCACTTCCTGTCTGAGCGTGTAGTGAGGCCTTCTACCAAGATCTCCTTGCATTGCGCAGAACATGGAAGAGAGTTGAATCTCTCTCTGCACCACATTTTGGAGATCCCTCCTCCTCCTCAGTCTCCATAGCTTCGCACAAATGGAAAGACTGACACATTCCTTCTGGGTGCATGGCTAGAGTACATGAGAGGGGTGGGTTGATGGTAATCGCAAAAAATAATGGGCTGCCGAGGCTAGCCAAAATTTGTGAACCTCTAGGCGCACATTTGGCTTGAAATAATGTGGCTCTCGTATGGAGTCCCCTTTCTTACATTTGTACTCATGATTACATACAAAAAAGCTGCCTGGATCTCAGTTACACAGCTCTGCCTTTTCCTTGCTCTTCAGAATCTCCCGGGGCTTCCAACCTGAAGATCTCAAGAATGGACAAGACAGCTGGCTCCGTGCGAGGCGGGGATGAAGTTTACCTGCTGTGTGATAAAGTCCAGAAAGGTGAGCGCTTATTCCCCTTATTTTCTTATCTTTCATTTGTTGATGTTTTTGGGGGAGTGGCATCAGAGGTCTTGAACATTAGGAAGCATCAGACGGGGTTGCCAACAAGGTGACTTGAGATCTTTTCTGGGCACCCAGGAAGCCACTGCCTCCTTGGTCGTGAGATTATGAGGATGGTTTCTCTTGGAAAATTTTCCAAGAGCAGTGGCACACTTATTATTTCATCTCTGCATGCTTTTGAAGGCTCGGATTGATTCTGCTGGATCTCACTTTTACTCAGATCCATTGGGAAAGAAGCCTGTGCACATGGTCCTTTTCTGTGGGCTGGGCTGGGGGGTGTTGATCTGGAGGAACAGAAGTGACCAGAAAAGGATGTCCTCACAACATCTGTTCAAAAATCCATATGTGCCCACAGGCTTTAAAAGCTTGGAGGTACCCTATCCAATTATGCCTGTGAGTCTTAAGAGCTTGATTCCTTGTACTCCTGTTAAACATTCTTCAGAAATCTGGATGGATACCAAATTCTGACCCGGTTTTATTGGTTTCTTCATTGTTCTCAAGACTACTTCGCTTGGCTAGGATTTTCCAAATACAGATGTATATGTGTATATATATATAGATAGATAGATAGATAGATAGATAGATAGATATAGATATAGATATAGATATATTTGTTTGTGCACTTTCTTACCTGCCCTTTCATCTTAAGTTCCCAGGGGGCCCAGTTACAGCCCTAGAAAATAGGATTGCGAAAAGTAAATAAATTTGTTCGAATGGAACAGGACAACTTGTTGCGTTTCTGCCAGCTTGCTTCAGAAGAAGCAAGTGTAGACATGGCTTTCCAAGGCAGACGGTCCCTTTGTAAATTGGGCCTCGGAGGGCTCTTCATTAGCACAAGGAGAAGGAATGAAGGAAGACCCCATGTGGCTGCGGAGGAGACTTGTGGCCTGAAAATGGCTTGGGAAAGGGAGAAAACGATGCTCTAGAGCAGGCATCCCCGAACTCTGCCCTCCAGCTGTTTTGGGACTACAATTCCCATCCCTGACCACTGGTCCTGTTAGCTAGGGGTGATGGGAGTTGTAGTCCCAAACAGCTGAAGGGCTGAGTTCAGGGATACCTGCTCTAGAGGGCTGGACTGTGGTCACATAGTGGTATTGATTGCATGCACTGAGAATGTATTGTGTGTGGAGAGAGAGAAGACCTTAATAAATGAGACCCTGTGCTAGTTCAGATGCCTGGGACCTGAGACAGGGTGGGTTGGTGCTTTCTCACAAGGGAAATAACTTTTTTCTTCCTCCTCCAGATGATATTGAGGTGCGGTTTTATGAAGACGATGAGAATGGCTGGCAGGCCTTTGGGGACTTCTCCCCTACAGATGTACATAAACAGGTACCGGTTGGGTCGTGGGAGGCCTGGGTCCCACTCAAAAGATCGGTCTTGCTGAGCAAGTCTCTTGTCAGCTTGAGCAATTAGATGTCAAGATTGTGTAGCATTTTGTGTAGCACCAGGCTAAAAGATAGGTAAAAGACCACCAGGTTTTGTGTGCGTGGGAATTTAAGGATTGTAAGTGTGTGCTTGGGGTTTCATCTGCCTGGGGAAAATGAGAGGTTCTGCTAGTATACATAGGTCCTAAGCATATGCTTTTGGATTGTTGTCGCCTCTTAAACCTGATGAGCTTCGCAAGATCTTTGGAAAGCCCATCTCCTTTCCCTGGTTTGCTCGCCTCTCGTGACCAGTGAACGCAAGCCCCGGGAAACTGGGTTTTTCTTCCAATAAAGCTCGGAGGGTGATAAAACTATATTCTGCATGGTTGTGCGACTTACTTTAGGTCGTGAACCAGGCAACTACTTGCCCATTTCCATTGCTATTCCTGGGCGAGGTGAGTGACTTGGCAGCTGCAGGGGATGCATGGACGAAACTGATTTCTTCAGACACATCAGTTAGGACTTGGGGCCAAGATGCAGAATAAGCTGCAGCAGTTGTCCTAGTTGATGATCCATTTCTAGAGGTATATTTCCCTGGACGCCTCAGATCTGTTCAATATCGTAGGCTCGTGAAATCCTGCTGAGCTATTTTTGGGCACTGTATTGTGATGGTTCTCCTGCTGGCTGGTGGGATTTTAGAAGGGTTAATACTTAACTGGGCAGCGGCTGTAGCTCAGTGGCCTTCTATGCAGTGGGTTCAATCCCTGGTGTCTCTAGGCAGGACTAGAAACTTCTCCCAGATACCCTGGAAGCAGCTTCCAGACAGTGTTGACAATACTGAATAAGACTGAGCAATGGTCTGACTCAGTGGAAGGCATCTTCCCATATTCCTAATATTTTGCTGCTCTGCCTCATGGGAATTACCGTATTTTTCGCTCTATAAGACGCACCAGACCACAAGACGCACCTAGTTTTTGGAGGAGGAAAACAAGAAAAAAAATATTCTGAATCTCAGAAGCCAGAACAGCAAGAGGGATCACTACGCAGTGAAAGCAGCGATCCCCCTTGCTGTTCTGGTTCCTGGGATAGCTGTACAGTCTGCATTTGCTCCATAAGACGCACACACATTTCCCCTTACTTTTTAGGAGGGAAAAAGTGAGTCTTATAGAGCAAAAAATACGGTAATCTCTCGGGTGCTGCAAGAATATCTCTCTATCAAACCGCTGTGGGTAGGAGGGAGCCTGTCAGTTTTGAGCTCACTTTTCTCTGTGTGCTTATGACATCCAACTCTGCTTTTGATTCTCCTCTAACCCACGGCAATAGTTAAGTTCTTTATGTTATGATACATTGACTCTGAATCAGTCAGAGCTGCCTCTTGGGTTGCCACTTAAGCCCTATTCAGGTGTCCACACTTTGTGTCCTTGCAGTACGCCATTGTGTTCCGCACGCCGCCCTACCACAAGACCAAGATTGAGCGCCCGGTCACCGTGTTCCTTCAGCTGAAGCGCAAGCGAGGGGGTGACGTGAGTGACTCCAAGCAGTTTACCTACTACCCGGTGGTGGAAGGTACAGGGAGCTTGTACCAAGAAGTGTCTTGCTACTTCTGTTTGTCCAGTGCCAGCGCAGGGCCTTGTCTTTGACGACTCTCCTCTTATGTCCTTGGTTGCAGATAAGGAAGAAGTGGAGAGGAAGAGAAAGAAGACCTTGCCCCAGTTCCCTCAGCACTTTGGGGGCGGCTCGCCTATGGGAGGCGCTGGGGGTGGAGCCGGCGGATTTGGTTCTGGCGGAGGTAAACGTTGCTCTTTGTTGACGGAGGCTTGGGGAGTTTGGAGTGCCTTGCTCTTAGGTGGCTTCCTAGTTTTGAGATCGAAGGCTTTTCATTGCATTAGTTTTGGCAGCAGAGTATAGACTCCAGGAGAGCCTGTAAAATTCTGGCACTGGGCAGTGGAACCCTGAGCATCTTCCACTCTTGTAGGAAGCCAACTACCCCTGGAGCTCCTTGGGGGTAAAGGCCACCTGACCACGGGAAGCTGGGTTTTAAGCTGTCAGGTTATAAAACGTTGATAGGCGCATCCTTTGCATGGATGTCTTGGGTGCAAAAATAAATGGGTTCGGTTGTGGGTCTCTCCCCAACATCATCTGACATGTAAGCAGGGGCAAAGGATTTCTTTAGCTCTTCTGTGATTTCCTGACCCCCCTCCCTTTACACCTTTTTTCATCTGTCTGGTGCTTTTTTAAAGAAAGGAGTCTCCATTATTTAGCCCAGTGTTTCCCCAGCTTGGGTCTCCAGCTGTTTTTGGACTACAGCTCCCATCATCCCTGACCACTGGTCCTGTTAGCTAGGGATGATGGGAACTGTAGTCCAAAGACTGCCAGAGACCCAAGTTGGGGAAACACTGATTTAGCCTAAGCACCTTTAGTGATGGCCTGTCTTTCCTTCTGATTAGCCATATTATTTGGTTTACACTTGTTCTGCTGGTGTAACATGTCCTTTGTTTTGGAGAGGCTTTCACTTCTGTAAAAAGCAGTTGCCTTGCCTTTGGAAGACCATCCGTCATGGATGTTTTCGTTGAGATTCCTGCCTTTCAGGGGGTTTGGATTAAATGACCCTGGGGTCCCTTACACCTTGACAATTTGATGACTCAATGGCCACTTTTTGCTTTTCTCATTCTGTACTTCATGTGATAAACATCTTCTATGTGTTGGCTTAGAGATAAAACAGAGAATCTGCATAGGCACTTTGGTGTAATGGTAAGGCAGGTTAGGACCGTAAGAAGCTGCCTTAAGACTCTTTGTCCACCTACCTTAGTGTTGGGACGCAGGTGGTGCTGTGGGTTAAACCACAGAGCCTAGGGCTTGCCGATCAGAAGGTCGGCGGTTCGAATCCCCACGACGGGGTGAGCTCCCGTTGCTCGGTCCCTGCTCCTGCCAACCTAGCAGTTTGAAAGCACATCAAAGTGCAAGTAGATAAATAGGTACCGCTCCGGCGGGAAGGTAAACGGTGTTTCCGTGCGCTGCTCTGGTTTGCCAGAAGCGGCTTAGTCATGCTGGCCACATGACCCGGAAGCTGTACGCCGGCTCCCTCGGCCAATAAGGCGAGATGTGCGCCGCAACCCCAGAGTCGGCCACAGCTGGACCTAATGGTCAGGGGTCCCTTTACCTTTACCTTAGTGTTGCCTGCAGTTGCACTGACAGCGACTTGCCAAGAATTCAAGCAAGTCTCTCCCAGCCCTACCGGGACATGCTGGTGATTGGACTTGGTGTGTAATGCATGCAAAATAGAAGCTCTAGCCACTGAGCTACAGCGAGTCCCCATCCCACTAAAGGGTTGAGGGTGGGGATGCTACTGTAGCTCAGTTCCACAACATTCTTTGATATGAAACGTATCTCTGGCTTTAAGTGAGCCACTGCTGCTGACGGCTGTGAGCGATTCTGGACAATTCATGGGGTGGAATTGCTAAAAGAGCGCAGAGTAGTTTGCTTAATTAGACAGACAGAGAGAGAGAGAGAAGGCTGATCTTCCAATGCAATTTGTTGAGGCAGTTCCAATTCCTGCAGCAAGTGGAAACTGCTAATTACCATTCGCTTTACACCTTTCCCCGTGACTCGGGAGGCGAGCGTTCTTTCCAAAGACAAAACCATGCACTCTTGAAGCAGGGAGCCCTCTGACGGAGTCATTATTTTAATTTACTAGCTTGTCTTCAGCGCAGAGAAGGGGGTCTGGATAACAACGCTCTGCAGAACAAACGGCAGGCGTGTCAGATGTTGCAGAATTAGTAAGCCCTGAGCTGAGCATGCCCAGGGGGCTGGTTTCTATTTTTAAAGGAGAACGTGCCGCAGATCAAGGTTTCTGGGTTGCAAAGCGGGGAGCAAAGTCTAGTCGCTGTTGACGGCTAGAATACAGGCTCACAAACTCTCCTGCAGTAAACTGAACAGTGCCAGTTTCAAATGTGATATCTGAAAGTCCTAAGTTGAGCCGTGACTTTGCCAGTGCGTTATTAGCTTGGGAGCTACTGCCGTGTCTTTGCTCAGCTGGTGACAAAGCAGTGCATAAGTGCAGACCTGACTTATTGGGGCTTGCCCCCCTTCTGCTTTCCAACAGCTACAATTTGCGAACAGTGCGTAGGCAGCTTGCATGCCAACTGTGGGCAGGGACATAACCAGAAGTGGTTGGGACCACCCCCTCTCCCACCCCTCTCTCTTTCTTCTCCCCTTCTCTTCCCTGCTTTTCCACTTGACTGCCAGGGGAGGGACGGGTTCCTTTTGCTAGAAGTCTGAAATATTTATCGAGGGCTCCTGAAATTTAGCCACGCGTCGCCCAACCCTGTGAGCACAACTGGGCTAACATAGAAACCTCTCTCTATCTCTGTGTTGTGTGTAAACGCCTGCCTACCCCAGCTGGGAATCCCTGGCACTCAGCGGGATACAGCTCTTGCAGCAACAGCAGCATCTACCTCTCCGGCACCTACCCGATGGGCAACTACCAAGGAGGGAGGGGCATCCACATGCCAGGAACTTCCAAGCCGGAAGAGGGGGAACAGCAAACATTAGAAGATGGGAGCCGGGTCTCCACGGAGGAAAAGCGCTACGCAGAACTGCTGCAGCATGGTACGTCTGTGAGACGAGTGCAGTCCAAAGTAGTCTGGAGTTAAGAGGTGTTTTGGAAGCAGTTTACGTGCTGGAGAGTTCTCTAAATCCATATATAGAATGAAATATACACATTCTATATGAAAGAGCCACAAAGGGCAAACCACCTAAGAGGTATGCTGATGAGTTTGCTAAAACAGCTGTTGTTAGTAACTCAGTGAAGGTTTGGGAACCTTCAAGCTTCCAAGAGGTCCAAGATTTAACCTCAAAGGATGCAGGTAAAGGTAAAGGGACCCCTGACCATTAGGTCCAGCTGTGACCGACTCTGGGGTTGCGGCGCTCATCTCGCTTTATTGGCCGAGGGAGCCGGCGTACAGCTTCCGGGTCATGTGGCCAGCATGACTAAGCTGCTTCTGGCAAACCAGAGCAGCGCACGGAAACGCCGTTTACCTTCCCGCCACAGTGGTACCTATTTATCTACTTGCACTTTGATGTGCTTTTGAACTGCTAGGTTGGCAGGAGCAGGGACCGAGCAACGGGCGCTCACCCTGTCGCGGGGATTCGAACCACCGACCTTCTGATCGGCAAGTCCTAGGCTCTGTGGTTTAACCCACAGCGCCACCCGCGTCAAAGGATGCAGAGCCATGTTTAAAAGCCATGAAGGCTGAACTTGATTCCTTAGAGAGGAACAAGACCTTGAAGAAGTTGCGCCAGGGCTACTACGAGTGGCTGCTGCAGCTGCAAGGCTGAGAGGGGAGACGCTCCGGCTGGGGCCAAGCCAGTTGGTTTTATCCCCCGGTTCCGACAGCCATAGCCACAGTGGCCCATCTCTTCCCCTTCCTTCCCCGCTCCCCCAGGAGCCAAACCGATGGTGCTACAAGCTGTAGGACTCTGGCATGTGCACATAGCTGGGGGGGCCACTCTTTATCCTCCAAGCATCACCGGCTTTTTAGTTCCACACTTAATTAATTAATCTGGGAATGTCTGCTTGTAAAAGCCACATGCTCCACCACGGACCTGTGACCTTCCCCTGTTGCAGGGATGGGGAGAACTATTTTCAGCCAGGGTGGGGTGTGTTCCTCCATGAGCATCCGTTTCGAGGGGTAGTGGGCACACGATGGCCAGAGGAAAAAGTGGGCAGAGAGACTCCCACCTTTTGTATCAGTAGGTTGCGCTGCAGCCTCGCGAAAGGCGGTTTTCTGCACACACATTCTCTGTCCAGACAAGCAAGACACATTATCGGGTGCCAAGAGCACGTTCCACCCAGGCAAAAGCAGCAAAAGGGGGTGGAGCAGGAAGGTGTGGGTCCCAATAGGAGAGACCTGGAGGGTCGCATCTGGACCCTGTGGGGCCCCCCAACCCGCTGCCCTAGTAGGGCAAAGCTTGGCAAGGGTGGTGTTGTGTCCAGGGGGATTCATGCACAGTGACCGAGTGCAAGAAGTCCAGTTTGGCCACCGGCAGAGGGTTGCATTCACACAGTGCCTTTTCCCTGTCCCCCTAGCTCAGGAGTGCAGTTCGTGGATGCTGATGCTGGCTCGGCGCAGCTCCCGGGCTCTTCTCGACTACGCAGTCACGGCCGACCCACGGATGCTGCTGGCTGTGCAGAGGCACCTAGCTGCCTCTCAGGACGAGAACGGAGACACGTGAGTCTGCTGCGGGCGGAGCGGGGCCTTTGGGGCAGGCGCTGTCTGGTGTGTGGGAGGAGGCGGGAGCAAGCAGGCTTCCTCAGAGACTCCACAATTCGGGGGACAGTTGCCCGCTTCCTTCAAGTGTTCTGTTGGAGGCAAGAGTCTGAAGGGTGGTGCTAGGGAGGAGCTACAGCCAGTGTGGTGGTGTGGTTAAGAGCGGTAGTCTCGTAATCTGGGGAACCGGGTTCGCGTCTCCGCTCTTCCACATGCAGCTGCTGGGTGACCTTGGGCCAGTCACACTTCTTTGAAGTCTCTCAGCCCCACTCACCTCACAGAGTGTTTGTTGTGGGGGAGGAAGGGAAAGGAGACTGTTAGCCACTTTGACATTACCTAGGGTTGTGATAAAGCGGGATATCAAATCCAAACTCTTTTTCTCCTTCTCCTTCTCCTTCTCCTTCTCCTTCTCCTTCTCCTTCTCCTCCTCCTCCTCCTCCTCCTCCTTCTCCTTCTCCTCCTTTTTTCTGCCTCTTGAAATTTGGAAAAGGAAGCAAGGGCTCATGGAAAGGAATTCTGCTGCCCGCTTGACAATATATTCAGTCTCTCTCGGAGTTAGGAAACATTTCTCGATACCTCCCCGCCCCCCAATTTAATGTTAATATTTTATCGGAAGGATTTCAGTTATAAAGAAAGTGATACAGAGAAGAAAAGGGGGGAGTGAGGGTGGGCAAAAGAACAAAGAGGTGTATAAGGGACAAAAAAATAATAATGCAGTGTATACATTCTTATATAAATTGATATCATGTTATTTCTTGATACCTGATCTGAGTCCTTTAGTATAAACTCCAAGAAACTGCCGTTCCCTTAACATGTTTGACTAGGTTTTTAGATATTTTGATAAAAGCTATCCCCTTTTCTCAGTCTTTGGTTTGTGTCCATTTTTCCAGCTTTTTTCTTATACATTGCGCAGACTCGAAAATCTTAGTTTTTCTTTGAAATTCCTTTAAATTGTGAGAACAGCAGTTCTCACCAGATGGTGAGAACAATGGGTGCTTGTGGCTGCTGTCGGTTTGTATTATTCTTGGGTTTTAGTACATATTTTGTGTTTTTATTTTGCATTTTTATGCTGTGAACTGCCATGAGACAGGTGAAGGGCGGGGTTACATATTTAATAAATAAATATAGTAAAACAAGTGAGCACAGAGCTGTAGCGGAGGCCTGATCAGAACTCCTTGTCTGGTCTTCAGCTTGTCCTCTGCCATTCCGCAGTCCACTCATACGAAAACGTGTCCCATTTGCAATATTTAATTGCCTCCAGTAGTTTCTGGAGCAAACATTTTCCTTCTTTGGACCAGAAAGCCCCCAATGTAGGGGGAGTTTTGGATCCTCCTTTGCAAATTGTAGAAGCGGGGACTTGGTGACGCACACAGACCATAGCTAGGAGTTGGACTCGCTTCTTGCCCCGTCTGCGACTGACCGCACAGTTCCCGAGAACTTCATCTTCCTGCTCTTAAGACAATAATCTTGTCTGTTCCCACAGGCCTTTGCACCTGGCTATCATCCATGAGCAGACAGCTGTGATTGCACAGCTGGTCCAAGTGGCAGTCAGCATCCCCAACCAGCAGATCCTCAACATTGCAAATCACTTGCAGCAGGTATAGTAGATGATGTTTCAGAGTGCAGTTTCTCCGTCCCCTGCCCCCCTAATCCTTTTGTCTGCATTCCCTAGCACTGTTTGGCTTGTGTGTGCCGTGAGAGTGAGAGAGAAAGGATCTCTCTCTTTTCCCTGAGAGCCAGTGTGGTGTAGTGGTTAAGAGCGGTGGACTTGTAGTCTGGTGAACCAGGTTCGATTCCCCGCTCCTCCACATGCAGCTGCTGGGTGACCTTGGGCTAGTCATACTTCTCTGAAGTCTCTCAGCCCCACTCACCTCAGAGTGTTTGTTGTGGGGGAGGAAGGGAAAGGAGATTGTGAGCCGCTTTGAGACTCCTTAGGGTAGTGATAAAGCGGGATATCAAATCCAAACTCCTCTACTCCTCCTCTTCACTAAATCCACCATTCTTCCAAGTTCTGATCCTGCCATGCCTTTACTCTTGGTGAGCTGTGATGCCCTCGCACAGACTCCTCCTTGGCTTTGTCTTAAGAAGGAGCTGCTGCTGGACGATGCCAAATCAGCAAAACTAGCAGCTAAAGCAAGAGAACTTAAAGATGACTGTTTTATGGAAGAATTGGAAGCCCTTTTTTGCACCATTTAAAGAAATGTTATAATGTGATGAAGATGTGAGCAGGATTTGAACTACGACAACAGAAAAAATGAGAGATTATTGTTTTATGGTTATGATATAGAAGAGTGAAGAGTGCAGCAATGGGACAGATTTTTTTAAAAAAAAAACACAGAAAATGGGATGGAAAGTCGACAAAACTAAAGAAAAAGTAATTATTGGAATTTTATGTGAAATACACACACACACACACACACAGTGGTACCTCGGTTGTCAAATGCAATCCGTTCCGGAAGACTTCTGAAATGTTTGACAACCGAGGCACAATGGGTGGTCCGCAAAATCCATTGAAAAAATGGAGAAACACGCCTCGGAAGTCACTCAACTTCCGAGGCACGTTCGAAAACAGAATCATTCACTTCTGGGTTGTCGGCATTCGAAAGCCGAAGCATTCTACTTCCGAAGCGTTTGACAACCGAGGTACCACTGTATAAAAGAGCTGCTGAAAGCAGACCCCATGGCGTTGGAACGTAAGCCCATAACGAGTTAAGAAAATGAGGTGGTCCCAACTTTTCCTTTGTCTGCTGGGATTCTTCTTTGTCAACTTCCTGTTCACTTTGGCGCTGGCCAATATGGCGCCTCCAGCTGTTGTTGGGCTGCAACTACTACCATTCCTCTCCATGGGCCGCCATGCTGGCAGGAGTTGAAGTCCAAGAACATCTGGGTGGAAGCACTGTGTCGGGCTCCCATGCTTAGTTTAAGGGCAGCAGCGAGGAGTGGTCCTAGTTTCCTTGAACCAGTTATGAATCCGCATAGAGTATGCCTGTCTGATCGTTGCTTGCGCAGGTAGGTGATTGAGTCTTGTACAAGGAAGTGCCTCCTTCTCCTCTGTTACTCAGGTGGGAGTGGAGAGAAAGTGGCCCCCCCAGAACGTTGCTTAGATGGGAAGGGGCGATGGAGGTTTATCTGGCCTTTGCACTTAGGACAAACACCTTGATTCCTTCCCCCGTTCTTTTGCTAGAATTAGACCCATCTCCCCATTTTCTCCGCAGACACCTTTGCACCTTGCTGTGATCACCCGCCAGCCCAGGGTGGCTGGGTTCTTGCTGCAGGCCGGCGCGGACCCCACTCTGCTGGATCGCTATGGCAACTCCGTAGTGCACCTGGCGCTGCAGCTGGGGGATGAGGAGATGCTGAAGACCCTCCTCTGTCACCTCGGCTCCCACACCCTCCAGCTCCTGGAAACACCTAATTATTATGGTAAGCGACGGGATAGTTTTGGAGGCTCAGGCAGGTGACAGCTGGCTGGCTGGTTTCAGAGTGAATGTCTATGAGCAGCTCGAAACAAGAGGGGAAGGCAGTGCGTAATCTGCAGGAGGTGTGCTGTCTAGGGATGGGCGATATCTGGCTTTCAACATCACAATATATCACCAGCTAAATATCATGATATTTTGATATACCGTATTTTTCGCTCTATAAGACGAACCAGACCATAAGACGCACCTAGTTTTTGGAGGAGGAAAACAAGAAAAAAAAATACTCTGAATCCCAGACACATTTCCCCTTACTTTTTAGGGAGGGAAAAAGTGAGTCTTATAGAGCAAAAAATATGGTATATATCTGCGGTGGCGGAGAGCCTTGCTGGGCCTCCCCGTGGGGGCAGAGAGTCCTGCCGTATCTCCCCACAGCTGCGGAGGGCCTTGACGAGGCTCCCTGTGGCAGTGGAGGGCCTTAAAATGTAAAGTAGTAGATCAAATAAAAATATTAAATAAACTTCCATATATTACATTTAATATATTTTCAAGTGATTTACTAGTCAAGTTGCATCTGCTTCCCCACCCAGAGGTCTAAGTGGAATCTGTGCATGCATAAGTTCAACTAAACTTTCTTCTTCTACTTTCCTGGGAGTAAGCCCCATTGAATTCAGAAGGGCTTGTTTGTGAGTAGACACACATTTGCTTTCGCTGTTTACTGAAAAACAGCCTCCCCGTCATTCTCACATAGTACCCAACCTCCCATTTCAGCATAAGGAAGCCAGCTAAATCTTCTCCCCTCCATTTCCCCCTGACACAGAAGGACTCCCCCATCCCACCAATTTCTCTTTTTTTATCAAAGGGAGGGAGGCAGGGCAAGCAAGCAGGCAAGCAAGCAAAAAGATAACGGTAAAGGTAAAGGGACCCCTGACCATTAGGTCCAGTCGTGGCCGACTCTGGGGTTGCGGCGCTCATCTTGCTTTATTGGCCAAGGAAGCCGGCATGCAGCTTCCGGGTCATGTGGCCAGCATGACTAAGCTGCTTCTGGCAAACCAGAGCAGCGCACGGAAATGCCGTTTGCCTTCCCGCTGGAGCGATACCTATTTATCTACTTGCATTTTGACGTGCTTTCGACTGCTAGGTTGGCAGGAGCAGGGAGTGAGCAACAGGAGCTCACTCTTGTCACTGGGATTTGAACCGCCGACCTTACCGGCAAGTCGTAGGCTCTGTGGTTTAACCCACAGCGCCACCCGCGTCCCTAAAGGTAAAGGGACACCTGACCATTAGGTCCAGTCGTGGCCGACTCTGGGGTTGCGGCGCTCATCTCGCTTTATTGGCCAAGGAAGCCGGCATGCAGCTTCCGGGTCATGTGGCCAGCATGACTAAGCCGCTTCTGGCAAACCAGAGCAGCGCACGGAAACACCGTTTACCTTCCCGCCGGAGCGGTACCTATTTATCTACTTGCACTTTGACGTGCTTTCGAACTGCTAGGTTGGCAGGAGCAGGGATGGAGCAATGGGAGCTCACCCCGTCGTGGGGATTTGAACCGCCGACCTGATCGGCAAGTCCTAGGCTCTGTGGTTTAACCCACAACTCCACCTGCGTCCCTTAAGCAAAAATATAGTCTCATTTAAATTAAAAAAACACCCTTTTTAATATGGAGGTTAGCTATTTAGGGGGAACCAACAACATAATCACCACTTGAAAATACTCTCTCCCCCCCCCTCTTTTTTTCACTGGCAAGGGAAGAAAGAAGTGCTTTCCAGTTCTTTGTTTACTTCGCCTCTTGGGGTTGCTCCTGTTAGCAGGCTCTGCATAATTAGCTGAGCTCTAAGTGGAAAGATAACTGGAAGCTAAAAGAGTTTGCTGGTTTGTGTGAGGGCTTATCTTCTTTCTTACTGGTTAGGAGGGAGGAAGGAGAGAGCTTGCAAATTATCTGCAAAGTATTGAGCTACCCCCTGGGAAGCTGTTAAGTCTCCACCTTTTGTTCACGGTGTATATTGCCTAGTTGAAACACTTATTTCAATACCGGTATTCAAATTCAAGGATAAAGCGATTTTATTGCACAGCCTTAGTGCTGTCCCTAGAGGGGTTTCCCCAGCCGTCCTCAAAAGCAGCTTTTTGGTGCTTCGTTCCCACCAACCTTTGCTCCTTTGTTAGGCCTTTTCCCTGTGCACCTCGCCGTGAAGTGCAAGAACCCGGCCTGCATCGAGCTGCTTGTCGAGAAGGGAGCGGATGTGAACGCAGCCGAGCGGCAGAGCGGCCGGAGCCCTTTGCATCTTGCTGTGGAGATGGAGAACCTTAACCTGGCGACGTACCTGTTGAAGAAGGTAATTGGGGTTTGGCTGTGTGCAGTAATGGCTTCCCCATCCTCCTTCATGTATGTGGGAAGGGGTGGCTCTGTTCTGAGAGCGCTTGCCAGCCTTTAATCCCGTGCCCTTTCTCTGTCCAGCTGGGAGCTGATGTGAATGCCCAGACGTCGGCCGGCAATACGCCTCTTCACCTGGCAGCAGGCATGGGCTCCCCCATCCTTACCAGGATGCTGATCAAAGCAGGTAAATCATCTCTCCAGGGTCCCTGGGACTCAGTAGGGCTCAAGGATTCCTCTGGGAGCTGTTGGGCTGCCCACTTTTTATTCTCACCCTTCTGGTTTAAGAAGAGCTGAAACTTTGCATTGACCGAAAGTCATCTGACTTCCTACTAGGTATTTATTTGCACTTGATGCCAGACACTTATTTCCACTCATAGTTAAAGGTAAAGGTACCCCTGATCCATTGAGTCCAGTTGCGGACAACTCAGGGGTTGCAGTTCTCATCTCACTCTATAGGCCGGGGGAGCTGGCGTTTGCAGACAGCTTCAGGGTCATGTGACCAGCATGACTAAGCCGCTTCTGGCGAACCAGAGCAGCGCACGGAAATGCTGCTTACCTTTCCGCCGGAGCGGTACCTATTTACCTACTTGCACTTGACGTGCTTTTGAACTGCTAGGTTGGCAGGAGCAGGGGCCGAGCAACGGGAGCTCACCCCGTTGCGGGGATTCGAACCACCAACCTTCTGATCGGCAAGCCCTAGGCTCTGTGGTTTAGACCCTATAGTTACTTAACAGCAAATGACCCTGCTCTTGCTTTGCATATCACTTGTATTAAATGCTTCCCCAAAAAGCAAACACTTGAGGGTCCATCCAGCAGATGACCTGGGTCATCTGCAGCCATAACCTTACTCACTCAAGAGGGAGCAGTTCTTATTGGGATGGGAGGTGGGGATCTTGGGACCCATTCCATTCCTCAGGAGAGGACCCTGTGCTCAGTTGCTCAGTTATAAGGGCTCTCTCTGTCATGTCCACTTATTTTTGGGTGCAGTCTAGGCAACAAATGTTGCATTAGTTGGACTGGGGTGGGGGAGAATAAGCTATGTAGTTGATTTCAAACGGAAGATGACATTGAATAAATATCCCAGACTTTTAAAAGTTTGGGGGAAGGAGAGGGTGGGCAACAAACTGGTCCAGTGAAAGATAGGAATTCAGCACTGACAAGCAGTAATGCTTTGGCTAATGGGACAATCTCTCATCTCCTCTACCCATGTGCTGTTCTGGGGGCGTTCCTGTGCCTCCAGTGGATTTGGGGGAAGAGATGGGGGAAAGCCTGTTGCACTGGTGGGGAGTCCTTGCACTGGCTTCCAGTAGCAGAAAGGGTTTGTTGAATTCCAGAACAAGGCGCAGAACAATCACAAAGGGAGCTGCCTCTTACATCGCCTGATATACTTTGCCCTGTTTGAAGCATTATGCCAGCTGAACTCCCTGTTGAACTCCCCAGGGGCAGATGTCCTGTGTGAGAACGACGAGCCCATCTCGGCCCCCTCGTCTAACCCAGGCAGCGACGTGGAGTTGGAACAGGAAGAGGAGGCGGAATGGGTCATGGAGCTGGGAGAGGCCCTGGTGGAGCCGGGTGAAGACTGCGTGGCTGAGCTGAAGAGCAAATGGCCTGAGAGGCAGGGGCGGGGGCACATGCCATTGGACTTGACTTCAAGCCAGAAGGTATGTAACGTTTTGGGGGGTTCAGATTGGACCCTTGCTGCAGTAGAGCCATTCCTAGTTGTAACATATGCAATGTTCTAGACCAGACTTTCCCAAACTTGGGTCTCCAGCTGAGAGCCAAGGTGGTGTAGTGGTTAAGAGCGGTAGACTCGTAATCTGGTGAACTGGGTTCGATTCCCCGCTCCTCCACACGCAGCTGCTGGGTGACCTTGGGCTGGTCACACTTCTCTGAAGTCTCTCAGCCCCACTCACCTCACAGAGTGTTTGTTGTGGGGGAGGAAGGGAGAGGAGATTGTTAGCTGCTTTGAGACTCCTTAGAGTAGTGATAAAGCGGGATATCAAATCCAAACTCCTCTTCTTCTTCCAGCTGTTGTTGGACTACAACTCGCATCATCCCCATCTAGCAGTACCAGTGGCCAGGAATGATGGGAGTTGTAGTCCAACAGCAGCTGGGGACCCCTGTTCTGGACCAGCCTCTTCTGGACTGCAGCTCCCATCATTCCTGGCTGTTGGCTGAGGCTTGTTGTGTTGCCCTTCCAGGTGTTGTGAGCTACATTGTCCACCTCTGGATTATAGAGCGTCCTGCAACTAAGGCAGTTTGGATCATCGCCCACCTCTGATCATAGCTATTTGTAGCTCTCTGTGTACCCCTTTGCACCCCATGTTTTGTGATGGGACGGACCCCATCCCCATGCACTCAGTAGAAGAAACTCTTTTTTATCTCTCCTGATATAACCTGCTTAGGGGACAGTTAGAGGTAACCAAGGCTTCTTTCCTTCCAGGTGCGGGAGATATTGCAGCAAGCATTGCTGCAGAACCCAGAAAGGGAACAGTCTGCCGAGACTCCTGCTTCCAGGCAAGGTGAGTGAATGCTTCTTTTCTGCTTGGGGTCCTGCTGAGAAATAACCCCTGTGCATCATTTCACATTTGGACTAGGGGGCTTTGGCCATCGATGTATATAAAATTCCAATACATATTAAAATATATTTTATATTACTGACTTCCCATCCCATTTTCCGTGACGTTTTTCTTATCCCCCCCCCTTGCTGAACCCTGTCCTCCTCTCTTATTTAACATAGTCATAACACAATAATCTTTAATTGTTATGTCGCTCACAGTTCAAAACCTGCTCACAGATTCATTTTGTAGTCTTTCTTCAAATAATCTGAAAAGGGCTTTCATTCTTCAAGAAAAACAAATGTCATTAAGTTCTCTTATTTTAGCTGTTAGCTTTGCTGATTCAACCTATTTCATTGCTTTACTTATCTATTCTTCTTTAGCGGGGGCCTTAGGTGCTGCTTTCCTGGTCGGGTGTGGGGAGGAGGCAGTGGCTTTCGGGGCAGAGACAGGCACCTTTGTGCAGAGAAGCGATCGCCTGTCATCCTCTGTCTCTGATTTCTCCAGGAAGCGTCCTGTCTCTGAATAGCGACACCCTCCAGAGTCTAGAGAAGCTTCTGAACCATGACTGCCAAGGGGCAGACTGGGCAGAGCTAGCCAAGAGACTGGGCCTCTGCAGCCTGGTGGAGACCTACAGAGGAGCAGAGTCTCCCAGCAGAAGACTTCTCCTGAGCTACGAGGTTAGTAGATCCTCCTCTGTCCCTTGCCCTCCCCCTCTCCTCTGTCACCGATTCCTAGCAGGTCCCCTCTGAACCCTCTATGTTTCTCTCTCTTCCCCCCCCAGCTTGCCGGCGGCAGCCTCAAAGGTCTGCTGGAAGCGCTTGACTCCATGGGACTGACGGAAGGAGTGAAGCTACTGCAGAGACCAGAGACGTTCGTCAAGCTACAGAGTACAGGTACAGATACGGAACGTTAGGGCTGGGGTTGCAGAGACAGAAAAACTGCACCGTATAACTTGCTGACGGCTATCTCTGTCTGCCTCTCTCAGAGCTGAAGGAAGATAGCGCCTATGGGAGCCAGTCCGTGGAAGAGGAGCCAGCAGCCCTGCCTGGGAAGCTTCCACCAGCCTCCTCGCTGGAAGTCCCACCTCTCTTGCCTCACAGCCAGCAGGAGCAAGTGCACTGATACGAGAGAAGCCGGAGCCTCGCTGGGGGAAGGGTGATTTCGGACATGTGCCTCTCGGACCCAGGACTCGGGCATCAGGAGCTGGGAAGGCCGTGCAGAGCCCGGCGCAGCTCTGATTTTCACGGCTGGTCTGCACAATGTAGGAAGGACTGTTGCAGTTAGTTCAGCCTGCCTTGCATTCACCAGACCTTCACCAAATGTGGGAGATAGGGGTAAGCAGTTGTTTTGTCCTGGTGCCTTTTATCAAATTCTGGTCCAAGCCTGATCAGGACTTTGGGTCTTCTGCTCTTCCTGAGACAACCTTGCTCCCCGGCATCAGCCACATTACTTGTGATGGGTTAGGTTTTCTTGGACAATGAATGCTATTTACTCCTGAGCTCCTGGACTGCCCCACAAATTGGTCCCCTTTTAGTGCCTTTTTATAGTCCTAGTGATTCAGGTGCCTGCCTTCTCCTTGGGAATTAATGGCTCTACAGAACTGAATTTTCACCTGTGGCTTGGTAATTTGGGGCAGAATCCCCAAAATGCATTCGGACGAAAGAAACCCTACGTTTGGCACAACCCTTGTGTCATGTGAAGCAGGATAACAGCCCTTTCAGAACCTTGTGAACAGATCTGTTGCTTAATCCTACGATCTAATTTGGATTTGAGCAAGCCCTTACGTAATGGCTCATCTTGGAAAATTTGCTAACATGCAATTTTAACAATTGCCTATCAGGTGTCCAATCTGCACATTGTTTTCAAGCGACAAAGAATGCCATTCAATGTCAGTAAGCAGTTTCGACAAGTGAAGCAAGAAGGATGTTCTGGCCGTTGGTAGCTGCTGACAGTTGTGCTTCCTAGTCAAAGGTGTGTGATGGGAGAGAGTTCTTGCAATGTTGAGTAGCTAAAACTTTGATGTAAAGATTTGCAGTTAGGAATCCATGCTGGTTTGTTGGGGGAGTCTTCTGAGCTGAAAATTCCAACCTTGGCTAAGAACCACCCCCCCCCTCCCCAGTTCTGTGAAGGGAATAAATGATGCAAATTTGCATGTACACAGCAAAGAGGCCTTTTCAGGAGAACTTAGCCCTTTGGATAGAAGAAGGAAACCGGCGCATCAGAGGACAAAAGTATCGAGTGGATGACTGACAAGTTCTGCCACAACCGCACTCCAATTTCTAAGCCTTTGTAGTTTTCAAAAGACTTCTGTCATAGAGAATAGACTTGTGCTTTGTGGATAATTTTTTAAAATAAATAAAAATCCCAGGGTGATTATGTCTGCATCAAAAGTACATTCATCATTGATGCTTTAGCTGAGACGCCTGCAATTTGCAGAGGGTTGGACTAGATGACCCTTGGGTCCCTTCCAACTTTATGATTCTATGCTGATTAATGCAATTTTCTAGACCCTTTTGCCTTCCAGGTGTCCTCCAGACGTTTTGGACTACCTCTCCAATCAACCCCAGTGTGGTCCAAAAGAATCTAGAGAGCATAAGGTTAGTGAATGCTGTTTTAGGCTGTTAAGAAAATGTTCCATTAGTTTATCACAGGCTGTATTTATATGTAAAACTAAGTCAAACCATTGTGAGCATGCTGGTTTCAGAGGAGGAGAGTGGAGCTGTTTGCCTCCTCGGTCCGTTTTAGCTTAGTGCAACATGGCAGTTTAGCCAAGGTTTTAGTGTGCTGTTTGAGCCCAGGTTTGTGGTTGAGCTTTATTTCCCTCTTGACCAGAGTTTCTGCTCCAAGGTTTTGTCTAGGCTGCAGATGGTTCTTGAGGAGGAGAGCTTAGTCAGGACCCCAGCAAGTGACAGACAAGTGGCTGTTAGGCAGTAAGAATCAGGATTGGTGTGTTGCTGCGGCTTCTGGTATCCAAGAGCAGAGTTCTCTCTTCCAGGGATGATGCTCGAAAGCCTGCCTTTCTTCTATAGCAGAGTGGTTTATATACGTGCCACTTTTCTGCCAGCCTTGCCTATTAACGTTAGGAAAGATTCACTACCAGAAAAGGGCTAGTTGAACGATCTGGCCCTTTCCAAGTACCTCTCCTCACCCACATGGCCCTGTATTCCATGCAGAATACAATAAGCCTTTTGAACTGCTTTTACGAATCATCAGAGTAAAAATTGGAACCGCCATTCTCTACCCCTCCTCCCAAGTTTTCAGAACTTGCTGTAACCTGCAAAAATGCTGCAGTGATCTCTTCACTGTCTTCACTTCCTTCATTGTGTTCTCTTACTGCTGTTGCTCTACTCTTCAGCTTCTCCTTTTATCCTGCTGTTCCAGACACACCTCCATTTTTGCTTGCTGCTTTATTGTGAACTCGGTATAGACTTTGCTCTAGTTCCTGTCTGATTCTTTTCATTCTCCAGTCTCTAACCCTGAGAAACTCTGGGTAGCATCCAGGGAGTTGCACAAGTTGGAAGGCGGCCGGCAAAGCCATTTCCCTCCCACCCCTCTGCAGCTCCTTTTGGGCTGTGTTTCTTGGAGAATGGCAGCAGAGAGAGAGAGGGAACTGCCCTAAATTAGCTGGAGGGCTCTTGGGCCCTAAACCATATTTCACTGTGTTGGTATTAGCTTTGTAGAATTCTCTTCCACCCGATAGTTGCCTGGTTTCATCTGTTTCCTTCCTTTACTGTTGTTGTCACATGCTACATCTGATCCTTTCCCCCCTCCAGCTCAGCCCTTCATGGTGTCTTTCTTCAGGCCCCACCCCCCAGGTATGTCCATTTTGTTTGTATGCGTATGCATAGCAACCATGCGTCTTTACTTCTTCTGTTTAGCTTTCTCCAGCCCCTACAGTATTTCACGTGTCTGAATAGTGGTGTGCCTTGTTCCCTGTGGCCATGGCCTTGCTCCAAGTAACTAGTTACCCAGTAGCTGCTTGACCTTTGCTCCTCAGCCATGGTAGGCAGTATGGCCAAATGGTCAGGGATGGTGGCAGTTGGGCATCCCAATGAGAGCTGTGGGGTCCCTACTTTCCACAAGGGTCAGGCAGCTTCCTGCTCCTTATGTAACCCAAGTGTGTTGAAAAACAAAATGGCCACCCTTCTGCCATGGCAGTGGCCCCCTCTGGCTATCTTTTTTCAGTTGGGTAGGAGCAGCTGTTGTAGTTGGTTTAGGACAGCAGTGTTAAGATGCTTTTGGCTCAGGGAGAACCAGGTCAATGAAGGTGCTTGAATAAGTTTTACTTAGGTAATTAAAGGAAGAAACTGTACAGAGCTCTTTAGGTTTGTTTTTTTACAGTCAATTCAAGAGCAGAATAAAAAATTGACACATTCAGAGAGTCAGTGCTGGAAACAGCCAGCCAGTCCCCTGCCCCCCCCCCCTTTGCCCTTCTTTACATCTGCAGAATTCCCCTTTTGCTTTTGTCCCATTTCCGCCCCCCCCCCCGACTGTCACCTGGGGCTTTCTTTAACCCATCTCCTGCTGTTTTAAGCAAGTATTGGAGCCACAGCCTTAAAGCCCTTTGAAGTGACAAGTGAGAAGGAGCAGGCCGGCTGGGTGCAGCCAGGGGGGGTTGCTGTGTCTTCTTAAAGCTGGGTCCCTGGCTGTTGCTGGAATACAACTCCCATCATCTCTAGCAACAGGCGGGGACCCAAGTTTGAGGAAACACTGGTTGAAGGGTGGAAATGCTCCTGGCAATTTCAGAACCCTCCACCCACCCTTGTGAGATTCATCTATATGTATTCTGGCTAGGACTATGGGCCACTCAGTTCTGGCCCCTGCATTGTTTAAGCCCCACATCAACTAGGCCAAAAAAGAGGCCAGCATGCTCATCATCCACAGTGATCTCCATAGGGGGGAGGAAGAGGGACTAGAGGGGGTGTGCTCTTGGGGGAGGGGGCCCCCCACCCCTACTATGGCTTTGTCAGGCTGCCACCCGGGAGGCATCCGTTGTCCCTGGTTACCCTGTTAGTGCTGGTCCCTTGAAGCCAAAGGGCAAACCCCCCCCCCCCCAGCCCCGATCTATAAGTGCTGAACAAGTATCAGGGGGACTCGAGACCCAGCTTGTGCTGGTGGACAGCTGCTGGTGGTGAAGAAGGAATTGGGCATCCATGCAGGAGTTGCTTGTGCTCCTGTAGGCAGCCAGTGCAAGCGTCGTGTCTGCAGGAGGGATCGGGGCCCTTGCCACCCCGAGCTCTGGGCCAAACGGTCCCTGCTTAAACGAAGCAAGTGTCTTTTTTTTTATCTGTCGCCAGTGTGATTCAGTGTTGCCGGGTACTAAAAAAATGTAAAATATTATCACAAAAACGGTAAGAAATGGGCAAGGAAAAGTGGGGGCGGGGCGGGGTTGCAGTGTGGAGGCAGCCAGGATACAGCCCTTTCCACCCCTTCTCACTTTTGCAAGAAATGGGGGTGGCACGGGGGGTGGGGAGAAAGGAAGGTTCTTGCCCGCTGTGTGTGGTTTGGAAAACAGCCCTGTGGTTTTTGTCGCACGAGGGTTTTTGGTCGCTTCACTCACGCACGAGACCAGGAAGGCTGCGCACGCTGAAACTGTGGTCGCCCCTCCTCCTGGATAACAGGCTCTGTCCCGCAGCGAAGAAGTGGCCTCGGGGCCTTCTGTGGCGCGGCTCCCGGCCACCGAGAACGAAATCATGCAGGTTTGTAGGACGGGCACGGCACCCTCCTGGCAGGCCCCTGACCCTTCTAGGACTTCTGCAGACTGCTGGCAGCTTGTCGGCTACTGCGCTTGATCCTGGGTCCCCCGCCGACTGGCTCCTGGCTCAGGGAAGGGATGGACTGCGACTTTTTGACACTGTTCTCTGCGCCGGCTGCTGTTTCAAACAGGGCGGCCTCTAGCACCGTGAGGTCCTCAGAGCCTGTCTTCAGCTTTGCCCGCATCAGGGTAGCGTAGATTCCATAGCGTGTTTTCTGCAGGGAAGGGAGACGTAAGAGGCAGCTGGTTTGGGGGGAACCCCCTTTGCACATCACACCCCTTATTTAGCCTGTTTATTCAGATCCCACTTCTGAAGCTGGCCTGCATGGCTCTCTGCCCTCAACAATAACCCTGAGAGGCAGTGACTGGCTGAGTGGGGATTTGAACCCTGCCCATCCTTTGAAATACTGTGTGTGGTTCTTATCCCGCGCCCCAACCCCCATTTCAAAAAGGATATTGTAGAGCAGGGGAAGGCACAGATCAAAGGAGTCTGAGCATCTTTCCTACACGAAAGGCCTAAACATTTGGGGCTAGTAAGTTTACATGGGAGAAAGACTACTATGTGAAGATTTATAAAAAAGGTGGGGGAGAGATAAAAATTCACAATCCTGAAACGCACGTACCTCAAAAAAGGGACAAACTGCTGGTTTGGGAGAATCAAGGGTGTTTTACACACAATGCATAATTACCCTAAGAAATCCAATGGGGTAGTCAGCAGAGAGAGAGATTGCAGCCAAAACACATTAAAATGTTTTAAAATAGTGTGATTAGACAGATACGGGGCAGGCTATGGCAGTGTTAGAAACTCAGCTATATAAGCTAAGCTCTATATGGCACCTTAAGCCAAGGTTACAGTTGTCACAGCAGAATGTCTATTCGCCAGGGGGTTGGAATAGATGAGTCTTGGGGTCCCTTCCAACGATATGATTCTATGATCTCAACTACATTGCTTGTACAACAGTTTGCTTGTCCCAGTTATGCAAGGAGGAGAAACACACATGGTATGGACTAAGGCAGAGGTTTTAAAACTGGTCACGGGCCCAGAAATCTCCATGCAGTCGTAATTCAACCTGCACCAGTAGCAAAATGTGCCTGGCTTGTTTCGGACAATGGGCTACAGGTGTCTGAGCAGCTGCTGAATGTAGCTCCAACTACAGAGGAACTGCGAGCAGGATTAAACTGTAACCCATCATGTCAATGCAAGGATTTCTGCTTGTGCAGTGGGTCTCTGCCCCCTATGCTCTCCCCAAATCTGCTCCAGAAGGCTGGGGGTGATGCAGGGAGAGGAGAGAGATTCCTTTTCCAAACAGAAGCCCCTGTGTCAATGAAATGTTCACTTAATGCTACGTTGGGCTTCCACCCTGCTCTGCCTGCCAACGTCAGCTGCCTTGGGACATTTCTTTCCCGCCTTGACTGTGGGTTTCGTGGTGGGCTTTAGTCTGATCCAGGAAGGGCTTGCAAAGCATGACTGTCCCTGGTGCCAGGTCACCTCTCTCTGGCAAGTAGCCCTAGTATAGGACTGATTTGGCTGTAAAGGTGGCGCTTCCCTTGCAATAACTTCTACCACCAGGCTGTGGTAAATTCGGGGGGGGGGGGGACCCGCCCGCTCCCTTACTGACCTCGAATATCAGGTACTCCTCCTTTTGCTTCAGCTCTTCGTACTCCTTGCCCTTGACCTTCTTCTCTGGCAGGGAGGAGCGGTGCTCAAGCAGCTCTGCTGCCATGGCTTTGAATTTGGCCTCATGACTCTTTACTTGCTCCTCCTGGGAAAAGGAAGGAAAGAAGTTCCCTTGACTTCAGCTGTCCTGCCTCACCATCTAACTTCCTTTCCCTCCATCCCCCTGCACCGCAACTCTTTTAAATTTGATTTGATTATAATCCCCTTTTCAGAGAGGCTGAGAAGCTGCTGGCATGGGCTTCTCCAGCACCCCTATTTCCCCCCACTGAGCTAAACATGTACAATGACTTCCACCCGCCCTTAAGTTGGTGCCTTCTTATGCTGTCTTCTGGAAGTCTCTTCCCCCCCCCCCCCAAAGATATGTAGACTGTGTATGACATCCCTGCCCCTCAAGGGAGCTCCTTTCTAAACATGGCAGTTCCTGCTCCATCCTTTGTTAGCCTTTAAGGTGCCCACAAGCCTCTTTGATCCTGCAACCCTACCACATCATCTTTCTCCAATTCCTCTCAGTGGCAGAGGCCTCGTCCTCCGCTTACCTGAGACAGCCGTGTGGTGGAGCTGGGCAGCAGCGGGCGGCTAAACTTCTTCTGAGACCCAATAGCAGCTGGGAACGGGGGTGCGGAGAACATGGCTGCCACCACATTGATGCGTGTGATCCAGGAATTCATTTGCTCCGTGTTCCTGGAGGAAGATGCAAAAGTCAACAGATGAGGTTCCCCTTCCTTCCTAGCACTAGGACCACAGCTTCTCCCAGGTTTTGTATTAAAAAAATGAAAAAGTGTTTTGTGTGTGTGTTAAGTGTGTATTTATGTGTCTTAGCAAGGGACAGGCCTATATTTGGAACCAGACTAGGACAGGGCTGAACTAACCAAAGCATACTCTGTGACTCTGGAGAAACGCAACCAAATTGAGAAGGGGATTGTAAGTGGCTGGGACACTTAAGGAAGGAAAAAATTAAAGCAGAGGCAACTGGAGCAGATCTGAAGCAAGTTCTGCTCTGGTTAAGCTCACAGAGGCGGCTGAATCTGAGAAAAGGGGGCAGTGTGGGAGCGACAACTTCCCAGCAAGCCATTTCCCTTTCTCGCTCTCCCTCCCCTCTTGTCTGGATGCCCAGGGCTTTCAACATGGGCCCCAAGATGATCAACTTACTGGGCCTGGAAGAGGAAGACTCTCCAGTCAGCCGTTCTGAGGTAGAAGACGTTGGGCCTCTTGTTGTAGTCCGATGCTTGGGTGGCCAAGGAGTGGTGGATGCTGATGGCATTCTTCAGTTCCTCTTCGGCCAGGGCCTTGCCAGGCTTGTACTCCTCCTGAAACACAGGCAGGCAGACAGTGGGTGGGTCTGGTGAATTTGCTGCTCCTGACCCCAGCCAAAAGGGCATGGGGCTCTCCCTCTCCCTCGCATCTCAAGAGTCTGATCTTAGGTTTGAGTGTGATGTACCAAGAGGCTTCTAGGACTGCAGATTAGGACTTTGTGCACATCCACACCAGAAAATCCCAAATAAGGGGACCTCAGATCTGGTAGGCAGGACATTGGACTACAGCAGTTATACCATTACACGTTTCAGTTGAGTTTTGTGTGTATATATACGTATATAAAATTTGCATCAGCTTAATGTTTACTTAGATGTGTCATAATTGGCAAAAGGTGGGCATTTTTGTAAAAATGCTTGGAAAGCAGAGGAGCTCTCTGAAAGACTCTGGGTGGCATTTTTCTTCCCATTCATTATTGGTCTTGGGTTATGTCTTGCCATTATGTACTGCGATATCCACCCTGCCCATTCTCCTAACCAAAATTTATAAACACTCTGCCACAAACATATTAAACATCCACATTCGGGGAGGGGGATTCCTGTGCAAAATTTAAGTCATGCAGTTGTCTTGCTACAGCTGTCCAGTTCATTCCAATTAAGGCACGCAGTGCAGACCACAACTACCCAAACTGGCCCTTTCTTCTTTAGCAGCGCTCAAGGAGACAGTAGCTAAAGCACAAAGTGTTTCTGCTTAACAACGTTCAGGAATAAATGAGTAGTCCCTCGCTGCCCAAATGGAGCTCTGGAAGTATTGACAGATATCCAGCATTTCACAGGACTGCTCATTACAAGGGCGTGGGGGCATCTGTCCCTGTTAGCTTCCAGCAATATGAGTTTTGCGGTGAAAATAATTCCTTGATACAAATACGGCTTCTCGGATATGGCTGCTCTTGCAAGGCCATCCTCACAGGAGCCTAAGAAGTATCCCGATATATGAGGCCAAAGGCATATCTCAGCATCCCATTCCACCCAATGCTCCCTACCAAATTTGAATCATGTTGCATCTCTTCTAACACCCTATGCCAGCCATGGGCTTCACCGCTTCCTGTTCCTTCCTCTGCCCACTGGCATTGACTGGCACCAGTGCCACATCTCTTCTGCAGCAGACTGAATCTGAATCCGTCCCAACTATTTGTCGTCTAACCCACAACCGAGTGGCTGCCTAAAACTGAATCTAGGTAGTCATTGCTACTTGCTGCTTAGCTTCCACTAGGACCAGGGCTTCCCAAACTTGAGACTCCATCTGTTTTTGGACTACAACTCCCATCATCCCTAGCTTGCAGGACCAGTGGCAGCTCCCACAGCAATAGCCACCAACCTGGATAGGTCCAGTCGTGGCCGACTCTGGGGTTGCGGCGCTCATCTCGCTTTATTGGCCGAGGGAGCCGGCGTACAGCTTCCGGGTCATGTGGCCAGCATGACTAAGCCGCTTCTGGCGAACCAGAGCAGCGCACGGAAACACCGTTTACCTTCCCGCCGGAGTGGTACCTATTTATCTACTTGCACTTTGACGTGCTTTCAAACTGCTAGGTTGGCAGGAGGAGGGACCGAGCAACGGGAGCTCACCCCGTCGCAGGGATTTGAACCGCCGACCTTCTGATCAGCAAGTCCTAGGCTCTGGTTTAACCCACAGCACCACCTGCGTCCCTCTCAAAATGCATGGAGAGGAGAGGGCTATTGAGGGCTGCTAGATACAATGGCTATGCTCTTCCTCCACAGTCTGAGGCAGCAATGCTTCTGAAACCACAGGAGGAGGGAGGGGTCTTGTGGTCGAATCCTGCTTGCAGGTTTCCCCAGAGGCAACTGTTCAGACACCGTGAGAACCCAATGCTGGACCAGATGTGCCGCTAGCCTGATCCTGCACGCTCTTCCCATGTTCTTTGTTTGCAACCCTTTGGGGAAATGTGCATTGCGTTGGCTGCATCAACACTGCCTGCCGGGTGGGGAATTTCTCTCCCACTGCAGTTCAGCCAGACTTCTGGTGTGGAAGCTGACATGTATGTAGGCCTGTGCCTTTGTAAAAAATGTGCACAATCATCACAATTATCTCAGGCTCGTCTTAAATTGGGGAGGATGATTCACCCTTCAATTTTTCTGGGTTAACAAAAGCAAGAAGAGTTGCAAGATGCCTCGAGAGTTCTAAAAAGGGAAATGATGCCGTTTCAGTTTGGATTAAGACCCGTAACACTTGAGAGGCCTACTACACAGGGCTATCGCGAGGCTAACTATAACAGAACCTGCAAAGTGTTTTGCAACCTTTAGCTGCTGCAGAGCAGAATCTGCGAGAATGCAGTATCCACATAAATTTTGCACGGCAGGAATATGAATGTTTCATGCAAGCTTAGTGTCCCGGTTTTTAATCCTCCAGACCCGGCCACCCCTGCAGGACCTAAGCAGTCCGGTGAAGTGAAGGGTGTCAAGACAGTACGCTTCAGTTAGGCAGAAGCGCAGCTCTTTCCCCTGATATTGCAAGAGACACTCGTCTCGACAGCACTAAGGCAGATGCAAAGCAAAGCGAAGAGACTGTCACAGCAGATGATCTTCTACATTGACTCTGGTCTGCGTGACACATGGCTGGACTTTCCGTGCAGTCTCACTTTCAGTTCAGAAAGGGTCTAAACAACATCCTGAGGACAAGAGAATATAATTTCTCTGGCCGTGTAGGAAAGCTCATGCTATGGGCAGAGTTGGGGAAGATGTCAGAAATTGCACATGTACGTAAATGAGGGCAGGGGCTTGAGATCAACCACTTGGCGGATGGGGGAGCAGGGAATTGGCGGGGAAAGGAGACTCCAAATGAATTCCATGCCCAGCCAATCTCAACACTCCTCGTCTTCAGTCCCAGCTTTCCTAGTCAACATTTCAGTTTAATGAACGGAGTTATTGGGAGCAGAACAAAACATGCAAAACCCATGGGAAAAACTGGGTTGGCTCCCTTATTCCAGCCAATGGAAATCATGCTTTAGTTACCTTCTGTAGATACAGGATCATGCCCTTCAGGATCGCGTGGAAAGTCTTCCACCCCCGCTTCCCTCTTGGGGCTGCCAAGGAAAAGGGAGAAGAGTCATTACAAAAGTTGGTGCTAGGCAAAGGCCTCGGTGGGAGGGGAGCAAGCTCAGCGGAGGCATGAATTTCTGGGGGCCTGGGAATGAGCACATTCTGTATGGGGGAGGCCTGGCAAAGACAGGACTGGTCCCATCCTGCTGTTTTCTAGGGCAGAGGCATCAAGAAGCTGTTGAATCTCCACTTAGAGGAAGGAGGCATAGCGAGTGGCTCCTGCCAGGTAATTCTGTGCTCGGCAACAGATACGAAGCATACAGGCACAGCATCTAATCAGATCAAAAAGGCATTAGTTGCCTGGGATTAGGAAGGATTTTGCAGGAAAAATGGAGGGCGCAGCGTGGGTGCATTCTTTGGGATGGGCCAGGTACCTTCACACCAGGCAAATGACTCGGTTCCCCGAGTGCTAACTGCGCCCTCTGAACCTGGAAGAATGTCCTCGCCTTGCACCCCGCTCCCCTGCCCCTAATTCAAAACCATGCCCAGACAAAGAGACCCAAGGGAATAGGCTGACACCTGGCAGAATGAGCTTAGTTTATCCCCAGCAATCTCTTCAGTACAACCTTCCCCACCCCCACCAACCGCTCTGTGCAACCTTCCCAGTGCCCTCTCTGAAGGTTATGCATGGTCCCATTGCTGCCAGCCACATCTGGCACAAAATTGCAATGGTTTTAAAAACCCAGCAATCTGCAAGAAACAAAACAAAAATCCCCACATCCTGCCCCCTTGCCCCAGGCTAGAGATGTGCGGCAGCTTCTGCTATCCTTCCTGAGAAAAAGTCATGCTTGACTCGAACATTGCTGACCTGCTCCTTCAAGCGAATGTCGTTTGGACTCCACCCTTGCCTGCAATCCTACAGACACTTGAACTCAGTGGGGCTTACTTCTGAGTACACATGCATGTGGACAGAAATGCTTATGTGGCCCTGTTCAAAGAAGCTGAAGATAAATACCAAGAACACCGCTAAGGCAAATATGAACCGCCATTTATCTTTGGATAAGATGTTCTAAATCGGGTCGGCAACGTGTGGCCCATGGGCCAAATGCGACCCATGAAGCCACCCCTGAACTGAGCTGCCCACTTGGCGAGTCCCCCTAAACCAGCGCGGCGCGGGGACTTGCTGAGCAGCGCCAGAAATTGCGTCTGCGCACACGCAGGTACTGGAAATCGTGTCTGCGAATGTCCAGATGCTGAAAATTGCTTCTACGCAGACGCGATTTTCAGCGTCTGGGCATGCGCAGCCGCGATTTCTGGTGTCACGCTGTGCCAGTCCAGGCCACGGACGATCTCCATGGGAGTGATCTAGCCCATGGCCGGTAAACCTTGCCACCCCCTGTTCTAAACCATACCATCACTGCTTTTTGTTTTTGTTTTTGAATTGCAACTTCTTCCTCACCAGATTTCTACTGCTGAAGCGGGAGATATTAAGACGCAGCCTGTATGCGGCGCCATCAGCACAGTACAGAAACCCATCCTAGACCCTTTAGAAATGGCAGAGACTCCACAAGACTGCACGAGGGGAAGAGTAACTTTGCAGAGCTTATACGAAACACTTTAAGGAACAGGGAAGGACAAAGGACTGGCTGGAATTTGTGAACGGAGCCCCTTTGCGACAGCAATTGCTGGTTAAAACAAACTCCCATAGAATCTGAATCAGTCAGAAAAAATGGTGGGCTTTTGTTTCCTGCAAAAAAAAAAAAGCAACTCCCTTTGAATTGTTTTGAAAGAAAAGAGGGGGGTCAATTTTAAATAGAGGGGGGTCTTTCCTCCTCATGTGGGACATGGACAAAGACTCTGGTGACCAACCACCTTTTCTTCCAGGTGCAGCGGACCTTCTGGCAGCCATAGATGTTTCACCACACAGTTCTGTACATGTGAGAACATCAGTGGCGGATCACATACTAGCCCCTCTGGCTTGTTTTTAAAAAAATAAATAAATTACTGGGGAGGGTGTCTTTCTGCGGACCTTTTATGTAATAATAATAATAATAATAGTAATAATAATTTATTTATACCCCGCCCTTCCGGCTGGGTTTCCCCAGCCACTCTGGGCGGTTCCCAACAGAATATTAAAAACATGACAAAACATCAAAAATTAAAAACTTCCCTAAATAATAATAATTTTTTGCTTACACACTCCTTGGCAAAGCTGAAATATTTGCAAGGTGTGTTTCTTGGGCCAAAGACAGGGCAAGGATCCTGCCTTCAAAGGCGATGCCATTTTAAAAGTTTCCTCCTGCCTGTGTGAGGCTAAAAGGAAGCGATGCCCAGCACAGACCAGCACCTCCTTGCTCACTTCCTCATGTGCAGTCAAGTGCAGCCCGTGCCATTGCCAAGAGGAACCCCCTCATCGCCCCACACACCACCACCAATATGGTGAGGTGGAGCGGCTGACAGAGTGGTGCAGAGCTAACAACTTGCTCATAAATACAAGGAAGACAAAGGAGCTTGTGGTGGACTTCAGGAGACAGAAGAGCAACGTCCAGCCACTTTTGATTGATGGGGTCTGTGTGGAGAGGGTAACAACGTTCAGATTTTTGGGCATTGAATTACAAGAGGATCTGTCCTGGAGTGTCAACACAAGGGGGCTTGTGAAGAAGGCACAGCAGAGACTGTACTTTTTGAGAATACTAAGGAAAAACCATCTTCCGCAGAAACTGCTGCTTGCCTTCTATCACTGTGCCATTGAGAGCGTGCTCACTTATGGCTTATGTGTGTGGTACGGAAGCTGTACTACCCAGGACAGGATGGGGTTGTGCAGGGTTGTTAAGGCAGCAGAGAGCATTGTTGGCTGCCCACTCTCCACCTTAGAGCAGATTTATGCCACAAGGTGCCATAGGAAGGCACTGGACATAGTAAAAGATCCATCGCATCCTGGTCACTGTCTCTTCGAGCTCTTGCCGTCGGGATGGAGATACAGGACGATGAAGACAAGAACGAGCCGTCTTAAGAACAGCTTCTTCTCCAGAGCGATCTCGGCCCTGAATGGGAAGCCCGGACTTTGAAAGTCATCTAATCTCCCTTGCTGTATTGATTAATTAGTGTTTTTATGGAGCAGTCAAGTAATTTCGTTGTCCCCGAATCGGGCAATGACAATAAAGATATTATTATTATTATGAATATCAGACTTACTCTTTTTGCAATCCGGCTCGGCGTGGCTCTTGCGCACCAGGAGGCTGTGCTTGTATGTAGCGATGCTGGGATCCTGCGAGAAATCCAGAAAAGGGTTGCTGCAGCTGCTGATGCGCTTGATGGACTTGGGGTTGGGGTCTGCCAGTTCGGAAAGCGACTTGCGCAGTTCCTCTTCGTCTCTGCACGGCAAACAAGCAGCGTTTTAAAATCAGCTCAGGCCCCACACCGGTCCCACCAATAGTTCACCCTGCCTACAGTCCAGTCATTGTGCCTTGACCATTTTCAAGAGGACGACAAGGAGGAAAGCCCTGCTGCAGGAAGACAAAGCCCTTTTGCTAGATCCTGGCTGCTGCAGCTGCTTCTTCTAACCCAGGGGTGAGGAACCGGTGGCCCTCGCAGTTGCTGCTAGACCACAGCCCCCATCGTCCCCACCAACCGGCCTTGCTGCTTGTGGCCGATGGCAACCCATCAGCACATGGGAGGCCACAGGTCCCCCCCACCCATACAAGCCAACGGGGATATGAAACTGACAAGACGCATTGTTGGCATCTGAAACAATGGAGTGCACATCTGGGGGTGAAGTTAAACCACTGCATTAGCAGCATCGAAGCAACCTCCCTGGAGTGCAAGCCTGAGCAGTGTGTCTGGAGGTCTTGGGCTGCCCAGTTGACAGGACCCCCTTCTCGGCCTCAATGATGTGGCCCAAAGGAAATCAGAGCAAGACGTTTGGCACCAGCCTGGCTGCAGGAGTTGCTGGAAGGAGGCCTACAAGGCGCCATCCAACCATCTTAGGTAGCTACTCTGGATCTATGTAGGGCTTACTCCTTAGTCTTTTCTTCTCCTGACGATAACCCACAAGGCAGCAGAGGTTTAGGATCAATTATTTCCTTCTAAATGGGCTACTTTCCCAGGTGGATGAGCTCCACCTGCCTCCCACTTCCCTCTCCAGCACACGCAGAAACCACCTTCTTAATAATAATAATAATCAATCAATTGACATCGCTTGTAGGGTTGCAAGAAGTTTTGAATTATATGAATTCTTGCGAAAAAGGACTAAGAAGGAGTTTATTTAAGATTTGGATTTTATAGCAATAACTATTAAATTAAAATGCAAAATCAGAAAGAAAGTTAGAAAACCATTAGTTGAGGTTGACGGAAGTCTTAGGCTATGATAGTCAAAGTTTGTTATATTGTATAAGATGGGATGTTATGTTTGGAAAACGTGTGCAAAACCAATAAAAATTATATATATATAAATAGTTGGAGGGCCAAGTTTGGCCATGCCTGCTGTAGGGTCAAAAGGAACAAAATCTATTCACTGTATGATCCTTTTTTAAGTGTGGCGGACATGTGGCTTCTTTTTAAGTCTTCGGTTTTCACCAAGACACATTTAAGGGATTTGCCAGGTAGAAAGGACCCTGGGAAACTGCTTTATACAAGAGTTAGACCACTGGTACGTCTAGCCTGGTATTATACCCCGCCCTTCCCAGTTCAGGAAACCGGGCTCAGAGCAGCTAACAAAACAATTCATTGATGCTACAAAAAACAGCGTAAAATATGGGATAAAGTGTAAATAACAATAAAATCAAAAATCAATTTAGGGGGAAAATCCATCCAATAAACATTGGATGATCACCAGGGCTAGCTGGCTAAATTAGTCCCACTTGGGCCAGCGAGGAGTCCAGGGGAGAACCAGCTGTGGGATCCCAGAGTGGGCAATCTTCACAAAAAGGGGAGGGGGAGGGAAGGAAGGGGAACAAAAGATTAGACTTCTTGACGGTTGGACCCACTATTGCTCTTGTCCATTTAATCTGCCAGATGCATGCATGCATTTAATCTTTGCATGCAGGTGAAGTCCCTAACTCACTGAGGGTTTGAGACTCATCGGCTACCTTCCCCTGGTTTAGCCGGCCAGAAAAAGTCAAAGAACCTAATTCTGGCTTGAAAGGGGAAAAAACACACACACACACACACACACACACACACACACACACACACACAAAATAAAAATGGATTTTAAAAGTTAAGAAACTGCAGAACATGATTATCTAGAAAGAGGCAGCCTTTTGCTGCTTTCAAGATGAGTGTGTATGCAGACACTTTTGACTTAACCTTAAAAACCAAGAAAAAACTTTAAAAACTGATCCAAACTTTGTATGTATATTACTCATCATGTGAGTCAATGGAGGGGGGGTTGTTTTATTTTTAAAGAACTAAAATGATTAGTTGTAAGCATGCAAATGCCCTGTACATTACTTAAAACACAACCCACCCACCCACTACAGAAGTAGGGAAAAAATGCACAAAACTAATCTGACCACGGAGGAGTGGGGTGGGACGAGCTTTGTGGGTGGGGAATGTGTTGTTCATCGTGGAAGCTGAGCTGAAAGAGCACAGCGAAGAAAAAGCAATGCCTATACTGTAGGCAACATTAGCCAACGATAACAAGCTCCCTGAGAGAGAGAGAGAGAGAGAGAGAGGGAGAGAGAGAGAGAAAGCGCAGAACAGAATTCCTGTATTGCAGGGGGTTGGTCTAGATCCGTGTTAGGATATATAAGCTAGTCACCAAACAGCTCCTTAAACCAGGTTACAGATGCCAAAACAAAATGCCTAGTTGGCTTGAGCCGAGATAGTTTGAAAGCTGTCGTATTTTCAAGACGACTTTTTGGTTCCTGAAATTCATCCTGATTGTGCAGGTGAAATATAACAGATAGGATGTGTTGCTTGTGTGTGAAAGCAGTCAAGATGCAAGGATGCCCAGGCATACACCTCCAGATAGTGGAGACATCAGGTGCCATCCTGGGGCCCAGGCATCTTCACTTGGTTGCAGGTGGCCGATTGCCAGGTGCAAAATGTCCCCAGTGCCTGGACTAGAAGACCCTTGGAGTCCCTTCCAACTCTACAAAATAGGATCCAAAATGCAGCAATCTGATTGGTCCTAGAACAATAGGATCCAAAATGTAGCAGTCTGATTGGTCCTAGAACAATGCAGCAGTATGACTGGTCCGCAGGAGCCACCCAATCCAGCTCCAGGTGGAAGTGAATCCACAACCTGATTGGCCTACAGGAGAATCCCGGAATTAGCCAATCACATGCAGCCCATTGTGTAAATAATGTATATAAAGCAGATATTTTGGGGGAAACGTTAATTCCTTCTCACCACTATGAGCTGAACAAAGAGCATGAAATCCACTCTCGACTCTGAGTATATTTCACTCAATTTTATGATTCCCTGAACATAATAAACCTATCGGGTTTATCCATCTAATCAGTCAATCAAGCCATCAATCATCTATTGTCTTTCGTTTTCCCCACAATATTCTACTAAGCTATCATCTGCACACAGCCCACAGTATGGTTACGGCTCGGGAGGAGTTTGGGTTATCCTTTCTATCAGTCCCCAGCTTTGTTGAAATATAATCTTGGGGTCATAAAGGCCTCAGAGGCAGAGACTTGAGTAGCTGCAGTGAAGAACAGGAGCTAGGTTAAGTGCGAATGACCTGTCGCTCCTCTGCCTTATTTCCCAGCATCCTTCAGCAGAATCTGCTGCTTCTGCAGCCTTGGCGAAGACCTGCCTCTTATTTCAAAAGGAAGCTGGCGTTCTGCGCATCTCTTAATGCAGAAAGGCCTTGCAGCTCCCCAAGCATCAAAGGGAGCTCCACAGAAAAAAGAGAGAGAGATTCGCAGATACAGAGGGAGGCGGCACGGACAAAAACCTGGCCACGAACGCAGAGATGAGAGTCGATTCTGTCTCCCCACCCACAAAGGCACACATGGAAAAGGACCCGAAAGCAGGCTGGGGTGTGCGCACACAGTGACACATCCCTTCAGGGTTGGGGACAAGTGACGGGTCTCATGCGCCGTCTGCCTTGTGAATCATGCCTCGGTACTGGCTCCACACCGCGCCAGGGCAGAGGGAAGCCGGCACACTGCATTTTCCCTCACAAACACAACGCAGACTTAAATGCATCAAGCCCAAGCCGAGCTGTCTCCATGGCGACAGCCTCGGCGATGCTGGCTTGGCGCCAGGGTTGCAAACCAAGATGATTAATTCCAACAAATCCATTGAACAAGTTGGTGGGGAGGGAAGCCAAGTGGGCAGATGAGAAAGCTAGCACAGCCCACGTCACTTCAGGTTGGCGGAGAGCAAATGCCAGAGTGAAGGGCACTCTGTTTGGCCCTGGCCCCCCCAATGGATCCTGTCCCAAGCTCACCTTTCAGCGCAGCTTTTGCTTCCGAGGGAACTAAAACATTGCACAGGGCCCAAATCGCTAGGTCTGACGGCTTCTGCGATTCATTGGATGATGGCAATCAATACTAACACTAATAATAATATTTTAAAAACTCTCTTATTTATACCAAATATGGGATGTTTCGGGTTCCATGATGGATGGAAGGCAGCACATAAATGTAAGAAAAGGATAAAGTAAATAATACGGAACTTAAAAAAACAAAAAGCTATATAGAAGTTAAAAAACAACAACTAAGCCTGTTACCCACAGGTTCACAATCTAATAACCTTTACAAAATACTAAGCGTGTTAGTAGAAACCACATCCAAGTACAGTGGTAACTCGGGTTACATATGCTTCAGGTTACAAACGCTTCAGGTTACAGACTCCGCTCACCCGGAAATAGTACCTCGGGTTAAGAATTTTGCTTCAGGATGAGAACAGAAATCGTGTGGCAGTGGCACGGTGGCAGCGGAAAGCCCCATTAGCTAAAGTGGTGCTTCAGGTTAAGAACAGTTTCAGGTTAAGAACAGACCTCCAGAACGAATTAAGTTCTTAACCCAAGGTACCATTGTACTGGATCAGTCCCAGTTCACTCTGGGACTAGAGGAGCAAGATTCATACCACGTTTCTCACTTGAAATGTGCAACAAGTCAATTGGTGTAACGTGTTAGCATGGCAGACAGTGGCCCAAATCGCTAGGTCTGACGGCTTCTGCGATTCATAGGATGATGGCAATCAATACTAACACTAATAATAATATTTTAAAAACTCTATTATTTATACCAAATATGGGAAGCCCCATTAGTTAAAGTGGTGCTTCAGGTTAAGAACAGTTTCAGGTTAAGAATGGACCTCCGGAACGAATTAAGTACGTAACCAGAGGTACCGCTGTACAATAGTAATAATAATAATAATTTATTACTTATACCCCGCCCATCTGGCTGGGTTTCCCCAGCCACTCTGGGCAGCTCCCAACAGAATGATAATAATAAAGCGGTAAAACATTAAAAACCTCCCTAAACAGGGCTGCCTTCAGATCCTTCAGAATAGATCCAAAAGCATGGCTGCCCCAGCCAATCTCACGTTATGGGGAGTTCTGCAAGTGCTCCCTGCGATATCCAAGACTCAGACCACTTAATGGCTTTATGGTTTATAGACAGCACCTTGAATTGGCTTGGAAACATATTGGTAGCAGTATAAGGAAGAGTGCCCTCTCATCGTTTTAGGACTGTATTGAAACCCCTCACTATGTATCCATGGTTTACATGAACTGCGGGGTAATCACCTTGGCGCTTCTAAGGATTTATTTCTCTCTGCCGATATCTTTGGTGGCAGCCGCAGGAAGTGTGCTCTTATTTCCTCCGGAGAGCAGCCTGAGAAACACCAGCATGGTCTGGACCAGCCATCCGCCATTTCAAGGATCCATGCCTTCAAATCATAGTTCATTGGTTATACACCAATGAACCTGTTAGAATCATAGAATTGTAAAAGGTGAAAGGTAAAGGACCCCTGGATGGTTAAGTCCAGTCAAAGGCGACTATGGGGTTGCGGCGCTCATCTCGCTTTTCAGGCCAAGGGAGCCGGCGTTTGTCCACAGTTTTCCGGGTCATGTGGCCAGCAAGACTAAACCACTTCTGGCGCAACGGGACACCATGCCAAGTGCCAGACCACACGGAAATGCAGTTGACCTTCCTATTTATCTACTTGCACTGGCATGCTTTTGAACTGCTAGGTTGGCAAGAGCTGGGACAGAGCTCACCCCGTTGCGGTGAATCGAACTGCCAACCTTCTGATCAACAAGCCCAAGAGGCTCAGTGGTTTAGACCACAGTGCCACCCGCGTCCATGGCTTGCCGTCGGGGAATCGAACCCCGGTCTCCTGTGTGACAGGTGGGGATACTTACCACTACACCCATGGTAGCTAGATTCACGAGACAGCTGTGTTTTGCTAGTAAAGGGACCCCTGATCATTAGGTCCAGTCGTGACCGACTCTGGGGTTGCGGCGCTCATCTTGCTTTATTGGCCAAGGGAGCCGGCGTACAGCTTCCGGGTCATGTGGCCAGCATGACTAAGCCGCTTCTGGCGAACCAGAGCAGCGCACGGAAACGCCATTTACCTTCCCGCCGGAGTGGTACCGATTTATCTACTTGCACTTTGACGTGCTTTCGAACTGCTAGGTTGGCAGGAGCAGGGACCGAGCAACTGTTGCGGGGATTCGAACCACCGACCTTCTGATCGGCAAGTCCTATATGTTTCGCTAGGTTCCATGGCAAATCTGAAAAAGGCTACTGAGTGCCTTTAAATTGCCTAGCAACTGCAAAGGGTGCTATCACTCATCACCTCAGTCTTGCAACACAGCATGGATTCAAACTGCCGACCTTCTGACTGGCAAGCCCAAGGGGCTCAGTGGTTTAGACCACAGCGCCACTGGCGTCCCTCATAGAACTGTAGAGCTGGAAGGCACCACAAGCGTCATCTAGTCCACCCCACTGCAATGAAGGAATCTTTTGCCCAACATGGGGCTTGAACCCACAACCCTAAGATTAAGAGTCTCGCGCTCTACCGACTGAGCTACCAAGTGTTCAAGAGCCCCCAACAAAGCAGTCCTCCCAAATTCAGGTGGTTGGTAAAGAGGAGCCCACTAACGAAGGTGGTCTTGCCCCTCCCCTTGGTGGCATTCTGAAATCTTGTGAGGACCCTTTCCTCTTCTAGAAGAAGGGGTTTGGTGGTCAAAGCTATTGACTGCTTTAGTACCCCGACATACCAGGGGGTATGTTTTGTCTTAAATACAGTGGTACCTCGGGTTACAGACGCTTCAGGTTACAGACTCCGCTAACCCAGAAATAGTACCTCGGGTTAAGAACTTTGCTTCAGGATGAGAACAGAAATCGTGCAGTGGCGGCACGGTGGCAGTGGGAGGCCCCATAGGCTAAAGTGGTCTTCAGGTTAAGAACAGTTTCAGGTTAAGAACAGACCTCCAGAATGAATTAAGTTCTTAACCCGAGGTACCACTGTACCTGCTTACTGTCTATTTTCCCGTTTCTTGTTTTTACTGTCCCTGGTCTTTAAATCACTTTACATGCCACCTTGAGCTTCTTAAAGGAATGGCAGAGCATAAATTTTTCAAGCGAATAAATAATAAAAGATTAACTAACTGAAAAATGGCAAGATTTAGCAGTAGCGTAAAACATAAAGCAATGAAGGAAGGGGAAAGGAGTAAAAATGGCGCCCGCCTGAGAGATGCCAGAACTGAGTTCCTGTGAGTTCCAGCTGGGGAAAAAACGCCCTGAATAAAACTATTTTTAAGTCCAGCAGCACAGTAATATCACAAAGGGGCAAATTCCAGGCCTTGGAATTGACTGCAGATGCAGCCCTGACTTTTCCACAAAGAGGCAATGGACCCAGATAAATTCAAACCTAAGGGATTTGATCCAAATGCTTACTTCGCTGCACTCAGAGCGAACATGTCTCAGTAAAGGACCTCCATTTTGCTATCTCCTCCACTTCTTTTCTCTCCGGTGGAAGTTGCAACTCTCCCGGAACCGGGGCTTCAGAGATTTGAGATTCACTGCCTTGCTCTCCGCCACCCTTCTAAGCGCTGCCTCAAATGTGCAGATTCTTAGTTCCACGTGTGAAGGCGAAATTGACAACGCAACTGTTTCATCCTGGTCCCAGACTTAGTGGGTTGAATTTACTCACAGTATTGGAAGACTATTGGAAGAAATTTAAAGATTATCTACAGAAACATTGCAAAATCAAAGAATGTTAGAGTGATGATGGATTGAAATTAAGTGGTTTCTAGCTGCACAGGCGTTAAAGTTATATATAGACTAAGATTAAGGATTAGGCATAAAAGGATAAAAGAACGGAAAATTGGCTATTAATAGATAAGAATTTAATGTTATACCATATTAAGATTAAGGATTGGGATTTAAAAAGAGGGAAAGAAATTGCTGGACAAACAAATTGAACTGGAATACAAAAGAGGGAGGTACGAGGAGGTCCAGAAAATAAGTAAATTCAAAAGTGGTGATGAAAAGGTGGTATTGTTTTTAACTGTTTTTTCTTTTGTTTTGTTTTTTGTATTTTGTATTGTGTATTTTTGTATTGTGTATTTTTCTTTTTACTTTTAATTCTCTTTTACTGATGTGTTCTGTTTTTATCGGAAACTTTAATAAATATCATTTTAAAAAAATAAATGAATTTACTCACAGTAGAACTATGAAAATGAATGGACCTGAGTTAGATGTGTCTATTAACTTCCACTCTGAGTGGGATGGGTATTGAATACTACCAAATAGTCCAAAATAATCAAACAAAACTTTGTAGGGGGAAGACTTCAAATGTGCTCCAAACAGATCTACTCCAGTTCTGACTTCAGGGGAGAGGAACAACTCCTGCTCCTTTCTAATTGATCAGAATACCTGGAGGCAGGTGGTACTTAGGGTAAACAAGGTTACATGGCAGGCAGGACTGCTGCTTTGCAGTTCCTTACTTGGGCAGGGAGGACGTGTGGGTGTTTTGGAGAGCGACATGAAAAACTGCATGTGAATTCCCCAGATTTGTAAACGGAAGGAAAGGGACACACTGATAATCTGATTTTAAAATGAAAAGAAACCCAGTTCACTCTTACTTTCTATATTGTCTTAACAATCTTCCGAAATGACTCACTTTGAGACTTTCTGGGTATGTAAACTCCTTTCCATCAGCTAGTAAATTATATGGTAAGTGGGGGGGGGGGAATAACCTTAAAGAAATGCCTACAATCAGAGTGGGGGAAAGATATCTAGTAGTGTCGTCCCCCCCGCCTTTCTGGAAAGAGGAAGAAATACGAGAATTGCTACGGAAATTCCAATGAGCTCTGAGTGAATATATTGGGGCAGTCATGCAAATAACCATTGGCCTAGTCATCAATGATGAATAATAAGAGAAGACAGATCTTTCTAATGTTTTGAGCATTAGAGTGATGAGTCTCACTCCCCCTCGGTGCCATTCCTACTCTGGCTCCCTCACCTGGAATCGTAGGGATGAAGATTGGAAAGCAATTGGTCTGCCCCAGCCCCCAACAGCTGCACAGCCTTGGAAGAAAAGCCCCTCCTTGCTGCGAACCGAGAGGGAGGCAGCCCCAGCGCAGAAGTAAGGCTAGCTATCGTGGGAGTAACTCATTTCTATGCACGAGTTAACATTGCGCAGGAGAGGGGAGCGGCCGTGGGGAACAGGATGCGAACGGCATGACTTGGCAGAAGACAGAAGATCATCCATGTCAGATGATCACAACGAGATCCAAACCTTCCCATCTTGCCAAACGCGCCGCTTTGCACCCGTTTCTGCGACGCTGCAGGGTAGCGGGAGTCTCTCCTCCCTGTTCTCCCGGCAGGTGCTGATCATGTAACACAGTTCATTGCTGGGATTTGGAAACACGGGCCCAATTCTTGCTAGTTCAAGGGAAGAAAGGGGGAGCCTGGACTGCCCTTAAGGAGAAGCACTGTTCTTCGATACAACACATCTTCTCAATACACAGAAAAGGAGGTCGTACAGAGCTGGCGATGTTCCTGTTCACCCTGTAATGCTCCTTCCATTCTTTTGGGCTTGAAACGCCTCTCCTAACTGAAGCGTGTAACACTTTCACTTTGCAGCTATGGCCATGTTGGCCAACCTACAGTGGTACCTTGGTTCCTGAACACCTTGGCTCCCAAACAAATCAGCTCCCGGACGCTGCAAACCCACAAGTGTTCCAATTTGCGAATGCTTTTCAGAAGCCAAACGTCCGACACGGCTTCTGATTGAGTGCAGGACGCTCCTACAGCCAATCGGAATCTGTGCCTTGGTTTTCGAACGGTTTCGGGAGTCGGATAGACTCCCGGAATGGATTAAGTTCGAGAAACAAGGGTACCACTGATGTGCTGGCTTCCTTTTCTGGCTGAGATGAGGGTCCAGGAATCTGAGTATGCTCACCAGCTATTGGTTCTAGACCATAGCTGTCAACTTTCAGATTTGAAAATAAGGGATCAGCAGTCTCGAAAATAAGGGATCAGCAGCCTCACCTGTCCCGGGGACAGTCTATGGGATATCTAACAATCCGGGATAGCAGCGGGAAACGGTGCTGGAATAAGGGAATTTCCTGCAAAAAAAGGGAAGGTTGACAGCTATGTTCTAGACCACCAGCACCTTCTGTTCTCCGGCAGAAATGGTCCCAAAGGAGCTCAAGAGGAATATCACCATCCCTATTCCCATCTCCTTCCTGTTCTACTGCTTCCAGTCTACTTGGATCTGGTCCCATGCCCTCCCCCTTTCCTAGATGCGACTGAAGCTTACTTGCATCACCTCGATTTGCATTTTGTTAGCATTTAGCTATTGCCCCTGAACCCTGTCAAGAAAGGCTCCTACAGTTTTCATCGTACTGGTCTCTGGAACTTCCACATACTGGAAGACAATGGTCTCCAGTCAGACCCTTTTGCAGATCTACTTTCTGAATGAAGCATTGAAGGTGGCAGTTGGAGGATGCAGTTATCCAATTAGGTCTCCTAGCATCCTGAGTGGCATAAAAAACACATGATATATGCACCACCATCAATTCCCAAGTGACGTCATCAAGCACGGCAGGTTGTAACATCATGGCTCAGTTCAGATGCTTGCTTTCTTCTCTATTCTACCTACTGAGCTGAACCAGTCTGAATTTTCTCTCCAATCTCCTTAATTCTGCCTAGCTGTTCCTTCTGCCGAAATTCCTTCTTTGCCTCTCTCGGAGTTTCAGAATCAGATATACTTACTGAAACACTGCTATCGTATTAATCCCACTGCAGAGACATCACATAGAAATGCACTGTACTCCAGCTTTACAAACCTTTCATGCTGGTGACACATTTTTTAAGACACGCATCATTTCGCGACACAGAAATTCAGTTTTACTAGCAAAAACAGAAGTTAAACTAAACTCTTTCCAGCCCTGGGAGGAGCACGAGGTGCATTCGCGCAACACAACTACACACTGCAGCCAACACACTAATGTGTTGCGACACACAGTTTGGAAAGCTCTGATGTACGTTGTGATCCAAAATGTTACACTAAAAAAATACTATTGAGGAACCCTAATAAAAATCTTTTTTAAAGTATGGTTGTATTCTGGGCAGGGGTGATATCTGCCCCATTCTGTTGATAGCAAGGAGAGAAGATAAATGCATATGGTAATTTATTAAATGAAATCATTGCAAGTGGGGTTTCCTTTTCAGCCTCGGTTAGATTTAAACAGAGGTGGCTTGTGATAAGATCTAAAGCAGCGATATTGACTTCTACAGATGACCGACACAGTTGTTGTGCGTGATGAAACACAAATTCAGATGACATAGTCACACAGTCGTGCATTAATGGGACAGTCACAAAGTTTTGCGGCATTCATCAAGATAAAAGGAAGTCCCTGTGAAACCCTCAAAGTCTTATACCACACCGCCCCCTAGGGTGGCCAAGAAAGAGAAAGAGAGAGGCCAGGACTTCTGCCCCTTCAGAAGCTGCGTAGAAGAGGAGATCACAGAAAGTGTGATCTGATAAAATTCTCTCTTACATGCAGCTATTATAGCTGCAGGACCCCGTCCTCTCTATTTCACCTGGCCACCCCACTGCCAGCCAACTAGAAAATAATTCATCCCTTGACATTACTGATTCATTAGTAAATATTGGAGAAGCTATAGCATCTGTGTCTCTTGTAAATGCTTGCAACACGTGAGACGTGTATTTTTGAGATTATATGTTGCTTTAAACTGTTTTTAATATAATGTTTTAATGTTGCAACCTGCTCTGAGACCTCGGGGTGAAGAGTGGGTTGTTGTTGCTAACAGTATAGTTATACTTTTGCCAACAAAGGTCCGTATAGTTAAAGCTATGGTTTTCCCAGTAGTGATGTATGGAAGTGAGAGCTGGACCATAAAGAAGGCTGATTGCCGAAGAAGTGATGCTTTAGAATTACAGTGCTGGAGGAGACTCTTGAGAGTCCCATGGACTGCAAGAAGATCAAACCGATCCATTCTTAAGGAAATCAGCCCTGAGTGCACACTGGAAGGACAGATCCTGAAGCTGAGGCTCCAATACTTTGGCCACCTCATGAGAAGAGAAGACTCCCTGGAAAAGACCCTGATGTTGGGAAAGATGGAGGGCACAAGGAGAAGGGGATGACAGAGGACGAGATGGTTGGACAGTGTTCTCGAAGCTACCAGCATGAGTTTGACCAAACTGCGGGAGGCAGTGGAAGACAGGAGTGCCTCACGTGCTCTGGTCCATGGGGTCACGAAGAGTCAGACACGACTAAACAACAACAAATACTTTTAAGCAGTGCTTTTTTTCTTAAAAAATGTTTAGGGGTACTCTTATTTTGACTCAAGGAAATCACCATTTTATAGTTCAAATTGGGGAAAATAAATACAGTAAATGGACAAAAGTACAAAGATTCACAAAATGTTTAGGGGTATGTGTACCCCTGCGTCCCACCCCCCAGAAAAACACACACACTGCTTTTAAGTATAAACAAAAAGGATCATAATAGCAAAATATTTAAAAAGAGAAAAGGGGGATATTATACTTGTGCATAAATATCAAACAGCAGCATTTGCATTCTTTGCCAAGTCTGAGATTAGAAGACATCTATCATTCGTGTGCCTCAGCCAAAATCAAAGAATATTGCTAAATTTTATATATTCTTTAAAAATTCTATGCCACGCTTCCATAGAATTTTCCAGGCAATTTAATTGTCCTTCAGAAAAACAAGCAACACACCTGAGTAACAAGTTTCAAAAGCATTAAAATAGTGGATAAAAACTGGGCAGCAGTAACATCATCACAGTTAAACAGTGAATGCCTGGGAAAAGAAAGCGATTATTGCCATTTAAAAACCTGGTGCCCGAAAGATAGCAAAGTGGGTACCAGACGGGCCTCTCTGGGGAGAGAATTATCTAAGTAGGGCACCACAATTTAGTAGGAGTTACCTAGAATTTTGGGGAAATGTAATTAGGCAGACAAATTATTTGATGCTCTGGGATGGCAGAACTGAAGAAAAGCATGTTTTGGCTCATTAATCGGCCAGGGAACCAAGGACTGTTCAATTGTGTGGGTTTGGGTCTGCGTGTGTGTGTGTGTGTGTGTGTGTGTGTATATATCCACTGTGGCTGCTGCTGCTTTCCTGCTGAGAAAAGATGCTCCACCCAGTGCCAGGGGAAGGTAGTGCCACGGTGCCTTGAAGTGAGGGCGATCAGCTGCCCTGTTGTCCGTCAGGTCAGCGTGAGAGGAAGGCAGTGCCTCGCAACTGGCTGCCCTATTTTCCCTCAGCGTGAGGGCAGGCAGCTCAGATCAGCAGCGTTATCGGCTGAGATCATCCTGCAGTATTGGCAATGCCTTGAAATTGGCTGCCTTGTTCTCCCTTGCGTGGGGAGCGATATACAGTGGTACCTTGGGTTACAGACGCTGGAACAGATGGCCAAGCATGCAAAAGGAAGGGAGATAGTAGTAATGGGGGACTTCAATTACCCGGATATTTGTTGGATGTCAAACTCAGCCAAGAGCATAAGGTCAAACAGATTCCTCACTGGCCTTGCAGACAACTTCATTGTCCAGAAAGTGGGAGAAGCAACAAGAGGAACAGCCATTTTAGATCTGGTCCTAACCAATGTTGATGACCTGGTTAGTGGGGTAGAAGTGGAAGGATCATTAGGCGCGAGTGATCATGCTCTTCTGAAGTTTACTATACAGCGGAAAGGAGCAGCCAAGCATACTAGGACTCAATTTCTTGACTTTAAGAAAGCTGACTTCATAAAACTTAGGGAAGTGCTGGGTGAGATCCCATGGACAGTAATACTAAAAGGAAAGGGAGTTCATGATGGCTGGGAGTTTGTTAGGAGGGAGATACTAAAAGCACAACGTCAGGCAATACCAATGAGACAGAAACATGGAAGGTGCCTAAAGAAGCCAGGGTGGCTATCTAAAGAACTTTTAACTGAGTTAAGATTAAAAAAGGATGTGTACAAAAATGGAAAAGGGGGGAAACCACCAAAGAGGAATTCAAACAAATAGCCAGCACGTGTAGACACAAAGTCAGAAAAGCTACAGCACAGAATGAACTCAGGCTTGCTAGAGAGGTTAAAAGCAACAAAAAAGGTTTTCATGGGTATGTTTGTAGCAAAAGGAAGAACAAAGAAACAGTGGGGTCACTCAGAGGAGAAGATGGTGAAATGCAAACAGGGGACACAGAAAGGGCTGAACTCCTCAATGCCTTCTTTGCCTCAGTCTTCTCCGATAAAGAAAACAATGCCCGACCTGAAGAATTTGGAGCAAATGATTCAGCAAAGGAAACACAGCCCAGAATAACTAAGGAGATAGTACAAGAATACTTGGCTAGTTTAGATGTATTCAAGTCTCCAGGGCCAGATGAACTGCATCCAAGAGTATTAAAAGAACTGGCAGATGTGATCTCAGAACCACTGGCAGTCATCTTTGAGAATTCCTGGAGAACAGGCGAAGTCCCGGCAGACTGGAGGAGGGCAAATGTTGTCCCTATTTTCAAAAAGGGGAAAAGAGAGGACCCAAATAATTACCGACCAGTCAGTCTGACATCAATACCAGGGAAGATTCTGGAGCAGATCATTAAGCAAACAATCTGTGAGCACCTAGAAAGGAATGCTGTGATCACCAATAGTCAGCATGGATTTCTGAAAAATAAGTCATGTCAGACTAACCTGATCTCGTTTTTTGACAGAATTACAAGCCTGGTAGATGAAGGGAACGCAGTGGATGTAGCCTACCTTGATTTCAGCAAGGCATTTGACAAGGTGCCTCATGATATTCTTGTAAAGAAGCTGGTAAAATGTGGTCTTGACTATGCTACCACTCAGTGGATTTGTAACTGGCTGACTGACCGAACCCAAAGGGTGCTCATCAATGGTTCCTCTTCATCCTGGAGAAGAGTGACTAGTGGGGTGCCACAGGGTTCTGTCTTGGGCCCGGTCTTATTCAACATCTTTATCAACGACTTGGATGATGGACTCAAGGGCATCCTGATCAAATTTGCAGATGACACCAAATTGGGAGGGGTGGCTAACACCTCAGAGGACAGGATCACACTTCAAAACGACCTTGACAGATTAGAGAACTGGGCCAAAACAAACAAGATGAATTTTAACAGGGAGAAATGTAAAGTATTGCACTTGGGCAAAAAAATGAGAGGCACAAATACAAGATGGGGGACACCTGGCTTGAGAGCAGTACATGTGAAAAGGATCTAGGAGTCTTGGTTGACCACAAACTTGACATGAGCCAACAGTGTGACGCGGCAGCTAAAAAGCCAATGCAATTCTGGGCTGCATCAATAGGAGTATAGCATCTAGATCAAGGGAAGTAATAGTGCCACTGTATTCTGCTCTGGTCAGACCTCACCTGGAGTACTGTGTCCAGTTCTGGGCACCACAGTTCAAGAAGGACACTGACAAACTGGAACGTGTCCAGAGGAGGGCAACCAAAATGGTCAAAGGCCTGGAAACGATGCCTTATGAGGACCGGCTAAGGGAGCTGGGCATGTTTAGCCTGGAGAAGAGGAGGTTAAGGGGTGATATGATAGCCATGTTCAAATATATAAAAGGATGTCACATAGAGGAGGGAGAAAGGTTGTTTTCTGCTGCTCCAGAGAAGCGGACACAGAGCAATGGATCCAAACTACAAGAAAGAAGATTCCACCTAAACATTAGGAAGAACTTCCTGACAGTAAGAGCTGTTCGACAGTGGAATTTGCTGCCAAGGAGTGTGGTGGAGTCTCCTTCTTTGGAGGTCTTTAAGCAGAGGCTTGACAACCATATGTCAGGAGTGCTCTGATGGTGTTTCCTGCTTGGCAGGGGGTTGGACTCAATGGCCCTTGTGGTCTCTTCCAACTCTATGATTCTATGATTCTATGATTCTAGGTTACAGACTCCGCTAACCCAGAAATAGTACCTCGGGTTAAGAACTTTGCTTCAGGATGAGAACAGAAATTGTGTGGCAGTGGCATGGTGGCAGTGGGAGGCCCTATTAGCTAAAGTGGTACCTCAGGTTAAGAACAGTTTCAGGTTAAGAATGGACCTCCAGAATGAATTATGTTCTTAACCAAAGGTACCACTGTATTGCCGGGTCAAAACCGTTCTTGAGGTGTGGTTTCCAAACCGATTTTGGCCCACCCATTGAAAAACCGCACAGTGCTAAAACAACCATAACCTTTGTGATATTACCATGCAAAAATGACAAAAAATTAGTTGGGGGAAGCAAGGGATGGGGTCCCCGGACTCCTAATTGAGAACCACTGCTTTAGATCCAAATTGAGGCTTAATCCAGACAAGACAGAAGTCCCTTTGCTTAGTAGGAACCAGTGCAGAGTAGGGTGTTGAGTATCGTTTTGATGGAGTCCAACTTCAGCCCGGAAGCCAGCTGCAACTCTTCATGGAGAAAGCAGATCTGGGCCTTGAAATATGTTTGGAAATGGCAGCGGATGCAGAAGCCGTTTTGCCAGAATGCTGATGGGAGCCTGGGCATATTAAACTGATATAATAATCCAATTTTCACTGGCTTCCAGTTTATATCTGAGCCCCTTTCAAAGTGTTGGCTGTGTTTTTATATCTTTAAAGTTCTAAATGACTGGGACTGGGGTATTTAAAGAGGGATGCCTACATGATTCTGCTTGCCCACTGAGAACTTCAGTGAAGGCTCTCTTTTGATGTACTGGGTAGGGCTGGGCGCTACCTGGTTTTCAACTTCGCAATCTATCACCAGCTAAACATCACATTATACAGATCTATATCACAGTGTCTGAAATAAGGATGGAGCTATGTAGAGGCAGTAGGGGATGTGGGTGGCGCTGTGGGTTAAACCACAGAGCCTAGGACTTGCTGATCAGAAGGTCAGTGGTTCGAATCCCCACGACGGGGTGAGCTCCCGTTGCTCGGTCCCTGCTCCTGCCAACCTAGCAGTTCAAAAGCACGTCAAAGTGCAAGTAGATAAATAGGTACCGCTCCAGCGGGAAGGTAAATGGCGTTTCCATGCGCTGCTCTGGTTCGCCAGAAGCGGTTTGAATCCCCGTGACGGGGTGAGCATTCAAAAGCACGTCAAAGTGCAAGTAGATAAATAGGTGGGAAGGTAAGCGGCGTCTCCGTGCGCTGCTCTGGTTCGCCAGAAGCAGCTTAGTCATGCTGGCCACATGACCTGGAAGCTGTACGCCGGCTCCCTCGGCCAATAAAGCAAGATAAGCGCCGCAACCCCAGAGTCGGCCACGACTGGACCTAATGGTCAGGGGTCCCTTTACCTTTACCTTATGTAGAGGCACTAGCTGGCTTCACAGTTTTCCCTGCATTGTGATTTTGGCCAGTGCCTGCTCTTGTGATTCACTGCCTCCTGCATGAGGCAGGGATGAGCTGAGGCAACTGAGTCAACAGGGGCTGCAGGAATCGAGAGAAGCATTGGTTGGCTTCATGGCTTTTCCCACATTGTGATTTTTGCATAGCACATATGCATCATGTTACGCAATATATTGCCAGGTCAAAAATTATGAAACTGATATAATGATATGGACTTCAAACTGGTTTTGGATGATATATAAAGGTAAAGGTACCCCTGCCCGTACGGGCCAGTCTTGCCAGACTCTAGGGTTGTGCGCTCATCTCACTCTATAGGCCGGGAGCCAGCGCTGTCCGCAGACACTTCCGGGTCACGTGGCCAGCGTGACAAGCTGCATCTGGCAAGCCAGCGCAGCACACGGAAACGCCGTTTACCTTCCCGCTGGTAAGCGGTCCCTATTTATTTACTTGCACTTTGACGTGCTTTCGAACTGCTAGGTTGGCAGGCGCTGGGACCGAACGACGGGAGCGCACCCCGCCGCGGGGATTCGAACCGCCGACCATGCGATCGGCAAGTCCTAGGCGCTGAAGTTTTACCCACAGTGCCACCCACGTCCCTTGGATGATATATACTGGATGATTAGTTTGTTGTTGTGACTAAGTATTGACCACGTGACATTTTTGTTGTTGTTTTTGTTGATGATATTTAATAGCTTAATCATTGACCCAAATGGTCATCTATTCCACCCCCAGCAAAGATCTCAGAAACCCGTTCCACAGCAGCTTGGAGCAGGACTTTGAGTGTTGCTCCCCTTGTTCTATGGAATAGCATTCCCGTCAAAATAGGATAGGCACCCACTATCGGTGCTTTCTGGAGACATTTTTGTTCGGAATGGGTCTGAGAAATGGGTCTTTATAAGGCTACTTTGTATGGTTTTAGCTTCTTCTTAAAAATATTTGCTGTTTATGAGTTTTAAACTCTCTTCCATTATCTTTAGTGTACATCGCCTTGAGATGTTTGTTTAGAATGTGATTAATAAGTCAATTATATCTTTATTTTTAATAATCATCATTAGGGTTTTTTTCAGCTGAAACTCGCCGGAACTCAATTGCGGCACCTCTCAGGTGGGCGCCATTGGCATTCTAAGAGAACGAGGGAGGTGTTGATGGTAAGTTCCGGCAACTCTTTTTCTAGAAAAACAGCATTAATAATAATAATGATGATCGTGATGTAAGTCATGAGTCTACCCAACTCTTTAAAGTACTCGTAAATCCTGTGGAACAGCTTTTCCCAAACTAGTGCCCTTCCAGATGCTTCCAAAATAATTAAATAAATGTCCATTTTAAGAAGAAAACACAAACACAGAACGGAGCAACAGAAAATAAAGTATAGTCAGCCTAACTAACCTTTTATTCTGGTTTAATCTGGGCAATATTTTTAAGCCACAGACCTACAAAACTGAGTTAACTACATTGGAACAGTTGGAGATTCCCACCAAAAACAAAGGACTTACTCCTGAAGACAGTGACCAAGAACGCAATGTGGCAGCTTCACACTTTTAAACGATGCCCGATGGAAACTGACTTAAGTTCTTGTAAATGGCAAAACTTCTTTCTCAAAACATTCACCACAAATTAGACACTTGCGCTCCGAAGACTTAACTAATTGCCAACCAAACCTATATGCAAGATTACAATTTCACAAAAGGACTGTGGTGTGCAGTTTGATTTTTTTTAACACTCAAAAAGCAACTGCAGAAGGCTGGAATCTTAAAGAGAGAACTGGTGGGTGGGGTAATTTTCCAGCTATTTCTCTCCCAGAAGAGGAAAAGATATGGGAACCTATATCCTTCCCTCTTTGGGAAGAATAGAAGCTGGGTGGGATTAGGCCTAGGATTAAATTAGGATTTAAGTAAATAAATAAGATCAAGAATGCTAAGTTAATAAATTCGATTATAATTAGAATATTGTTTTTGAATAATGATATTGGAAAACTGCTACATTCAGTTACTAGGAAATTCAGATGGGAAGGATTTGAGGAAGTCAAGCAATATGTTTATGAGGTTGGAAGTTAAACTAACTAATCAATCTGTATTCTTTATATTTCTTTGTTGTTATTTGTTGTATTTGTTCTATTTCTTTCCTGTTTTTTATTTTTGTTTTTGACTCATTTGATATACAGCATGTGTTAAATGTGTAAGAAACTTAATAAACATTATTGGGGGGGGAGGGATGTTGAGCAGAAAAAAAGAACTGAGTAACTCTTCCCCATCCACTCATTGCCTGCTTAAGATTGCAGCCTCCTATGGCTACTTTTCATTTAACAACAACAAAAACACCAGCCTGACACCTCAGTTTGGTCCAAAACGAGTAATAGGAAACCCTAGGCACCCGCCTAGGTAGTTTAGAGCTGCAGGAATAGTCCTCGAGATAAAAATTTGACTCCTTTATGCTTGTCTAACACAGATCAATGTTTTCCATCAAGGCACAGGCTGCATTCAGATGGGACGTTTATTGCATTTAGTTTTACTAGCTATAATGCTAGCACGCAGGGGGTTGGACTCGATGGCCCTTGTGGTCTCTTCCAACTCTATGATTCTATGATTCTACCTCTACCCCAATTTCTAACTTTCCTTTTATACTGAGGTACCTGTTTGCTTTATGGAACTGTGGCTTTCACCAGGGCATGTGAAATTTTGAACAGCAGGAAATAACCATTTTCCTGGAATACCACCCCAAATTTTGTCACGCGAGTAGCGGGTGGCATCATCGTTAAAACCACAGGAAAGTTACAACTGAAAGCTCCTGTGATCTTCCAAGGTAACAGGGTTGTAGATGCTTCCCCACCACTTTCTGGAAGCAGTTAACACAGAAGTGAGCCGTAAATTTAGAAGAAGAAGAAGAAGAAGAAGAAGAAGAAGAAGAGGAGGAGGAGGAGGAGGAGGAGGAGGAGGAGGAGGAGGAGGAGGAGTTTGGATTTGATATCCTGCTTTATCACTACCTGAAGGAGTCTCAAAGCGGCTAACATTCTCCTTTCCCTTCCTCCCCCACAACAAACACTCTGTGAGGTGAGTGGGGCTGAGAGACTTCAGAGAAGTGTGACTAGCCCAAGGTCACCCAGCAGCTGCATGTGGAGGAGTGGGGAAGCGAACCCGGTTCACCGGATTACAAGTCCACCGCTCTTAACCACTACACCACACTGGCTCTGGAAGTGGCCTTCCATAGTGTGTAAAAGATCACACAAAAAGCAAAAAAAAAGGAATTGACAGAATTAAGTGTCATCTGAATGCAGCAACATTGCAGACAATGGAAAGAAAGTGAGCCTTCTGTCTACAACAAACCATTTCCCTTCCTCGTCCCCCAGTCTTTTGCAGGAGAGCGATGTGGATATGCAAGAACTCCGAAAGACAAATACCAATTTCTCTAATTAATACAGGCAGGACGTTACACGCCTGCAGCATACTTATTGCACGTGCTTCGTTCTAAGGACAAGCTTGCCTTTTTCCTGCTATAAATGCTGAAGGTAAATGGCTCAGGACCGCAATACCTCAAGGACCGCCTCCCAGACCCAGCGATCATCATCTGTGGCCCACCTTCGGGTGCCTCCTTCACAAAAGGTCTGGAGGGTGGCAACACGAGAACAGGCCTTCATTATACACCTTTAGGCGCCAGGCAAAAATGTTCCTCTTCAGCCAGACCTTTGCTGATTGACACCCGATGCCCTTTTGGATGTTGTTGTGGGAGGGGAGATTATTGGCTTGTTTTCATTCTTATTTTTATTATGCATTCTGTGTTCTTTATAGTATGCTGTGAACCGCCCTGAGATCTACGAATGAAGGGTGGGATACAAATAAATAAATAAATAAATAAATAATAATAATAATAATAATTTGTACCCTGCCCATCTGGCTGGGTTTCCCCAGCCACTCTGGGCGGCTTCCAACAAACATTAAAAATACATCAAAATTGAACAAATAATGATGACAGCAAGAGATCAAGGAAGAGGAGAAAATAAGAGGCTGTTCAGAGAAAGGGAAAAATAAGCAGAGGTACTCACATAGCCCACTGTAGCTTTTCGTTCTTGATGGAGCTATACAAAGCCTGTGGAGAGAAAGTGTCGTCAGAATTTTAACCGAGTCATTACAAAGAGAAAAATGAGTGGGGTTCAACCAGGCGCCAGGGACAGTGCTCCCTCAGAACCAACTGTTATGTACTGAAATTCTCACCCTGCGCCAGCAGGGGAAACTGTAGATAGTTTTCACTCAGGTCCACATATGCAAATAAGGGATTGAAAGTGACGTTCAGTGATTGGATAGTTACAGAAAATGGTTACTGTTGCATTCTAGTGGAGCTCTATATAAGCAGGCTGGCTGAACCCTTCAGTTCAGTTCTGTTCTGGCCTGTGAATAAACAAGAGCTGTTTGAAGAATTGCTGTGTCGTCGGATATGTTCACCCACAACTTAACACCAACATTTCTGCTTCCAATCCAGACAGAGCAAATTCCTCTCCCCACCCCCTCTGCGCACTGTTCTGGGGGTCCTCGGACCCTTCCAAGGGGATTTGGGGAGGTCCCCGCTTCACTAGCAGGGCTTTTTGTGCTTGCTTCCACTAGTGCAACAACTCAGCCCAATGTTCTTAAGATGCATATATCATTCATGTTTAGAGTAACGATAAGAGGCAACTCAGCATTTAATCCTAAACAGTGGATGCAGCCCAGTTTGAGATGTCAAGTGCTTGGAAACGAGAGCCAACGCTAGTAGCCCAGTTCGTATGCATGGGAGTGAAAATTGTTCAGAATGTGCAACACGGTGATAAGAAGGGATTAGATAAAAGGGAGCTGAAGTGGGGGAGGGGGAGAATCAGGAAGGTCAACTGCCTCCAGGAAGACCAGAGGGTTTTTTTTTTTTAAAACTAATCACAGAAGCTCAGATAAAAGATACGCAATCCAAAATGATGCTACAGATGAGTAGCAGAGGCAAACAAGCTACGGGAGCCAGAAAGGCAGTTTCCAGGGGTTAGCAGCGCTGAAAATTTCTCCTCCACAATCAGTGGGAATTGTAGTGTCACAATCTTGCACGTGCTTATGTGAAAGTAAGCTTCGCTGAAAACAGAGACTTTCCTCCAGGGCAGGGCCATCTTACCCATAGGCGCGAGGGGTGCGCTGGGCTCTCAGGAGCACCAGGCTGAGAGTCCAGGGACCGAGAGTCGAGTCTGGGGTCTCAATCTCCATCGGTCGGAGCACTGCGACAGGCTCTTCTGCTCTGTGCCGTGAGTTCGGGGGTGACCGAACCAGCGAGACGCTGAGGCGGCTGGCCAGCTCGGCCCTCCTGCGCGCCTGGGACTGGGCAACCTGGGGGGGGTGTGCCAGGCTGATCTTTGCACCCCAGCGCTGCATATGCTTAAGACAGCCCTGCTCCAGGGTCCTTGTACATACAATTGTGCTGCTAATTATAGTGTTTACCCTCATTAACAGGGAAGAAGAAGAGGAGGAGGAGTTTGCATTTGATATCCTGCTTTATCACTACCCGAAGGAGTCTCAAAGCGGCTAACATTCTCCTTTCCCTTCCTCCCCCACAACAAACACTCTGTGAGGTGAGTGGGGCTGAGAGACTTCAGAGAAGTGTGACTAGCCCAAGGTCACCCAGCAGCTGCATGTAGAGGAGTGGGGAAGCGAACCAGATTACGAGTCTACCGCTCTTAACCACTACACCACACTGGGAGATTGCAGGCTTACAGAGAGATCTCAAGAATGTTTACTCCGATTATAGAAGTCACAAATTTAATAAAAAAAAGATCTGTATATCATCAGCATATTGCTAACAATGCACCCCAGAAACCTACTTTACCAGATACAGGAAAAACGGTAGATCTGTTCTATGTGGGCTCACCAAAAGCACTGGAGGGAATAATTATGGGACTGGAAGTGATGGTCCGCAGCGCCATTTAGGGGGCTGGATCTAGCCCTCTGGTCAGCTGGCGGGTCTGCGGGCTGGATTGATTCTCCAAATGCAACTGCTTCGAAACCCCAACGACCCTGCCAAATGCCAAACTACAAGTGATGAAAAGCTTTCCTCCGCTTCATTTAAAGAGGAACAAAAATGTTTCCAAAGGTTACAAAAGAGAGCCCACATTTTTTTATTATTAATATCCAGGGCAGTGGATGTATTAGACCAGGCATCCTCAGCCTGCCGCCCTCCAGATGTTTTGGCCTACAACTCCCATGATCCCTAGCTAACAGGACCAGTGGTCAGGGATGATGGGAACTGTAGTCCAAAACATCTCGAGGGCCGAAGGTTGGGGATGCCTGTATTAGACTGATATCTGAAGCTCAATTCAGGTAAGGCTGGAGTTCTGTCAGTGTGTGGGGTCCTAAGCTGGACAGATGAGGCATGGCCTGTTCTCCTTAGATTACATCCCCTCTGAAGGTGCAGGTACATAGCTTGGGGGCACGTCTGGAGCCATTACTGTCGCTTGAGGCTTATGTGGTAGCATGAAGGGCCTTCCATCAGCTTGGGCTGGTGGCCAAGCTATGTCCCTATCTGGACAGGGATATCCTTACTTTTCTTGTCTACGGAAATGGATTATAGGTGGGGCTGCCTTTGAAGACAGTTCAGAAACTGTGGCTGTGCCCCATCTGAGAGAGGTCCAGAGCATGGGTAGGCAAACTAAGGCCCGGGGGCCGGATCCTGCCCAATCGCCTTCTAAATCCAGCCTGCAGACGGTCCGGGAATCAGCGTGTTTTTACATGAGTAGAATGTGTCCTTTGATTTAAGATGCATCTCTGGGTTATTTGTGGGGCCTGCCTGGTGTTTTTACAAGAGTAGAATGTGTCCTTTTATTTAAAATGCATCTCTGGGTTACTTGTGGGGCATAGGAATTCGTTCATTTATTCCCCCCCCCCCCCAATATAGTCCGGCCCACCATATGGTCTGAGGGACAGTAGACCGGGCCGCTGCTAAAAAAAAGTTTGCTGACCCCTGGTCCAGAGGGTGGCAACTCAAGAACAGCCCTTCTCTGTGGTGGCTCCTCATTTACGGAATGCTCTCTCCAGGGCAGAACACCTGGCACCGTCACTGCCTTTTTTTTAGGTGCCAGGCAAAAATATTGTTATTCACCCAGGGCTTTGGACCTTAATTTTCTACCTATCTTTGAGTGGGGTGGAGCCGGATCTGTTTAATCCGGATAGTACTTGCGTGTTTTAGGATACCCATACTTATTCAGAGATATACAAAAAATACATGCCCATTACAAAGTATCTTTTTTATGATAGGCTGATGTAAAATAGCTACTTAGTCTTAAAAAAAAAAAAAAAGCAAAAAAGGAGAAAGGAGAAAAGACGAAGAAAAAAAAAACTAAAGAGAGAATTAAGAATAAAGAATAAAGATACAGTATTCAGTCTGTAAGATCCAACCATTCTTCCTATAAACCAGTATTTTTCCCCATCTTCAACTCCAGCTACTACAAGTTCATTTTCTCTTTCACTCAAAAGGTCCGTAAGAAATTTCTAATCCTTAACAAGTGCCAGTAATGGCGTTTTCTCTAATTTTCTTTAATTAAGCATGTTAACTTTGCCATCTCAGCCAAGTCCAAGAGTTTTATCAGTCAGTCTTCTATAGTGGGTAAGGCCGCATTTCCCCATCTTTGTGAATTTTTATATTTGTTTCCAATGTTCATTTTGGTAAGCTGCTTTGAGCTTCACTTTTTTGGGGGAGAAAAGTGATGAATAAATATAATAATAATAATATAATATTATTAATATTAATATTAATAATTAATATTAATAATATTAATAATTAATATTAATAATTAATAATAATATTAATATTATTATTAATATTAATATTGTTAGTTTTTTCTAAACAGAAGTCTGAAAGAGCAAAAACCATGGAGCAGCTTGTGTAAGGTTGCTGATAAGTAAAATGCAGACACCTGCAGGCCTTGCCCTCAAATATGGTAGGTTTTTTTTTTTTAAGGAGGTGGGGTTACTCCCCAACGTATATAAAAAAGCAGACTTTAAAAAAGATATGCTTTAGGCGTTTCAGTTATACTGAGTCTTTTAAAACTGGTTTAAGACAAGGCTAGCCTTTTAACAGTCAAAATGCCACACACCTCTTACAAGTCAACCCAATACTTTCTATCCACACACACTGAATAAAAGCCTGCTTTTATATCTCCAAGGAAAACAAGAGCAGAAGATCTGAGAATAGACACCTGACCCTTCCTACAATTCCCATCAAGCCTGACGCTTGCTAGCTAGGGATGATGGGAGTTGTAGTCCAAAAACAACTGGAGACCCAAGTATAGGAAACACTGTAGGGCAGGCACGGCCAAATTCGGCCCTCCAGCTGTTTTGGGACTACAACTCCCATCATCCCTAGCTAACAGGACCAGTGGTCAGGGATGATGGGAATTGTAGTCCCAAAATAGCTGGAGGGCCGTATGGTCGATAGAGAGATTTATAAGCATGATAAAAAATTGTTTTTATATGTGACAACAGCAGCAAAAAAACTATTAGCCCAGCGATGGAAGCAAGAAGAACTACCAACAAAAGAAGAATGGCAAATGAAACTGATGGACTATGCTGAGTTGGCGAAATTAACTGGAAAAATTTGGAACCAGCAAGACCAGACTTTCCTGAAAGATTGGAAGAATGATATATTTGAAAGGCAATTGTAATCAACTGACATCGCTTGTAGGGTTTTGAATTATATGAATTATTGCGAAAAAGGACTAAGGAGGAGTTTATTTAAGATTTGGATTTTATAGCAATAACTATTAAAATAAAATGCAAAATCAGAAAGAAAGTTAGAAAATCATTAATCGAGGTTGACGGAAGTCCTAGGCTGTGATAGCCAAAGGTTTGTTATATTGTATAAGATGGGATGTTATGTTTGGAAAATGTGTGCAAAACCAATAAAAATTATATATATATAAAAGTAGCTGGAGGGCCAAGTTTCGCCATACCTGCTGTAGGGTCAAAAGGAACCAAATCTATTCACTGTATGATCCTTTCTTAAGTGTGGCGGCCATGTGGCTTCCTTTTAAGTCTTTGGTTTTCACCAGGACGCATTTAAGGGATTTGCCAGGTAGAAAGGACCCTAGGAAACTGCTTTATACAAGAGTTAGACCACTGGTTTGTCTAGCCTGGTATCATTGACACTAAACAGCAACTTCCTATGGTTTCAGGCAGGGGTCTTTTCAAACCTGAAAGAGATGCTGGGGACTAAATTTTTACAGCTAAATTCTACAACTAGGCTAGGGCCTTCCCTGAGCTACAACTCCATTTTCAAGGGGGAAACTAAATCAGAGATGGAATCCTCAACCATGGGTTACATCTACTATGCAGTGTTTGAACCTCAGATATATAAGCTGGGTACCAAATGGCTGCTTAAACCAAGGTTACAATTGCTGAAATTGAAAGTCTAGTTGCCATTTTTGGGCAAAACGGCTCTAAAGTCTTCTTTTTCAAATGATGGGAGTGACTGTGATTGATAGACTATTGTATTTTAATATACACTATTGTATTTTACTATTCTGCTGTAAGCCGCCCAGAGTGGCTGGGGAAACCCAGCCAGATGGGTGGGCTATAAATAATAAATTATTACTATTATTATTATTATTATTCTCAGGTAAACAGCTGGCTAGTTCAGATGACAACCTTGAGCTAGGTTAAAAACTCTAAGAACTTAAGGAAGGAAAGTCACTTGATCCAGGGCCAGTCCACATATCTATTGACCTATTCCGAGCTCTTTTTCTTAATGGTGACATGAACCATTCATAAAATAAGAATATTCTTCACAACTGTGAGCAGGGCAGATGGGTGGTTAAGTGAAGACAAGCAACAACAGTTAACTGTTCGTTGCTCCTGCTCAGGCTAACAGCATTTAGGTTCCTGAAATTCATTCTGATTGCGCAGATGAAATATAACTGATAGAACTCTACAGGGTGGGGTATTAGTGTGTGAAAACTGCCCTGATCCAATGATCCCCAGGCATGCACCTCCAGATGGTGGAAATGTCAGACACCATCTTGGCACCTAGACATCTTCACTTGGTCTCAGGTGGTCGTTAGGGGACCCCTGACCATTTGGTCCAGTCATGACCAACTCTGGAGTTGCAGTGCTCATCTCGCTTTATTGGCCGAGGGAGCCGGCGTACAGCTTCCAGATCATGTGGCCAGCATAACTAAGCCGCTTCTGGCGAACCAGAGTAGCGCACGGAAACGCCGTTTTCCTTCCTGCCGGAGCGGTAACTATCTACTTGCACTCTGACGTGCTTTCGAACTGCTACGTTGGCAGGAGCAGGGATCAAGCAGCGGGAGCTCACCCCGTCACGGGGATTCGAACCGCCGACCTTCTGATCGGCAAGTCCTAGGCTCTGTTGTTTAACCCACAGCGCCACCAGGTGGTCGTTAGCAAGGTGCAAAATGCGCCTGGCTAATTTCAAACACTGCTGTTAATGTTATGTGAACCTCTTGCACTTTGAGCTGAAATCACTCACAAAACCAGCTACCATCGTTAAATTCACGGAAATTCCTTTCCTCCTCATATTTGAAACCTTGAAGAATTTCAACCAATGCACCATTCTGCCCCCCGGGAGATGAAATGTGCCGTCAAAAATAGAAGCAATTATATAGCTGCCCAGGATGAGGCTTTATGAACCGTAAGAAAAACAGCTTCATTTTTCTTCTCACCTGAGTTAGTTAAAAGCTCTTCATTAACTCTGGGCAGGCAGACGTCAAAAACTAAAGCAGCCACAGCTATATTGATGGGAGAGACTTTTTAGGAAGGTCACAGCCTTCTCTGGAAGAGCGCAGAACTTGCTGGCCTCACCAAAAATGTTCTTCCCTCAGCTTGGGGCAGGCAATTTCCAAAACCTCAGGGAAAGAGATAAACTGCTCTGAAGGTCTTGCTCTAGAACAGGGATGGGAAACCTGTTGCCTTCCAGATGCTGGAAACCTCATGGTGCAGTGGGTTAATGCACCTGGCTGCTAACCAGAAGGTTGGTGGTTCGAGCCCACCCAGCGATGGCTGTGGACAGGTTCCTGCATTGCGATTCTATGAAATCTAAGTCCTTTCACCCTGACCAGTGGCCATACTGGAAGCAGGAGTTCCACAACATCTGGAAGCCCTGAGGTTAGCCACTCCTGGCATAGAGGAAACATCTGCGACCCATCAGCAGGCTGTGCAGGATATGAGCAGCATTCAAAAGCAAGGCAAGGCAAGGCAAATATTTGGCTGAACAGTGAGTAAAGCAAAATCAAAGAGATAGACTTTCTCACCAGATAATTCACCCGTCTCCCTCACCCTGGGGAGAATGATTTGCAGATGGAAAGGGATGCTGAACATCTCAATCAATCCACCAAGTTAGGGGTAATTGCATTCCTCACCTCTCAAGTAATGGCCTCTGTGTGATGAGGGGGGGCGGGACACACCTGAGCTTTGCCTGCAAAGGGGAAGGATAACTCTAATGTTGTGGACGTGTTAGCAAAGAGCTGGTGTTCTCTGAATCAGGCCCACATCAGCAGCTGTGGTTCTTTTCCTTACGCTTTTCTCCCTGTTTGTCCCAGAACCCGCATTGTCCTATATACTTCCACTTACTGAGATGTGGCTGGGGGGAATGACCAGGGGAGACAGGGAGGAGGAGAACACCCTTAAGGGAACTAATTAGCTGCTCCTGCTCTTCCTCCAGGAAGTCCCTTGCACCTACAAGGGATGGCTGGGGGACACATTTCATTGAATCACATACAGTCGTACCTTGGAAACCGAATGCCTTGGGAGTTGAATGTTTTGGCTCCCAAACGCCGCAAACCCAGAAGTGAGTGTTCCGGTTTGCAAACGTTCTTTGGAAGCTGAACGTCCGAAGCAGCTTCTGAGGTTTCCGACTACGTGCAGGAAGCTCCTGCAGTCGATCGGAAGCCACGCCTCGGTTGTCGAACGTTTTCGGAAGTCGAATGGACTTCCAGAACGGATTCTGTTCAACAACCAAGGTACGACTGTAATTGCAAGTTAGAAGGCTCTCCAAATGGCCGTGCCTTCGGGTGAATTAGCAGCTTAACTACCGTATTTTTCGTTCTATAAGACGCACCAGACCACAAGGAAAACAAGAAAAAAAATATTCTGAATCTCAGAAGCCAGAACAGCAAGAGGGATCACTGCGCAGTGAAAGCAGCAATCCCTCTTGCTGTTCTGGCTGCTGTGATAGCTGTGCAGCCTGCATTCGCTCCATAAGACGCACACACATTTCCCCTTACTTTTTAGGAGGGAAAAAGTAAGTCTTATAGAGCAAAAAATACCGCACCCTACCTGGTCCTCGGGTGCTCCTTGGCCACACCCATCCCCAGGCCACGCCCTTGGCCACACCCACCCCAGGCCACGCTCCTTGGCCACACCCATCCCCCAGGCCACGCCCTTCACAAGCCCTGTATGATGCCACCCTTGAGGGCTTCTTCCAGGCTGGAATGTGTCCTCAAACTCTGATGGTGCCTCTTGCCTGGATGGAAGTTGGAGAAGGGGCTTGTGTAGAAACTAGCCTACACAACTGCAGGGCATTTTTACTCCTCCGCCCACTTCTGGCTTTTGTCCTGCCCACCACTGACATGGTCCCTTCTCCCTCAAAGATTGCCCAAAAGCAACATGGGTCCTCTGCCTGAAAAAGGTTCTCCCCAAGCCTGTTTATATATATATACATATATTGCTGAGAAGTGAACACGCTAGCCGTCGTTCCACGCGAATCCTCAATAGCTGCCGCTGAGTGTTGGGTGCCAAGAGCTGCTGCATGCTGGCAAACATGCTGGGAGGGGGCGGCTGCAGCTTCTGCCTGGAAGCAAAAACGTGCCAAAAATCTCTATGCGCGTCAGCTGAGTGACGGAACGCACCGAGCCTCCAACTGCTCCACACTTTCATATGGAGTGCGCCATTAGGCTTCGTATCCTTCCCTACCCCACCCCCTCAAAAAACACCCCCTACTCCCTTGTATGAACAGAACTGAACGCTCACACACACACAAAGATAAAATAAAAATTAGAAGAAGTCCAAATCCCCAACTAACTGGACCATAAAGGGAAAGGGTAAAGGGACCCCTGACCATTAGGTCCAGTCATGGCTGACTCTGGGGTTGCAGCGCTGATCTCGCTTTATTGGCCGAGGGAGCCGGTGTTTGTCTGCAGACAGCTTCCAGGTCATGTGGCCAGCATGACTAAGCCACTTCTGGCAAACCAGAGCAGTGCATGGAAACGCCTTTTACCTTCCCGCCAGAGCGGTACCTATTTATCTACTTGCACTTTGACGTGCTTTCGAACTGCTAGGCTGGCAGGAGCAGGCATCAAGCAGCGGGAGCTCACCCCGTCGCGGGGATTTGAACCGCCGACCTTCTGATCGGCAAGCCCTAGGCTCTGTGGTTTAACCCACAGCGCCACCCGCGTCCCATAACTGGACCATAAAGATGAGTGGAAAACTAATCAAATAGTGCTGCATCTCTTCATAAAAATATTGTGGCCCAAAGCAGCTCTGAAGCAGGAAAGAAAGAAAACTTGACATGGCCACTTTTATTTTGAAGACAGGCAGCTCTGCGCTCAGCTGTTGAGTTAGAGAGCTGACCAAACAGCATATCCAAACCTCCCAGCAGAGTTTAGAAAAAGCAGGAGGGAGAAAAGGGCACCCCCCCAACAAAGTCAGGAACCTCCCATAAACTCCCCTTCATGTTTGTTTTATAAGCCACTTTTTCCTCCAAGGAGCTCAAGGTCCAGCATGTCGTTCACCCGTTCCTCATTTAATCCCGCAAACAACCCTGTAAGGTAGGTTAGGCTGAGAGCGAGGCAGTGACTGGCCCAAGTGGGGATTTGAACCCTGATCTCCCAGGTCTGAGTCCGACACTCAAACCACAACACCACTCTGGCTGTCTTGCAGCTCTCTCCCTCTGAGCTGAACTGTGGTGGGAAGCAAAAAGAAGGGGCGGCAGCAGCAGCAGCTCCTGCCTTCTCCTCTTTTAAGCAACGCAATATGGAGTACCTAGGCTGGAAAGAATGTTCAAGTTGCCACTGCTATCTGCGCTCTCTCTCTCTCAGTGCAGCTTAGAGGGCTGAGCATGCAAAGGGAAGACACCTCATCTTTGCTGGTCCAGGTTCTCTTTCTGGGTGCTGCAGCAGTGGGGATTCAGCCCAGCCAGCCCAATCCCTCTCGCTGAGCCACCCAGAGGGAGAGCAAGCCAGAGGAAGGCAGCTGCTAACTCCGCTCAGCTTAGTTTTCTCTAGGCAGCAAGGACAGGGCAAGGGGTGGTTGCTGCTGCCAGTTCTCCACCCCAGCCCTCTCTTTCTCTCCCTCTTGGCAGGGCAGCAAGGAGGGCTTCCCAAGTCCAGCCCAATCCCCAATGATGCACCACCCAGAGGCAGACTCCGCACACAAATTTCAAGTTCCTAGGCAGCCCCATGGACCCCGTTTCTCCGCCAGTGCTGCTACCCACTCCAGACTACAATGAATTACGACCCTTAGCTCAGAGAACAAAATAGAAACCCCTTCATTTCCGAATCTCCCTTTCCCCAGCCCCATTTGTCAAAGGACAAAATGTACAAAAAGACTACAGAGGTTTTGCACGATGCTTCCAGGTAGAACCAATATCTTAATTAGCTGCAAACTAATTTTTCTATACCATACAGCAACCAGTTAGCAGTGTGCAGGAATTTCTCGTTCAGAAAACGTAGGAGCTGCGAAACGAGAAACTTTTTTTTTTTAAAAAAACCCACACAACACTGATTGAAAAGGACTATTTACGTCAGCACGATTCGTATCAAGCCGCCCTGCCCATCGCCCCTGCGCGAAACAAATGTACCCGAAGGCGTGCACCCAGAGGTGTGGGTGTCGATGGGAGCTACCCAGGGCTGTGCGTGGGTTTGCCACATGACATGCCTACTCTGACTCGCAGGATGCAAGACTGTATGGGCGACGGGGGCGGTATGGGCGACAGGAGCTGCCATCCTCTGCGCACCTGCCCGCTGCATTTCTAACTATACGTGCGTAAGGTGCAGCCGCGAGCCTGCAATTGGCCACGAGACGAGGAGGAAAAGCAGGGTGGGGGAGAGAGGGAGAGGCGTCATCCGTGCTCTGCTTTCAACTCATGCCCGTTTACACCTGTGGGGAGGAAGCCTCAGGTGCCACGCGGCCCCAATCGTGTGCGCAAGAGAGAGAGAGCAGGGGCCGCCAAGCCCCCTCCGCCTGGGCGTTGCTGGGTGTGCAGGGATGCCAACTTGAATAAAATATGGGGGGGGGGGGGCGAGAGAGTAAGCCCCGCCCTGCATAATCAATCACAAGACGCCGTGCACGGACTACATATGAATGGCAATCCCAATCAATTTTGTGGGGGTCGGCCCCCTCAACTATTTTATTGGGGGCCCCGAAGGGACCTGCGCCCCTAGGAATTGGCTCCTACGAATATTTCACTGGAAGGGGTGGGGAAAGGGACCTGTGCCCCTAGGAGTTGGCTCCTATGGCTGGGCGGGAGCGCGTGGAGCGGAGAAGCGAGGCCGGCGGTGGCGCAGACGCGCGCCACGCTCCGGCTTTTTCCGACGGCAGTACCCGGGGCGAGGCTCCCTCCGGCGGCGGGCTGCCTCCTTTCCCCCGTTGCCCACCCCACCCCGATCCCTTACCGGCTGCTTCTTCTTCCTGCGACTCTGCAGGCGGCTGACCACCAGGTCGGTGTAGAGCACGGGCTTGAGGGTGCGCGAGCGCTGCGGCCAGCCGTAGCAGAAGGTCTCCATGCCGCGGCAGTTGCGCCCGTAGCGCACCGAGCACATGGAGCGCGAGCGGAGGCGCCCGGCGCTGCCGCTGCTGTTGATGCTGTTCACGCCGATCATCGCGGCCGGTGCGCGGCTCCGGCAGGCCGGCTGCCTGGCCGAGAACCTCGCCTCCCGGGAACGGGGCTCCGCGAGCTTGAAGGCGGCGGAGCCTCCGCCCTAGCGCAGGGAATCGGGGCCCGGCTCCGCGCAAGGGCTGGCGAGCGTCTCCCGGCTCCTGTCTCGCCCTCTCCGCAGCGGCCAACGGCGGGCGGGGAGCGCTGCGCAGCCAGGCGAGCGGCGCGCCGAGGAGGCTGCCGGAACGCAGGGGAGGGGGAGAAGAGAGGGAGGGAGGGGACTGCGATCGGAAAGGGGGAGGGCGGCGGCGGCAGCGCGGCTACACGTGCGACCTCCAGAGTCGCGCTTGGAAGATGGAGGAGAAGCGAGCGCAATGCCGAGGGAAAAGGCGTGCGCTCCGGGGAGAAAGGGAGCCCTTTCCCAAACGACCACCTTGTTGCTAAGCCTTAGCGGGGGTGGGGGGTAGTCAGGTTTTTCTGCCCCGGGTGCAGCCTCCAGAGGGGCGCCATGGAGGCTCCCAAGCTCTGCCTGTGTATGCAAATATGTGGGGAGGGTGCCAAACTGTGGGAAAGAAATTCTAGTTTCGGCCCTGCCTTGTTGCAGCGCGGGGCTTTGCAGCTGTATAGCGCCTTTCCTGCAAGACAGACCCTTGTCTTGCAGGGTTTCGGACAGTTCGGGCCAAGCATGCTTGCTATAGGCCATGGGTGCCAACTTGAATAAAATTGGGGGTGGGGTGGGGTAGATAAGCCCTACCCTGCGTAACTGATCACATGATGCCGTGCATACACACCATTTGAATGGCAATGCCCTTCAATCTGGGGGGGGGGGCAGCCCCTTCAAATATTTTAGGACCTCAGCCCCTAGCAATTGGCTCCTATGGCACATAGCTTTTAAAAACAAAAAGCGAAGCAAGGAAACAGGTGGTGCACATTTCAATGTTTGGGGCAGAAGCGCACCCCAAAAGACGGCAAAAGTGGAGAGGAAACTTCACAAAATGGCAGAGCTGTGGATTGCCCTCACCCTCGCATTTTAACAGGTACAGGGGACGGGTAAAGCAAGAAACACTCGCCTGAAACAAGACAAAAAGGGAGGTACAACAAAGAAAATGGTACCCACCCTTCCCGAGGCACTCATTTCATTTGCTTCTTCCATTTGTTTCCAATAAGCCAACTCCTGAGACACTTGTCAGCATTTGCCATCTAGAATGGCAGCCGAACTTAAACTCGAATCCTTGCTCACTGGGTAACCTTGTGCCAGTTACAGTCTCTCAGCCTAACCTACTTCATATGGTAGCTGCGAGGATAAAATGGGGAGTAGAGAACCATGCATGCCCCATTGAGCAACTTGGAGCAAAGCTGGGATATAAATAAAAATAAACAATACTCAGTTCAGCTGGGGCCATTGCAAGGGATTTCAGAAGCTCTGAGCTACCACACTTTGCAATCAGACCCAATTGAAGACACAGCCAGGATTCTGCCACAACACTTTTAAGAAAACTATCCCAGCTGAATTTTTTGTGGGAGGTGACTTTTTTATTATAATTTGTATAGAGAATGTGGAGGGGGAAACAGCCAAGCAAAATAATAGCACGTCTCTGCTTTTTATCCAAGTTCTGGCTAACACAGCTGTGCAAATGCCCCAAAGGTTTAAGGCTCCAGGGAACATGCAGTCCCACAGTGCCTGAGCCTTGGAAACACTATGGATCCATCGTTCCTGAGCTTATATGAGCAACTTGAACGAGTTTAAGGTTAGGCAGAGCCTTTATACTCTTTGTAAGACACCCAAACCCAAGTCATGTGAATTGCGGTGGAAATGGTGCAGAATGCAGCTGCCGGTTTATTAAATGTGGAAGTCTGATGGAATCCTCATTCCATGGAACACTGATCCCAAAGCTCTGAGCTCAGTCCCAAGTTGTTACTAATGGTTTACTGCATGCTAAGCTAGGGATGATGGGAATTGTAGTCCTAGCTTCCCAGCTAGCTAGGGGTGGTGGGAGTTGTAGTCCAAAAACAGATGGAGACCTACGTTTGGGAAACTGTAGTTTACCGAAAGCCCTAAACTGCTTGGTAGCCAAATATCTGCTGGAGTGCCTCCTCCGATACCAGCCAATTTGATGCATAAAATTGGTGGGGGAAGGTGAGGCTCTGTTTGCAGTCAACAGCAGGATTTGGGGAGAGGGGACAAATGGGAGGACCGTCTCCATGGTGGAGCCCAACTTCAGAATGATCCCCACAGAACAGCCAGGCCTGTCACCCTCACTGCTAGCTTTCAGACATCAATAAAACATTTTTTTATTTACCCAGGCTTTGCAGTGTGACAGTGCGATGTTTAATCCTTAGTAGCAGTATCTGGTTAGTGTTTTAATTACCTGTTAATATGTTTCATGTTATGTGTTTATCGTAAATCCATATTACCCAATGACCCTGTTCCCATTCCCCCCCCCCTCCTTCGGCTTAGATTTTAATCCAAGCTGGATAATAAATCCAGTCAGCCAGCCTGCTCTCAAATCCTCACTTACTCCATGTGTCGGCGTGAACTGGTGGTAGAAAACTGAGTGAGGTCTTCCATTTCCCAATCTGTTGTTCTAGTTGCTTTGCTTAGCAATGCAAAGTAGCCTCTGGGAAATAATGCAATAGTCCTTGTAAACTCAATTCCAATGTGCTCTTTGGCTTGGTGCATCTCTATGCGGTGCTCCTAAAGGAGGAGAGGGGGAAATGGAAGACCTTTCTGCTGCTTGGGGTAGGAAAAAGGGGGGATTATTAAAGTATAAGTAGGGTGGGGGAAAGGGCTGGGTAGATAGGGGGATGAGTTAATGACTCAGTGGGGTGGGGTAGAATTCAGGTTGTCTTGGGGAATAAAAACTCATCCATTGCTAACGGAGACTGTATCAACAGACGCCGACAAAGCTCAGTTTGGTCAGGGAAACTCTGAGAAAATGGAATTGCAAATTAAGGAATGATGAAGGTCATTTAAACCCAGTTTTGGGGGAATGTCTTAGTTGGTGGACTAACTCAAGGTTTTCACAGTGCTGCAGAGTTCTAAAAGCCAGCCTTGTGGACTTGATTAATATAAAGAAATATGCATGAGAAATTGTTTGAAAAATAGATGACATTTCAAGGAGCACTGAAAAGCAGATACAAAAAAAAACAACGTGGGGTGGTTGGGAGGTGGTCATGAAAGTGAAATGTAACAGTTTCAGCTAAGTCAGGGGTAGGCAACCTAAGGTCCGTGGGCTGGGTGCGGCCCAATCGCCTTCTCAATCCAGCCCACAGACAGCCCAGGAATCAGCATGTTTTTACATGAGTAGAATGTGTCCTTTTATTTAAAATGCATCTCTGGGTTATTTGTGGGGCATAGGAATGCGTTCATCCCCCCCCCAATAATCCGGCCCACCACATGGTCTGAGGGACGGTGGATTGGCCCACGGATGAAAAAGGTTGCTAACCCCTGAACTACCGTATTTTTTGCTCTATAAGACTCACTTTTTCCCTCCTAAAAAGTAAGGGGAAATGTGTGTGCGTCTTATGGAGCGAATGCAGGCTGCACAGCTATCCCAGAAGCCAGAACAGCAAGAGGGATTGCTGCTTTCACTGCGCAGTCTTATAGAGCGAAAAATACGGAAAGTTGTACTGGAGATGTTGCATTGCATTGTTCCATACAACACCCCAAGGTTACAGATTTAGCATATCTTACAGGGCAGGAAGCAAATTGCATTTTGTCACTGGAACCTGATGCAGAACACCCCATGTCTGCCAGTGTGCATCAGTTAGGTGCTTGCAAGAGGCAAGCATCACCAGCTCATACAGGAAGCCATGGTGCAGATGAAAAGCTGCTAACATCTTCTATTTGGTTTAGGAAAAGCTGTTCTTTTTAGTGCAGAGAGCTGAAGGAACAAGAGATCTGAAGCCTGAGTGAGATGTTAAAGAGAGATGTGTGGGCATCACTGATCCACACCTCCCCAGTAATGTTGAATTGAAAGCCTGTGCTGTGTGACGTTATCATATTAGTGTGTTCCTGTTCTGCAACGCTGGCTCCTGCTCAATAGACTGAGAAAATGCTAACTTGGATGATCACATCTCCCTGCCCCCCCCCAGCTACGCTTTACTGGTGAGACATGTTTTGATGGTACCCAGTGCATTTTCCTGCAGCAAGCACACTGGTCCTGGTGCAAATGTATGCTAGCAGAGGAATGCAGAATCATTTTCAACCCTAGGTCTGCATTCCCTTCTGAGCTACCTTCCACATGCCGGTAGTGGGGAGGCAAGAAGCAACAGTGGGCAATGCGACAGGTGTGGATTTTGCCGTTTCTATACACACACTCACCCACCCCTCTCTGGCCTCCATCCAGGCAAACAAAAAGCACGATCAGGGTTCAAGGACAGCGCTAGGCCAGTGAGGTGTGTGGTTGGTGTGTGTGTGGCCTGAAGAGATAGATTCCCGATAGGGATGGCCTGGAGAGAAGCATTTGGCTCCTGGACCAGGTGTTCCCCATCCCTCTGCTGGAAGGATGAAAAGAGGAAGTGCTTGCAAGGGGCAGTGTGGTGCAATGGTTAGAGTGTTGGACTAGGGCCTGGGAGAGCAGGGTTCGATTCCCCACTCGACCACGAAGCTCACTGGGTGAGCTTGGTCCATTATAAGAGAACAAGGAAGGTGTTCATGGTGAGTTCCGGCATCTCTTTTTCTAGAAAAATAGCACTGGTTGTGAGGATGAAACAGTGAGGAGGAGGAAAACCATGCATACTACCTTGAGATTCTTGAAAGATAAATGCAACACATAAATAAAACATGGGAAAAGCACCAAAGTCATGTGCCCTTCAAATGGTAATGCTTCCTGAAGTGAGTCTGAACTGCAGTGGACCCAGCAGTGTGTGGACAGAATCTGGAGGATCCAAAAACTTTTGCATGCCAGGCTCTTGGCACCTGCAGGAAAGGTCACTTGATGTGAGCAGAGCAAGAAAACCAAGCTGCATTTTATGATGACAGGTAAGGCACAAACAGGGATGGTCAAATTTCAAGGATGCAATCCCACCCAACAGATATAATTTAGTATAACTTGTCCACAAAAGGAAGTTCTAGGCAAACAGGTCCACTCAACACCTTGTCTTTTGTTGTGACTCTCATTTGGGCCCCAAAGGTGGGGAAGGAAAAAAAAAAAGATTTGGTTTAAAGAAGCAGCAGAGAAACTGCTTTTCTGAATCCAGTGAGTCAATCTGGGTGTTTGGGAACACCTGGGATATCAGGTGATTTGAAAGTGAATGTCTTTTCAAAAGATGAGTTCCAGGTGTGTCACAAACAAGTGATTATTCTTCAGAACTGAGATGCCTTCCTTCCAAAGGTATCCCTGCTTCCCCAGGGCTCAGTTAGCAATGGGCCCTCACCCAAAATGTGCCCAGAGCAACAACGGAGAAAAAGCTGTGCAACTGCAACTGCCCAAGCCCAGCCACGCCAGATTGCAACAGTTTTTAGGAGTTACATTCTTTTTTTTTAATAAAAAAAGTCTGTCAATGGGAAGCACTCCCACTGCTGTGTCACTAAAGGGCAGAAGCCCCCGGGGGAGCACTTCAAAAAGGCAGCCACAGGGTCACCTACAATAATGCATCACTATCTCTGCTGATAGGGGATGCAGGTGGCGCTGTGGGTTAAACCACAGAGCCTAGGACTTGCCGATCAGAAGGTCGGTGGTTTGAATCCCCGTGACGGGGTGAGCATTCAAAAGCACGTCAAAGTGCAAGTAGATAAATAGGTACCGCTCTGGTGGGAAGGTAAGCGGCGTCTCCATGCGCTGCTCTGGTTCGCCAGAAGCAGCTTAGTCATGCTGGCCACATGACCTGGAAGCTGTACGCCGGCTCCCTCGGCCAATAAAGCAAGATGAGCGCCGCAACCCCAGAGTCGGCCACGACTGGACCTAATGGTTAGGGGTCCCTTTACTTTTACCTCTGCTTATATTTTCTTCCTAATTCTAAAAATAAAAAAATCTTTCAAAGGATGTGTCCAAATATATGAACCAATTGTTGCTGGCATCTGTCTGTCTCAAGAGACAATGGAATGTGCCTCCAGGGAAGAAGTCAAACCCCTGCGCTAGCAGCGCCAAAGTGTGTATGGAGGTGCTGGGCTGCCCGGATGACAAGACCCCTGCCCTCTCGGCTACACTGATGTGGTCCAAACGAAAGCAGAGTAATACGTTTGTCACCACCGTGATGGAAGGAGCTGCCAGGAGACATACAAGGTGCCATCCAACCATCTTAGGGACTCCACTCCTGATTTGTGCAGGGTTTACTCCTTAGCCTTTTCTTCTCCAGGAGATATCCCACAAGGCAACAGAGGTTTAGGATCAGAGTTTTTCTTCTCCTAGATGGGCTACCTTCCCAGGTGGACGAGCCCCATCTGCCCCTCATTTCCCTCTATGGCAAGTGCAGTAACTGCTGCCTTGGCCATTGGACCCACTATTGGTCTCGTCTGCTCAATCCGCCACAGCCTGTCTTCCCAAGTCCCTAACTCACGGAAGGTTCGAAGCCTATCAGATGCCCTCATCTGGTTTGTTGGCCAGTTGAAGCCACTTTCCAGGGCACAGGTCCAACACCCTGGAGTCCTGGATGCCCAAGCACCCACAAAATTTGCCATGAAGAGGCCGAGCACCCACAAATTTCGGTGCCAGGGCCATGCACGCTGTACGGCACTCATGGTCCCGGGCACCCACGGTTGTGAGGCCAAGTTGGCAGGGTGTGGCCGCTGTCGCCTACGGACAGCTTCTAGGAGCCACAGGTGAGTGCTGATTAGAGGGTGGGGACCAAAAGGGTGGGCAAACAACCCCTGCAGGAGCACAACATATCTCCCACCAGAGGTACTACCGCTCCCCTAACACCCCACACACCCCAGCATATGGGGCGAAGAAATATCCTGGCGGAAGGGACCGCTCTTAGGCAGAGGCTGTGACCAGCAGCTGAGAGAGACCTTGTGCTCCTACGTCCTTGAAGCACTATTGAACTATGAATCAGAAGCTATTCTAATTTACTTAGCCTCACTGTCTAAGAACACCATTTAGCTGACGCCGAGAAGGTCCGCGACCGTACCCACTGTCTTGGTACGTGTGGGAGAGCAGGGGCGGGGGTCCTCTTTGCTGCTCTAATTGTGGAAAGAGTGATGATGGAAGAATTTCAGGCTTCTACTCAGACGCCTGAATCATGCCTGTGATGCTCTTGCTCCTTGCTTGCCGAGGGCAGATGAAGCCCCTTGCTAACTGGCTGTTTGCACAAGTTGTGTCAGTGCGTGCAGGAGTAGCAGGAGATCTGAGCAGGAAGCCATTGCAGGGCTGCATCGCTAAGCCAGCAAACCTTTAAGAGATGTCTAGCCTGTTCCAGGACCTCTGCCAGACAGAAGGAAGAGGTGCAAAGCTCACCCAGCCACCCAGCTCCTTGGCAGAAATGGCTGCTTGCTCAACATGCATTTCTTTTGCATATTTCTAACTCACCTTTCTTAGAAAAGCCAATATAATTTTCTCAGATTCCTGGGATCCAGTGCCAAGGGATACAGCAGCACCCTTCTTTTCTTATGTAGAACAACTGTGGTGTGTTCTACAATCAGGGACACCCTCCCTCTCCGGTCAGCCATTAACCTCACTGGGTGACCACGGGGCAAATACCAAAACTCTCAGCCTAACCTGCTTCACAGGTTGTGTGGATAAAATGGGGAGGGGGAAGAGAACCATGCATACCAGCCCGAGCTCCAAACTGTGTGTGTTCAGGACATCCCTGACGGGAACGGGTCCTTGCAGAATTAAGTGGGGAAACTGAGGCATGGGTGCTGCAGAAAGCACATAGCAGCAGATCCGTATATGGAATACAAACTGCTTCCCTGCTTCCTAGACCGATGTGCTACTGAGAAGATGAAACGGTTTCTTTCTGTGCGGCACCATGAGACTGGTGTCAACACAAAGATGAACAAGCAGAACAGAAGAAGTTGTCCTCTGACACTTGCACTGTGTGTACTGAAACACTGCTTCTTGCGAAGAGAAAAGAACAGAGAAAGCACACGGGTGCAAGGGAGAATAAAGGCCGTTGTCTGCGACATGCTTGTTTCGTTCAAGCCCTGGCTGCAAGATGGGATCCGTAGGCAATCACACCTTCCCGCCCCCAGTATACAACCACGCTGAAGCAAGAGCAGTGAGAATGGTTCCCAAATGCGTGCTTCCTTCTTCCCTCCTGAATAACTTTGATTTTTGCTTATTTTCTATTAGGCTGTGAGCCTATGCTCAGAACGGTCTTATTTTACGATGCTGTATAGCTCTTAGAAATGGGACGCGGGTGGCGCTGTGGGTTAAACCACAGAGCCTAGGACTTGCTGATCAGAAGGTTGGCGGTTCGAATCCCCGTGACGGGGTGAGCTCCCGTTGCTCGGTCCCTGCTCCTGCCAACCTAGCAGTTCGAAAGCACGTCAAAGTGCAAGTAGATAAATAGGTACCGCTCCAGCGGGAAGGTAAACGGCATTTCCGTGTGCTGCTCTGGTTCGCCAGAAGCGGCTTAGTCATGCTGGCCACATGACCCAGAAACTGTACGCCGGCTCCCTTGGCCAATAAAGCGAGATGAGCGCCGCAACCCCAGAGTCGGTCATGACTGGACCTAACAGTCAGGGGTCCCTTTCTTTACCTTTTTATAGCTCTTAGAAAATATGTGTGTCGGGGGGGGCAAGCGGTTTTCATAAGTGTTTATTAATAATAGCGATCTCATTTTGTTTCGGATGATGCATGAACATGTCACAATAAGTACCGCCTTATTCCTTTTTGCGTGAGGTGGGAGGGATCGTTCCCCCCCCCCGAAGTGAAACCAGGTACTATTTTAGCAAATAGGTGTATCCAGGAGGATGCCTAACTTCTTGTCACCAGCTGCCCTCTGTAAAAGCCTCCACAGGCTGTTTTCTTCCCAGACGCACCTCCCCCTTCCACTTTAGGAGTCCAGCTGTAGGGGGTGGTAGTTAGTATCCCTTCTTGCCTCCTGATTCTCCTCTTCAAAAGCTTCCCTTCCTCAGATCTTAGATTAGTGATATGAAGGAAATGGGGTCGGAGGGGGTTCCCCCCATAAGGTCTAGTTCTGCCCTAAGATGGTACCTGCCACCCATAGTTCCTGTACATTCTTGTATTGAAAATAATTAACAAATGCCCTTTGAAAGAGTCACCTTTTAATTGCTCCATAGCAAGTTAATTGGATAAATGTTGTAGCCCTACTTATTACAGTTTTTGGCTTTTTATCGGGCTCAGCCACCGAAGGAGTCGGGAGAATTCCCGTTTCAGCAAAATAAAGACTTCTTGGCTATGTCTGACACCATATTTCCCCCTATTATATATTGAGTAAGTTGACAGGAAAGTGGCCAGGAAATCGCAGCAGCGGAGCAGCAGAAATGCATATTTGAAATGTGACATTTGAACCGCATCTTGCAAAGACCTCCCCTCACCCTCCAAGATCTTCTAAAAGGTGTTTGGGTGTAAATTTGTATGTTTTGGTGTAAATTTTCAGACACTGCAAACATGCATTTCTTCATCTGTTACCTAATTGCGTCACCCAATTTTAAGGGCAGCCCAACTTTCTGACAGCAGGGGGAGTCTTTGAACAGAGCTGCCCTTGGGCTTTAGGGTGGCTGAGTCAGGACCAGCAGAGCTCTCTGTACCTCTGCCTTACCCCTGTTCTTTATCTATTTGCCACCCCTGGTTAGCTCAGTCCCCAAGCAGTCTGTTTCTGAAGGGCTAAGCAACTTGAAAGAGCACCCCTCTTTCCAAACTTTGTGAGCTGGTGCCCCCTGTTACTTCTTCAGCCACCACCACCAGCACCTCCCCATGGGAAATTCAAAGATAGCCACCAGCTATTTATCCTATGGGTAGGTTAGCCCTGCAGGACACAGAAACTCAGGTCATTGGGAAGTTTTGGCAGGCACAGTATGTGCATTTTCAAAGGAGTCTTCCCCAATACAAGGCCTGCATTTTATTTAGAGGTGGGGAGCCCTGAAGAAGCCAGAGGTTTTTAGGGTTCTTAGCCACATACTAGATTCCATGAAGGCAGTGACATAGCATGGGTTGTTGGTGCCCGGAGTGGGGCAAGTGTTGCACCCCCTTGTGGACTGGGCAGCAGGGATGGAGGCATGCACCGGTGGGGGGGGGGGAGACTTCCCACCTCTGGTGCTTTCCTGCCTTCCTCTCGGCCAGGCCAGATGGCACGTAGGTGGCGGTGGCGAGGTGCGGGGCTGAGGGGCATGCTGGCAGGCATCTGAACCAGGAGAGCTCAGGGCTGCCCTCGCGTGTCCTCTGTTGCCTTCCAGCCATGGCTTCCCACTGCTGGCAAGCCCAGCACCAGGAGCACTGAGAAATTCTGGGCCCGGGGCCACCCTCCCCCATGCTATGCCACTGCATGGAGGATTCTGCTCACTTTGATAACTACCAGTGTGCATCTTCTGGGATTCAGTGTGGAGAGTAGAGATCCTCTTCTGTTTCCAAGCACAGCAATCTCATAGCCATATCGCAGAATAAACGTCCTGGCTTCAGAAAGCCTCTGTTTGAAAACGTTGCAGGCCAGGACAATGGTGCCACTTTTTCCTATTCAAATGGCCTCTCTTGGATTGGGGAGTAGGGAAGCCCTTATTGGCCTGGGCAATTGTCCCAGAAATAATGCCATGCAAACAGATACCACAGCCTCTCCTTGCCCTGCACAAGAAGAGCTCTTAAGGGATTTACCTTGAGCAGTTCCCGGGGGAAGTCACTGCCTTCGTTGAGTCCTTCCAGGTTCCCAATGAAATCCGAGCAGGACATCCGCTTCCCAATGTTCTGTTGAGGAGGAAAGGGGGAAGGAGTAAAGAGTGACAGAGTCATGAGAAACAGAAGCCATGAAGTCAGATTTATTAGGTTAAGATGTCAGAAGATATGGTGATAAGTGCTGGGTTGTATAGCATTATAAAATAAAAATGCTTAGGCAATGTAATGGAGGATAGGTGTCCAATGATGGCTTTTAGCCATGGTTGCTTAACACAATCTACATATCTTGATGCAGTGTGGGGAGCTGAGGCGCAGTGTTGGAAGACATTGCTGTATGGAATGATGGGAGTATTCTGTCCCATTGTCAGAGGGGAGGAAAGATTCAACTGTCATTCTGGTCACCTTCTTTATGTGAAATTCGGCTTGGGTGTGTAGTGATCTTGTCCTTCATCCAGGGACGCAGCGTGGGAAGGGCCAGGGGGCCGTAGCCCCAGGCGGACAATTTTGAGGGTGCGTAAACAAAGTGCCCCCATGCAGGCTCCCCGTCCCGCCCTGCTTGCTGTCAAGGGTCTCTAGGCGGCCCTGAAGCCTGGCCTGGCCGCCACGTCCTTGACCCCCTTGCTGAATGGCCGCCTGGCCAGCATTGGGGGGATCCTCCTGGCAAGGGCCGCATCGGCTGGGCGCCCCCCTGTGTAGGTGGGTGGGTGGGCACAGCAGTGCGGCCCCGTGAACCCTCTGTGCAGGGCTGTCTTAAGCATATGCGGTGCCGGGGTGCAAAGATCCCCCCGGCGCCCCCCCCAGTTGCCCAGTTCTAGGCACGCAGGCGGGCAGAGCCGGCCGGCTGCCTCAGTGTCTCGCTGGTTCAGTCGCCCCCAAACCTGCGCCGCAGAGCCGCCTGCAGCAGAAGAGCCCGCCGCGGTGCTCTGACCGATGGGCGGGCTCTTTCCAGGACTCAACTCTCGGGCCCCGAACTCTTGGCCTGGCGCCCCTTAGAGCCCGGCGCCCGGGTGCTCCGAACCCTTAGTGCCTATGGGTAAGATGGCCCTGCCTCTGTGCCCTGCACCTGGCTGGCAGCATCGGTGGCAAGGGCTGGGCTGGTGTGGCGGGTTTTGTTCGCCCCTGGTCCTGCCCAGCACACATGCCCCGGGCACTGGCAAATGACGCAACGCCACTTCCTTCACCTCTGGCTGCAAAATATACTGAGCTGGTTCTGGCTTGGAAGCATTTGGAGACCTTTCTAAGTCTTAGAACAACCATCCCTTATTCTGGGATGCTGCAAGTATGTATGCATGTATTTATACATACATCAGCCAATCTTTTCCTCTTGCCTTCCTTTGTGTTGGTCATCTTTTGCCACCCATTCTTTTCAGTCTCTCACCTCTTTCTCCACGCCCACCACCATGCTTACTTAATTTTGTCCCCATCCTTGTTTACAACCCCCCTTCTCCTAAATCACCCCTTCTATTTTGCTGCAGGGACATGGAGCATTGTGCCATATTCTGGAAGGTGGCTCATTGCGAGCCAACCCTCCTCTGCACCCCCTTCCAGATTCAGAATCGGGATGTATTTCAGCAAATGTCATTATTCTGCTTCTGAGCTAGGTCAGCTACTGGCATTTTTAAAAATCCCCCATGTTCCTTTGATTTGCCATGGGGAAATTGCCACTGTGTTCTGGGCAGCAGGGAGTTCTAAAGGAAGGTTGTAGGAAGCAGAACAGGCATATTTGGCACACAGGGGAGCTTCCAGACAATTGCACAATCTGGCTGCGACAATACACCATAGCTCATTTAGCTTGGTAGAAAGCCTTCCCAGCTCAGCAAAGGACATTTTCCTGCATAGCTGCCTTGACGTATGTCAGTAAAAGGCTTTCAGCATACCAGCTAGAGAGTGGGAGGATAGAAGCACTTACATGGCCGTGGAGGTCTGTGTTTAGGAGCATCAAGGCGCAGGTCAGAGTGTGGGCTCCATCTGTAGCACAAGCACCAGAGAGAGAGATCATCAGCCCCCCATCCAGCCACCCATCAATTTAGCAACCCCTTTTGCAGCTCGGCAACTTTCTCTCTGCCATGTGTGCTTACATGCTCACATAGAGGAGGGAGAAAGGTTGTTTTCTGCTGCTCCAGAGAAGCGGACACAGAGCAATGGATCCAAACTACAAGAAAGAAGATTCCACCTAAACATTAGGAAGAACTTCCTGACAGTAAGAGCTGTTCGACAGTGGAATTTGCTGCCAAGGAGTGTGGTGGAGTCTCCTTCTTTGGAGGTCTTTAAGCAGAGGCTTGACAACCATATGTCAGGAGTGCTCTGATGGTGTTTCATGCTCGGCAGGGGGTTGGACTCGATGGCCCTTGTGGTCTCTTCCAACTCTATGATTCTATGAACCATTCCAAAATTTACATGAAATAAAAGAGGCCTGAAGGACTGCTTCTCTCCATATGAGCCTACCCAGACCCTGAGATTGTCCCCTGTGGACCTTCTTCGTGTGCCTTCTCTACAAGAGGTCCAGAGGGCAGCAACGTGGGAACGGGCCTTTTCTGCGGTGACTCCCTGTTGGTGGAATGCTCTCCCCAGAGAAGTTTGCCTGGCGCCTTCATTACACACTTTTAGGTGCCAGGCGAAGATGTCCCTCTTTAACCCGGTCTTTGGCTGATTGACACCCGATGCCCTTTTAGATGTGCTGTGGGCGGGGGATTATGGGTTTGTTTTTGTTCTTATCTTGATTACGCATTTCATGTTTTTTATTTTGTAATTTTATGTTGCGAACCAGCCTGAGATCTACAGGTAGAGGGTGGTATACAAATTTAACAAATAATAATAATAATTTTAAAATGTAAGTTAAGAAAATAGAGCTTGATCCCAGTGTTACAGGATTTGGCCATTGGTTTGTGGCTTGATATAGGTAAAACAGCATTCTTTAATAGAAAAAAATGTCTGAAGTGGGCAAACCTGTTTCTTTGTTGGGTTATTCTTTGGGTGGGGGGTTGTTGCTTTTGCTGTTTGTTGCTGTGTTATGCATTTTTGTGTTTTTATAGTGTAAACAGTCCTGTGATCCTCAGATGAAGGGCAGTATAGAAATTTAATAAATCATCATCATCACTGGTCAAAAGCTTCCCCAATGTGGACCACACCGGAGCTAAACAGACTCTTTTAACTAGCTCAAAGGGTTGGGATAGCTCAGTCAATAGAGCATGAGACTGTTAATCTCATGGCCCCCCGTTGAGCAAAATATTCCTGCATTGCAGACTAGAACTACAATTCCCATCATCCCTGACCACTGGTCTTGCTAGCTAGGGATGATGGGAGTTGTAGTCCAAAAACAGCTGGAGGCCCAAGGTTGGGAAACACTGGACTAGATTACCCATGTGGTTCCTTCCAACTCTAAGATTCATAGCCACATGAGTGAACATTTGGAAGGAAAGCAACACGAGGTTTTGGCACACCGCAAGTGACTGAAGCAGTTTATTCCTATATCTACATATTGCCCAAGGAGTTTAGAAGGGGGCATTTGATCTTAGAATTTTCATTTAAGATGAGAGAAGTTGCTTTCCTAAGCCCTTCCATAGGCACCTGAGCACCTGCTGTCACTTTCAGAAAGGGGCATGTTTTAAAATATTTATTATGCAATGTTCATCTTGGTTTTAAAATTCAAAAGAGTGTTGTCTTCTTCTCAAGCGCTTTCAGCTTCGTGCACAAGTCAAACACTCAATATTAGCTCTTGGGTGAATCATTGTGTTTTCTGTGTATTCCTGGTGACAATGTGAGCTTCCATAGCAGCAGCTCATTATGCTGTGATTCAGGCAGCCATTCCTTTTGTTAGGCACGTTGCTTGATATTTCATCAATGGGAGCTAATGGATGGGAGGTTGCCCCTCCCCCCTCCCCAGTTGATAATCTCTCTGTGTTTTTGAATGAGCTACCCAGACAGGCTGTAGGCAGCCTAAAAACTCAGTGCGGGGGAAGTTTTATCCCCAGTTACACAATATGCTTTACCTGTACTCATTAAGGCTGTATTAATTACAATAAAAATGATCATTATTACTGTTACCTGCACAGGCGCTGTAGGGACAGCAGGCCAGGTTGGAGTGGCCAGAGCATCCTTCAACTGCCTTTCCCTCTATTCTTCACCTCTTCCTTTTCATCCTTCTATCCAGCCCAACCTACTCCCTCCCTCCTTCTCACAACCCTTCTGATCTTTGGAAATTCAGCTTCTTGGCCTTCGCTTCCCTTTTGTGAAACAGCAAGTAGTGACTCAAACAACTCACTCCAACCCCATGAAGCAGAGGTTTTCAAACTTTTCAGGTCTATGGCTCCCTTGACCAACTACCGTATTTTTCGCTCTATAGGATGCTCTTTTTCCCCTCCAAAAATTAAGGGGAAATGTGTGTGCGTCCTATGGAGCGAATGCAGGCTCCTTGGCTTCAGCGATAGCAATACAAAGCCTCTGAAGCACAGAGGGAGCGCTCCCTCCGCGCTCCAGAGGCTTCGCGTTGCTCTCCAGGCTTCAGGGATAGCCGCCTGAAGCCAGGAGAGCAAGACTCTCCTGGCTTCAGCAGAGAGGGAGAGCTGCGCAGCGCCCCTTCAGCCAAGTGGGAGGAGAAATGGAAGGGGCTCCGTTTCTCCTGCCGCTTCGCTGAAGGGGCGCTGAGCAGAGAGGGGGAGATTTTTTTTTTCTTGTTCTCCCCCTCTAAAACAAGGTGCGTCCTATGGTCCGGGGTGTCCTATAGAGTGAAAAATATGGTACATTCTTTCTGCGACATTCCTGTGGGGCTCAGGAGCCCAGTTAGGGCCCTTGCTTGCAGAGCTGGCAGCCCTTCACCCTTTTTCGAATGCCCTCCCTTGTAGAGTGTTCCCTCAGCCTCCTCTCTTCTTCCCTATCCTTGGGAGTCCTCTGGGCAGCTGCAGCTGCCACCCCTGGTCTCTGAGCCAGCCCCCCCTGCCCCAAAGAGAGGCGCCTCCTCACGCTGCCCCACAAGGGCCTAGGAAGCACTCCCTGGCCAGCCCCAGAGGCGCCATTCACCTGGGGAGCTTGTAGCTGGGGCTGCTGCAACAAACAGCTGTGCAAGCCTTTGGGAGGCAGAGACACAAGAGGGCATCAGAGGAGGGAGGGAAGGAAAGAGGGACGGAGGGTGCCATGGCACGCTGGTTGAAAACTACTGCCACGAAGCATAAAGATGCCTGCTTGTGGCACTGCATGAGACGTCTCTGTGAACAGAACCAACTTTTTGGTCCAAGAACCTCAACCGCCCCTTTTCTCCTAGTTTCACAATTATCTCACCCTCAGAAGAGATGGCCTTGGGGTTGCACTCATAATAACGCTGCGAAAAATGAGCCAGGACTCTCTCCCGCTCCTGAGTCTCACCCATGAGGGCCAGCTCCTTTAGAAAAGATCTGGAAAGGAAACGAAGCGATGGTGACTCCTCAAAGCAATACCCATTGCCCTCTGACATCCTGATGTTTGAGCAGAGCACCGGAAACCTCTCTTCCTTCGGAGGTACGAAGTTTAAAGCAGCATTCACAGTGCTGTTACCACGGCCACCTGATCGTCCCTTCTCTCCCTTCTTATCAGGCACTGTCAACACCCAGGGACGACGCAGCACCCTTGTATCATCTTCATTTAATTTAAAAAGGTAAAGGGACCCCTGACCATTAGGTCCAGTCGTGACCGACTCTGGGGTTGCGGTGCTCATCTCGCTTTACTGGCCGAGGGAGCCGCCGTACAGCTTCCGGGTCATGTGGCCAGCATGACTAAGCCGCTTCTGGTGAATCAGAGCAGCGCACGGAAACGCCGTTTACCTTCCCGCCGGAGCGGTACCTATTTATCTACTTGCACTTTGACGTGCTTTCAACTGCTAGGTTGGCAGGAGCTGGGACCGAGCAACGGGAGCTCACCCCATCACGGGAATTCGAACTGCTGACCTTCTGATCATCAAGTCCTAGGCTCTGTGGTTTAACCCACAGCGCCACCCACGTCCCGCATTTAATTTACATGCCTCTTAATTGCCAAGGTGGTTCGCCAAGAGGTTGATAAATAGGAAACCAGTTGCAAAGAATAAAAGCACACGCAATTACAATACCATACCACCCAACATTCCTCAGGTGAAAATAGGGACCTTTCTCACCCCCCAACTGGCCCTCCTCGACCCCCCCCCCCATTTTTGTATCTTCCCCCTCAGAGCACTTCCACCACCAAGACACCAATGGGGCACAGCACACATATCCTCCGCAGTCCTGGAAAAAACCCCTTAAATTTTAGAAAGGGGCAAAATTAGACACGGATGCACAAAGCATTTTTTTTTTTTAATCAAGACTCCTTGTACTCCACTCCTCCTTTCTTCTCGCTCAGGGTGCCCCTCCCTCTGCATGCCCCTCGAAACTGATGTGTCGCTCAGGACTGGGCCTCGGCGGCTGTAGTCTCTCATCCTCCTTCACCCACCCTCCAGAAGCTGCCTCAAGCTGCCCAAGAGAGGAGGCTGGTAGTGGCGGCCATGGAGAGGCAACGGGACGCGCCATACAGCTGCCACTACTGTCATCGCCACACAGGACAAGCACTGGCTCGCCCTCTTCCCCAAACTCGGCACTGGCAGGGGGAATAGGGACATTCCAGAATCAAATCAGAAGCTGGGACGGCTTTCGTAATTCTGGGACTGTCCCTGGAAAACCGGGGCGATTGGAGGTTATGCAATGCATGATCAAACTACTCAATCTGAACATTAAAACAGACATCCGCGGTAAAAATGGACAGTAAGAGAAACCCACTAGCACAGGCAATGGAGTGCTGCCAGCCTGCGGGCTTGTGTGGGTCGGCAAACTAAGGCCCGGGAGCCGCATCCGGCCCAATCGCCTTCTAAATCCGGCCCGCGATGGTCCAGGAATCAGCATGCTTTTACATGAGTGGAATGTGCCCTTTTATTTAAAATGCATCTTTGGGTTATCTGTGGGTCATAGGAATTTGTTCACCCCCCCCAAATATAGTCCGGCCCCCCACAAGGTCTGAGGGATAGTGGACCGGCCCCCTGCTGAAAAAGTGTGCTGACTCCTGCTCTAGACTAGGGTTGCCACCTTTGTTCTGGCAAAATATAGGACAGGACAGGACAGGGTGGGGCGGGGCAGTTGGGAGGCGATTCCCCCCCCCCCAATCCGGTGCTGAAGCAACTTCAAAGCAATCCAGTACAATCTATTGCAGACTAACAGGACAGCGCTTCTGGAATCTGTCACACACACATGAATTTGTAAATCTGTGCTTTGCCAGCTGGAGATTAAATACATGACTTTTCACATGCCCTTTCAAAAAAAACACATGCAATTGAAGAGGATCCCTATCTTGGTGGGGGGAAGACCTGAAATACAGGACAAACTGTATCAATACAGGACATAACATTTTACATTGAAATATGGGACAAGCCTGTATTATACAGGACAGGTGACAACCCTAGCCTAGACACACTTCGAAAAAGAATAATTTGTACATGCCCTGCCTAAGTCAGGCCCCCTTCTTAATGGAGACCACCCACTATGCATTGTGGCCTACCAAGAGAAAGACCCCACCCCAAAACCGTGTTTTTGCAGTTCCAGGTAGGCTTTAAAAACAGGAGGCTTATCCAGTGCTGGTGAGTTACCATGAACTTCTTTGAGGTTTCTACACAATCAAGAAGTGTATGAATTTTATGAAACAAAGAAAGAAATGGCTGGCTTCATAAAAGGACAGATGAAAGTACGTGAGTGCTGCTGCATTCTTTAAAATGCAAATACAGTGGTGTCTCGCAAGACGAAATTAATTCGTTCCGCAAGTTTTGTCGTCTTGCGATTTTTTTCGTCTTGCGAAGCACGGTGTCGGGAAAGTTTTGGAAAAGCTTCAAAAATCACCAGTCTTTAAAAACCTCAAAAAGGCTACCACACCAGTGTTCTATGAGTTGCTCCTCAAAGTCAAGTCGCAACTGTATTAACGGTGTTAAGAAAAAGGAAACAAACTTGCAAGACGTTTCCGTCTTGCGAAGCAAGCCCATAGGGAAAATCGTCTTGCGAAGCAGCTCAAAAAAACAAAAAACCCTTTCGTCTAGCGAGTTTTTTGTCTTGCGAGGCATTCGTCTTGCGAGGTACCACTGTAAAGGGTAATCCTGAAACAGGTCTCACTGCTGCTCCAGAAGGTTCCATTTCCCCTTGAAGTTCTACTAAACTCCCCGCAACCCTCCTTACAGATTTCTGGAGATTTCACCCCTAAACACTTACCTAAGCGCTTGATCCAGACTCATTCCAGTGAATTCAAAGAACTTGAGGTACTCGCTTGCTACCATCTTACTAAAATCGTTACTGGAAAGGAGAAAGGTGGCGGGTGGGAGATAGATAGATAAATTTTAAAACCTGTATATATAACACAAGAGAGGGACAAACACGGAGGAGATGAGATCTCGGGGAACATCAGGGACACTGCAGCAAGGGAAGAGGAAGGCAGAATTCTTGAGGCAGAATACACACCACTAGGTCCGCAAGAAGCATGCACAGGTTTTCGGCGAAGGACTTTGTCATGCGCCCCTTTATGTGCCTTAATCTCTCGGGAGAGCTTTTATTCTCCCGTGACCATCTGCGTTAGGAGCGGAGGCGCATGTGGCGAGTGCGAATGTTCCTGTCAGGCCTAGAGGAGACAGGCCATCCCTAGGGCATAACTATGTGGGCCACAGAGAAAACGCCGCCTTCCTAAGAGTGCCTGGTGATGAAGGCAAGCTAGCCAAAGCTTTGCTTGTCATTCTGGAGGGAAGGCTGCCTTTTGAGGGTTGTCCTCCTCCACAAGACTTCCCTGTGCTTAGGGTGGAAGCAGGCTGTTGCATTCCCTCGGGGAATTAACAAAGCTCTGGGGGGAGAATCTTTTCTCCTAATACCCACACGTACTTCTTCCCCAGGTGGCGGGCCACGTCTGCCTTTTTGAAGCCATCCAAGTTGTAGAGCCTCTTGGCCAGGCGTTTAGCAGCCTCCAGATCAGCCTTGTGCCCATTGGAGAGGGTGTCTGTGCTGCCCAGGGCGAGTTGCTCTGTGCTGTCCATCTCGGAATCAGAGTCAGAGACCAGCTGGCTGAGAGGATGTTCACTAAAATGAAACAAACACAAACACACAGAGAGAGAAGCTGTCACAGAAGCCTTTGTGCTCTTGCCCTTCCCCGAAGGTGCTTCTGAATCAATCTGTGCCTTCCAGATGTTTTAGACCACAACATCTGTCATCCCCAGCTAGTACAGTTTTGCACCTGGAGGGCACCAGGTTGACAAAGGCTACATAGAGAGGAGTTGGGGCATGTGCAAACTGGTTCAAAGTCCATATCAGGATATTGGTTTCATAATTTCTGACCTGGCAATATATCACGAATTGTGATGTGTGTGTATGTGTGCTATGCAAAAATCACAATGTGGGGGAAACCGTGAAGCCAGCCAATGCTTCTCTCAATTCCTGAAGCCCCTGTTAACTCTGCCAGCTCATCTCTTCCCTGCCTCATGCAGGGAGCAGCGAATCAAAAGAGCAGGGGCTGGCAAAAATCACAATGCGGGAAAAACTGTGAAGCCAGCCAATGCCTCTATATAGCTCCATCCTTATTTCAGACATTGTGATATATCAGTATGTTGTGATGTTTAGCTGGTGATATATCGTGATGCTGAAACCCAGATATCACCCAGTCTTAGGCGTGTATGTGTGTGACGTATGCCGATTGGGACTGTGGAAAATTGTTATGTACTGAGTTGAATAGGATCCAAACTGCAGCAGTCTGATTGGTCCTAGAACAATGCAGCAGTATGATTGGTCGGCAGGAGCCACCCAATCCAGCTCCAGATAGAAGTGAATCCACAACCTGATTGGCCTACAGGAGAAGTCCGGAATTAGCTAACCACGTGCAGCCCATTGTGTAAATAATGTATATAAAGCAGATACTTTGAGGGGACTTCCATTCCTCCTCACCACTATGAGCTGAATAAAGAGCATGAAATCACTTTGCGACTCTGAGTATATTTCAAAAATACTGTTCTGGTTACTATTATTCCAAACCAGAGGCTAGAAGGAGCAGCGTGGGTGACAAAAGTATTTGGTATCCTGAAGGATCTTTCCCCTGCCACTCCCTGTTTTGTGTTCCAGGGCTAAAGACATCACCAAAATGATATCCGGAGGCCAGAAATCAGCAGGCAGCAATTTTGGAGCCCCCCCCACCATTTAAACATGAAAAGAAGTGGTTCCAATTGGAAATGTTCCACCTGTTTGTATGAATGAACTGGTTCAAGGAGACAGGAAATGGAAAATCTCCACTGCGTCTGTGGAAGGTGCTGTCATTTTTTCTTTACAACAATCCTGTGAGGTAGGTTCGGTGGCGAAGTTGCAATTGGCTCAAGGTGAACGATGTCAATGTGAATATGACGCCTACGTGTGCGGCGAGATCAAATGCGAGAGAAGCTTCCTGACGTAGAAGAGGATGTTCCTATTCTCACTGAAGAAATGTTGGGAGGGGATGGAATTAATTGGCTCCGCTTGGGTCTGGGTCTGGCTCCCAGCTACAGTTTGGGCTCCCTCCCTTCTGCCTTACCTGTCACAATGGTCACCAGCCCCCCCCTTCCATTCCCACCTGGCTCCACTATCTCTGGCAGTTCTTTCGTAGGCAGGAAGATGATGAGAACTATGTAGCCTTTATGGATGTCAAGGCGGCATTTGATAAACTAAATGGAAAACTTGTTATGGGAAAAGTTATCCAGAACCAATCTGACTACTCTTACCCTAGTTTTAAAATGTATATTCTGCCACTACTCTAGTTGTGTCCACGAGCAACATCCCCCTAAAGAACAATGTGTATTCCTTTAGAGATTACCTTTTTTATCAATTGCATGATTTATGATTGTCAATCCTGAAAACGCTAATCTAATTCTAATCTAAACTCCATCCAAAGATCATTTTTGGAACTGAGGTTTTGGGGATATAATGTTCTTTCTGTGCCAATAAAGAGAGTATTAAATGCTATCTTAAGCACCTGTGGGTGTTTAATTATTGGATTAAAATTACAAAGATGACAACTGAGAGCCTCCCTAAAGTGTGTGTGTGTGTGGGGGGGGGAACGCGCCTCATTCTGGTCCACCCACATGAACCCATAAATTCATTCAGATGAGCCACTGGCATGAACTCCCTTTATAATCCACAGAGCCTGGACTTTAACTTGTTTATGTAGCAGGATGTCTGTCTGTTAGGAGCAGAAGAAATAGCACCGTGGTACAGAAGCAGTTTTAAGTTTTAACACAAACTGGAGAACTGCTTGGTAGATCTTTTACACTTCTTTATATTTTCAGCTAGGCATAGATATAGATATAGATATAGATATAGATATAGATATAGATATAGATACACCCCCCCAGATTTCGAAAGAATATGCAAACTGGCCAAGCCAGTAGAAATCAGAATGGCTTTTGACAAATGATAGTAAAGACACCTCTTGCTGATTACGGGCTGGCAAAACCCATTAATGAAAATGTGTTGATTGCAAGATGGGCTTCTACGCTAATTCATTCTGTTTCAACCAGTATGATGTTCAGTTGACTCTTCTTCTTATGCTGGTTTAGCCATTCCATCTTAATTTGCAGTTTGTTTCTATATAGTCTATGGTGAATACAGCATTTTCATTCTAAATGTTGTAAGAGAAATTGCACAGCATCTCCCTAAGCTTCCTTTCTCTGCAGCTCTGCAGCTTGCTCTGACTGGTAGCGCTGAGTTTATTATAGATCCGGAAGCGGTTGGCTCTGCGTGTCAAAATATTTCCTCCCAGCCCTCAGGCCATCGTCTGGAGAAGAGAGATCTATAGCTATCCCTGGTTTCAACAAAAGCCAGCCGCAGACACTGCTTCCAAATCACAGGACAGGAAAGCACTGGCTTTACCCCTTGTTGTGGAGAAAAGTAATTATTGGTAGCTTGCTTAGCACAAGGAGAATTACCACTTTATTAGATTTCAAGCATGAGATTCGTGGGATGGGAAGGGGCCTCTGCACGTTCGCAGGCTGCAGTAAACGTCGCTCTGATCACTGGCAGAGGAGTGGTTGTGACTTGAGGGCAGGAGACAAGTGAGGCTGTGGAGGGTCCTCAGAACCTCTGGAACCAACAAGACCACTCTCCTAGGCAGTAACAACCCAGATAGAATCACAGAATTGTAGCTGGGAGGGACCACGAGGATCATCTAGTCCAGCCCCCGGCAATGCAGGAATCCTTCACCCAACATGGGGCTTGAACCCTCAACCCTGAGATCTCATGCTGTACCGACTGAGCTAGGATATCAGAAGTGTGTGTAGTGGGGTGTTAGGGGAAGGGTAGTGGGGGACACATGCTCTTTCTGGGGTAGTTTGTCCACCTTTGGTCCCCATCTTGCACTCCGCTCTCACCTGTGGTTCCTAGAAGCTGTCAACATGCAACAGCAGCCACACCCTGGAAAATGCCTTTGACTGGCTGGTTAAACCAGGTGAGGGTCTCAGACCCTTGGTGAGTTATGGACTTCCCCTGCATGCGAAGATAGACTCTGGTGGATTGAGTGGATGAGACAAATAGCAGGTCAAGAAGGTGGCTTTGCATGTGCTAGAGAGGGAAGTGAGGGGGCAGATGGGGCTCGTCCACCTGGGAAATTAGCCCGTCGTGGAGAAGGAAAACTCTGATCCTAAACCTCTGCTGCCTTGCGGGATATCTTTGGGAGAAGAAAAGGCTACACAAATCTGGAGTGGAGTCCCTAAGGTGGTTGGATGGTGCCTTGGGAAGGAGGCACGAAGCTCTGGAAGAGTTCCACCTCTTTCCCAAAGTTGGGGAAGCTTTAACTAAGCTTTGGGAAGGAGGTGGGACGACTCAAGGACCATGTCAGACCCCGTGTGTTGGACCATCGTGATCAGTACCCTCCCCCTTCCCTTATTGGACTTGCCAACAGGAATATTGGTGTGGAGAGATGCAAGTTTCGGGAGGAGCAAAGGGAAAGGCTGCTTCTGCTACTTCCATCTTGCACAGCCCTCCAGGATCCCCCTCTCCACCTCCATCCCCTCCATATCTTTCTCCCACTCCTCTTCCAGTTGCTCTCATTCCGCTGCCATCTCCCAACGGTCCTGCTTAGGATTCTGCTGCCAGACCCTCCTTGTTGCTAGGCACCCCCTCCATCCTTCTCCTCGTTGCCATGGCACCCACTGTTAAGGTAGGCAACAAGCAGGAGAGAGCAGTGAGCAGCAGCGGAGAGCCAGTTCTGGTAACTAACCCATCTTTATTAATTAACTGGCGCTGTGCCTGCCAATAGGAAGGATTGTGATTACTCTCTCCCGCAGATGTCCACGGGAGCCACTGAGGGGGTCACAAGAAAAAGCACAGGGGCTGAATGAGAGGCAAAGTTGCGGCAGGAGCCAAAAGTTCCCCTGGCCCCACATCTTGGCTCATCCAGAGCAGGGGCAGGACTTGCTTCCCCACTGAGAACCTTCCCCAACGCAGCTAAATTTCTTTTCCCCTCATAAGTCATGAGGGAACCACTGGGTGTGTGTGTGTGGGGGGGGAACAGAACGGGTTGTCTCAGGGTCACAGCGGAGGCGAAGACAAAACCTGCCTCCCACCTCAGCAGTGATTTACTTCCTGTTGCTGACGGCTGCTGTTCACTTCTGCGGCAGAAAATAAAGCAACTTGCGGGCAGAACTTCAGAGAAGCGGTGGTGTGCGGGGGAACCACAATTGAAAAGGCTAGCCACAGGGCAGACAGGTCTTCATCTGCACTATGCATTTCATAGTGTCATAGAATTATAGAGTTGGAAGGAAGCACAAGGGTCACCTAGTCCAGGGGTCAGCAACCTTTTTCAGCCGTGGGCCGGTCCACCGTGCCTCAGACCATGTGGTGGGCCGGACTATATTTTCGAAAAACATATGAACGAATTCCTATGCCCCACAAATAACCCAGAGATGCATTTTAAATAAAAGGACACATGCTGATTCCCGGACCGCCTGCGGGCCGGGTTGAGAAGGCGATTGGGCTGCATCCAGCCCACGGGCCTTAGGTTGCCTACCCCTGATCTAGTCCAACCAAATACTGGACTTGAACCCACCACCCTGATTAAGAGTCTTATGCTCTACCAACTAAGCTATCACTATACGAAAAATGCTCTTGAGCTTTTTTTCTACAATCAACTGGTATACAGTGGTACCTTGGTATTAGAATGACTTGGCCCGAACAAATCGGCTCCCAAATGCCGCAAACCCGGAAGTAAGTGATCCGGTTTGTGAACGTTTCTCGGAAGCCGAACGTCCAACGCGGCTTCCGCTTGAGGGCAGGAAGCTCCTGCAGCCAATTGGAAGCTGCGCCTTGATTTTCAAACGGTTTCAGGAGTTGAATGGACTCCCAGAACAGATTAAGTTCGAGAACCAAGGTACCACTGTATCAATTATTTTGGGGCCGAGGGGGAGAAGCAGTATGATAGCACTTTGAACAGGGTTCCTCCAAAGAATCCTGGGATTCTTTGTTTGTTAACGGTGCTGAGGTTTTTTTTAGGAGGTCCCTATTCCCCTCAAAAGGGACGTGGGTGGCGCTGTGGGTTAAACCACAGAGCCTAGGGCTTGCTGATCAGAAGGTCGGCGGTTCGAATCCCCACGACGGGGTGAGCTCCCTTTGCTCAGACCCTGCTCCTGCCAACCTAGCAGTTCGAAAGCACCTCAAAGTGTAAGTAGATAAATAGGTACCACTCCGGTGGGAAGGTAAACGGTGTTTCCGTGTGCTGCTCTGGTTTGCCAGAAGCGGCTTAGTCATGCTGGCCACATGACCCGGAAGCTGTACGCCGGCTCCCTCGGCCAATAAAGCGAGATGAGTGCCGCAACCCCAGAGTCGGTCACGACTGGACCTAATGGTCAGGGGTCCCTTTACCTATTCTCCTCAATGAGGTACAAGTCCCAGAGTGGTTTAATGATCAACCCTTCTTCGCAGGGAACTCTGGGAACTGTAGCTGTATGAGGCAAATAGCGGGTCTCCAAACAACTCTCAGTCAACACCCTTAACAAATTATAGTTCCCAGGATTCTTGCAGAGGGAGGAGCCAGGACTGTTGAAAGTGGTATGATACTGCTTTAAATGAACAGGTAGATCTCATCTTATGTGGAGATTACATGATATCCTCCAACATTTTCCCAATGAAAATGTCCTAAGGAAAAGCGGGACATTCAGAAACCGGGATGGCTTCTGTAAAGCTGTAACTGTCCCTGGCTATCTCAGGTACAACAAAATCGCATAAGCCCATAAAAACATTTTTAAAAGCCCAGCAAATCCCTCCAACATCCTCTGCAACTCTCTCTGGCCTCCTCTGACCTTTCTCCAGTCGCTTCCAAAACTCTCTGCGACCTCCCCTGCTCTCTCCCCACACTCCACCAACTCCTCAACCACACCCAAACATTTTCCTAATGGTACCCCGCTGCCCGCCAGGGAAGACGGGTGAGTGAAGATCTACATCAGGATCTGCTGGTCCTAAGGATCCTGCCGCCTGAGGTGGTTGCCTCACCATGCCTCATGGGTGGGCCGGGCTGGAACACCCATCAGTTTTAAGCTATGTTGCCTGCCGTAGTAGAGGCCAAAAAGTGTAGGTTCTCAGAGTACAGATCAAGCCAGGTATGTAAATACACACTGGAAAGAACACAGTTAAGTCCATACATCCATGAGATGGGCTTAGGGATGATCACTATACATCTCCAGCAATAAACAGTCCATTTAAAAACTAGAAACCCCACACCCATAGATGTGAATGGGTGTTTCCATGCCTTGCGTGCTTTCAAACACTTTTGCTTTCAAAACTTATATCAAACCTACAACCTTGGTGTTATCAGCATCAAGCTCCAATCAACCGAGCTATGAAGTAGAACCATGAAGCACCCACACTTCACATTGAGACATTGTGCTCAACACAACGGAGGATAACAGACTTGGAAGGGAGTCATAAGTTGGTCAGTTAAGCCTTCTTCTTAAAAGCAGGATTATCATTCCACCAGCAACACCTTGCTTTCCTAACCATCCAGCGTCTGCAGAGCAAATACCCCAAGGAGGAAATAGCTCCAAGCAGGTGGCTGATCATAATTTTTGTGGGCACAAACCAGCTATGGATTAATCCCAGAATCTGTACTCTTAAAAAAAGAGAGTACATTTGAGCACCTATAGAGCTTATTTCCCTTACCACAGAATAATCACAACCATCCAAACAGGAATAAAAGGGATCTCAGCTTCCAGAGAAACTTGACTCTTGCAACTTTTCATTATGATCTATAAATACCAAATCCAACATAGCACCATGAAAAAGCAATTTTGCACGTAGGAGGGCAGATATATGGGGTGGGGGAGAAAGAGAGAGAAGCTGGGAAAAGAGGGTTGAAAATGTACATTTCTCATTGAGTCAGTAAACCTGTTTTTAGGCTGAATGACTTCAGACAAAGCTCACATGACCGAATGCCCTTACATACAAAAAAAAATATTCCACACGCTGCAACAAAATGTCGAAGTATCTCTCTGTGCTTAAGAGGAGTGTTCCTCTCCAGGGTTCCAGCCATCCTGGGATAAAAGCCTTTAGCTCCTCTTCAGGCTTCTTAGAGAAGAGTGAGCTTATGGAAGGCAGAAAGGGAAAGGGATCCTTTCCCCCTCTTCTCTTTTGGGGTCCCAGGCTGGTGGACACAATCCCATTCTGCCCACTCCATGCATTCAATGAAAGTGCTTCTTCTCACGTGAGAACTGGGCATCCGAGTACTTTCACATGCCCACATAACATCCAAGCTTTATTTCAAACCCGATTGTTTTAAAGGGACATTTAGTCTGACTGGTTTCTAAATAACATTTTAAATGGAAAAAAAATAAATGGGGGGAAAATATGACTCTTCAGTTTTAAAAGAATTATTGTTTTTTTTAAAAAAACTGTGACGACATCTGCCGCTCTTTGAAAAAGCATGCCTGAATGAATCTCCCTTTGCAGAGACTGTGCAACCACAGGGAAGCAGACTACCTCCAAAGGAATTTCCTGCTTGCTTCCTCACAACTTGGAAAAAGGGAGAAGCACGTCTGTATGTTAGAAAACAGACTAGAATCCATAAATACAGGGAAGAGGATGCTGTAAGATCTCTTGGCCGGCAGAGGTAAGATTCCCATAACACTGTGAGCATGATCAATGCACTGCTTGAAAAACAAGTGATACATCACCCTCAGGAGAGAACGGCAGGCTGGAGAAAGGAGATCCAGTGCCAAGCTGCTAGCCTGCAAATGTTCTGGGCTATGGTTAGAGCTCCCTCCAGCTCCAGTCAGCATGATCATAGAATCATAGAATTGCAGAGTCAGAAGGGACCCCTAGGGTCATCCAGTCCAACCCCCTGCAATGCAGGAATCTCAGCTAAAGCATCCATGACAGATGGCCATCCAATCTTTGCTTTAAAACCTCCGAGGAAGGAGAGCTCACAACCTCCCGAGGGAGACCGTTCACTGTCAAACAGCTCTTACTGTCAGAAAGTTCTTCCTGATGTTTATTTGGACTCTCCTTTCTTGTATCTTGAAGCCACTGGTTCGAGTCCTGCCCTCCAGAGCAGGAGAAAACAAGCTTGTTTCCCCTTCCATGTGACCGCCTTGAGGTATTTGAAGAGGGCTCTTATCTTTCCTCTCAGTCTTGTCCCTTCCAGCTGAAACATCTGGCAGGCTGGCCTCTGTTCCGGGTTGACACCTTCCTTTCACAAAAATTCTGGCACTTAGAGCTAAGGGTCTCTGAACATGTACAGAGGCCTTTTCCTTTGTGAAGAGAATGTCGCTCCACGTGTCCTGAAAGAGCAAAGGCTCAGCCTCTGCTCAGGCACGCAGTCACACAAAACGTACCTGAAAGAGGTTCTAGCCCAGTGTTTTCCGAACTTGGATCTCTAGCTGTTTTTGGACTACAATTCCCATCACCCCGACCACTAGTCCTGCTAGCTAGGGATGATGGGAAATTAAAAGACGCCTGCTTCTTGGGAGAAAAGCAATGACAAACCTAGACAGCATCTTAAAAAGCAGAGACATCACCTTGCCAACAAAGGTCCATATGGTTAAAGCTATGGTTTTCCTAGTAGTGATGTATGGAAGTGAGAGCTGGACCATAATGAAGGCTGATCGCCAAAGAATTGATGCTTTTGAATTATGGTGCTGGAGGAGACTCTTGAGAGTCCCATGGACTGCAAGAAGATCAAACCTATCCATTCTGAAGGAAATCAGCCCTGAGTGCTCACTGGAAGGACAGATCCTGAAGCTGAGACTCCAATACTTTGGCCACCTCATGAGAAGAGAAGACTCCCTGGAAAAGACCCTGATGTTGGGAAAGATGGAGGGCACAAGGAGAAGGGGACGACAGAGGACGAGATGGTTGGACAGTGTTCTCGAAGCTACCAGCATGAGTTTGACTAAACTGCAGGAGGCAGTGGAAGACAGGAGTGCCTGGCGTGCTCTGGTCCAGGGGGTCACAAAGAGTCGGACATGACTAAACGACTAAACAACAAAGTCCAAAAACAGCTGGAGACCCAAGTTTGGGAAACACTGCTCTAGCCACATCTATGATCTTGTTATTATGGGATGGAGCACTATGTGGTAGCTGGGAATATCGCCGGCATTCATATTCTCTGGCTTGGAAATATGCATATCCATGGCTCAGAATGCTCACCTCAAATAAAAGGTAAGCACTGCAGCCCCTAAAGTTCTTCTCTGGCTCAGATTTAAATTTAAGCCAGAGAAAGAAAACGTCCTCCCTTTGGCCCATTTGCTTTCCTTGCTGCTTTTGGGCAATTCAGTTCTTTTCTCCAAACTGCACGGACATCTCCCTTGAACAATATTCTGCAGTCTGCATGAGAGAAGGAACTCATCCTAAAGCTGCAGCTGCAGTCAGCTTAAACCCTGATCCTCATCATCTCTCTCTTTGCCCCAAAGCAAGGAAATGCAGTACAGTAAGTGGAAGATGCCACCTACTGGGAAAAATAAATAATTGCATAGGGAATGGGGAAAATGGATGGAGGACCAGCAATCAACTTCTTGGCTGGCATCTCGAAGACAGTTGCAATTTATAGATTTTCACATTCCCAAGATGATACACCTCGCTCCTCATTTGCACATCAGACCAATCTTGCCCTGAATGTTCACACGCACAGATTACGCGATATCACAGTTCTTTGCACAAGCAAATTCGAATCCGCATTATATTCCAATGTGGACAAGTCCTGCTGAAAAAGATTTTTGTTTTTTTTTGCAACAGGGTTAGAAACCAGCTCAATTTGTTAGCACCTAACAAATAAATAAATCTGGAAAAATATTTATATTCAAATCATACTACTGTGCCAGTGTGGTGTAGTGGTTAAGAGCGGTAGTCTCGTAATCTGGGGAACCGGGTTCGCGTCTCCGCTCCTCCACATGCAGCTGCTGGGTGACCTTGGGCCAGTCACACTTCTCTGAAGTCTCTCAGCCCCACTCACCTCACAGAGTGTTTGTTGTGGAGGAGGAAGGGAAAGGAGAATGTTAGCCGCTTTGAGACTCCTTAAAAGGAGTGAAAGGCGGGATATCAAATCCAAACTCTTCTTCTTCTTCTTCTTCATTAGGGGGCACAGAAAACTGTCACATTCATGAGTCTTGCAAACCATATGTCTTGTGAGAGCAGTATGCTCTGGTAGGAGAGCATTGGCCCCAAATCACAGAGAGGCAGAAGCTCTGAGCCTTTTCAATGAACATTGCTGGGAAAGCCTGGCACTGCCCCACCAGCCTTAGTCTAGGCTGAATCGACAGAAGTATAGTGTCCCGATCCTGTAAAAGTCCCGCTCTATTCTGCCTTGGTCAGACTGCACCTGGAGTCCTGTGTCCAGTTCTGGGCACCACAAGTTAATTAGGATATTGACAAGCTGGAACGCGTGCAGAGGAGACAACCAAGATGGCAAAGGGTCTGGAAAACAAGCCTTATGAGCAACGGCTGAGGGAGGTGGGTATGTTTATCTTGGAAAAGGGGAGACTAAGATCTAAAGGGCTGCCACATGGAAGAGAGAGCAAGCTTGTTTTCTCCTGCTCTGGAGGGTAGGAACCGAACCAATGGCTTCAGCTTACAAGAAAGGAGATTCCAACTAAACATCAGGGAAATCTTTCTGACAGTAAGAGCTGTTTGACGGTGGAATTATCTCCTTTGGAAGGTGGTGGACTTTCCTTTCTTGGAGGTTTTTAAGCAGATGTTGGATGGCCATCTGTCATGGATGCTTTAGTTGAGATTCCTGCATTGCAGGGGGTTGGACTAGATGACCCTAGGGGTCCCTTCAAATTCTACAATTCTATGATTCTAGAATTAGTTGGATCTGCCTGTGATTGCCTCTGGCTCTGCCTATCATTGCCTGCAGCTCTAACTACTGTTTGTTTCCCTGTCTTGCCCTACCAAGTCCCAATGGGCATCAGCCATCACTGCCTGCTGCCACCACTGGCTTTGCAATTCTGCTCAAGCCACACACCTTAGGACAGGCACAGGCAAACACGGCCCTCCAGATGTTTCGAGACTACAATTCCCATCATCCCTAACCACTGGTCCTGTTGGCTAGGGATGGTGGGAGTTGTAGTCCCAAAACATCTGGAGGGCCGAGTTTGCCTATACCTGCCTTAGGATCATTGTGAAACTGTCTCACTGTCCATAGAGCGGGAATTTATAATCATCACCCTTATCGTCATCATCATCTAGGCACACAGTAAGAGATTTCAAAAAGTAAAATGCATAGCAACAACTTGGCAGGTGGACAGTGAGGACAGGATCCTCTCAAAAGCATATGATAAATAGCATCAAGGAAACATCAGCTCAGGTGAACAATTGAGCCAAGCTTGCATGGGGGGAAATCCCCACTGTGAAACAGCAGAAGACCGTGTTTTTCACAGAGCTTTAAAAACCTGTCAAAACAGCAGCTTTCACAAGGCTATGAAAATGCACCACAGAACTCTGGCAAAGAGCGATACGCCCCATTGTAAGACAACATCTGTCAGGTGCCTAAAGATCATTTTCTAAAGGTCTGAGAGGAAGGGTCGTGGATGTTCCCTTCATCATCCTTGCCAGTTTGTGAGATGGCAGAGTTGTTGCAGAGTCCACAGGTAAAATAAAAGGTCAGCTGGGATCCTGAACCACCCAACCATGTTATCTCATATACCCCCTGGATAGAATTAGCTTCATTCACTCACCTTATGATGGAGGCCAGGGGAATTCCTAGGCTGTCGTCGGAGTGACAGGGACTCTGTAGGCTGCCTTCCCCACCTTGTCTCGGCTCCTCCTCTCGCTCGGTCCAGGGGGCATCCGTGGCGGAGCTTGTCCCCGAGTCTGGCTCCAGGTGGGCCAGGGGGGCGAAGTTCTGCTCAATGAGCTTGGCACTGTCTCGAATTTGCTCTTGTACTTCCGGGGTGAGAGTTGGGAGGTCAAAGGTGAAGTACGTTCCGCTGTGCGTTTGGGCCGGGGAGGACAGGATGTCAATGGAGTCGAGGCTGGTGTAAGAGGTCCCTTTGGCTCGGTGAGACTCCATGATGCTCTCAAAATGCCTGCTGAACGAATCCATGCCGTCCCTGGAGAGGCTGTGTCCGAGGAGAAAGGGCACTGGGGACTTGAGAAGCCCTTGGGCTTCTCTGTTGATGATCCTGGAGATTGGGGATGAGGTGGTGAGAAAGAGGGAGGCACAAGTTACAGAGAAACAGACACAGCAGTCCTCAACTCAGGGAAGTGTCTTCTACCCCACTGATCAGAACGAGAGTCTTTCCAAAGGGGCAGATAGCTCTTCCTGTGATAATTTAGGAAATGCTTCCTTAGCCAGCAGCATGGGCATAGCCGGGGGGGGGGGCAGGGAGGAAGCTGCCCCTCCTGAATCAAGTAAATAAATAAACTAACTAAAAGTAGAAATAATCAGAATATTCTAGTGATTCTTCTTGTGGAAAGTACCGTAATGACCCGGCTAAGGTAGATGATGACAGGGGAGCATCTCAACGGGCTTTGATTACTGAGTGTGCACAGAAAAACTGCATTGGAAAAAAAAAGGAGTAATTTGAAAAGGAAGTGCTGAAAAGATTTTCAGCAAATCCAAGAAAACTTGTTTTAGTTTAGATTTTTTTAAAAAGATGGAAAATTCATGTTCTTTGTAATTTTGCAAAATATACCAGTTAAATACATGAAAGGGACTCTCTGGTGTTCATTTTTTATTTGACTTCCTAGTTTTCAAGTGACTGAATATTTTGACAGATTTTTTTCTGAGCACTTGGGGTCAGAAAAGAAAGTAATTAAAAGAAACTGTTGTTGAGACATTTCATTCCAAATCTGCTAGACAGAGCAAGACATAGGATGATGGCAGGTGGGTGTCCTGCCCACCCCCCAATAAATCCTGGCCATGGTCAGGAGCTAACCAGAGTCAGCCTCTCTTCTGCCAAGCTAAGGCATAGGGAAGATCTACGGATTCTGGCTCTCCCATTGGGAAGGGAAGTTTCTGAGGTCTAGTCCAATGGACTGGTGTGTATCTGCACTGAGCAGGTTTGGAGTGCTTCTTCTGCACGTTTTGCTAGGACTAAATCCCTTTTTGCTTAGTTTATGCAACTGATAGCCCACACTGGCCCAAGGGCTTTTGATGGGTAAAAACAATGTTCTTTTCAGTGGCGCTACCTGCAATTCTGTCTTTCTAAGAAAAAGAGGGAACCTATCCAGTTCCATTCTTCTCCTCTGGCAGAGAAAGTGATCCTGGCTGCTGTGGCCCCACCTTTCCTTTTAGCTAAGAGGAGTGGAAAGGCTGGAGCTGCATACACTCCAACATTTTGCCAATGAAAATAAGGATGTCCTAAATAATAATAAAGGGACGCGGGTGGCGCTGTGGGTTAAACCACAGAGCCTAGGACTTGCCGATCAGAAGGTCAGCAGTTCGAATCCCTGCAACGGGGTGAGCTCCCATTGTTCAGTCCCTGCTCCTGCCAACCTAGCAGTTTGAAAGCACGTCAAAGTGCAAGTAGATAAATAGGTACCACTCCGTTGGGAAGGTAAACGGCGTTTCCGTGCGCTGCTCTGGTTCGCCAGAAGCGGCTTAGTCATGCTGGCCACATGACCCAGAAGCTGTACCTCGGCCAATAAAGCGAGATGAGCGCCGCAACCCCACAGTCAGTCATGACTGGACCTAATGGTCAGGGGTCCCTTTACCTTTTAAATTATTATGATTATGATGATGATTATTATTTTACTATTTATACCCCACCCATCTGACTGGATTGCCCTAGTCACTCTGGGCAGCTTCCAACACATATAAAAACACAACAAAACATTAAACATTAAAAAACTTCCCTATACAGGGCTGCCTTCAGATGGCTCAGGGGTCAGATAACTCCATACCCTCTGATGAAAACAGGGACATCCTAAGGAAAAGCGGGACACTCCAGGATCAAATCAGAAACCGGGATGGCTTCTGTAAATCCAGGACTGTCCCTGGAAAACAGGGACACTTGGAGGGTCTGGAGTTGTGCATCTTCACCCAGATTTGCCTTGAGATATGATTTGTCTCCAAGCCAAGTGCACACGGCATGTGTCTACCATTTCAGTATTCTGGAGCTGTATTCTTTTGGCCTGCATAGCTGGTCATCCTTCTCCCATGTCCCTGAGAGGCATTTTACTCTCATAAACTCCATCTCCCCCTGTGGTTACCCCTTTTTCTCCTGACACCACACTGCTCTTTCAGAATTCAGAATCTTTATTTACATCAACCACTAGCCCTAGCAATAAAATAAAATAAAATGTACTGAAGATAGAGGTAAAAACTTAACTATAGGAAGTACATTTCGGGGGTTTACATCAATAATCAAATAATAGATCATATTCTAATTGCCCCCACTAAAAATCTTGCAGTTTTTGCTGTCACCTGATCTTCTTGATCTGCTAAAAGAAAAGGACACAGTAGCAATGGTTGAGCGACAATAATAGAGGGGTAATAACCTCACTCCTCAAATCTTTATAAAAAGTGCAAGCCAGAAGCACATGAGCCACGGACTCAATACTGCCATCTCCACAGGGACATAGTAGCTTTTCTGGTGGAATTTTTTGAAATCAACCCTCAAGTACAGCCAAAGGCAGTATATTCTATCTTGTGAAAGTGAAAGTGTGTCTGTATTTTGGAATTGTTAAATTTCGCAAATAGGGTGCCAAAGTGTCAAAATGACTAGTTGGAAAATAATCATACCACAGACAAAATTTCCTTATTGTGGCCAGATTATTCTGTCGCTCAATATCATATAGGTGTTGTCTAATTAAATTATTTGATTTACTGAAGCCCAGGGTTAATAATTGTTGTGGTGATAAACCAGGAAAGGAAAGATTTTGGTTGACAATTTTAGTCCAAGCCCTCTCGTGACAACCTTGCAATACTAAGGGTAGTAGAACAGCGGGGTTTAAATTTAGGCAAAGCCAATGGTTAAATGTCCTACACCAAATCTGTAATTCATAGAGGGGAGGTCAGGTCACTGCTGTTTACTAAAATGTTCTCCCTCTTGGAAAATGGTGCAGAGTAAGCCATGGGCATTGAGCAGCTTTCCCCTTCAAAACAGGTGGAAAGAGTGGTTCTTAACCCTTCCTGGCACTTTTATTCTGCAGTTGCTTCTTTTGCTTTTGCAAGCAAGTTGGAAATAGGGGATATTATTCCGGTCATCGCTAGACTTCTCTCTGACCTCCTTTTTTTTACACCCCAGTCTTTCTACCTGTAGGCACAATTCTGCCATCAAAACTATTCACATCTCTCCATTGTTCAAACCATTCAACTTGCCCTTCCTCAAATCCTTTCAATGGCTTCTCTTCTCCTTCCGCCAGACCCAAAACTCCCTGTGCTTTGACAGCTCAGCTGCCGACAGAGGGAGTCACTATACAGGGATACCGTTGCCTAGACAGGGATCTTGCTGCGCCGAGACAAGGCTTTAAAATCCTGTCGGAATCTGAAGTCTGCTGAGACTACTGAGATCAGCACACTTTAGCATGTATGGAGCATTTTCATGGAGAGCTGAGATTTTCAGTGTCAAAAGGAAGGAGCCACATCTGACGTAGCTGGAGAAAATGAATTTCAGCTGCTTTTTCTACTCATAATCAGTGGAGTGCAGAGTCTGCAGCAAGGAACAGGGTTTCCATGGGGAGTAATAATAATAATAATAATAATAATAATAATTTATTTTTACTCCGCCCATCTGGCTGGGTTTCCTCAGCCACTCTGGGCGGCTTCCAACAGAATATTAAAATACAATAGTCTACTAAACATCAAAAGCTTCCCTAAAAATGCAATATGCAAAAGGTGAATTTATCCCCTACTCTGCCAAGACATGCTTGTGGGTATACCAAGAGTCAGAGCTGGCCTAAGACATTTTGGCACCTGAGGCAGACCACAAAATGGCGTCTGCCTCCGCTGTGAGGGAAGAAGCGGCAAGCGAAGGTCTACATCAGCAACAAGTAAGGAATAAAGATCGACATTGAGATCTGCTGCCCCTGTGGATGTTGCCATCTGAGGTGGTCACCTCACCTTGTTTCAGGAGCTGGCCTATCCTGCTGAGAATCTTAATAAATATATCCCTCCCCATGGGCTCAGGACAGGTTAAGAACTCTTTTTTTTTGCAAGGATGGAGGGCATACCCAATAATACAAATATATGTGTATATTTGATCACAAGTGATTTACCTCATCTTCAGTTGCTGAATGCCAATCCAAATAGGAAAGTCTTTCAACATTCCCAGAAGGAATTTAATGGACCTCTAGAGAACAAGAATTCCTTAGTTTCCAAAACCCTACACCCCCCCATGTGTGTGTGTGTAATTAGATGGTTAGTGCAGGATTCAATTAAGTTGTTGTGCTTGCATAAGCCAGAGCAAGGATTCCTGCTAGTGCAATGGGGCTTCCTCCCCGCCAAAAAAATTCCCCTGTGTGCCTCTGTACCCTCCTCAAATCTGCTTGGAGAACCTCCAGAACAGCACACAGGGAGGAGGGAGGCGATACCGCCCTGAGACCTTTGGGTATAAAGGGTAAAGGGGACCCCTGACCATTAGGTCCAGTCATGGCCAACTCTGGGGTTGCGGTGCTCATCTCGCTTTACTGGCCGAGGGAGCCGGTGTACAGCTTCCGGGTCATGTGGCCAGCATGACTAAGCCGCTTCTGGCAAACCAGAGCAGCACACGGAAACACCGTTTACCTTCCTGCCGGAGCGGTACCTATTTATCTACTTGCACTTTGACGTGCTTTCGAACTGCTAGGTTGGCAGGAGCAGGGACCGAGCAACGGGAGCTCAACCCGTCACGGGGATTCGAACCGCCGACCTTCTAATCGGCAAGTCCTAGGCTCTGTGGTTTAACCCACAGCGCCACCCGCGTCCTTTGGGTATAGGGCGATATATAAATCCAATAAATAATATTAATAATAATAATTCCACCTTGCAAGCAGAAATGTTTGCACTGATTACACAACCTCCTCAGTACGACACTGCATTCCATCCTTTGTCTTGCATCTCAACATCATTTGTTCATTGAGTTTTCCCAAAGTAACCAGGTAGCAACCTTGCCATTTGTTCTGTCCTAGCCTCTGTTTTGTTGCCTACCTTTTCTCTGACCTGATTCGTGGCAATTGTTTTGAGTTAAAACGCAACTGCAGCCTAGCCTGTCCAAATCTCACAGTGCTGTTGAGATTTGCCAGAACCTTTAATTTTCTGCTCCAGCCTCTGTCACTTTAAGTGGTTGGTTCCTGTTCACTGACATATACCCAGCATTTCCCTGAATCTGCCCGTCAGCCAGTCACTTCAAAGAGGGACAAGTTTAATTATTGTACTTTCCCCTTGCGGCCAGAACAATTGTTCATCATCATCATCATCATTTAGTTTTTATGAGCCGAATTTTGCCACTGTGATACTGAAAATGAAATAATTAATGAGCAATTGGTCTGGCTTCAAAGAGGACACAATTTTCTCTCTCTCCCTTTTACTTCTGGGTTAATGTTTGAGTTTAGACAAAGAAGATTCCAATGAACTCCTCTCACATGGGAAATTCAGGGCTGATTCAGGAACATCAGCCATATGAGTGAAAAGGAAGCTGTCAAAGTGCTAGAAACAGAAGCTACTTCAAAAGAAAGAAGAAACCAAAGGGATAGCTGCAGGAAGAAGGGTGCATTTGCCCCAAAGAATGGATATATAATAGATTCTTGCCGATGGAAATGGACACTGTGAGATTTGCTTTATCGGGAATATGCTGTGTGGAACAGCTCTTCTAATTTGCTGCAGCTAATTGCAGACAACCAGTGCCTTTGCAGCACCAAAGTGTCGCAGTATTGAAGCAACACAATGGGAAGCTGCTTCGCTCCGCCTCCACTTTGTGTCCGAGAAGTTCATAATGACAATTGTCACCAGCTTCAATGGCTGAAAAGGTCCCCCAGATGAGCTTTGGCAAGACCCAACCCAGCCTTAACAGGAAAGAGGTAGCTCTGTATGAAGAGACTAAGTCAAGCAAGTAAAGCCTATGCTTTGTTTTGAGCGTCTCCACCCCCATCGTTCTACCCGGACACTGAGGACCAGCACCGAGGGCCTTCTGGCGGTTCCCTCACTGCAAGAAGCCAAATTACAGGGAACCAGGCAGAGGGCCTTCTCGGTAGTGGCACCAGCCCTGTGGAACACCCTCCTACCAGATGTCAACGAGAACAACAATTACCAGACTTTTAGAAGACATCTGAAGGCAGCCCTGTTTAGGGAAGCTTTTAATGTTTGATGTATTACAGTATTTTAATATTTTTTTTGGAAGCCGCCCAGAGTGGCTGGGGAAGCCCAGCCAGATGGGCGGGGTATAAATAATAAATTATTACCATTATTATTATTATTATTATTATTATTATTATTACTATCTTGACCTCTGTAAGAACAAAACCAGACAATATTGCTCAATACAAGGGACAAGCTTGGTACTGACCAGTCCAGAGAGACCCTCACCTCTCCTGATGCTGTTGGATGGCTTCGAATACCTCGTCGTCTTCAATGTCCTGTGTCTTGTTTCTCAGACACTTGTCACCATCTTCTCTTGTGTGCTGAGCAAAGGGGTCTCCTGGAACAGGACACCCTTTCCCCAAGATTCCCGTGAAACTTGGATTGCTCTCGCTGTCTTTCTGGCTCTCGATGGCTGAATCCGCTTCATCTTTCTCAGCCAATATATCATCAATGTTGGTCTCGTGGTAGCACCTCAAAGGGACAGAATCCAAGTCAGTCTCCGAGTACTTTATGGTTCTGCGGATTATTCCCGTTTCACAGTTTCCAGGTTTTGCACTGCCTGGTGGAGCCATCTCAATTTCCACCTCCACGTGGCACAAGCTATGCTCGGGTCCTGTCCAATCTGGCTTTGGCTGAATCTGGTGGTTGGATTTCTTGAGCTGCTGAGGTGGAGGATCAGGTGCGTTATGAGGACGCATCCCTGAAATAGAGAGATCCCGGGTTACAAATAAAAACTACTCACTAAGTCCTGGCAGATGCTGGATCTCTGAACCTTACATGAGAATCATGGAACTGACAAAGAAATATGCCATATGTCAAAGGGGGGAAAGGGTAAAGGACCCCTGGACGGTTAAGTCCAGTCGAAGGTGACTATGGGGTTGCGGTGTTTATCTCGCTTTCACGCCGAGGTAGCCGGCGTTTGTCCACAGACACCTTTCCAGGTCATGTGGCCAGCATGACTAAACCGCTACTGGCACAATGGAACACCGTGATGTAAGCCAGAGCGCATGGAAACGTCATTTACGCTCCCGCCACAGTGGTACCTATTTATCTACTTGCCCTGGTGTGCATTTGAACTGCTAGGATGGCAGTAGCTGGGACAGAGCAATGGGAGCTCACTCCGTCGCAGGGATTCGAACTGCCGACCTTCTGATCGGCAAGCCCAAGAGGCTCAGTGGTTTAGACCACAGCACCACCCGCGTCCATATGTCAACACCTCTGGTTGTACAGTACAGACTGTGTATCCCAATCAGACAAAGAGAAAAATGGAGAAGAAAAACGAAAACAGACAGTGGAAGGAAGGAAGGAAGGAAGGAAGGAAGGGGCAGGTTCCCCCACATTCTAAAGTGTTTAGCATTTGTTAAAGGCTCCATTTATTTAGATTAATCCCAATTTGCTTGCACAAAGCTTACGGAGAGGTCAGACAATATCTGGTCATTACTGGGCATTCAATTCAACTTGTTTATGGGGAGGTTATACACCAATGAACCTGTTAGAGTCATAGAATTGTAGGGTTGGAAGGGACCACGAGGGTCATCTAGTCCAACCCCCCCTGCAATGCAGGAATGTTTTGCCCAACATGGGGCTCAAACCCATGATGCTGAGATTAAAAGTCTCCACCAACTGAGCTATCCCTTCATCCTGATTTGCCAAGTGTATGGTAAGGCTTATTTCTGAGTAGACATGCCTTAAGCTGGAGTGGGGAAGACTGTTTTGAATTGGGTAGGATGAGCAACAATGGTTTGCTCCTTTCTCTCTCTTACTTTAAATAGTTTTTAAAAGTTACCACTCTTGACAAAGATGTATTTTTTATATTTGCAAGAGCACAGTTGGTGGCTGCCATCATCATCTCCCAGAATATTCCTGAAGTGACACTGATTGTCTTTCTTTCTTACAGTTTAAACTTTTAAAGGAGAGGGATGGGGTTTACTTCAGGCAACCTGTTTATTCAGCATTCATTCTAATTTGCTTTGCACAGAGCTAACGCAGTGGTTAGACTATGTCTGGCCTATATTGAACATTCATCCTGGCTTGTTCACGGGGTGTTTCCACACCTTCCTATTGGTCAATCGTCCATCTCACACTTTTGAGTGCATTTCCCTGTCACATTCCTAACTGCAAAAAGTTTGTCCTTTCTTTTTATAGTGAATTTGTTGTGCTAGAGCAACAGAGTGCTTTAGTGCGCTTTAATTGAGCAAACCCAAATTTCTGCTGTGAACTTGAAACCCTCCCACAAAATAGTGACAGCTTAGAGACAGATGGAGAAAGCAAGGGGTGGGGGAGAGGAGATGAGACCACCACCACTTTCTGCAATGATAAGCACCCTTAAGCCAGGCATGGCCAAACTTGGCCCTCCAGAGGTTTTTGGGACTACAGTTCCCGTCATCCCTGACCATTGGTCCTATTAGCTAGGGATGTTGGGAGTTGTAGTCCCAAAACAACTAAAGGGCCAAGTTTGGCCATGCCTGCCTAAGCCATATGAACAATTTTGCCCCCCTCCAAAAAAGTCAATGAAATCTGCCTGCAACTTGCCCTTGTAAGGGCACCTTTTCCAGCCCTACTTTAAAGGTATCCCTAATATATTTTAACAATCTGCGTACGCGGTGTTATGTATTCCCCCCCTTCAAATAAGAATTTAATTTATCTCAAATAAGAATTTAATTCCACCTTTTAACTTCGTGATTATTTGTGTATCAGCTAAAACACACATTATTCAATCGTCATAACTTCCTTGAAATTGAATAGTGCTTGGGGAGTAATCAGAGTTCTAACTCCAATTTCACAGACTGTTAAATCTTTTAAGGACTGTGGGGGTGATGGAAAAATCATAAGCAGAAGCTCTTTCTGAAATACTTCCCCCCCCCATTTTTTATATTTATGTTTTCTAATGGACTAACTGATATAATTGAAAAGATTGATAGGAAGGAAAGCATTTATTGTTCCTTTTCCTAATTAGTTCTTCATATCTGCAAATTCCCCTTCTTGCTTTTAATCATTTTAGTCCATTGAAACCAATTCTAGCATTCATCAAGGTCCATCCCAAATTCTTCAATGTCAGTGTTAATTGTCTTAACAGATACGCATTTCATCTTGCAGTTTCTTCATCTCTTTCTCATTACTGTTTGTTTGTTTGTTTGTTTGCTTGTTTAAATCAGGGGTCGGCAAACTTTTTAAGCAGGGGCTCGGTCCACTGCCCCTCAGACCTTGTGGGGGGCCAGACTATATTTTGGGGAAAGAATTGAACAAATTCCTATGCCCCACAAATAACCCAGAGATGCATTTAAAATAAAAGGACACATTCTACTCATGTAAAAACACGCTGATTCCCGGACTGTCCGCGGGCTGGATTGAGAAGGTGATTGGGCCGCATCTGGTCCCTGGGCCTTAGTTTGCCTACCCATGGTTTAAATAGCTCAAGACTGGAAAAAACATCTTAGCTCACTGAAAGACCATATTCCCTCATACAATCCTGCCTGGGTCTCTGAGAAGGGGGGCGGGGGGCGGCACTTGACAACTTTGGAACTCTCTTCCTCAGAGAACCCAGACTAGTTCCCTCTGTGCTATTCTTCTGCCGACAGCTGAAGACCTTTCGGCATTTGGGAACTGACTGATTTTACTGAGGGGACTGGTGCCATGTTGTTTTTATGGTAATTATCTATATGTTTTTAATAGCTATCAGACACACACAGAGTTGTTTTTTAACGACCCCCATATTTAGTTGTTCTTATTTTATCTTTATAGGACGCGGGTGGCGCTGTGGGTTAAACCACAGAGCCTAGGACTTGCTGATCAGAAGGTCAGCGGTTTGAATCCCCACAACGGGGTGAGCTCCCGTTGCTCGGTCCCTGCTCCTGCCCACCTAGCAGTTTGAAAGCATGTCACAGTGCAAGTAGATAAATAGGGACCACTCCGGTGGGAAGGTAAACGGCGTTTCCGTGCACTGCTCTGGTTCGCCAGAAGCGGCTTAGTCATGCTGGCCACATGACCCGGAAGCTGTATGCCGGCTCCCTCGGCCAATAAAGCAAGATGAGCAGCGCAACCCCAGAGTCGGTCACGACTGGACCTAATGGTTAGGGGTCCCTCTACCTTTACCTTACCTATTTTATCTTTAAGACGCCTTGAGTCCCTGTCAGGGTAAAAAGCGGGGTATAACTAAAGAGATAATAACAACAATAATCATCTCTACTTGATTCTAGATTCAGATAGGTAGCCGTGTTGGTCTGATGCAGTCGAAAGAAAAAATTAAAAAATAGTCCAGTAGCACCTTAGAGACCAACTAAGTTTGTTCTAGGTATAAGCTTTCGTGTGCGTGCATACTTCTTCAGAAACACTGAAACAGAAGTCACCAGACCCTTATATATAGTTGAAGGGTGGGGTGGGGTTTTTCTCAGACAGGTAGTAGGAGATGGTTGATTGGCTCAATGGGTATGGTAAACCTGCTGACAACAGTTAACAACTGCAATTAGTCAATACCCCACCCCACCCCACCCTCCCACTGTATAAAAGGGTCTGGTGACTTCTGTTTCAGTGTATCTGAAGAAGTGTGCATGCACACAAAAGCTTATACCTAGAACAAACTTAGTTGGTCTCTAAGGTGCTACTGGACTATTTTTCTAATTTTTTATAATCTCTACTTGAGACTTTATTAGTCAGTCTTAGGCTAGATGGGCCAATATTTATGGATGCAGCATTAGGCAGCTTCACACAATCAGCCTGCAGGAAGGGGGTTAAGAAGCACCAGGCGGAATCAAACAAAGAGCAGGGCAGGCTCTGGTGCTTACTGATAAAAATATCTTATCAGTAAGCACCCGCTCTCCTCTTTGTTTGAAGGTTCATGCAATCACTCTGCCATGTCACATACTTCCCTGGTGACTGAGGTTGTGCACGGATGAGGCCATTCCTTTCTTTTACATCGCTCCACTTGGTCGCTGTATGTTTGCGCACTGTTCTTTGTACGGGTGCAGTCAAGAAAGATGTGCATCACTCACAAGTGTTGCTCTGCTGGGAAGCTTATGGGTAGATTTTTGGGGATGGAAACACTTCCATTTGCTCCCTTTTGTGCCTGCAGCCTCTTTTCCTTTTTTTGTCTGCCCACAGTCACAGCATCCACTTACAAGGAAAGGTTCTTGCCCAGCTTTTCCCAACTTGGTGGCCTCCTGGTGCTTTTGAATTACCACGCCCATCAACCCCTGCCAGCATGGCCATGCCAACTGGAGCTTATGGGAACTGTGGCCCAAAACCAAGAGGGTACCAGGCCTCTCTTGTAACACTGTCAATCTCTTAGTTAATATTTCCCTTCCTCACCGCACAGTGACCTGGTTTGCATATCACTGCTAAGTCAGAGTATGGCTTACTGTGACTTCACAAATGGCTCCCAGAGAGTAGCTCATCCCTGCTTCACTTCATCCCCTGACTTTTGAGGTTAGTGCAGGATGGCAGCTAAAAGGTAAAGGGACCCCTGACCATTAGGTCCAGTCGTGACCGACTCTGGGGTTGCGGCGCTCATCTCGCTTTATTGGCCGAGAGAGCCGGTGTACAGCTTCCAGGTCATGTGGCCAGTATAACTAAGCCGCTTCTGGCGAACCAGAGCAGTGCACGGAAATGCCATTTACCTTCCCACTGGAGCGGTACCTATTTATCTACTTGCACTTTGATATGCTTTTGAACTGCTAGGTGGGCAGGAGCTGGGACCGAGCAACGGGAGCTCATCCCATCACGGGGATTTGAACCGCCAACCTTCTGATCAGCAAGCCCTAGGCTCTGTGGTTTAACCCACAGCGCCACCCGTGTCCCTAGGATGGCAGCTAGGCTACAGTTAACTTAACATTTTGCCCAAACTCAGGATCATTCTTGTAACCGTAGGAGGAACTCTGGCTATGGATTGTGGTTAAGGTGGAGAGATACTTAGCCATGCTCTGGGTTCAGACGATGCACTAAACCAAACCTTGGCTTAGCTGCTGCAATTATTTAAAAAGTCCAGGAAGGAACAAAGTGGCTGCAGATTCCTCTTCGAGAGGCAGCACTAAGCCATGGTTTGTCTTAGCATGATGTGCAAACGCAACCACTGTCTATCCAGACACTGCAAGGAACGCATTCCAGGGGAAAAGAGACCTCTCTCCATTTTTACAGAGCTTGTTGTTGTTGGTAAAATTTGTATACCACCCTATACCTGTAGATCTCAGGGTGGATCACAACCTAAAAAGCTGTAACAGAGTCAGAATGAGGAGCACCTCCAGCAGGAAGTATAGAGTGTATCAGTTGCTTCTGGGGCATATCCCAGGAAAAATAGCTGGAGAGGACGCTATGGAAAACCACTTCCAGCTTTCCTAGCCCTTAGGCCCTTGCACGTAATATCCCAGGGATGGACCTATGCAAAAGGAGGAGTTTCTCAGGATCTCTAGCAAATGGTAGGTCCACTTCCTCATAGGAAGTGAATGCTGCAATTCACATTTCAACACCTACAAAGGGTTGGATGAGGGTCCCCCTGTTCATCTCAGGTCTTTCCCACAGCTACCTCTGCCTTGTTCCACACCCATGCATTCGATTCTTCTCTCCTTACATATTTTCCTTGTTGAATTTCAGCTTAACACCACCCAACCAGCAGCCCAGCTAATGAGAGCCCATTTTTGCATTTCAAGCCTGCTATCTAAGGGTGCATGTCTACCGTTCCTGCGTTGTCTGAATCTGGCAGCCACACTGGACATTGCTTTATAAAAGTCAGCAACTGCCAGCATCCAAATGCGCCCCTGCTGTGACTGCATCCACAACAGTACCGTATGTGGAACCTCCGCCAGGACACCGTTTTTGAGGGTTGAATGCTGAAGAGATGCTGATTTTCATATATTCAAATGCTCTCCCCTACCAGTACTTGCATCGAGCTCATTACCTGTTCCAGGAGGGTCCAGGGAGCCATAGAAGAATTCCCACTTAGCCTTGGCGATGCGCTGGGCGTGGGCAGAGCTCTCTCGGGAATATGCCCATGGACTCCCCTATAGAAAAGAGAGAGAGAAAATGCTTATTTGTGAGGTTCCTTGCATGGGATGGAGGAAGATGTAGGAAGAAGGGGCAGAGGAGATGCCATTCCTGGCAAGGAAGGGACTCTGAAGTACCTGGTACTGGGACTCCCCGCTCTGTGGGCTTCTCCGGAGCGCTGAGATGTCGTTGGAAGGGCTGATCATGCCGTTGGTAAGGGAGCTGGAGAGGCAGTTGGCATTGAGAGAATGTGGGCTCCCATTGCCCAGGCTCTGGGAAGACTGTGCTCCCAAAAGGAACCTGTTTCCAGCCAGGAGAGGGTCCGAAGCAGATGTCTCCAGCTTCAGCTTATGACTAAGGTGCTCCTGGCCTTTACCGCTGAGGGCCAGTGGGGCCTGTTCCACAGCAGGGCCAGTACCAGCCAAGACAGACTCATTCGTCTTCACTTTGATGCTCTCGTTTGCCTCTTGAGCGACAGGCTCCGGGGACGCTGCGGCGTTACGCTGTGGGGAATGCGGATTTTGGGCCACGGGGCAACCGCTTCCCTGCTTCCTTGCCGGGCTTCCAAAATGGAGGGCTTCCCCGAGCTCCAGACTCCTGCTCAAGCCACTCTCCTTCCTGGACTCCACCAGAGGGAGGCCATTCAAAGTTTTGACGCTGGCCTTCTCGATGAAGCGGAAGGTCACCACAGAGCTTTGTCCGCCGGGGGCTGAGGCGACCAGGGGGATGCGGCTACCTGGAGAGCCCAGCGAGGGCGGAGGCCTGCTCCTCAGCGGTGTGCATGGAGCTGTCACTCTCCCTGAGTTGGGGCAGTTGCTGTTGCCAAGGTAACCCATCTCTGTGACCTTCCGGATGAGGGAGCCAGTGCTGTTATACATGCCCAGTTGGGAGCGCTTGGCCTCCACGGTGAGCCCCTTGCGGAGGAGGTGGATCCTGCCGGCGTTGAGGTTGGGCGTGAGGCAGTGCTGGGGGTTCAAGGCAGCAGGTTCTGCATTCTTGGACGGCGACAGCCAAGGCCGCCTCTTCAGCTCTCGGGCAAAGCGCTGAGGGGACATGGCGTGGTCTCCCTCAGGGTGGAAGCACATGACTGCTCCTGCCTGGGACATCCTGGAGCAGGCGAAACAGATTCGGAGCCGAACGGGGAAACGCGAGGAGCAGGAGCGGAACTTCCCAAGCAGCACTGAGGTAAGAAATCCAGCGGGAGTAAGCTGTGCTATGTGGCCCTGAAAGCGATAGCAAAAAGTCAGAGGTGAGGATCTCAGTGGCACATTTGATTTAGAGGCACGCTGAGATAGGGAGGGAGAGCTTGCGAACTGAACCTACATTGCAGGAGTCCCCAAACAAGGCTAGAGAACAAGGAGCAGGGAACGAGGGATAGCTCAGTTGGTAGAACACAAGACTCTTGATCTCAGGGCTGTGAGTTCCAGCCCCGCATTGGCAAAATATTCCTGCATGGCAGGGGGTTGGCCTAGATGATCCTTGTGGTTCCTTCTAACTCCATGATTTTAAATTTAGAAGGGGAAAAAACCATTTTTCCAGCCTGAAGGCCAAATTCTCTTCTGCGCAACTTTCTGAGAGCCACATGGCAGTGATGGGCAGGGCCAGAGGCAAAAGTGATCAGGGCAAAAATGTATATATATTTTTACTTGGTTTCATGGTTTATTTTTCACAAAATAACTTCCTATAAGGAAGCATTCTTGTGAATGAGTTACTTTGAAATTGCATTATGTTGTCCAGTCATCCCGTTCTTGGAAAAATCTCTAAAACAAAATGATTTTATTTTACTTATTAAAATATTAATAGGCTGCTATTTCATTCACAAAAGCAGTTTACAACAAAAAATGCATAACACCGCAGAAAAAAGTTAACTACAGACATCAATTAACCAGTGCAGAAAGACGTATTCTAAGTTGGCTGCATAGGCCTGGCAGAATAGAAAAAGGTTTATATATTGTATTTTACTGCCTTTTATACCCCACATTTCCACCAAGCAGATCAAGGTGACGTACACGGTTCCCTTCCTCCCATTTTTATCCCCACAGCCACCCTGTTAGGTGGGTTCGGCCGAGAGGTCCAAGGTCACCCAAGGAGCTTCGTACCCGAGTGGGGATTTGAACCCTGGTCTGACACTCTAACCACTGCAACATACTACAGGCGTTCGAAAGTTTAAACAGAAGGTGCCCGCTGAACCTCTAGTGACAAAATGCCTCACAATAATGGGCCAATGATACTATTTCTTGTTATCAAGTGAGCCTCGCCAACTCGGGTATAAAGACTCAGGCGATTCCTGAGGTAAACCTTGACCAAAGTTGTTCAGTTATGCAGATAATGTTTGGAGAAGCCTTATTTGATTAATAGAGTACCCGGCCTCTAGTGGGCAGGGCTTTTAAGCTGCAATCTAGAATCTAGAATCTAGAACCGGCTCCTCCAGGTTGTCAGGTTTTTTTTTAAAAAGTGGTTAACTGTCACATACCTTAAGGGATTTCATTTCTCTCAGCCAGTATGTTACTATGCTACATTTCTCTATTAATGCTTTGTTACACACACACACACACACACACACACACACACGTGAGCCATTTGCTTCACTGAATGAAAAGACAAACTAAAGAAGGAGAAGGTGGAATATCTTACACTGGGTGAGTAATGAGATATTTCCTTGACAGGAGGGCTGATTTTTAGTCACCCCACCCCTCCACAAGACAGAGAACAGCAAGAATGGGAACCATGTTTTTCTTTGAACAGCTGACTGCAAGACAGCCATCATTAATTTTGCCACAGGTAGTTAATTCTATTTTAAAAAATATAATTTTTTATTAAATTTTCCATTTTAACAATCCAATCCGATCACATTAAATATTCCAAATTATACAAATACGTATCATATAGTCCAAATATTCTGCAAAATTATAAATTTTTATTGGGGCTTCCCATGCTTCAAGTTCGGGGTGGGCTCTGATCATCTCATATCTTTACTACCTTGAGTTTCCGATAGTTAATTCTAAGTTTGTGAAACTCTAGATGGGGGAGGGGGAACCCATTAATCTCTTACCCTCCAACATTTCTCCAATCAAAATAGGGATGTCCTATTCAATAAGAATAAGAATAAGAATATGAATAAGAATAAGAATACCCTGCCCATCTGACTGGGTTGCTGTATCCACTCTGGGCAGCTTCCAACAGGTTATACAAAAACACAACAAAAACATGAAACATTTTAAAAAAACCTTCCCTATACAGGGCTGCCTTCAGATGTCTTCTTATAGGTTGTATAGTTACTTATCTCCTTGGCTTGGGAGTCATGTAACTTCATACCCTCCGACATTTCTCTGATGAGAACAGGGACACCCAAAGGAAAAGCAGGACATTCCAGGATCAAATCCAAAACTGGGAGGGCTTCTGTAAATCTGGGACTGTCTCTGGAAAATAGGGACACTTGGTGCTGTGATATAGTATCGATCTCAGGGAAAGAAAGAGCACACATGTACCATTCATCAGATATGAGGAATGGCGGCATGGTTATTTTGCTCCTCCAAGTACTCAGGTTGGGAAGCTGATGAATAATAATAATAATAATAATAATAATAATAATTTATTATTTATACCCCGCCCATCTGGCTGAGTTTCCCCAGCCACTCTGGGCAGCTCCCAATCAAATGTTAAAAACAGTACAGCATTAAATATTAAAAACCTCCCTGAACAGGGCTGCCTTCAGATGTCTTTTAAAGATCGGATAGCTGCTTATTTCCTTCACATCTGAAGGGAGGGTGTTCCACAGGGTGGGTGCCACTACCGAGAAGGGCCTCTGTCTGGTTCCCTGTAACCTCACTTCTGGTTCCCTGTAACCTCACTTCTCGCAATGGAGGGAACCGCCAGAAGGCCCTCGGGGCTGGATCTCAGTGTACGATGAACGATGGGGGTGGAGACGCTCCTTCAGGTATACAGGACCAAGGCCGTTTAGGGCTTTAAAGGTCATAGAATCATAGAATCATAGAGTTGGAAGAGACCACAAGGGCCATCGAGTCCAACCCCCTGCCAAGCAGGAAACACCATCAGAGCACTCCTGACATATGGTTGTCAAGCCTCTGCTTAAAGACCTCCAAAGAAGGAGACTCCACCACACTCCTTGGCAGCAAATTCCACTGTCGAACAGCCGAACTGTCGAACAGCACCAACACTTTGAATTGTGCTTGGAAACGTACTGGGAGCCAATGAAGATCTCCCAGGACCGGTGTTATGTGGTCCCTTATGTGAAGAGGCTCTCTCCACATAGAAACGACATCCGGCATGAAGTAGCCATGGAGAATATCTTGAACTCACCCAACATACGTTGGTGCTTGAGGCTTATAAATGAGAATGGGTCCTCCGCCTATCTCTAGTGGGTCCATACTAATGGTTGTGTAAAGCTTCTGTCCATTTTAGTGGGATGTGCTTGTGCAGGAAACACTCCCAGTGTAGTGTGTGAGATCTGTCTGCCTCCCACTCCACCTCCCCAGATCTTCTCTCTCCGCCTCTGACAGTCCCAACTACCTGCAGCATTTTCTTCAAGATGGCCCCGAAGATTTTAGCCAGAAGCCGCCATAATAAGCTGCCCGAACGTAAAGAGGCTTTGTTAAAAGTGAGGGCAAGGACCAATTACTCTCATCATTCAGCACAGAAAGAGCAAGAGATTATGGGATAGCAGTAATGGGCTTTGGCAGCATCTGGCAAAAAAAGGGGGTGATTAAGAACCTGCTCAGCAGTAGATGGCCTCCCCAGCAAGTCACAGCAGGGATTAATCAAGACCTCCCATTACTTATGGCACAGAAAGCTCATCAACAGGACAAGTAGAAATGTCGGGATCAGCATCTTCTCTGGTGGGGGAAGGGATGAGCAAAGGAGGATGCTCACGATAGCCACCTTGCCTGCCGAGAGTAGAATGTGCTTTATTTTTCTTTATTAAAGGCCAGTCTACAATATTGTTTTCCATTGGATTATTGGAAATCCCATTGAATCGTTCCACCGGCATAAATCTGGGAAGTGAAGCGCTCTAAGAAGTGAGACATTGCTAGTGCCACAAATGCACACCAACTAAATCACTCTGGACCACAGTAAGGGGTCACAAATTCAGCTGCTAAACAATTCTGAACAGGAATTGGCACCAGTACCTTCAGAAAACTGATGGGCTTAGTTTACGTCCTTTGGAGGGAAAGTGCATCTAAGACGAGGCGTGGTTGTACGCCATACTTCTTGTTCCCGGTTTCTCCATAAAGTCCAGTTTCTATGCCCCAACCCACTCTCATTGCGATTGCAAAAATCATAGGTTCCAATATATGATTATGGTGGTGAGACTTTTATATGCACAAAAATGGAAAGACACGTCATTACCAACAATGGAGGAATGGTTGTTAAAATTATTGGACTTAGCTGAGACGGCAGAATTGACATGTTTCATCAAAGAAAAGCTTTTGCTAACATTTGCTAAAGAATGAAAGCCACTTATTGACTTTTTGCATGAAAAAGAAAATGAATTAACGACATTTGGGTTTGTGGATTGAAGATATTGTTGGTTCATAGAAAGTAGTTTTGCTGGGTGTTATATTGGAATGGATGAATTGAATAACTTATATATAGCTGACAGGTGAAGAACTGGAAGTTCTTTATTTTCTTAACTTTTTCTCCTTTTCTTGTTTTCTTTCATTAATTTCGCTCTCTTTCTCTTTTCCCTTTATCATCCCTCTTTCTATCTTTCTGGTTTGTGTTTTTAATTAGATAAACTTTTTAGTTCCGATAAAAACAGATATTTGATAGTAATCTCTGTATCCCTTTTTCCATATTCTATTTTTTTTTTAAAAAAGGGATTACAAAAATCAGACTTAATATAAAATTGGGCTCTTTATAAAAGTTGTACTGTGAAAAGAAAGGAACAATGCAGTAATGGCTTCATGTACCAGGGGCAATGAGGAAGAATACAAAACACATGTGCCCAACAGCTGTGGTACCTGGAGACTTTTGTAAGTATTACTTGCCTGTTTTCAAAGTCTACTTCTACATCTACAGTATTAGAAAATACCCCTATGGAAAATATGGAAAAGAATTAGCAGGAGAAAGAACATTTGGTTTGGTGGCAGGACATGAAGAAGAACTAACAGAAGTGGAGAAGAGAGATAAATAAAGGACAAGATGGTGTTGGAAATCTTAACTTGGAATGTAAATGGACTCAATAAAACTAAATGCAATAAGATCGAACATGTGGTAAAAAAGTTAAATTTGGATGTGATCTGCTTTCAGGAAATGCATATTGTGAAGATACACAGAATAATTCTGATCAATAAAAGATTGGGAATGGACCTTGTGGCCTCTGACGTAGGAAAGAAGGGAGGCGTGGTAATGTATATAAAACCAGAATTAGATCCAAAGCAATTATTTAAAGATGAGCAAGGAAGAATATTGATAATACAGATAACATCACAAGGAGAAAAAATAATGTTAATAGGCGTATATGCACCAAATGAGGAAAAAAACCTGACTTTTATAAGAGACTTGAAGAAATCCTATTTAAATATTTGAAGGAAAATACAATCTTGATGGGATATATGAACGGTGTAGCTTCCCTGGAATGGGACAGGACTACAAGAAGAAGCGATACAAAAGAAGGGAAGTTACCCAGCAGGCATGGGGGCAGAAGTGATTGCACACAGAGCAACTGTGACGAATTCACAACACACAACTGTGCACCTGCAATGTCCCATTCGCTTTTGCGACCACACTTACCAGTGCAACCCTATTGCCTCTCTGGGATCTTTGCTGTATTCAGGCGCTGGAAATCCCAAACCCCAGCACTGAACATTTCTTCTGCCCACTTGCCAGTTCACAAGGCAGATGCTAGAAGAATGACCCAGTGGGTGGATGGAGCTGTCTAGGTCAGGCATAGGCAAACTCCGACCCTCCAGATGTTTGGGACTACAATTCCCATCATCCCTGACCACTGGTCCTGTTAGCTAGGAGTGATGGGAACTGTAGTCCCAAAACAGCAGGAGGGCCATATCTAGCCATGCCTGCCCTACAGTGTCTCCAAAACTTGGGTCTCCATATGTTTTTGGACTACAACTCCCATTATCCCTAGTTAGCAAGAGTCAGGGATGATGGGAATTGTAGGGAAGGGTCAGGCATCTATTCTCAGATCTTCTGCTCTTGTTTTCCTTGGAGATATAAAAGCAGGCTTTTATTCAGCATGTGTGGATAGAAAGTATTGGGTTGACTTGTAAGAGGTGTGTGGCATTTTGACATATTTCTGTTAAAAGGCTGGTCTTGTCTTAAACCAGTTTTAAAAGACTCACATAATATATATCTGGAGGGCCGGAGTTGCCTATGCCTGGTCTAGGTTGAAGGTGGAAACTTTTTTTCCTGGGAAAGTGGTCCTGGAGTTATTGGATTATTGTCCGTCCGTCCCCCGCTCAAATCCCATAGACTTTTTTGTTCACAGCTGTAAACAGTAATCATGGACCACTAGAGATAGACAAAATCATTGGGTTCCAAAAGATTATTCCAAAACAATTTTTGATTTCTCAACACCACAGAGTCAAAACCTCCTTTGGGAGGTTTAATAAAACAGACAAACATTGGAGGCAGGGGTGGGGAAGTGGTTTTTTATCTAGATCCGCATTCTCCCAGGATAATCTCTCAGGCTGCATATTGGGGTCACCTTGTCTTTCTCCCTAATAGCCACCTCATTCTCCCTCTTTCCCTGTCCCAAATTTTCTCTGCCTCCTCATTTCTCCCCAGCTGCCACCCCAACAAAAATCACCTCCCCCTGCCCTGTGCGGCACTTAGGATTAGAAAGAAGACGCCCACCAAACTGCCACATGGTGATGACTGGGGCTGAGGAGAAAAGGCCACAGACCTGACCTGTGGGCTGCTGGCTCCTTCTCCCAGACTGAAGCCTTATCCTAGATCACAGCAGCTGAATTAGCAATTTATGCATATAGTTATAATTCATTGTTTTTGTAATATGCTGAGGACAGCTGTCAGTCAAAAACACAGCGCTGAAATGTAATGTGGTGTGAGATAAGCCTGACACCTTGCACTGAACTAGGAATGGATTTTTTGTAGGATCCAGGTTATTAGGTCATTAAAGGTCACAGTGCTAGCTTCTGAATGGGGTGTACAGTTGTACCTCAGGTTACAGACGCTTCAGGTTACAGACTCTGCTAACCCAGAAATTGTACCTCAGGTTAAGAACTTTGCTTCAGGATAAGAACAGAAATCGAGTGGTGGCGGTGCAGCGGCAGCGGGAGGCCCCATTAGCTAAAGTGGTACCTCAGGTTAAGAACAGTTTCAGGTTAAGAACGGACCTCCAGAATGAATTAAGTTCTTAACCCGAGGTACCACTGTATCTAACTAGCTTAGGTGCGTCTACTGTTTTGCTGCTGTGGCTCCAACAATTTGAATGGAAATCGCATAATTTCTTTATAAATAATGGAAATCTCCTTAGTTCTGTTGCCAAGCCCAAAGGTCTACCTCTACCTTAATTTCTAGGAATCGTTAACCAAAGAAATGCACAAATTAATTCAGAATTACATATGAATTACCCAGAAGCTTTTACTGCCTTTTAATGGACATTTATGATAAATACACAATACAATTCCTTAAGTTACTCCTTACCCCATTTAAGCACCTTGCCTTGCTTACATGCCCAGTTCTTAAAGAGAATTTTCCCACCCCAGGATTTCTTAAGCATGATAGGGGCAAGTGTGTTCAAGGAAAATCCACCCTGAGCCAGAGGGGAAAGCTTAGGTGAACGGATCAGCCGACTGGAGCATGACTGCTCCTGTGAAATAACAGCCACCACTGATTTTCCCTTTTAAATTTGAAATGGGATCCCCCTCCCATTGTATATGGAGGTGTTCTTATTGGAACCATATTTGCATAGGAGACCTCCACAGCAAAGAGCACCTATCAACAGATTCAGCCGTTGGATCAACTGCACCCTGTTTTGGATAGGGATAGCTTGACCACTGTGATTGACACATTGGTAACCTCACATTTGTACTACCATAATGCATTATATTTGGTGCATTCCTTGCAGCTGGTGAGGAATACTGCTGCCCGGGGAATGAATGGTGCTAAGGCACTGGCTGCCTATTAGCCACCAATCCACTTCTAAGGCCATATTACTCACATACGGTTCAGCCAGCCTGGATAGCTTAGTCAGTTAGAGCATGGTGCTGATAAGGCCAAGGTTGCAGGTTTGATCCCCGTATGAGACAGCAGGATATTCCTGTGTTTCAAAGGCTTGGACTAGATGATCCTCAGGGTCCCTTCCAACTCTATGATTCTATCTGTGTGCAATCCTGACCCCCACAAACTCCTCATGATATAAAACCCTAAGCAACTCTGGACCAGGTTATCTGGAAAACTAACTTCCCCTCCATTGCCCAGTAGGGCATTATGGCCAACAAGTGGAACCTAGACAGTCCTACCACAGCTTGCTGGTTATCAGCCTGTGGTGATGTGGACATGGGCTTCTCCACTGATGGCACCAGAGCTGTGGAAGGCACTCCCTGCTGAAATAGGAGAGACTCCATTTGTGCTGGCATTCCACCGACTTCTGAAGATGCACCTATTTACATAGGCATTCCCTTGATCTCTTGACCCAAGTCTCTTGTGCAGTGCAGTTTTAATAGGATTGTTTTACTGTACTGCATATTTTAAAAATGGCTGGTTATACTGTAACGTTTTAATGGGATTGTGTTACTGTGTATTTTGATTGCAGCATGTTTTTAATTATTGTGTATTTTAACAATGTTGTGTAATTGGTTTTTATGCTTTGTGAACTGCTTAGAGGTCTATTTGGGCATTACACAGTATACTAAATTCAACAACAACAACAACAGTTGTCCTGTTCTTTACAGGGAAGCTATGCTACGATTTTTTAAAGCCTTAACTGGTGTAAATCTGTGCTTTAGGCGGATGCACTGCACACCTTGGCCCTACCCTCAGCACAGTTGTTGTTGTTGTTGATACTATTATTATTTAAATTGGTATACCGCTCTGTACCCGCAAGTCTCAGGGTGGTTCGCAACAGAAAATCACAATATAAAAACCACAAAATTCATATTGAAAATAAATCAAGAACAGCCCAATAATCTCCCCTCCCCAACACATTTCAAAAGGAAATTGGATGTCGATCGGCCAAAGGCCTGGCTAAAGAGGAACGTTTCTGCCTGGCACCTAAAGGTGTATAATGAAGGCGCCAGCCAAAACCTCCCCAGGGAGAGGTTGACTGCACTAAATAGGAACAGAGGTCAGGTCTGTTAGAGTCATGGAGGGATGTACAGGTATTCCTGGTTCATTCCCAAAGGGGTCAAGGTGGAGTGTGTCTGCTGCATATACACCATACATTCAAAGCACACTCCCCTCCCAAGAAACCTGGGAAGCGTAGTTTACCTCTCGCAGAGCTACAGTTCCCAGCACCTTTAGCAAACATAAGCCCCCCCAGGTTTTGTGGGGGGTGTGTGTTGCTTTAAATGTATGGTGTGTATTCAGCCTTACCTTTGGGCAGGCAAAGGGAAATCCAGGGATAGCAGTAACCACAGGTGTGCTCAGCAGAACATTTTGCCTTGTTTTGTTTTTCCTACAAAGCCCCAAGGGAAACTGCACCATTTATGGGGTGGGGCTTCTCCCTGGAATAGACAACAGCAGCACTTTTCCACCGGGAAAGCTGGAACCCAAAATCCCAGCCCTCAGGGGCAAAAAAGATGTGCTGCTAGGAGCACCTGCAGTTGCCACCACCCCTTCAGGAAGGCAGAGGCTCCCAGGATTAGGGCTGACACTGCTTGTAGTAGTCACCTTGATCCTTTCAGGGTGAGCGGGGAGAGAAAGAGAAAGATGAAGAGGGGGCAGCATGCAGGAATGGAAGCAGGAGAAGCAGAGTCAGAAACAGAACACCGCAGCCACTTTAGATTTTCCACGATTTTTTTTTACTTCTAAAAATGCATTGTTTCATAGGATTAACTAGAAATGTAAGGAATGGATGCAATACCCAAAAATAAGGAAGTTTCAAAGTTGCTGTTTACTTTTTCAGATAACCATGTCTCTCTCTTTATTATAAAGGAACATGGGGTGCAGCCTAGCACTGAGTTGGACCACTGGTCCATGTAGCCAGGGGCGTAGCATTGGGGGTGCTGGGGGGTTGTGGCCCAGGGGACACAATTTTTGAGGGGGCACAAACCAGGCAACTCCATGCAGGTGACCCCAGCACGGCAAGGGCTGGGCTGGCACCCCCTGTCCAACACATGCACCCTTCTGCCCGGCACACACCCTGGGCACCTGCAACCAATGCTACGCCACTGCATGTAGTTCAGTATTGTTGACACTGAACAGCGGTAGCTCTCCAGGGTTTAAGGCAGGGGGCATTCTGGCCCACCGGGAGATGCCAGGGATTGAACTCAGGTATTTTCTGAAGGCAAAGAAGATGCTGAGCTACAGCCCTCCCCCCCAATGAATTAAGTAGGATGGCAACTGCAGATCTGGGCTTCACCTCTGGGCATTTTGCAGAAGGTGAGAGCAGGTTGTACATATATAGCAGGACTGTACCTTGGCAAGACTGGGGTTTCCAAGCATCTCACACAGAGATCAGTGTGCAATTCTGCCTCCCCCCCCGCCCCCCGCTGCATGCATTGGACAAACATGTGGATGCAACATGAGAAAGGAGTTCATACCCAGGAAATACCTATATACATCTATGCAGATCTCTTTGGTGTGAACAGCTTTCCTGTTCTACATTTTGTTCTTGCATTTGAATAATGCAAGGTGGAGAACATGCCACTGAATTGTCAGGTCTTAAAATATGTACAGGTATCCCCATCATTCATTTGAATATAACGACAACATTCGTGTCACCATTCTAAACACACATTAGAGACTAAAACGCAGTTTATCAGAAAATACTCGTGACTGCACTGTAAGTGTGCTTTGATTCCACCTCTTCTTCCCTGTCAACTATTTCAGTGGTTGTTGGAAAAACTTTGATATACTTGTGAAGTATATCCTACAATTAAGATGTTGCTTTGTTGGTTTACTTATAAGTCAAATAAACACACCAAGTCAGATTCAAAGCGATTTGGGGCACCGGACTCCCCCCCCCCGAAAACCCACATCATTGAGTAGAGTACATGTTTTACAGCAGGGAAAAGACTTCATGATAAGGTACCAAACCCCAAAGCATCATTTAAGTTCTGCTCAAGTATGAATAATACCTTGCCCAGCACACATTGTGGGCACATCTGACTGCACTCATATGCAATCCTGAGACAAGCTCATACTGCTTAACTCTCCACAGATGAATCTCAAAGCATCACCATCCTCCATATACGCAACCCCACAAACTAGAGTTACCCTCCACACATCAATATGGGAAATATATAGGAAGAAATCCAGTTTTCTTAAACCAGGTCTTTAACCAAGCTGATTAGGATTTCCAAATTGTATTATGGGGGTGACCATCAAGGGAGTCTCTTGAACCAGGCATAGATGAGAGGGCAGCACACAATGAAAGAAGAAGGGTCACACGCAGAACACAGCATTCCTGGACTTGGGCATAGTCCTTTGCCCTTGCTACCTCACCTCACCAAGCCTCGCCTCCGGCCAGAGTGATATTTACAGTTCTGCCTGCCAGTCCCTCCCACCTGCCTACTGGGAGACACACAGCTGATCCTCACCCCGGATCGGCCCAGTTCTCTTGGCTCAGCAAGGATCAGCTCTGAATAGATGTGACATCCATCTGTACCAGGAGGGAATGAGCTCCTGGAGAATCCAAGAGACAGTAAACAAGTTCCGAGCCACTTTTAACCCTTAGGCTCCAAGGCTCAGAGAAAAAGCCAAGCAGGTGAAGGTGGCCCTTCCAGGGTCACGATGGGAGAGAGCGTCAATTGATGCAGGTTAGGTTTAAGTTGGGGAGGCAAAGGGAGCTTTTTTGATGACCGTGATGGTATCTTGCCAAGGCAACTGTTGATATGATCAGGAACACACCTAGCAGATAAGTAGCAGGACAGGTCTGGTCTTAATAGCTATATAATTAATTCTGTCTTTGATAGTGTGGCGGCTACTGCGCACTCAAAGTCAAGGATGGGTGCTGGGGATTGCTGTTTCGAGAAGGATGGGCCTACCTGCCAGGATTCTTTTTAAAACCCATTGGCAACATATATAGACAGTACACACTCATCTTCTTATTAGGAGACAGGGTGTTTGTATCTCCTGGGGCTCTTGTGTCCAGGCTTATGGGGCTCAGCTCTTTCTGCTCAGAATGCAAATGTCAGAGATGTACTGAGTAGCAAACTGAATAGCTTATTCTGCCGTCTGCTTTGCACCTCCCCACCCTCACGCTTCAGGCAGGCTGTCCTTTATTTTTAAAATGCCATATGTAATTCAATGACTTAAATGTATGTTCATCCCCTTAATTTAAAACAATACATTTCTTTGGGGGGGGGATTGCTTCAAGGAGTGGTGGGTGAAGAGGAAAAGGTGGCTTTCTGGCATCTCCAGTTCCAGGAAAATGCATAGATGGCTTCCTGCAAGTATTTAGAACCAATCTCTCTCTCTCTCTCTCTCTCTACCTCCAGCTTGATATGGAAGAAAAGATGGCACATTTGAAGAAAATATGTTGAGTGCACTTTCGCAGCATAATTGCCACCACTCCAATTATGTACAGTTATATGAGCCCATAATCTCTTTTGTAGTTGCTGGATTTCTCATTAGAAGCTCCTGCTGTTTCGTTTTCCACTTCAAGCAAAGAAGCCATTTGGGATGTGCTAAGCAACTGTCCAACTCTATTGAGTCACCTACCCAGGTGATGAACATCAGGGCTGTTTTGAGCTGTACTCGTGGTTGCTTATGAGAAAGATGCCAGCACGCCTTGAGGCCATCCTTTTCATCCAGGAAATGAGTCTTAGCATATTTGTTGATTCTGGCAAGAGCTTTGATGGGCTCAGCCCATGACAACATCAGATGCACAAAGCAACTACCTTTGTAGGTAGATGGTAGAATTCCCAAGCTGACCCCGAAATGGCCTGGAAGGAACGCAGCTGGTGCCACGGTCCCTATCACTCCAGGCTATACACCACAGCGTGGGTGCTGCTCATATCCTCAGCTTGCTCTGGACACAGGACCAGTGCTCTTGCACCATATCCTACTCCTACAGCAGATCCTTCTGACAGAGCTGAAAGTTGGGGGTGTCAACTTGGAACAAAATATTGGCCCAGGTAAGCCCTTCCTGCATAATTGATCACATGTTGAAGTGCACACACATCATTTTGAATGGCAATACCCATTGACTTTGGGGCAGGGGTTGATCCCCTCAAATATTTTATGGGGGGGAGGGGCTGAAAGCACCTTGGCCCCTAGGATCTGCCTCCTCTGCTGAAGGAGCTCTGGGGGGGTCCCCAGAGCCCCTTCCCACGGCATTCCCCCTGATTTGCTGGCAGCTCTCGAGGTGTCTCCCGTGCATAGATCTCAATCTTTCTGTACTCTGCTATTGCACAGATGGATGCAGACGTGGCCCCCCTCACCCTGCTCTCCTCCACAGAGCACGGTCTAAGCAGCTGGGTGCAAACTTCCCCAATCCTCTACCCCACCCCACCTCAATAAACTCGGGAGCAGCCCCTCCCGCGCAGTCCAGGCATGATTTAACCATAGCAACCCCTCCCCCTTGCAGGTGGATGCAGGCAGAGCATCTTCCAGCTGCCACAAAGGCTGCGTGGAGAACGGGCAGCTGCTCTTTCTGCACCCATCAACCCTTGCAAGGGTGCCAACTTGAATAAAATATTGGGGTGGGGGGGGAGAAAGCCCCACCCCGCACAATCAATCACAAGACATAGGGAGCACATACCATCAAACGGGGGGGGGGGTAGCTGGACCGCACAAATATTTTATCGGGGAGGGTTGGCTCCTATGCACTCTGGGGATTCCCTCTTCATGGAGCTTCGCAAGACTCAAGGACCTCACCAGTACTGGGAGAAAGAGAGAGAGAAAGGGAGGGAGGGAGGGAGAGAGAGAGAGAGAGCCCCCCCCCCGGCGCTGCTTGCCCGTCTGCAGCTCCCTCCCTCCCTCCATCTGTCCGTCTCTTCCTCGGCAAGCTAATTCCCTGCTATTCTGGAAACGCAAAGCCTCGCCTGCCTGCCTGCTTGCCCGCCTCTCCCCGGTGCGGATCTCCGGGCGCAGCGCTCGGTGGCCGGGCTGCAAGAGACAATGACGGGCGTCGCGCTCCGGGCAGCCCGGGGGAGCAGCGCAGCGCAGCCCAGCTCGGGCGCCTTTGTCTCTCCCTTTCCCCGGGCTCCACTCACCTCTGGCAGGCTGGTGCTGCAGGCTCGCTCGCTCGCCTCCTCCTCCTCCTGAGCCCGGGCGAGGGGCCGGCCAGCCCCGCCAGGAGGCGTTTTGTATGAGGCTGGTGGAGGGGAAGGTGCCGCAGCCGCTCCGCCCCGCTCAGCGCGCGCGGAGCCACCAGCAGGTAGCGGCCAGCAGCGCCACGCTTGGGCCGCGGAGACCCCGCCCTCCCCGGATGCGCCACGCCCACTCGGACACCCCCCCCACACTAGCAAGGAGCCAATCAGTGGCCGAGGTGGCAGTCTGGGCCCTCCTCTCCTCCCCCCAGCTGCTAGAGCCCCGCGGTGCACGGGTAGCAAGCCAAGGTCAGCAGCGATGCCCAACAGTAGAGGGCAGCTCTTCTCCCTGCCTTTGCCTCTGACCCACCCCTTAGCCTCATGCTCTACCAACTGAGCTAGCCGGCAATGTCTCAGAAACTTCTTCAAGGGACGTAAGAAGGGCTCCCCAAGGCTCATCTAGACCAACCCTCTGCAATGCAGGGAATCGCCTCTCCTATAACTTGAAGTCATTGGTTCAGGCCCTACCCTCCAGAGCAGGAGAAAACAAACTTGCTCCATCTTCAATCCGACAGCCCTTGAGATATTTGAAGATGACCACCGTACCTCCTTTCAGTCTCCTCTTTTCCAGGATAAACATACCCAAGGTACTGTATACCTAGCCTAAGAAGCTGCCAATTGCTCCAGGACATGTTGTTGTTGTTTAGTCATTTAGTTGTGTCCGACTCTTCGTGACCCTATGGACCAGAGCACGCCAGGCACGCCAGTCTTCCACTGCCTCCCACAGTTTGGTCAAACTCATGCTGGTAGCTTCGAGAACACTGTCCAACCATCTCGTCCTCTGTCGTCCCCTTCTCCTTGTGCCCTCCATCTTTCCCAGCATCAGGGTCTTTTCCAGGGAGTCTTCTCTTCTCATGAGGTGGCCAAAGTATTGGAGCCTCAGCTTCACGATCTGTCCTTCCAGTGAGCACTCAGGGCTGATTTCCTTCAGAATGGATAGGTTTGATCTTCTTGCAGTCCATGGGACTCTCAAGAGTCTCCTCCAGCACCATAATTCAAAAGCATCAATTCTTCGGCGATCAGCCTTCTTTATGGTCCAGCTCTCACTTCCAGGACATAGCTGATAACATGTTCTCTCTCAGCTATAGGATCACTGTCCATGGTTCTGAAACTTAGTTGAAGATTTCTCTCCAAGGTGTTGATCCTGCTTTGCTTCACCTTCCTGTCTCCTTGAAACATTGTGGTTGTCACCCCATGGGTCAGGACAGCCCAAAACAGAGAGGAAGTGGAGCAAAACAACAAGGAAGGCTTGCATTGGAGAGCCCAGCAGCCCAAGCTAGGGTGGGTCACAATCATACCATGGAAACAGCATATGACAGAAATATCACAGGTGCATGGGAAGGAATGGATGGGGAAAGCTCCAAGCCACTGTCCTGTAAATGCATGCTCCTCCCACTGGAGAACAGTTCAGAAAGCACAATACAATGTAAAACAATCACCAAATACCCTGCTCCACAGCAGGGTCAATGAAGCACTTGCTGTCACATGCCCGATAAAATGCTTCTGCATAGGTTACCAATGACAGAAATCTCCAATTAACCCCATCACAGGCTTATAACAGGTCACTTGGGGGCAGACTGGGCAAATAGCACCCGTCAATAAAGCCAGCCATACCACCAGCTCCTGAGCCCACCCAAATGCTGAAATAACTTGACTTTCCTTCCATGACTGAGGCAAACCACACAGTCTTGCTGCTAATAAATTCCAACGTAACCATCATTGTTCATCTTTCAAAGTTATTTTCAGATGGCAGGATGTTGTGTTCTGAAATTGTTCTGTTGTTGTTGTTGTTTAGTCGTTTAGTCGTGTCCGACTCTTCGTGACCCCATGAACCAGAGCACTCCAGGCACTCCTGTCTTCCACTGCCTCCCGCAGTTTGGTCAGACTCATGTTTGTAGCTTCGAGAACACTGTCCAACCATCTCGTCCTCTGTCGTCCCGTTCTTTTTGTGCCCTCCATCTTTCCCAACATCAGGGTCTTTTCCAGGGAGTCTTCTCTTCTCATGAGGTGGCCAAAGTATTAGAGCCTCAGCTTCACGATCTGTCCTTCCAGTGAGCACTCAGGGCTGATTTCCTTAAGAATGGATAGGTTTGATCTTCTTGCAGTCCATGGGACTCTCAAGAGTCTCCTCCAGCACCATAATTCAAAAGCATCAATTCTTTGGCGATCAGCCTTCTTTATGGTCCAGCTCTCACTTCCATACATCACTACTGGGAAATTGTTCTAGTCTCATCCAAAACAAGATAAGTCTTTTTCCAAACCTCTGCATAAATTTGTAAGAACATTATGCATATGTAAAAGACTCTGTCCACCACCTCCCACTTGCCATCATAACACATTACCTCTTTTGCAAATGTATTTTATTTTCACAGTGGGACATTGAGGATGGATGATGGAGGGGAATATTGTTAACCTTTCCCCATATTATTCCCCCAAAGCTGCTATTTACCCTTCAGGGGAGATATGCAGATACAGTATCATATACACATCATATAGTTGTGACCATAATCTTGTAAATCATTTCCTTAATTAAATAAAAGCATCCTTTTGGCATATTTCTTCCCTATCCTTTTTGTTCAACATTGCATTCAGATTCCTCCACCCCTCTTTCATAGATACACTGTATTTTCTTACCTCTCACCTGGGATTAAAAAATAAATAAACCCCCCAGAAATCAAACTTTTAGATGTAATATTCTGTGCCCGTATGATCTTTCTCCATTTCTGCAAAGCTATGGGAAAGGTAATGAAATGATGCATCCAAAATTTAAATGATAAATTTTAGCTGATTTTAAGCCCCCCAATATTAAAACATTTGTCTCAATCTGTCCTCTTAGTACTTCTGCTTCCAAAGACAAGGCAGCTGACAACAGAAGAGAGGGTCTTTTTGTGGTGGCACCCTGCCACAGATATCCGACTGGCATCTTCATTGTTAAATTTTAGGTACCAGTTCTTAAAACTTCTTATTTGCTGAAACTTCAATCAGTATTTTTCTTGCTTTTATCAGCTGATGAATTTCATTAACAGATACTGCTTTTTTAAAAATGCTGCTATTGCACTTCATTGGGTTGCTGTTTAAATCATTTTTTAAAAAAAATAAGTATGCTGATTTGGAAACTAACTGCATTTAAAAGCATCATATAAATCTTTGAGATAAGTTATTTTGAGGCTGGCCAAACCTAGAGCAAATGCAGGAGGGAATAATAGCTTCTATTTTTATTGAAGACTTATGTGGAGTTGTTATGGTAACTGCACATAAGGCAGCAGAGAGTACAGTGCCCATCTTCCTTATTTCACTCCTTTCAGCTAAATAAGCATTGTGGATTTATGCATGTGATGGAGACTATAATGCAGCTGCGCTGTTAGTACACAGTCCCATATTTGGCAAGAAAACGATAAAACCGACAGATTCAACTCATCAGAGCTGACTTTCTTTTTGCTCCCCCCTTTATATCATGTAGACTCCACATCTATTCATTCTTGTAGCAATTGGAACTTCCCACCTGAGGCTTCACGATGTATTAATTGTGTCCTACTGGACAATGTATCCTCTTTTTCATCACAATAATGCATATCTAAGGCTTTATAGGGGAGTCGGAGCAGGAATTTCCTTCATCAAAAAGGACCTCTCTGCTTTGAAAGTTCCACATCCTCAGAAATTGGTTTCCCTGTGACCGGTGATCTTAGTCTTGTCTGCAGCATGTAGAAATTCTCAGCATCTGTGTCAATATCTGCAGTGGAGCTTCTGTTTAGCATTCATGGTAGCCATTCTGGGTGGTGGTGTATGTGTGGCTTCTACTTACATACCCAAGTAAAAACCCCCAGTTCTGGGACTTTGGCTGGAAAAGCTACTGTGGTGCTGAAGGGACAGCTCCAGAACACATGGGCAAAGACAGCAGCCATCAATGGCCACTGCCCTACAAGGGCATTTCCAGGCAGTCGAGAATATGCAGCAGTTTCCAAGGTACTGTGGTCAAATCAGATGCTGTTTTCTGGGGAAATGTTTCTGTTGCAGGGATATGGTATTTTTTTCAGCACTTAAAATGGGATGCTGTGTAGCTCAGAAAATACAATTTCTCTCTACTCCCGCCCAACCTCCCTTGCTATTGTCAGTGCCATATGGAACGTGGTTGCATGGCTGTCACAGGCACATATTAGAATTTATTAGATAGTTCCTCTCATTCTGCTACAGAATATTATTTTGCATACCCAATAATCTGAAATTACTGTAAAAGCCCTGGGATCCATTATATATGGCTTCATCAAGGAGCTAAAAGTTCTGTTATCTTCGGCATCAAGAATTTTGTAGCGTCACCACTGAATTTATAATATCATTTTCAAGGCTTTATATGGTACCAGCTCCTGATGCTGATTCGCAAGACTTTGCTTTCTGTCCTTTCTGGACCAGAACATTTGTCTTGGGTTGAAGATAGCCTGCCCATGGAGGCACTGGCGTACGATCCTGCCTGACATGAAATGTGAGCAATCACTCTTATTTTGTCAGAAATCATTAGGGCTAGGATCTGGAATCCTCAGCTGTCTGCAGCTGCCTCTTCTGGGTGAACCGCAGAACTGCTGCTTGGAGCATTTCCCAGACTGGCTTCACCCACCCAGACAGTCCACTGGTCTCTCCTAGATAGAAAGAGCTATAAAAGGTTTCTTCTTTGGACTGAGGTTTGGTTAAGGAGCCGTGGTCCTCTTTACGGTTTTGTGTTCCAGTGAATTCTCTTTGTTCTGACTCTCAGCTTGATCCTGCAGTTCTGTACACAGCACAACTCCTGGCTCTCCTCTTACAAGTGTACACTTCAGGTTTGCATAAAGGTTTCATGGAGTGCTGTTGACTCTAATACAATTTGTGGTGATGTTAAAGGAAGTGAGTGATTTGTCTATTACAATGTCATTTTTTTCAGCCCCTGAAATGTCACAAGGCACTTAATGAATCTGAAACCTTGTCTCTGTTCATGGGAAGATCTTTGCAAAATGCGTTATTGACTTGCCCTCTTCAGAAGAATCAGTCAAGTCCTCATATCTGATTATCAGCTTTAATGCTGAACTATCAGTGCAAGAGACAAGCTCGCTGCTGTGTACAACCAGGGGGATGTTTGCAAATGTTACAGTTGATGAACAGTTAGTGCCATTCAAAGGAAAATGTCAGGGAGGCAATATGCTGTCCAAACCTCCAAGATACAGTATAACATCCTGGTTTGTATTGCAATTCCCCAAAAATAATATGTTTATAATGCATTTGATGGCTGAAAGGCACTGTTCCTGGCAACTCTGGGTTTTCAGAATGTTTAAACTGTTTTCAGATTTTTATTTTTTTAATAAAATGTTTCATTATTGAAAGGTCTGCCACCCTGGGCTGCTTTGGGAGGAAGGGCAAGATAGAAACTGAAATCATACTAATGTATAGAGAAAGTACACCAACTGCTCAAAACACTGGCCAGATAGTGGCTGAGAAACTAACAACACATTTAGAGCATTCTGAATGGGATACAACAACTGAAAACTTTTTTTTATAACCAGTGTGCCATTGGTTAGGGGATAAGCTAATATAAATCTAACTCTAGTTGGCCCTTTGAGAGAATTTCTGGTTTGATTGTTGATATTTTCAGAAATGCCAACAGCAGCAATTCTAGTTTTCAGGAAGATTTGACATTTGTAAGTTATGTGCCAGGGAAAGAAAGGACAGCGGTTATCCTTTTCTCAACGCAACAATTTCAGACCAGAATTTCCAAGCCTGAGATAGTTCTTTTATTATATTAAAACCAAGTAGGGTGTGGACACAGGTGACCAGATGCCAAACACACTTCCTCTTCTTAAAATATGCGGACGGGGAGTGGGTTACTGCCGGCTTCTTAATCTTAGTGCTGTGGTCTTTAATGGTCTTTAAGAATTAAGACTCTAATTATTAGGCTGTAGTGGAATCATAGAATTGTAGAGTTGGAAACGGACCACAAGGCTCATCTAATCCAACTCCCTGCAATGCAGGAACCTTTTGCCCAATGAGGGGCTTGAACTTACCACCCGGAGATTATGGTAAGTGTCTCATGCTCTACCAACTGAGCTAGCCGGTCACAGTAAGGTGAATTATTTGGGTCCCAAATATCTGAGACTGCATCCTTCCCTACAGGCCCTCTCAGGCATTAAGATAAGCAGAGAGGACCCATTTGGTAGTTCTGCCACCCTCAGTAGTTCAGGGGGTGATAGCCCAGGAGAGAGCATTCTCTGCGGCAGCCCCTAAATTGTGGAATTCCTTCCCCACAGAGGTGTGTGCCCAGCATCTTCACAACACAGCTTTCCATGAATGCTGAAGGTACACCTGGCCTTTGACATCTGAGAGATGTGTTTTCAGGAACCCCCCCCCCATTCTTGTGACTGCAATAGTTCTGAACTGTTTTTAATTCTGAATATTAAATTGTTGCTGCTGGTGAAGAGCAGACAATTGATTAATTGCCTTAAAAGAGCCTGGGTGCCAAAGGGGTCAACCTAAAAATTTTGTGGTGCAAATATGTTTTCATTGTTTCTGTGTCTTCTTTATGTGCAGATGGCAAAACCATATCTTGCCACTCTGTAACCTTTGGGCAATTGAAATACAGTCGTACCTTGGATCTCGAACGCCTTGCGAGTCAAACATTTTGGCTCCCAAATGAGTGTTCCGGTTTGTGAACGTTCTTTGGAACTTGAACGTCTGATGTGACTTCTGTGGTTTCCAATTGGCTGCAGGAGCTTCCTGCAGCCAATTGGAAGCCGCGCCTTGGTTTCTGAACATTTTGGAAGTTGAACGGACTTCCGGAATGGATTCCGTTCAACTTCCGAGGTACCACTGTATTTGGCTCCAAGGTTTCATCAACTGAGAAAACTGAAAATGCTCATGTAGTAAAGCATGCATGGAATATGTAATGCAGTCAAACACACACGGAATAGGTAACAGCTGCACTACAATCTTTCCGGCACCAGGTTACAAATTTTGGGTGTGGCCTCTTCTGCTTCAAGTATTATTATTATTATTATTAAATTGTTTTTCTTTGAAAGGGACTATGTTGTTTTCTCATACATTGGTACCTCGGGTTACATACGCTTCAGGTTACATACGCTTCAGGTTACAGACTCCGCTAACCCAGAAATATTATCTCGGGTTAAGAACTTTGCTTCAGGATGAGAACACAAATCGTGCAGCGGCGGCGGCGCAGCAGCAGAAGGCCCCATTAGCTAAAGTGGTGTTTCAGGTTAAGAACAGACCGCCAGAACGAAGTAAGTTCTTAACCCAAGGTACCACTGTATTGCGATTTTATGATTGGACACACTGTACTGGAATGCCCTGGAGGAGTTTAGAATCTTTTTAAAAGTAATTAAAAATGAACGGAATTAAATAGAAAGATATAAAACACTAATATTTAGAGGAAAAATATATTGCAGGGGGGTGGGATTTGATGACCCTTGGGGTCCCTTCCAACTCAACAATTCTATGATTCTATGAATGTAAATTGTTGAGCAAGGTTGCTAAGTAACAGTAATGGTGACATGTCTTCCATTGTGACACCTCCCCCTGCTGGAACACTTGTCAGATGTCTTTGGAAAAAGCAGGTATTTGAGCAGACTTAAGAGAGAGTAGTTAGGAAGTTACAGCCCATCCACACTTCTGTTTATCCCGTGATTTCAAGTGGTTTCATGGGTCCAAGAGGCTGTTTTTGGTCCCATCAGCCCCCCCCCATGGATGTTTGTTCCAATTCAGCAGGAAACAGCGGGTTTTCCAGGATAAAGTGATGGGACAAAACCCCCCCATCTCAGATCTGTGACTTGAAATCAGGAGACAAACAGGAGTGTGGAGGGAGTTATTGGGTTAGTTACGTTAGATAGTGTTTTTATTAGCTAGAGCTTTGTGGCATTAGAGGGGGAATTATACAGGAAAAAATCACATCTCTTAAAATGTAAGCTGAATTTCTCCGTGGTTTCTGTATTCTGATTCTGTCACTACCCATGAAAATTCAGAATCCTAGGGGAACGTCCCTCCCCAATCATGGCTGAATTATTCTCAAAACATCGTTTTCAGGACCAGCTTACATGCTTCAAGTGAAACGGCTTGCTTTCTCCTTCATGGGCATAGTCAGAAGAAAACCATATCCAAGTTTGGGAGGGTCTTTTGACAAGCTATTCTCAGTGGACCCAACCCCATGTTGAACTCTTCACAAGTGTGACAGCAAATTCATGTTAAGTCTGGACGTGTCAGGTGTCCCAAGTTTAGTGCGGTGATATAGAGAATTAAGACACCAAACCCCCAGTTCCTTACCACCTCCTCACTCTGTCTTAGAGCAATCTAAGTATTTGTTTTCGGAGTATTTGTTTCGGGAAGAAAGAAAGCTCTGCAGAGATGGAGGAGGATTTTGGGCATCGCTGCTGAAAGCATAAAGTCTATCCCTTGGCCTGTAAGGATGAGTCCACGTCATTTTTGAGTGGCCTACTGCCCCAGGGATGGACAGGACTGGCTCAGATCCTTCAGGTGAGAACATTACCTGCGCTGATGGAGAATTGTTGTGATGCCAGTGAGAAACTGGCTAATTGGGTAGGGAGGAGGCATGTCTCTGATTCAAGAAAACTTCAGCGGACTGCAATAGCATCCCGTTTGAAGAAGATAGATAAACATTTATTTTTACCTATTTTTCATGAGCAAGGCTGCTTGATTCATCCATTTATTTGCCCCCAAAGGGGTCAGAGAACAAGCAAAGGGCATCAAGCATCTTCAAACCAGGGAAAAGGTATGAACAACAACAACAACTTTCCTCACTGCTTTTGAGTTGAAATCTTGGCACTTATAGGGTCAGGGTGGTGCAGAAGTTACAGCAAGGGTCACCAAGTGGCCAGAGGAGAAATGACTGCTGGTAGGAGCACAGAGAGAAGAAAAGCCATGGCACACCTGTAACAGCAAAACGGGATGCCTTCCTCTGCCCCAGCTGCAATAAAACATGTCTCTCCTGTATTGGTCTCTACAGCCACAGCAGGCGCTGTAACTCTCCAACAATTTGTCTTTACCCCCGATGGTGCACTCTTTCATTGTCTCTTGAGACAGATGGATGTCACTATCTCCCCCACCATTGGCATGCGGCCCCTGGAAAAGTGGCCACTCAGTTCCCCCCACCCTGCTTTAATACCACAGTCTAGTGTCCCTGGACAGCAGTATGTCCAACCAGTAACAAAAGGGAGCGGCAAAAGGGAGAGTTCACGCTCTTTCTAACCCAACTCCTTTTTTGTGTGTGAAATATATTGCTCCCCTTTTAAATGCCCACTTTAAAGTCTGACTATTTAAATGCCTCACTCACTGGATCATCACCTCGTCGTGGTGAGTGGGCTTGCACGTTCCTATGATCCTTGTGAGTGAAGCTGATGGGAGTCTCGTACTCTCAGCAGGGTCACCCAAGGCAGTAAGCTCAAAGGGGAGGAGCTAGACAAAGAATGATCCAAGAAGTCTTCAATGGCAGAACAGGCGAAAGATAATAAGTGGCATGTTATAATGGCTGTGAAGGCGGATGAAGGCTGCAGCAGATAGGAATCTACGGGTTGTTGTGATACTCTTGCCATCGGAATAGAGCCTTAATGTGAAGACTGTGCATTGGTCAGCGTGCACTGATCTACACACACAAAACAAATTCATGCACAGACGTCTTCCAAAAATTCATCCTGAACCCAAAAAAATCCCATGACGATTGGCAAATGGTAACGGGGGAAGCATGAAATCTGAAAGCCCCTAGTCATGAACTAGCACATGGGCGGTGGATACAGATTCAGTCATTCTGACTCAAGGAATGCGGCAGTTGAGTATCTTGGCAGTTGTATCCATGACTGAGCAGTCCTATTTAGGATCTACTCTGGTCACCCTGAAAAGGGGGAGAGGCTAGAAAAGGTGCCTTTATATATAAAAATCTACCTTCCATTTTCCCTGACTGTGCCCAGTGGGGTCACTACTCAGTGGTCATAAAAGACAATTGAGCTTTGGAACATGGAATATACGGACTTTGTTGGATAACATAGATAATGAGCATCCCGAACACAGGACTGCCATCATTGCAAGCGAGTTGTGACGTTTTAACATCAATATTGCAGCGCTTCAAGAAACTCAAAGAGCAGGAGAGGGACAACTGAAGGAAGAAATAGGAGGCTACACTTTCTTCTGGAAAGGTCTACCTGAACAAGAACGTCAAATACACGGAGCAGGCTTTGCTATCAAAAACAATCTTGTGAGAAGTCCCTACTGGAATTAATGAGCGACTTTCTTTTTTTTTTTTATAAGATATTTATTGAAATTTTCAAAGTGTTACAAAATAAAAGCAGAAGAAAATACAAAATAAAAATAGTTAACAAAGTAGAAAAAGAAAAAAAACAAACCCCTTCCAACCATACAAATACAAATTCAAAAATAAGAAAAAGAGACAGAAAAAAATACAAAAATACACCACAAACAATTAAGAACATTTAAAAACAAATTCATTATTCTCGAATCCTCAACTGTCATTACCTTCTTTCTTTGACCTCCTCCTCCTCCCTTTCTTTGTATCCTAGTTATTAATTATCCCAGCAAATCCTTTCCATATTTCATAATATTCTGTCATTACATTACCCTAAACTGTTTTAATCTTATCTTTCTATAAGAAAATAAACCTTAAAGCTTAAAACTTAAATCTTATCCTTACCAACTTCTCATAACCATAATATTCTTTCATAATTCTTTAAACATCTTTACTAAAGCCGAGTAATTTCATTCCAACATTTTTCTGACATTCATCAATTTTATAAAACAGTTCTAATAGTAGAAAAAGAAATACAAACAGATCCAATCTTCATCCAACGTCCCTTCCTCCTGGTTCCGGGTTTTGTCAGTCCTTATTATCCCATCGATCTGGCCCATTAACCTGGCAACCTTATATCCGAGGCCCTCAAGTCTCTTCCATGTCCCTTTCGCAGCTCTTCTTCATATTTGTAACTGTATTTTCCCTTGTCTCCTGCTCGTGGTAACTCCAGCTTGGCAACATTTTTAACCCTTCTTGACAGATCAGCCCCTTTTCCATATTCAGCACAGAATTCCATATGGTATTTAAAAGCATGTTTCAAAGACCCTCCAAAATTAAGAGCCCCCACAATCCCAAACATCTCACAGCCCATTGCCAGATTTGAAAAGTCCAAACATCCCAGCATAGGGGGGTCAATCCAGCCCCCCATTTCCAAGCCAAACCAAACTTTTTCTTTCCAAATCTGGCTTTTTCCAAGTTCATTTGTTAAATGTCACTCATATTCCTGTTGGGCCTGTTCTGTCAGGACACACTCCTGATTTAATTCCTGTGTGGGCTCCACATATTTTCCCACTGTCTGTTCAAAATTTCCCACTGCCTGTTCAAAATTTCTAGTCGAAGTCGCCATCAAATTCATCTTCTCATGTAACTGTTCCAGTAGGGCATTTGTTTTATAGAAAGCACACAACAAAGCTTCTGAATACATTGTCCTGCAAGGTCAAATGCCTGTTCCCACGATTGTAATCTGTAACAGCTGCCGGCTCCCTGGAGTTGGTTACAGTTTCACAGTCTCCCTCTAGGGGGAAAACTTCTATTTGTTCTTGCAACAAAGTTTCCCTTTTTGAGATACTTTGTCAATATTTGTTCCTTTAAAATGCGAAGAGAAACAGTGGAATCACTATGTTTCTCTTCTTTTAGCTATCTGTCAAAAACATTTGTCTCTGGTCAATGAACTTCAAACGTCAGTCCTGACACCCCGCTCCAGGATCAGGATGGAGGAAAGTTGCTTTACTTTAAACTCACTTTAAACAGTCCGAAAAAGATCCCCCTTCTCCTCCTGCTGTCGAAGGGGGGTTCCACAATTTTAAATGATGCAATCCCATCCTTTAAAAGCGATTTTCTGAGCTCTAGTTTACGTTGTCTTTGCTTTATTCTGTCTACAAAAGAACGGAAGGCTGACTTCCTGTTTAGACCTTCCCGTTCCGTACCAAATTAAGATAAATTTTTAAGATCCAATTCCTTTCTGCTCGCAAGTCCTTATTTAATGTCCAGTTGTTCAAAGTCTAAGTACTCACGGGTGCTTATTTTAGAGTCCAAATTTTCCCAGGAAAAAGGCAGCGCTCTCCGGCAACGGCTATGCGGCTTCGCTCCACGGAAATAGCAGTTGACTCACAGCACCGCGCCACTTCCCCCTCTTCACTTCGGAGCCCGTTAGTGGGTTCCTTAGCGAGTTGGGGGGGGCGCTAAAGGTGCCCGCCGAGTCCCATGGTCACAGGCTTCATCCGCCTGTGATTTTTAAAAGGGTCCCCGCTTCGCCGTAGCGGAGAAGACCCGTTTCCCGCGGAGCTAGTCCCTCCAGTTCAGAGGGAGACCGCCATTGCCGATGGCGCCACCCCGGAAGTCTCTTAATGAGCGACTTTCAACCCTTCAAGTAAAACTCGCCAAAACCCAACAGGCTACTATTCTAAGTGCTTATGCACCAACACTGGATGCCAATGGAGACATTAAAGAAAACAATTTACTCTCAGCTGGATACCATCCCATCAGAGGAGGATATCCTCCTGGGTGATTTTAATGCAAGAGTTGGGCAAGATTTCGATCTGTGGCCTGTGACTATTGGTAAAGAAGGAAATGGCAACATTTGGAATCTTACTTTAGACTATATGTGCAGCGCACAACCTTGTTGTTACAAACCCACTCTTTCAACAAAATAAATAAATTTATAAAGCCCAAGCTATCTGGAAGACTGTATTCCCTCATACGAACCTTCCTGGGTTTTGAGATCTTCAGGCCCTTCTCTTGGTCTCACCACCCTCACTGGCATGCTTGGTAGGGATGCGGGAAAGGGGCTTCTCATTGGTGGCTGCTCCCAGAACTAACTCCCTGGAGAAGCCAGACTGGCTCCTTCCTTGCTGTCTGTCCTTCTGCCAGCAGTTGAAGACCTTCCTATTACAACCGGCCTTTGGCAACTGACTGCTTTTCATAGGCGAAGCCAGGAGGGCAACTGTCTCCACCTAAATCAAGTAAATAAATAAAAATAATTAACTAAAAGTAGAAATTGTAGAAAGATTTTGACAGATTTTTCTGAGCAGTTGGGGTCAAACGAAAGTAATTTAAAACAACTGTTGTTGAGATATGTCATTCCAAATCTGCTAGACAGAGCCGGACAGAGGATGACAGGTGGGTGTCCTGCGCCCCCCCATAAATCCTGCCTATGCCTATGGTGCTTTTAATAAAAAGGTTGGTGCCGTGCTGTTTTTATTATAATAATTTGTATGTTTTCAATAGATCAGACACACACACATACAGAGCAGACCCTACAAGTGTCCATATTTTCCAAGGACAGTCCCGGATTTACAGAAGCCATCCTGGTTTCTAATTAGATCCCGGAATGTCCCGCTTTTCATCAGAGAAATGTTGGAGGGTATGGAGTGACATGACCCCTGAGCCAGGGAGATAAGTAACTATACAACCTTTAGAAAACACCTGAAGGCAGCCCTGTATAGGGAAGTTGTTTAATGCTTTATTGTGTTTTTATATATGTTGGAAGCCTTCCAGAGTAGCTGGGGCAACCCAGTCATGTGGGTGGGGTATAAATAATGTTGATGATGATGATGAATAGGGCGTCCATAGCTTCACTGGAGAAATGTTGGAGGGTATGACACAGGAGCAATAATTTAAAAGCAAATACATATGTTGAATTGCTTTTTAATGATTGTTTCCTTCCCCGTCCATGTTTTTAGCTTCCCTTATTTTATCTGTAAGCCGCCTTAAATCCCTGTAAGGGGAAAAAGCATAAATAAGTAACAACAACAACAACATTTCATATTAAGAAGAACTGGATGGGTTACTCCTCCCCCTCTCACGTTTTTGGCTTCTCTTATTTTATATCAGCTGCCTCGAGTCTCTGTGAAGGGGGAGATGCAGGGTATAAATAAATACGTAATAATAATAAATTTCACATTAAGACAACTGACTGGGTTTACTCCCCACCCCATATGTTTTTAGCTGCCTTTATATTATCTGTCAGCTGCCTTGAGTCTCTGTGAAGAAATGGGAAAGGCAGGGTACAAATATTGTAAATAATAGTAATAACAATGATAATGACAACTCGCATTAAGACAACTGGATGGGTTTGCTCCACCCCTCCCTATGTCTCCAGCCGCCTTTATTTCATCCTTGAGTCCCTGTGAGTAATTAAATGCAGAATACTGGCGGTAATAAAATCTCTCTCTCTCTCTCAGCAGGACAACCTGGGCGGGTTTACTCTACCCTTCATAGCTCTATGCGCGCGGTCCTTCCCTCCCGCCGGGTAAGGAAGCGGTGGAGGCCGCAAAAAAGAAGCGACGCTTTCGACGCCCGTGACGTCATTTATGCGACAGCGGCTGCGGCTGTCTGTCTGACGGTGCACCTGCCGGCAGCTCAGAAGGATGGAGCCTCCGGGCGGAGCGCGGCACTCGGGGCCGGCGGGCGCCAGGTGCGGAGAGGCGGGGGATGGGCAGCTGGAGAGTGAGGGGGGGGGTCTGGGGAGGAAAATAAACCCCTCCTCACCGAGTCATATAATAGACCTGCCTCGGTAGGGGTGGAGAGAGCCGGTGGCGCGTCTGTCTGGTAACCGGAAGGTGGGCGGTTCGAGCCCAGGCAGGGCAGGATTTTCTGCATTTTGGGGGGGGGGTTGGGCTAGATGACCCCCCCGGGAACTCCCCCCACCCCTACTCCTCAGGTTGTACAATGCTAAGTGGAGATTTGATGGGCATCCGTCATGGGTGCCGTAGTGGAGATCCCTGCATCGCGGGGGGTTGGACTAGATGACACCCCGGTAAAAGGTAAAGGTAAAGGGACCTCTGACCATTAGGTCCAGTCATGGCCAACTCTGGGGTTGCGGTGCTCATCTCGCTTTATTGGCCAAGGGAGCCGGTGCACAGCTTCCGGGTCATGTGGCCAGCATGACTAAGCCGCTTCTGGTGAACCAGAGCAGCGCATGGAAACACCGTTTACCTTCCCTCCGGAGTGGTACCTATTTATCTACTTGCACTTCTTGGCGTGACTAAGCCTCACCATTTACCTTCCTGCCAGATTTACCTACCTATTTATCTATTTGCACTTTGACGTGCTTTCGAACTGCTAGGTTGGCAGGAGTAGGGACCGAGCAACGGGAGCTCACCCTGTCGCAGGGATTCGAACCGCCAACCTTCTGATCGGCAAGTCCTAGGCTCTGTGGTTTAACCCACAGCGCCACCCGGGTCCCTGATGACACCCCGGAGCCCCTTCCAACTCCACAGTTCTATGAATCCCAACCTGGCCAACCCACCAGGGTGGTTGTGCCGGATTTATGTATAAGCTAAACAAGCTGTAGCTTAGGGCCCCACTCTCTTGGGGCCCCCAAAAAAATTTAAAGGAAAGAAACCCCCACTGGATGTACATTTCTAAGATATAAGATAAAAAAAAGAAATTAAATAAAACCTACATACAGCAACAGTGTTTTGTGTTGTGTAGGCTCCTGTGATGTAAGTCATGGGCCCCGCCTGCTAGCCTGCTCCCTAAAATATCACTGGTTTGCTCATTTCTATATATAGGGTGCCTGCATTCTGCATGTGCAAATGGCATTAGATACCTATTAGGTCCATAAATTACTATATAGCATATATTCAACACAAAAAACAGCGACAATTGGTTGTTCAACATATAAAGGGCCCCATTACCTTCAGTAGCTTAGGGCCTCATCAAATCTAAATCCGACCCTGGGGTGAAGGTAAAACTTTGGGTTAAATGATGTTGCCTGAGCTAGGAGACCTGTGCAGGGGAACCTGCCCACACTGTCCTAAATCCGGCGCTGCCCTGTAGGTGGGTGAGATCCTGTCAGGGAAGAAGGGGACATAAATTCATCTATTTATTTATTTACATATATTTATCTATCTCAAAGTTCACACGCTGCTTGGTTGTTAAAGCAGTTCTCTTAAGAGTACTTTCATGTGGGCTGCCCTGCCACACTCCTTTTTAAGCAGCTGCTTTCTTGACTTCCTTTTTTTTATTATTCCAGAAAGCAGTTATTGGACCTGCCCTGGGAAGACATCCTCTTCCCCCACATTCTCTCGTATCTCCCTCTGAGGCAACTCCTGAGCCTGCAGAGGGTCAGCAAGGCGTTTCAGTCTCTAATTCAGCTTTACCTCACCAACATGCGCTGCTTTGATTCTAGGCAGGTATGGGTAACGGTGTGCATGTGGTAAGAATGTGTGCATTCAGTCACATGGCAGAGTGAGTGTGGGGCTGATTGTTTTCTGTTTTGTTGTTTTTAATAAAACAATTTAGCAAAAGATACTGAGCGGCAACACCATCACTATCTGCCGCGCTTTGTGAAATTAGCTGTAGGTGCTTGGATCAAGCTCTCTGGTTTCTCAATTAGTGTTGGGAATAAGTCAGTGTAAGATAAGAGTTAATATTCCTGGTGCTGAACTTTTGAGCTTCAGCAGTGAGTTTGTTCAATAATTGATCCTGGGCAAAAAAGAATTTCAAGCCTAGCTGTGCAGAAGAAAGCAGGGTGGCACGAGAGACAATTTATTTCTAGGAAAAATAAACTGTTATCTGATCCTTATTCTACCAGATTTTTGGATGTAAAATATAGCTTGAAAGTTAATAGTTTTACAGGGATATTTGGTCGTATAGAAATTTTCACATCTATATGTGATGTGAGCAATGTGTAAGTTGGTGCTTAAATCTCCAATTATGCATATAAACTTCACAAATTGACTTTTTTTTTTAAAAAAAGCATTCTCCAGATTATAACAGAAGTTTCTAGAAGAGTTTGCTTACTTTAACGCACTTAAGCCTGTAGTTTGAACTCTCCAGAGGAGTATGCAGAGTCCAAACAGGAATAGTTACTTTATGCAAAGTAATTTTAGGATGGTTAAAATACTCTTGCTCCCTTCAATTTTTTAATTATTATTTGCAGATATTATCTTTCTGTAATTTACACCCTACCCTTTAATGCCAATTGCATTTATTAGCTCTGCAAACAAAAATTAGGGCTGGAGGAGAGCGCGCTTGGAATATTAAAATGCTGCAACAACAACCCATTTTGTCTTCTTGCCTATGGCAGGTGGGACCAAACATTCCGAAAGCTGCATTCTGCAACCTGCTAAAAGACAATGAGGTGTTGCAACAGCTGGCACTACAGAACTGTTCTGATTGGCTGTCTGACAAGGAGCTGCTTCCTGTGATTGGCCAGAACCACCATTTGCAGCAGATTGAGTTGAATGGCTGCGTGCAGCTGAGTCGCCATGCCCTGGTGGCCATCTCTTTGAGCTGCCCCAATTTGCGCCGGCTTTCTCTGGCTCATTGCGAGTGGGTGGACAGCCTCTCCCTGCGGAGCCTGGCTGACCACTGCAAGGAGCTGGAGTCCCTGGACCTTACAGCCTGCCGGCAGCTGAAAGATGAAGCCATCTGTTACCTTGCACAGAGGTGTAACAGACTGAAGTCCCTCTCGCTGGCTGTCAACGCGAATGTGGGTGACGTGGCAGTGGAGGAGATTGCCAAAGCCTGTCCCGAACTGGAGCACCTCGACCTCACAGGCTGCCTGCGGGTCAAGAACAACTCCATTAGGTAACAGTTGCACACATGGAGTGCAGCAGTTGCGTGTGTATTTAATGTGTTTATATCATGCCTTTCACCCAAATAGTAAAGGTAAAGGGACCCCTGACCATTAGGTTCAGTCGTAGACGACTCTGGGGTTGCGGCGCTCATCTCGCTTTATTGGCCGAGGGAGCCGGCGTACAGCTTCCGGGTCATGTGGCCAGCATAACTAAGCCGCTTCTGGCGAACCAGAGCAGCACATGGAAACGCCGTTTACCTTCCCGCCAGAGCGGTACCTATATATCTACTTGCACTTTGACGTGCTTTCGAACTGCAAGGTAGGCAGGAGCAGGGACCGAGCAACGGGAGCTCACCCCGTCGCGGGGATTTGAACCGCCAACCTTCTGATCGGCAAGTCCTAGGCTCAGTGGTTTAACCCACAGCGCCACCCAAATAGCTCAAGGCAAAATACAGGGTTTCATCCTCATAACAACTCCGATAAATAGCGACTGGCCCAAGGCCATCCTGTGAGCCTTTTGGTAGGGTGGGTTTTAAAACCCAGGTCTCCCCAGTTCTAGTTGGACATACTAACCACTAATCAATATAAATCCTATCCTATTATGATAGCTTTTATTCAGTTTATTGCTTATAACCACAGGTCATGTGCTGAACGTAAGAAGCTTTCTTATAACACATTAACCAGTGTTTGATATGACCCAGTACTGTTGACTGAAACAATAACCCTGCTGTCTTGGCTCTCTTAACTGGAGATGCCCGGAATTAAATCTAGGACCTTCTAAATGCAAAATGTGTGCTTTATTGCTGTAGCCCCACCCCAGCCAACCTAAAGGAATATCATGCTGTTTTGGGCAACTCTGATGCTGGCAGGAGACTGCGAACTTAAAACTTCTTGCATCTTCTCTTTTGATAGGACCTTGGCAGAGTACTGCCCCAAGCTGCGTGCTCTGAAGGTGAAGCACTGCCACGACGTGGTAGAATCCAGCCTCAGCATCCTTCGCAATCGTGGTGTGGAGGTAGACGTGGAACCTCCACTACAGCGCGCCCTGGTTCTCTTGCAAGATGTCGTGGGTTTTGCCCCTTTTATCAATCTTCAGATCTAATGAAGGCAAGACACTGTCCAGTGGTCCCTGGTGGCCGCCTGCAGGAAGACCTGTCGGATACTGCTGCTGAGGAGCTCAAGAGGCAGAGAGGGTTTACGTCTCATCCCTTCAAGCCGGGCTGGTTCTGAGCTACCAATACCTTGTTGGGAACCTGTACGCGCATTAGAAAAACAAACCCACTTGCATCACAATGGACAGCAAGGATGTGTTTTGATGCATCCTGGCTAACAGATACATAGCATGTACGTTCAAGGATATTCTAGAGTTGGATTTTGGGCTTGCTGCTTTGGGCAGTGACTGCTGAAAGGCAGTTGCATTGATGTTGAACCCATTTTACCCAACTGCACTTCATGTGGACCTCCAAAGATAAATAGGGATTTTGGGGTGGGTGGGCGGGCGGGCGGGCAGAATGTATAATCACTGGAGAGTAAGGTTGACAGCTGGCAATATTAGTATGACTTCCTTTCTGCTTTGAGTTGAGTGCTTGAGAAGTCCTCACCCTCCTAGAGAGAGTGGGGAGAGATCCTTCAGGTGTGCAACAGACTGTTGTGCCCTTAAAGGCTTCAGGGTAGATAGGGGAGTGCTGGTACCAGAGTGCTGAGAAGAGTGGCATTCTCCAGATACCCTCCTGCTTTTAAGGGCAAATGTGGACCACACCTGTGCTGGTGCATGTAGCTTCTTCTGTGTATGCGGTTAAAGGGGGGATATTTATTAGATTCTCACCTTCTAGCAGCGAAAGGTGAGAATTGGATGAACAAGTGAAATTCTTAGAGCCGATCTTTTAGAAACCAGTCGGAAAATAGCTTTCTAAAAGGAAGCACACTTTTTGACTCGGTAGCAGTCATGGAAGCTAGCTTTACTGTGTTAGGCGAACGTGATCATACATTATGCACAAATTTCAAATGACTTGTCATAAAACAACACAAGCAGCACACTAGCGTAGTAAACTCCTGTAAGGAAAAGGACAGAGCAGGAGGAGCAGCAGCAGCTCCTACAGTCACCATAGGCCCTGCTTCTGTATACGGAGAGTTAGTTCTCAAGCATGTAAACACAAACTTCTAATTCTAAATTTCATCCCCCAGATAAATAGGCAGAAGGGTTTCTTCGCTCTTGGCTGGTAGATGGTGAGAAAACGGCTAAAACAAGTACCCAAGCAGAAGGCATGTGATGGACTTGAGTGGCCCTTAGTGGAATTTATATTTCCTGGCTGGCTTGAGACTGATGTACGTTCTCTTCATTTCTTCACTCTCTGCCTTCTTGATATCCTTGTATCGTTCCCCTTTTGTACTTACTACCTGATTGTCAATGTAGCGAATCATCTTCTTGGGAGCCTAAGGGCAAAGGACGAAAACAGAAGCTGAGTTGCTTTCCAGTCTGAATGGGCTGTTTTTTTGTGAATTGGTTGGTGGAATAGTTAATTTCTTGCACAAATTACTGCACTAACGCAAGGCTCCTGGGAGCTCAAGATGACCCATCCACAGTGGAGACTGGCTGCTACATCTTTGCATGACTCACTGGAAGCTGGAAAGACCAGAACACACGGCCTCTGCTGGGAATTTGGCTGTGGTTGCATTATTTAATGACCTACAAGACAGAGACGCAGCAGAATCTGCTGTTTAAACAAAACGTGTGCTCAGAAGAGTGACATACATAGGGAAATGGCCTCTCCATGCGGAGTGTCTTCAATTTCAGTGCAGAAAATGTGCTTCAGTTATACTTTGGGGAATACTATACTGCACGTAAAGGACTCGTTCCAAAAGGGCTGCTGTGTTTAGATAGGAATTCATTGCAGTGGGGCATCCTCTTTGGGGTTACAGTAACTTAAGATGTAGAGCTATACATCTTGCTGTATTCTAGAAGGGTAGGGACAGTACTTGAGTGATACACTCTGACAAATCACCATAAAAAGAGGATGTAATTGCAGGATGTAATTGGATTCTTTTGCTTGAAGTTATTTGCTTTTATGAACAGTTCTGGAGGACATCTAACTTGTGATCTCACTTAATTGAAGAGACTGAGGGATGTTGGATTATGTGGACTGGATTCCCTTCCAACTATTTGTTTTTCATAGGGCCCCCTCCCACCCCCCCCCAAAACCCCCCCCCTGTGATATGAAACCTGGCCTCTTGAGTTCATGGAACTCATGCAGAGCAAATATTTTTTCCCTACCATTTATTTGCAAGACCCCTACAAGACGTGCCTGTCCCAAAGATTCCTTTCTGAAGCAATTGTATATCTGGAAAAGCATGGCACTATCTGATCTCAGTGCCCGGATGAATGCTTACTGAAATCTACTATTGCCAAGTCCTGTGTGTACATAAAATAGCCCCGATGACGTTGGCATCTGTTGCAGTTTACTAAAAGTGAACACAAAGGCAGTAAAATGGGGGTAGCAATAGTCTGGTGCTAGAGACGTTGCGATGGGGGGTGGATGCAACTTTTTAAGCTGTTGTCCACCCCCCTAGCTCTGAGTGGCAAATCTGCTCTAAAGCCATTTGTCTGCTTTTTGCTGGTTCCAGGTTAGATGCCCACAGTTTGTCTGCCCGACCTCAATCCACTGTAAATAATGATACAAAGCAGTGAGGCTGGGTTATAAATGTTCTTTCCCCTATTTCGGCTATTGGCTTGCATACGTTTGTGTTGCTTACCTCTTTGGGGGGTGCTGGCCTGTGTGTTTTCTGATCCTCTTCGTTATCTACCATCATGTACCTAAAACACACAAGAAATGCACAAAGCCCTCTCGAGAGGTGGGTCTTTTAGGAAAGTGCAAAATGCTTTGCCGGTGGAAAGTTTCCCCTTCTTCCTTTGGAGAAAAGTTCCCACCCTGTTGGTTTTAAAGTTTGTAATATAGATGACACCCCCTTTCCCACATGGCAGAGCCATATGTGCGATCTACAGATGTGCAACTTAAATTTAGCAGCCAGTTCTGCTGTGTAGTGCTGATTCCATTGACTCTTCTGTGGTAAGGATGCAGATGAAACAGCATATAGGTTTTTAAATAAAAATGCCTCCGCAAAGCTTTGTGACTACCTTTTTGCTGTTGTCTCCCCCACTAGGTCCTGCTGTACAGAAATAAGTACCGTATTTTTTGCCCTATAAGACTCACTTTTTCCCTCCTAAAAAGTAAGGGGAAATGTGTGTGCGTCTTATGGAGCGAATGCAGGCTGCGCAGCTATCCCAGAAGCCAGAACAGCAGGAGGGATTGCTGCTTTCACTGCGCAGCGATCCCTCTTGCTGTTCCGGCTTCTGAGATTCAGAATATTTTTTTTCTTGTTTTCCTCCGAAAACTAGGTGCGTCTTGTGGTCTGGTGCGTCTTATAGAGCGAAAAATATGGTATTTTGATCATCTAAGGTCAAATGTAGAGAGAGATGTAATCTTCTTCTTGATAGTACAGCTGGACCTGTTTTATACTCTCACATTGTTCAGTTTTCTTTCCAGCCACAGAAATTCAATATATCGGAAATACAGTGCGTCTTGCACTATAAAGAGAGCCCAACAGGGAATTGGGAACACACCCAACTCCTTTCTCTTGACCGAGACCCATTTAATACAGTCCAGGATGCTTAGAACAGTGATTTTGTTTGAAATCCATTGGTTAATTTACCTATTTAAATCAGCCTGGATAGCTCATCTGGTTAGAGTGTGGTGCTGATAATGCCAAAGCTGCAGGTTCAATCCCCGTATGGGACAGCTGTATATTCTTGCATTGCGGCAGTGGCGCCCACCCTGTGGAACGCCCTCCCACCAGATGTCAAGGAAATAAACAGCTGTCTGACTTTTAGAAGACATCTGAAGGCAGGCCTGTTTAGGGAAGTTTTTAATGTTTGATTTTTTATTGTGTTTTTAATATCCTGTTGGAAGCCGCTGAGTGTGGCTGGGGAGGCCCGGCCAGATGGGTGGGGTATGAGTAATTAATTATTATTATTATTATTACAACTACTATGGGGGGAAGGGTTTGGACTAGATCATGGGTAGGCAACCTAAGGCCCGGGGCCGGATGCGGCCAAATCGCCTTCTCAATCCGGCCCGCGGACGGTCCAGGAATCAGCGAGTTTTTATATGAGTAGAATGTGCCCTTTTATTTAAAATGCATCTCTGGGTTATTTGTGGGGCATAGGTATTCATTCATCTCCCGTCCCCAGAATATAGTCCGGACCCCCCACAAGGTCTGAGGGACAGTGGACAGGCCCCCTGCTGAAAAAGTTTGCTGACCCCTGGACTAGATGATTGTCAGGGTCCCTTCCAACTATACGGTTCTGTGAAAGCTGATGTTTGGCACTGATGTTCATTTTTGGTGTCCCGAGCTCATATCGAAAAAGCCAGAAATTGTCAGAGTTGCCTTGCGCTTCAGGGTCGCACCTAGCAGTAATATTTAGTAACATGAGACTTAGCATCTGTGCCCCCCGCTGAACGATATTAAACTGCAGTAGAATAACGTACACTAATAATACTAGCACTTATGCTCTGTGTATATTTAAATCAGTATTTGCATTTGACACATCATCATCTGTGCTTGGGGTACTGCATTCACCGGGGGATAATTCACTGTTGCTACTGTTTTACGGATGGAAAGCTGAACATTCAGGGAACAGGCCTGGAATGTCTTTTATGGGGCAGACCCCATATATAATCCCTTGCTGGTGGCTACAGCCCTGGCAACGCTGACTGCAAGGAAGCTCTTTCCCAATTACAGGTGACACACACATATTTCTAGAGCTGGACTGAAAGCCAAAATCAAGCCTGACCGCTTTGAACCACACTTCCTGAATTGATTTTTGTGGCTTGTTACTTACTTCTCCAAGATAAATTGCTTTAATTCGCCTTGCTTGGGTGTCTTCTGGGATCTTGAAGCTTCCTGAAAGGAAAGAGCAGGACAGGAAACGCAGAAACAGAAATACGAGAAGGTGAGACTCGCATTCAGCTGTTGCCTGGGGAGTATTAATACAGCTTAGACTTAGAGAATACTGGATATTTGTGAGCATCATGATCCCAGCAACCAGTTTCCATAACTGCTGTTATGCAGGGAAAGCTGAAAGGTGCCTTGTCAAAAAGAAAAAGAAAAAAAGAGTGTGATCTAAAGTTTTTGAGGTCCATCAGAGAACTATCCATCCCCTGCACCAGGTTCTAAAATAAATGTATTACGTGCATGGCTGTTTAAAGCTTGATTATAACACAGAGGTAGAGACATCACCTTGCCAACAAAGGTCCGTATAGTAAAAGCTATGGTTTTCCCAGTAGTGACGTATGGAAGTGAGAGCTGGACCATAAAGAAGGCTGATCGCCAAAGAATTGATGCTTTTGAATTATGGTGTTGGAGGAGACTCTTGAGAGTCCCATGGACTGCAAGAAGATCAAACGTATCCATTCTGAAGGAAATCAGCCCTGAGTGCTCACTGGAAGGACAGATCCTGAAGCTGAGGCTCCAATACTTTGGCCACCTCATGAGAAGAGAAGACTCCCTGGAAAAGACCCTGATGTTGGGAAAGATGGAGGGCACAAGGAGAAGCGGACGACAGAGGACGAGATGGTTGGACAGTGTTCTCAAAGCTACCAGCATGAGTGTGAGGAAACTGCGGGAGGCAGTGGAAGACAGAAGTTCCTGGCGTGCTCTGGTCCATGGGGTCACGAAGAGTCGGACACGACTAAACGACTAAACAACAACATAACACAGAGGTAGGAAAAGGACATGGTATATTGTAGGAGTGGGAAGGCTAAGATCAACCTGAAAGAATAGGAAATGCTGGAAAGGCTCCAACTGCACACACCGACAGATCTTGAACTAATCAAACCTTTAACATTTTAAAGCAGAGCTGGGACACCTTTGTTTCATAGGCTGAGTGTGGCCCCCCAGGCGTCACTCTCAGGCCCTTGGGACCATCCCTAGGCCATGCCCCTCTCCAGTCTTGCTCCGTGCTGTTCTTGTGTGATGTTTGCATGGCTGCAACACAGCCTTTGAAATGTGATAAGACATCGTTTGCCCGGATGGATATACGCACATGCATAGCAACCTCTGGCTTTCCTGGCACGCAGCATAGACTGGCACCTGTCACTCTGCTTGCTGTGCAACCTCTGGAAGGAGGAATGCAGCTTGAGAGCTGAAAAGGGTTCCCCACTCTTATTTTAAAGGTTTTATGGAGGAAACCTGTGTTCACCAATGATAAAGAAAGCGGAATCACACACAGCTTCTGTACTGAAACGTAGACTTTCTAACAGGCTACGATTTGAATTTTGATTCCCAGCACAGGTGAAATACTTGACAGTTCAGTCCAGAAACTCCTCTTTCACCTGGCTGAAAATGACCTGGTTTCTCCCAGTCTGCTTCCTGGCATGGCACAGCTATGGGACAATACCCGATTCTCTCTCACTTGGGACTACAGTGGTACCTCGGGTTACGTATGCTTCAGGTTACAGACGTTTCAGGTTACAGACTCCGCTAACCCAGAAATAGTACCTCGGGTTAAGAACTTTGCTTCAGGATGAGAACAGAAATCATGCTCTGCTGGCGCGGCGGCAGCAGGAGGCCCCATTAGCTAAAGTGGTGCTTCAGGTTAAGAACAGTTTCAGGTTAAGAACGGACCTCCAGAACGAATTAAGTACTTAACCCTGGGTACCACTGTACTGCAATGTGCTCTACGTGGGGCTACAGGGTGACTCGGAAACTACAACTAATGCAGAACACAGCACGTAACTGGTGATGGAGTGGCCACTGGGACCATATAACACCAGTCCTGAAAGACCTACAGTGCTGGAGCTGACCTTTAAAGCCCTAAATGGCCTTGGCCCAGTATACCTGAAAGAGCGTCTTCACCCCCATCGTTCAGCCCAGACACTGAGGTCCAGCTCTGAGGGCCTTGTGGCAGTTCCCTCATTGTGAGAGGTGAGGTTACAGCAGGGAACCAGGCAAAGAGCCTTCTCGGTAGTGGCACCTGCCTTGTGGAACACCCTCCCATCAGATGTCAAGGAGATGAGTAAGTACATAAGCTTTAGAAGACATCTGAAGGCAGCGCTGTATAGGGAAGACTTTTGATGTGTAATGTTTTATTTTGTTTTTATATGTGTTGGAAGCTGCCCAGAGAGGCTGAGGCAACCCAGTCAGATGGGTGGGGCATGAATAATAAAATTATTATTACCTGTATGGTTGTACCCACGGTGTTGAGTTGCACCTTCTCCTCTAGGATGAGCTGTGCTGCTTCCTCCAGGTTCCCCAAGGCCATGCCTAGAGCCTTTTGGGCTTGGCTCACCGTGCAGGATGGAAACATCTCCAGAATCACTTCCACTGGATCACCACGTGTTTCCTGGTCAAGCCAAGGAAGAAACAGAATGAATCGTAGAGTTGTAAGGAACAACGACGGTCATCTTGTCCAAGCCCCTGCAATGCAGGAATCTTTTGCCCAACCTGGGGCTTGAACCCACAATCCAGAGATGTTCTAGCAACGGAGCAAACATGTATTTATTGCAACCCCACTCTGCAAAGCAAACCCTCTCGGTTTTTAGGGAAGTCATCAGCTGCGATGGCACGGCGGACAGGAAAAAAAGAATTTCACAAGGAAATCCACCAACCAGAGTTAGCTGAAGAGGCCACTAAAGTTGAACCTCCCAGTCCATACCTCTGCCGGGGCTCCCTCGACCGGGGAACACGACAGCCTGTTGTCCTCAGACACACTTGCTCCCTCTTCACGAACATGGGCCGTTGCTTCAGATTTTACATGGCTCCTGCTCTGCATGGTGTATTCTGGAAGATGCACAACACCTTTAGATGCAAAAGACCCTAGCAGACCCATCTACCTGCCACTCAAAGAGAACAAGACAATTTGTACCACTTTATTATTTATTTTTATTAAATTTTCTGTTTTACCACACAGTGGTACCTCAGGTTACAGACACTTCAGGTTACAGACTCTGCTAACCCAGAAATAATACCTCGGGTTAAGAACTCTGCTTCAGGATGAGAACAGAAATGGCACAGCAGCAGCGGGAGGCCCCATTAGCTAAAGTGGTACCTCAGGTTAAGAACAGTTTCAGGTTAAGAATGGACCTCCGGAACAAATTAAGTACAAAACCAGAGGTACCACTGTATAAAATATTCATTTAAACCACCTTAAAATATCAGTGACTTCCTGTCTTCTTTTTCCATGGTTCATTTTGCATAACATAAATCCCTGCATATTTTATATCAACTAAACCATTCAGTATTCCATTATTGCATCCATCAAAACTTATTTACACTGTTTATCTTAATGCTACCAACATTTTCAAACGTACACAATACTCCCCCATATATTCAATATATGTTTTCCTATCTTCTTTTAAAGTATGTTCCTCTTGTTCTCTTATTCTATAAGTTAGATCCACAAGCTGTGCACATTCTATCAGTTTCAGTTGCCATTCTTCTTTGGTTGGGACCTTGCTCGTTTTCCCTTTTTGGGATAACAAAACACGGGCTGCAGTAGTGGCATACATAAATAACTTTTTTGACACCTGGGAATTATCCCCAACAGAAAGGACTCGGGTTTTTTTGGAAAAGTGCTTTTAAACATCTTTTTCAATTCATTATAAATGATTTCCCAGTAGTCTTTTACAGGTCCACCACATAAGAAAGAACATACCCTTTACAGTGGTGCCTCGCAAGACGAAATTAATTCGTTCCGCGAGTTTTGTCTTGCGATTTTTTTCGTCTTGCGAAGCACGGTGTCGGGAAAGTTTTGGGAAAGCTTCAAAAATCACCAAAGTCTTTAAAAACCTCAAAAAAGGCTACCACACCGCGTTCTATGAGTTGCTCCTCGAGATCAAGTCGCAACTGTATTAACGGTGTTAAGAAAAAGGAAACAAACTTGCAAGACGTTTCCGTCTTGCGAAGCAAGCCCATAGCGAAAATCGTCTTGCGAAGCAGCTCAAAAAACAAAAAACCCTTTCGTCTAGCGAGTTTTTTGTCTTGCGAGGCATTCATCTTGCGAGGTACCACTGTACCTCATTGCATCTCCAGCACTTATCTGCTTCAGTCTTATACATCTTAGCATGCCATGTGAAACACTGCCTAGGCAGTTTTGTATTTATACTAGACACACTGTGTTTATAGCATAGCATATCTAAATGATGTCAAAATGGACCGTGGACCTCTCACATTCTAAAGCTGCACATATGGGCGAGGTAGCTTGGCTTAAATGAGAAGTTGGCAGCACAGAACTCTACACAAGTGTTTTCATATATCCAGTGTCATGTTTCACCGTGAAGACACTGGCTTGTCTCTTCTGGCACTATTACAGTGGTACCTCGGGTTAAGATCTTAATACGTTCTGGAGGTCCGTTCTTAACCTGAAACTGTTCTTAAAGCTAGTTCAACTCTTGACATCTCCAGTTACCATCATTTGTAAGTTTGATTTATTACCTGCCCCCCACCCTAAGCGCCATATATTAAATACAACTTTAATATAGTAATCAAGTATTAAAAGGTCAAGCTAAATATTATTAATTATTATTATCATTCACTGAATTTGTTGGTTGCTTTCTCTTGCCCAAGGCAACTCAAAGCGACTCACAACCCAAAAAAGATTCAAAATGGGTGGCAAAATGCCAACTGTGCTGGTTTTTTTTGTATTCCTCTAGGGCCAGGGCCCGGTGTCTTCCCACCCACCCAAAATCACTTTATGCTAAGAAATTATGTGTGGTATCCAAGACCCTGATGTATCTTAATTCTACCTCCTCTTATTCAGGGTGCTACAAGCCTTGTATTCCAGTTAGCCTTTTGGACAACACCTTTAGCCAGACAACACTGCCTGTCACCCGGGTGCTCATCCCATGACTTACGTTTACTGCGGGCTTCATGGAGCCTTTCTGAGAGAGAAACCATCATTTCACAAATGTTGCTACTGCAAGAAAAGGACAGCGCGTTATTGGCAGAGACCAGATTGAGGAGAAACTGGGAAATTTCCTCTCCCATCGAAGTATCCTGTTTAGTGGTGTGGCGTTTGCCCTCCTAGGTGTGTGACATCATACTGGGTTCATAAGAAAAGGGTTAACTAATTGTAAAATGACTAACCTATAGGAACCCAAGGGGAGGAGTTAGAGTTTGAGTTGTTAAGAAGTCAGTCTGGAGTTAGAGAAGAGAGAGGGAGGATAGGTCTGTGGGTTGGGCTAGTCTGATGTGAGAGAATCTGTTAAGAGGAGTCAGTCAAACAGTTGAGATAATCAGTCAGAAGGTATTAGGAAGGTATAGGCTGGTAAATATTATTATTATTATTATTATTATTATTATTATTATTATTATCAACAACAACAACAACAATTTATTTATACCCCACCCTCCCCAGCCAAGACCGGGCTCAGGGTGGCTAACAACCAGTAATAAAAACAAGCTGATTAAAATACAATTTAAAAGATTAAGATACAACATTAAAACATTAGGATGCAGCCTCTTCACAGGAGGAGAAAGGAAAAATAAAGAGGGAGAGGGAATCAAAGTGATTCTAAGCCAAAGGTCAGGTGGAACACCTCTGTCTTACAGGCCTTGCGGAAAGAAATCAGATCCTGCAGTGCCCTGGTCTCAAGAGACAGAGTGTTCCACCAGGCTGGAGCCAGTGTTGAAAAGGCCCTGGCTCTGGTTGAGGCTAATCTAACTTCCTTAGGGCCCGGGACCTCTAGGGTGTTGCTATACAGTGGTGCCCCGCAAGACGAATGCCTCGCAAGACGAAAAACCCGCTAGACGAAAGGGTTTTCCGTTTTTCGATGCGCTTCGCAGGATGAATTTCCCTATGGGCTTGCTTCGCAAGACGAAAATGTCTTGCGAGTCTTGAGATTTTTTTTGCTTCCCCCCCTTTTTCTAAGCCGCTAAGCCCCTAATAGCCTTTTAGCCGCTAAGCCGCTAAGCCTTTAATAGCCGCTAAACCGCTAATAGCGCTAAGCTGCTAAGCCCCTAATAGGGTTGCTTCGCAAGACGAAAAAACCGCTAGACGAAGAGACTCGCGGAACGGATTAATTTCGTCTTGCGAGGCACCACTGTATATGGACCTTAAGGTCCTCCGTGGGGCATACCGGGAGAGGCAGTCCTGTAGGTATGAGGGTCCTAGGCCGTGAAGGGAAACCATAAACTTGTTAATGCTTATAAATAAACTTGTTTATTTGGTTTAATGTTAACAACTGTCTGGACTCAGTGTGTACCCAAGAGTAACGGGTTGGTGGCAGTGGGGAAGCGAGCACAGTGGTGGCACAGGGATCAATAGACTGTCAAATGTCCAGGGATCCTGTGTGATCGCCACAAGCGGAGACACAGGTAAGGAGAGCAAACGCCAAGGAGACTCTATTCATCGCCAAACATTCCAAAATGGCAAAGGAATGCAGACCAATATAATTTGCAGCCACATGATCATTCTGAATAACATCAGTCAAAATGCTTTGTTCAGAGCCCAATGTTTGAAATCTGCAGGACTGAAGTAGTGATGGGAAAACCTAGAAGGACTATACGATGATGATTGGATTACGTGAGACCTCCTATTAAGACATGAGTTCATAAGGCATGGAAGTTCAATAATTCCTGATGGAAAGAAGACAAACTCCCTACCAGAGAGGAATGGCAGGCTAAACTGATGAACTACGCTAAAATGGTAAAGCTGACTGGAAAACTCAGGAACCAAGAGGACAAAAACTTTCAAAAAATGGGGGAAAATTATAACTTATATAGGAGACCACTGCAAGAAGATGGAAACATTAGCAGGATTTGAAACCAACTTGTTTGTAACAAATACCATGGATAATATGGATTGATTTAAAATCTAGAATATGGAATAATATGCAGTTGTAAATGTTGACAAGAGGACCTATGGAGGGGATGGGGAAGAAGTCTTGAGATTCAGAGTAATCTCTATATATGGATATGCATTTGGATGTTATAAATTTGTATCTGTAAAATCAAATAAAAATGATTTTTTTAAAAAAGGAAGTTCAGTAACCCCCCCCCCCGAAAGTTAGAACACAAGTTCAGAAACTTGAAGGCAGGAGACCTTTGTAGGGATGACCTGCCTATTATCTAATTTGTCTCCAAATTAACCAGGGACAAAGTTGGAAACAAAAGATTGACACTTGCTGTAAAATTAATAAGCCGAAATTCTCCACCACTGAAATCTAGCAAATACGAGCAGAAGGAGATGCAAATGTTGACGACAGCAGAGCAAGACTCTGACAGGTATGGCCTAGGCAGCACATATCAGAAGAGCTCACTCACTGAGCTCAGGTGTGATCACATCTTTTAAAAGCAGTAACATTTACCTGTTGATTTCCGCAAAGCCAGGGACGTACGCTCCCATCATTTCCATAAAGGTGTCCATGTCAAAATTCTCTTCAAATGACTCATGGGACCCAAGCCCTTCCAGGACACTTGCCATGTAGGAGAAAACAATGTCATCCAGACCACTGGGGGGTGGGGAAAGGAAAGGAAAACAAAAAGGTTATAGAAACCGGACAAGTTCCATTTGCTTGTTTATCACACCCTGTTGGATAAAAGCCACCTGATTCCTTAAGGTGAACTGCAGTTAATGTTTCCTTTAGATTTCTTCCCCAATCAGCTTTATAAAACATGTTTATGTTAAAAAGCCATGAACGGAACAATAAAAAATATTGGCAGTCCTTTTTGCTATGTTGTTGCAGCGACCCAAACATTTTGAATCTTGTGAACAATGTGCTTTGTTAAGTCACTATTCAATGAACACTGTGCAGTTTTCTCCCCACCCTAGTCAGATTGGCCAAATGTCTGTTGATGGCATTCTACCATTGCACTGTGGAGAGCGTACTAACTTATGGTCTGTGCGTGTGGTTTGGGAGCTGCACGGCCAGGGAAAAAACAATGCTATCCAGGGTTGTAAAGACTGCAGAGAGAATTATTGGGTGCACTCTTCCCACCTTAGATCAAATCTATGCTGCCAGGTGCCATAAGAAAGTGGCAGAGATAGCACATGATAGTATGCAGCCCGGAAATGATCTCTTTCAGCTTCTGCCTTCTGGAAGAAGGTATAGGGTTATAAAGGCCAGGACTAGCCGCCTGAAAAACAGTTTCTACGCTAATGCAATTCTGGTTCTAAATGCAGCATAAGGGGTCTCTGTAGTATAGTGTTTTTTAAAATGGGGTTTTAGAGTTTTTAGGGGTTTTTGAATGTCTTATGTAGTTTTGTAGTAGTTTTATGTAGCTTTTATGTAGTTTTATGTAGTTTTGTGGTAGTTTTATGTAGTTTTAATGTAGTTTTATGTAGTTTTCAATTTCATTGTTCCGCAAGGGACAATGACAATAAAGATATCGTATCGTATCGTATCGTGAGGGATGATGGGAGCTGAATTGCAACAATATCTGGAGGGCTACAGATCTTCCAGCCCTGCTCTAAACTCTTCACCATTGGCCAGGTATCTCCAGAGAGGACTGAGAACGAAACCTGTCTGAGTCAGCGTAGACCAAGGTTTCCCAAAGTTGGGTCTCCAGCTGTTTTTGGACCACAACTCCCATCACCCCTAGATAGCTGGACCAGTGGTCAGGGATGATGGGATTTGGAGTCCATAAATAGCGGGAAACCCAAGTTTGTAAAATCCTGGCCTAGACAATACTGAGCAAGATTGACTAATACTATGTGGCAGCCTATTAAGTCCCTATGGAAAAGCTTTTGCTGCAGCCAGGAACGTATTTTTTTATTTTTTAAGAAAACCTTTGATTCAAAGGCAAAGCCAGAAATTAAAACTGGAAATCCATCTTCAACAATCTCTTCAGCCTCTAGAATAATTCAACATTTGCTGCCTGCTCCCCTGCTCTACTGCCCCAAGAATGAAACTTTTAAAAATAACTATTTAAAATATCCACATCAATGATTATTTACAGTTCATAGAAATGGAAGCTGAGGGATACTATTTCCACATGAAGGTTGGCTCAGAAATGTACAGTTACGCCGTTTATGTAAAATACTGGGTTTGCCATAATTTGTGTGTCTATAAAATTAGGATTTTTCATTTTTTAAAGGAAAGAGTCTGACCTTTCCTGAAGTCCAGCGTGCCAGGTAAGCTATAGACAGAAGGAAAGCTTACTGGTGAAGAATAGAGAGGGGAGCAGATAATTATTTTGACACTTAAGCTTCTCCCACGAGACATTTAACAATTATGCAATTATTTCTCTACTGTAGGCAATCATAGCAATTAACAAATTATTAATTAAATGTTACATTCACCATTAATGACGATATCATCTGACATCTATGAGTACAACTAAATAAAGACTGAGGAGTACCTATGGAAGTAAGGTAAAGGTAAAGGGACCCTTGACGATTAGGTCCAGTCGTGACTGACTCTGGGGTTGCGACGCTCATCTTGCTTTATTGGCCGAGGGAGCCGGCGTGCAGCTTCCGGGTCATGTGGCCAGTATGACTAAGCGACTTCTGGCAAACCAGAGCAGGGCACGGAAACACCGTTTACCTTCCTGCCAGAGGTATCTACTTGCACTTTGAGGTGCTTTTGAACTGCTAGGTTGGCAGGAGCAGGGACCGAGCAACGGAAGCTCACCCCCTCGCGGGGATTCGAACTGCCAACCTTCTGATTGGCAAGTCCTAGGCTCTGTGGTTTAACCCCCAGCTCCACTGTGTCCCTTTACCTATGGAAGTAGGAGGATCAATAAGCCATGATGACATTCTAATACTGTGAATAAGACCCTCTTTGAAAAGCATCAGAGAAAAGGGGGAAAGGAAAGGAGAAAACGAGGTTGCACCCATAAATTAATTTGTTTACACATCCAGCTTACTCAGCCATAACAACTTGTTAAAATTATACACTCCATCACTCTAATTTTCTACAAAAACAAAACATATCGAATCCCCACAGTGCTACAGCAAGCCAATTTTGGCTTTGCTCCAGTACAGTAACTAAAAATACTCATTATGTAAGGTTTGTGGTTTCAGAAGAAGGAAATCCTACAGTTGGACAACAGGCACCGTGAAGGCCGCGCCATGCAGTTTCAGTTTAGGAACTTGGCTTCCGTAAACTGGATTTGGAACTGAAATATCACCATAGAGGTCCCAGAGACACAAAGGCTAGTAGATGCCAGCCCACTCTATAACGCAGTTGCGACACACCGCTGATGAAAATCCACACAGTGATTTCGCATGGAAAACATGACACGCTTCTGTATGGCTGTCCTAGACCCAAAGTGAGATAAAACATACCTCAAGTCAGCACCCGGGATATGATTCTGGATGAAGACTGACAAACTATCTTGGATTATTCTCTCCGGCTGCATTTCCTTTGAGGAGTGGGTGCTGGGGAAGAGAAAACACACACACACACAAAAAAAATTCCAAAGTGCAAACCGACACAAGCTCCAATGCATAATGCTGAATTTGCAGGCCAAAATACGAGACGTGCTCCCTCTGCCAGATCAAGGCACCACTCAGATGATTTTGTACTGTACAAAATCTGAAATGTGTCAAGAAAAATCACAGGTCCCAGCAGTTCTTCCCTGGGGAAGCTACTGATTTTGAGCCACGGCCTCAGGTGAAGGAGAAGTGGAATATTCCAGCCAAGAACTCAGCTTAGAGCCAAATTCTGCATGCTCAATGCATGAGTGCATTTAGCATACCAGGTGGGTTTTCTCTCTTAAGCCACCAGGAGTCATGATCAGGATCATGCCCCACTGCATGCAATAATAATAATAATTTATTATTTCTACCCTGCCCATCTGGCTGGGTTTCCTCAGCCACTCTGAGCAGCTCCCAGCAGAATATTAAAAACACGATAAAACATCAAACATTAAAAACTTCCCTAAACAGGGCTGCTTTCCGATGTCTTCTAAAAGTCAGATAGTTGTTTATTTCCTTGACATATGATGGGAGGGCGTTCCACAGGCGGGTGCCACTACCAAGAAGGCTCTGCCTGGTTCCCTGTAACCTTACTTCTCGCAGTGAGGGAACCGCCAGAAGGCCCTTGGAGCTGGACCTCAGTGTCTGGGCTGAACGATGGGGGTAGAGACGCTTCTTCAGGTATACATGTGTGTCTAGGAATACAATCTTTTCCCAGTCTCCTGTTGAAAAGCACCCCCCTCACCCCCACTACGGACACCAATAGTACTTGGTGTGTGATTTTCATCAGGTAAACATTACATAAACCCCCTCCGCACTGGAGTCTCAGTCCCACCTGCAATTGATTTAGCTATAGATGAAAATGTTTCAGGGACAGAACTGCGAGGTAGGAATAGCACATTCAAGCATTTGTTTTTGCTGGGCTCGTATCGGGATGATGTGATTAGAGCTGTCAAAGGCTCCATACGTAATCATTTGCATTCCAGATGTTCTGGAATAACGACAATGATCTGTCTTGGCGCACGGCGGCAAGAATATCCAATGGAAAGGAAGGAGTACCGGGGGAGTAAGCGCATTGATACGAATAAATGGCGTTTAACTAAAACCATGTGCAAGTACCACAATGGTAAGAAGGATTTTGTGTCCTGCGTTGTAAAGAGTGCCATAGAATACTTTCCCTAGCATGGCAGTGAAGTCATGGGGGCAGGGGGGTGGGGGTGGAGAGAAAGGTTCTCACCAACTCCGTTTCTGCATGTCAGGCTGCCCTGAAAAGGAACTAAAAGAGGACCAATTTACAAATATGAAGGCAAGCAGGACCATAAAGAAGCTGGATATTTCTGCAGTCTGTTACAAAAGCACACACACACACAATTAATTATCATAATATTAGTAACTGCCAAATAGATGTGTGTGCTTTTGTAATAATTTGGAAAGGGTGTCTGAGCAGCCTATGAGCATCCTTCGCCCAGGCAGGATGGGGCAGGCCATCATTAGGGTGCCATCATTAGGCCAAGTAGGGCACAGTTTTAGACAAACTAGTTTTCTTTCGCGTTTGAGAAAGGCAATTTAAGATCGAGGCGCTGCTTTTTCTTGCCATTTAAAATAAACTTTGCAGCTTCAAGTTTTCATTCCCTCTCCCCCCCACCACCCTGTAAGGCTTTTGAAAACCGAAGTTAGCAGGGGAGGGGGGCGTTTTGGGTGCGCGCGCGCGCAAGTATTTAGCTTCGCCTAGGGCGCAAAACAGCCCCGGCACCGACGCTGCCGGGAGAGCAGCAGGGGACTCTCCGCCGGAGGGTGAATGCACTCTGCACATGCTCAGGAGGCGGCGCAAAAAACGACGACAAGCAGCTAAAGTAAAGGGCTTCTGGAAACACTCACTAGGGGCGTGCCTGCCTGTAGGTCTGTCTGTCTGTCTGTCCGTCCGCCGGGCGACCTGCGCGCCTCCTCCGCCCGCTCCCGCGTAGAGATGTTGAAAGAATCACGTGGTTCCGAATCCTCCTTCATCCCAAAGTGGGAGGAGGAGGACGATGTGGTCCAGATTAGCATCACTGCGCATAGACTTAGAAATGCAGACTGATCACTCGCATCCGAATAGGAGACTTCCTGGTAGCTTTGGAAGACTCACTCGCTCCTTCTTCTGTCAGAGCCAGTGTGCGCCTTCCTAGTGGGCTGCTAGCGTATATATTGCGAGTTCAAATTGGATGGGCACATGTGAATAAATCAATCCAGTAAATCAATGCAAAATACGCCATGAGAAAGGAGAAGGAACTCAGCAAAGAACAATTAGAAGAGCTGAACATAGCAGACCAAGTAAAAGAGGCAGAAATCTTTCACCCCACCACAAAAAAAAGTTCTGCTCGTTTCTGCTGCTCAGCCGCGCACCGAGTGGCCATTCAGTACCTTATGGAGAATAAAGACCTGGCAAAGGTCGACAATGACAGAGGAGCATTGCGTCAGTGGGTGTGCTTACTAAGTGTGCAGAAAAACCACACTGGGCAAACAGGAGGAATTTTAGGTTTTCAGCAAATCAAAGAAAATGTATTTTAGTTTAGATTTTTAAAATATAATTTTGCAAAATATACTCACTAGCTGCAAACCCTCCATGTGTCCCTATTTTTGAGGATCAGTCACAGATTCGCAGAAGTCATCCCGGTTTCTGATTTGATCTCAGAATGTCCCTATTTCCATCCCTATTTTCCCTGGAGAAAAATTGGAGGGTGTGGAGTTATGCAACCCCTGAGCCAAAGAGATAAGTAACTATGCAAGCTTTAGAAGACATCTGAAGGATGGTGGCTAACGGATTGAGGTTGAATACTGACAAGACAGAAGTACTGTTTTTGGGGGATAGGGGGCGGGTGGGTGTGGGGGACTACTGAATGGGGCAACTGTGCCCTTGAAGAAGCAGGTGTGCAGCCTGGAAGTTATTTCGGACTCACAGCTGTCCATGGAGGCGCAGGTTAATTCCGCATCCAGGGCAGCTGTCTATCAGCACCATCTGGTACGCAGGCTGAGACCCTCCCTGCCCGCGGACTGTCTCGCCACAGTGGTGCATGCTCTAGTTATCTCCCGCTTGGACTACTGCAATGCGCTCTACATGGGGCTACCCTTGAAGGTGACCCGGAAACTACAACTAATCCAGAATGCGGCAGCCAGACTGGTGACTGGGAGTGGCCACTAAGACCATATAACACTGGACCTGAAAGACCTGCATTGGGTCCCAGTACGTTTCCGAGCACGCCAGGCACTCCTGTCTTCCACTGCCTCCCGCAGTTTGGTCAAACTCATGCTGGTAGCTTTGAGAACACTGTCCAACCATCTCGTCCTCTGTCATCCCCTTCTCTTTGTGCCCTCCATCTTTCCCAACATCAGGGTCTTTTCCAGGGAGTCTTCTCTTCTCATGAGGTGGCCAAAGTATTGGAGCCTCAGCTTCACGATTTGTCCTTCCAGTGAGCACTCAGGGCTGATTTCCTTCAGAATGGATAGGTTTGATCTTCTTGCCGTCCATGGGACTCTCAAGAGTCTCCTCCAGCACCAGAATTCAAAAGCATCAATTCTTCGGCGATCAGCCTTCTTTATGGTCCAGCTCTCACTTCCATACATCACTACTGGGAAAACCATAGCTTTAACTATACGGACCTTTGTCGGCAAGGTGATGTAATGGTTTTACATTCTGTTAATTCAGGAGCATGAAATATTGCTGAACGGGTATCTGCCAATTTCTGTCTTTGCGTTTGGAAATGTTCCTTAAATTGCCACTTCCCAATTTGGCCCTGCTGCACTATTTATGACTGCAAACAATAACGTCAACAGAGAGCAGTGCCACATTTCAACACTTGATGTCACTCCAAGGCCACATTATTAGCAGCAAGGTGCTTCCTGCAGAGTTGCCAAAGGATCCAACTCATAATGACAGAACTAGCGCTACGCGTAGCAAAATGTCCCCATGGGGGAATTTTTTAAAAATTCTGTTTTAATTTAGGTTCATCAGCATTAAAGAAAGAAAGAAAATGAAACCTGCTCTTTCAATTCTGGTTCAGACACAAAGTTTCCAAAATATTTCAGCAGCCAGTTTCAGTCACTTCAAATCAGTAGGGATAGATTTTATACAGATTATACAAAAAAAGGTTTAAAATTGCAATGTAATTTCCACAAGATACATACAACAAATATTTCATTTAAGAAAATATAATTCAGAATGCTGTTCTCATGAACCGCCCCCCCCAAATCAGGAAGTCATTTACTTGTTTAAGATGCTGCTTTTTGGAACAATCACCACACAAAGCGATGTACAATCTTTAAAATTCATAACCGTTAATGCCACAACGAAATCCACCAAATTTATCCACTGAAAGGACAGAATGATTTTAATCCCTAAATGTTCTTTTCTGCATTCATTTATACCGCAAGAACTTTAGCTCATTTTGAGTACTGTCCATTTTAAATCTCCTGTTGCTGTAATGCCATTATATACAGCAATCGTACAGCAATGTTTGGAATACTTTGTATGGATACCAGAGCTCAATGAAAGTATATCATGGAGCCATGAAAGTGGCAGAAAAGAAACAAATGGCCAGAAGGAAGAAAAAGAGAAAAGGAGTTGGAACTGACCAGAGAGTATGGTGGTGGGCTTCTTTGTATTGGGACATATGCTGTATTTTTTCCCTCTCCCCCTCATAATACTATAAATCAGAGATATGCAATGACTCCGATCAGCAGCAGATTCAGGATGATACATGCAAGAAGGAAGCAGTTCTTTACAAAGTACTTAACTTGCCACAAGATGTGGAGATGGCTACACTCTTTAGATGGATTTAAAATGGTTCGGGCAAGTTCATGCAGCATATGCCAGCCAAAAGTGATCCACCGTGATATTTAAATGGAATCGCTATGAACTGCCTCTGTGTACAGTACCAGAACCGGCCCGCTCATGAGGCAAGATGCGTTGACCTCCTCAGGTGGCAGGATGCACGGGGGCAGCAGATCCTGATGCAGATCTTCATGTTCCCCTTGTTCCAATGTTTCTTCTTCCCTGGTGGGGAGGGTAGGAAAAAGTGCTTCTGGCTACATTCATTCACCGTAAGTGGATAACTACGTCTTGTTCCATGAGTTGCGGCATTTTCTATTTCCATTTATAGCAAGTACTTAAAACAGAAATGTTTGGCTTCCCACTTTATCTTTATGGCTTGGGCTCATTGGCGGCAGCTGCCCACTGTTTCTCATAGGGAGAAGATCTATCAGGACCGTCTTACCCATAGGCGCTAGGGGTGCAGGGCACCCAGGCACCAGGCTCATAGCTGTCAACTTACAGATTTGAAAATAAGGGACCAGCAGCCAAAATAAGGGATTTTCCAAGCACAGGTATGTTCAACTTCTGAGCCAAAGACAGAAAGCCGAGCCAGCAGCCGAACGAAGCCTTAAGCGGTGGTTCCCACAGCACAGCAACCCGGCAAAGGGGATGCAGCAAGGAAACCACCGTCACCTCTTTGCTGGGAAGCACTGAGCAAAGGCAAGTCCCCAGGCAAGGCGGCTGATTTGATCGGCACAAGGCATGCAAGCTCCACCCCCCAGTCATTCTTAGACTCCTTATTGGGTGAGCAACGCAGCCAAGCAACACAGTTGGAGCCTCCCTCCTCCCTGGCCGGCAGGGAGGGAGGGAGAGGAGCTGCTTCCTTTGAAACCCGGGAATTTTAAGGGACATCATCAATAAGGGACAGCAGCAGGACACGGCGCTGGGATAAGGGAGTTTCCCGCCAAATAAGGGACGGTTGACAGCTATGACCAGGCTCTCAGGGGCGCCAGGCCGAGAGTCTGGGGACTGAGAGTTGAGTCAGGGGAAGAGCCCGCCTGTTGGTTGGGGGCGACCGAGCCAGCGAGACGCTGAGGCGGCCGGCTGGCTCCGCCCTCCTGCGCACCTGGGACTGGGCAACCGGGGGAGGGCACCGGGCGGATCTTTGCACCCCGGCACCGCATATGCTTAAGACAGCCCTGAGATCTACACAACCCTTGTTGTTTTGCTGTAACAGACTAATACAGCTGCTGCTCTCGAAGTTTTTATCCTCTAAGCCACCCAGCTGAAGATTTTGAGCTTTTTCTTTTTTTTCCTTTTCCCTCCAGCAACATCCATCTTTAGGGTCCCCTCCTACTGTTAGCATTGATCTACAGGGGAAATAGAAAACATGGCCGTGTTGTTATATACCCGGTTTCAATTTCTGCTGCAATGATTGAGTGTACATACAGAATCTTTGAAACATGGTCACTCTAACTTATTTTGTCTTCCTGTCAATAGCACAACACTTGTTCAAATAATGGGTCGATAGCAGCTGATCTTTTTATGTTAAACTGCCATGGAATTGCCTCTCTTATTAGAGATGCAGTTTTTCTCCTGACAATGTTTAACTCAAGAATTTTTGGAAGGGAAATGGGGAGGAAGGGATTGGTTAGGTGCAAATTATTATCATCGTTATTTTAAAAGAGGAACGCGTCCACAGAAAGAAATATAGACATATATTTATCCTTAAAGTGGATAAATGTTGTGTGTCACAAGGGCATACAACACTGTTCATTTTAAGGGGGGCAGATCTGTGCTTGGAAGTCCCAGTTACTGGCAAAGGATCTCTGAAACAAAGGTTCTCTCACATGTTGCGTTGAAACATTCACAAACCAAGGTCATATGTACCTGTCCAGCCAGCAATATGGTCATGATGAATCCATCTCTTTCCAGGTGTAAAGAAGGGTTGTTTTGTAAGGATGAGACATGTTTTTCTCTGAAAATACATAATAGAGGTGGAAAGATCACAACTTTCTTCTATCTGTTGTTGTGAAACATCAAAGAATATCGTGGAACTTTTAGTTTGGGTCTGACTACAGCTATTTCAGAAACAACTGTCAAACCCTTTCTTTCATTATCTTGAAAAGTCATCGTTTCATATGCGCTGCTTAATTTTATTACTTTTTCTATTGAACCATGTACTTGGAGACTGGAGCAGAATTCTGGCAGAATCCGAGACCAGAGAGAAGAGTCGGTGAAAGAAGACTGGAAGAAATTTAAAGACTATTTACAGAAATATTGTAAAATTAAGGAATCTTAGAAGGATGTTGGATAGAAACTAAGAGGTTTTTAGCTGTAATGCCTTAAGAGATATGAAAAAAGGTTTGCAATTGGGTAAAAGCTTAATGGTAAGGATTTGCTGAACTAACAAATTGAACTGGAATACAAAAAAGGGAGGTATGAGGAGGTCCGGGGAAATATGTGTAGGGAAGATAGGTTATGGAAAATTAATGTCTTTTTAACCGTTTTATTTGGTATGTTTCTTTTTATTGTTTTACTTTTTTGGCTATATTTTAAAAACCTTATTTTTTTCTCTTTCTGTATTCTGTATTTTTTGTATTTTTTGAAACTTTAATAAATATTATTAAAAAAAAAAAAAGAGACTGGAGCAGAATTAAAGGTATAAGAGATAATAACTGTCTGGGGGCAGCCCAAGAGAACACATGTTTAAGGAGAGTGATTTTCCGTGGACTTCTGTCATTTTCTGTTTGCTCCCAGCTCTAGTTTTCCCATTAAAAAAAATATTAATCCTCAAGTTTAAAATATTGGGTGAAATATGGAAGGTAATCTGAAAGAACTGCTTTCAAGAACTGCAGGATTAATGACAGAACATAAGTTTATATATGTAAATTTGGCGGGACATTCCCAGGCAGGGATTGGGGAGGAATTTGTTTGATTTGCATTTTTATGCAAACTTGCCTCATTCCGATTTCTCAAATGAACAAGTTAACCAAAATATAGCTCTCTTTCAACACTTGCAGCTCTCTGAATTTTGTGATGCAGTTCTTCCATATATGCACAAAAATGCATATATCTGGGGAAACAATATTCAGAACTACATTACCTTAGTAAAAATTGCTTTTAATAAAGCACATATTAGGCAAAATTGAATACAGAGGAGCATATATTAGGAGAAATGTGCTTTTATAAAAATCGCAAATTGATGCAAAAATTCAATGAAGTAAAGATTGGGAAAATGAGAAATGCAGAGAAACTAAAACTGGTAACATCAATCTATACCCCCAGATAAGGGTTTGCAGACTCAACTACCTAAAAGCATGATGCACAGTAATGAGTTCCATTAAAGCACTAAAAGAGTTTGCAAAGGATGAACTGGAATCTCCGGTATTTCAAACAGTTTCATTTAAAAATATTGTAATATCATTAAGTATTTTTATAATTCCAACAATATGCACGATGCAAAATATAAGCTTAAAAAAAGCTCAACAACTTTTGTGTCCAGATTTTCACTTTCTCAAATACGACAACCCTCATATATGATAAAAGATAAATGTTACTGGTCCTATAAAGCCAACTATAAACATCACTGGTCTTCAAATAATCAAATGAAGTCAGATATACAATGTCAGAAGTCAACTCTCAAATGCCATCAGTTGTCAAATTTCACATCGTGCCAGATGCTAAATAGGTGTCAAGTAAAATGCCACGTGTCAATCATCAAATAGCCTCAAATACCAAATAATGATTTCACTGGATGTCAGATATTGACACCAAACACCAGATACTGAATTTTCAAATGGATATTTCACCGTAGAATCGGCAGCGGATAATTTTCAGGAGGCAAAATAGCCCTGGCTGTAGAAGGCATTTGTATGTCTTGTCTGAGCTTCACAATGACCCTCTGCTTTGCTTATCCAAACTATGGTCAATCTGGGAGGCACTTGACTTCACAAACCATTTGCAGGCTCCAAGACATCTTGTCCCACGCATGCTCTGCACAAACAAGCCTTTGTCTCCCCTGAGCATTTAAGAGCTCTTGCTCCCAATGAAGAACCTCTTGTGCCAGACAAGTACTCTCTCAAGACGCAGCTGAAACCATGATTCCTTCCCATTCGCCTAATGAAAAAGAAACAGAGGATGTGGCCCAACATATTTCCCTTTATCTTGCCTTTGGCTTTCTGTTCTGTGCTTCTCTTTGGGTGGCGATATCCAACTAAGGCGTACTCCTAGGAGACCCACTGAAATTGGTGCGGACCATGGATATTGAATACCCTCCAATACCTATCTGAAGAAAATAGGGACGTTCTATTCCATAATAATAATTTTACTATTTATACCCCACCCATCTGACTAGGTTGCCTCAGTCACTCTAGGCAGCTTCCAACATGTATAAAATACAATAAACCATTTTTAAAAACTTCCCTATACAGGGCTGCCTTCAAATGGCTCAGGGGATGGATAATTCCAGACCCTCCAACATTTCTCCAATGAAAATAGAGACATTCTGGGATAAAATCAGAAACTGGGACGGCTTCTGTAAATCCAGGACTGTCCCTGGAAAATAGGGCAACTTGGAGGGTCCGTACTGAACAAAATAGTTGCATACCCTCCAACATTTCCCTGATGAAAATAGGGACTTATTCAACAACAACAACAATTTTATTATTCATACCCAGCCACTCTGGGTGGCTTCCAACATATTAAAAAAAAGAATAAAACATTAAGAAACATTAAGAAACCTATACAGGGTTGCCTTCAGATGTCTTCTAAAGTTAAGATTCTAAATATAAGATAGTTACTTATCTCCTTCCTGCCGGAGTGGTACCTATTTATCTACTTGCACTTTGATGTGCTTTCGAACTGCTAGGTTGGAAGGAGCAACGGGAGTTCACCCCGTCAAGGGGATTCGAACTGCCGACCTTATGATTGGCAAGTCCTAGACTCTGTGGTTTAACCCACAGCGCCACCCGCGTCCCTGAATACAGTGGTACCTCGGGTTAAGTACTTAATTCGTTCCAGAGGTCCGTTCTTAACCTGAAACTGTTCTTAACCTGAAGCACCACTTTAGCTAATGGGGCCTCCTGCTGCCGCCGTGCCGCCGGAGCCCAATTTCTGTTCTCATCCTGAAGCAAAGTTCTTAACCTGAAGCACTATTTCTGGGTTAGCGGAGTCTGTAACCTGAAGCGTATGTAACCTGAAGCATATGTAACCTGAGGTACCACTGTATATTCAGCTGAGACCAAACCAAAATGATCTATCTCCCCCATTCACAGGCAGCAAGACAGGGAGCATTTTGACCAATTTTTGGCCAATTTGCGTTGGCAACA